ACGCCGAACCTGTTCTTGGCAAAAGCTCATCATAGTCAAGAATCTTAGTTTTAGACCACGATGAGCCTATAATAAGCTATATCAAAACTTTTTTAGGGTATTTAGGGATCTTAGGGTATTTAGGGTATTTATTAGGGTATTTTATTAGGGGGTCTTTTTTTTTGAACACTCTAAGCTTAGGATTAAAATGTGCATATTTTCAGTATACTGAAAATATGTAATTTTTATGAAAAATAAAGACCTCATCATGGTTAAGATGGAAAAGAGTTGTTCCGTATTTAGCGTTAGACCACGCGGAGTTTATTTCAGACCACGCCGAGCTGTAAGCCCTTCTTACCTATAAAACTATATATAGTAGTGATTTAAGGTGTAAAAAGTCTTGAGGAGGATACTATTCAATAAATAATATATAAAAATAATAAAAAATAATAGGGAAGATAAATATTTGATGATTTATTACTATAAAAGCTTATAATCTGTGACAGTAATATTGATGATATTATGTGTATGTTGCCTAGCTAACTACGCGAGGAGGTGACTATGTGGCTAGGTCCGAGATCACGTGATCTCCTTTCACAATGCCACCTGCTGGGATACGTAAATCCAGATATATATTATGTCTCTCCCGTAGGGATATAACACTGGTACAGCATTGCAGTCGTCAAATTGTACCCCATATGACCCATACATTTGTTCAGTGTATAGAACAGGCTCAGTATTAATCAATTACAACTGGCCCTTCTTTATTTTTTGAACTGCGATGCTCTTTCCCTTAATGAATGAGGGATACTAAGACGTAGATTTGCAGGATATTTACCAGGGCTAAGGTACAAGATGGCCGGATAAAGATTCATCCGCTCCTCGGTATTCCCCATCATCACAACTGATAAGAGATGAGTGTGAAACAGCAATACTAGCGCGAACGTATTACCTACCTAGGGAATGAGTATAGTTAGTCACCTGACAACTGTCCTCAATGTATAATAACCCGTCACTACATCATTTCATCATTTCGACTGCCATCTTACGGACTCGTGAACATGGACTATCTACCCCTGGAGGTGAAGCATTTAATTGCTGGAATAGTAAGAACACTGCAATTACCATTTGAAACCAACTAATTCTGGAGCTAGGTTCGCGATGTGTCGTGGGAAACCCTGCGGGCTTTATCACAGGTGAACCGCCAGTGGAACCAGATTACGGCGCCGAGTCTTTATCAAGATCTTACTCTCCGCCTGAAGCCGGACGGGCCACCTCACCGTGTGCTTCAGCTGCTTGACGCCACTCACGTCTTGCCGCATATCAGATATCTCACCCTCGTGGATCGCACCTCCTCGGACCTACGTGATCTCAACGTCGGGAAGTATCTCAATGAGACGAGCCCCGAGAATGTCGATGTCCCTCCCATACTGCGGGCATACAAAGGGGACTGGGACCCGATCATCTCCCTCCTCCAACGGCTGGTGTATCTGAAGCGGCTTCATCTTTTAATGTACCCTTCATACCCGCCGGCACTGCTGGATACCCTAGCGGAGACTCATCCAGACTGTCACGTGTCGGTGTTCTCCGCCAGCCCCAATACGTACCGAGCGGATATCACGCGAAATAAATGGGTCCACTCTCCCGTGGTGAGAGCCGCTTGGATCGTCTACTATGAACATCCCAATGGCCACTTCTACACCGAGCACCCGGATCGCTTTCTGCGGAACATTCTCCGTCAAGCACCGCGGATCAAGCATCTGACGTTGCAGATCAGCGCCACGTCGGGCCCCAGCTCCTATCAGCGATACACCAAGTGGCTGCAGACCCAGCCGTCGGAGGACGATGTCAATACGCATCCACGCGCGCAACTGGAAATGCTTTCATTCCCGTTGATAAGCAGGATGACCGCGCAGAGCCTGCAGGCCTGGTCCGGCGTTACCGATCTGGGATATCTCACCGCGTGGACCGCCGGCGCCATCGAGGATACCGCTCTATTAACAACCATCGCCGAACTGCAACCCTTCCGTGCCCTAAAGCGACTAACCCTCGCCCTGAACTACCCGGAAACCTCTCCCACCTGGCTCCCGGCAGTCAAAGCCATGTTTGACGCCCTCCCACCCCTGACCTATCTCTGCCTGCTGGGGTCCTACCACCCGGAATGGCTCCCCACCGCGATCCTGGACCGCCACGGCCCAACGCTAACCGAGCTGCAGCTGCACAGGCCCCGACCCCAGTTTCAGAGCTACGAGCCCTACCGACTCGCGCGGAAGGGGCAGATTGCTCCAATCTGCCCTACGGACGTGATCGCCAACATGGCTGCCTGCTGCCCTGTCCTCCAGACGCTGCGGATCACCGTGCAACGGCACCGGGGTCACTCAACCGAGACGGCCGCTTACGACGCCCTGGGCCGTTTTCCAGCCCTCCATACGCTGGACCTTCACCTCAACTGCCTTCCCGTGGTGGTCTCGGGTCAGGAGAGCCCGTTCCCCCCACGGGAGCTCACTGCGTACGAGCGCCAGACGATCCAAACCTGGCAGGGCAGCCTTGCCAAGTGGACGGTTCGGGACACCGCGATCAACAGTGCGTTCGACGAAGCGCTAGCTACAGCGATATTCACACGCATCTGGGGCCAGACAATGGGGAGATCCCTCCGAGTGCTCCGACTGCACCCCCTCTCGGGCCAGTCTGGGCAGTACCAGGGATCCACGGGCATCACAGCCCATGTGCTGCTCGGAGGCGGGGATTACCACCAGGAAATGGGTGGCGCGTGGCAGGTCGAGTGGGATGCAGCCACCGGGATGCGAGTGGAAAACCGGTTCAAGTCAAAACGCAAACCGGGCGAGAGGATGCGAAGTATGGATTTAGAGATCTTCGAGTCTATATGGCCGTCGGATCAAGAAGAAAAGACCTGGCCTATGAAATGGTGTAGCTGGCCATTGCAGTGAAGGTTATTGAGTTACTACCAGTGTATTACCGTGTTGCGTTATTCCTGGTTTATAGGTAGATATTTTTGTCTTCATAATATACATTAATATATAATTTAGCATTAAACAAGAGGTAATCCCTCTGGCTTGACTTCTATATAGGAAAATACCACAGCTAGTACTAGTTAATACTATATATACTAAATATATATATTTTAGATGGCAAGCTACTAGTGTAAATTAAATTTAATTTACCTTTTAATAATTACTGTGATATTTTCTCTCCGTACTATAGACTAAACTATAAAAAATTATATATTAGTCGTCAGATTTTTATATAATTCCCTATACTCGTGCTAGTAATAACTGACGAGAATAAAATCACTTCTTTCTATTCTAAAATATAGTAATCATATTGATAAAAAGTTGAAAAGAAATGAGAGGACAGAAAGGTGTAGAATATTTGGAACAGGTAAGTGGTATGTTCTTGGGGTCATTGAGTTAGTGGTTATATACTCCGAGGGATGGTCTCCGGGACTCGATACACGAGAGGTGTGCGAGACTCGAACTTGTTTTTCCTGGCAGGAGAGAACGCTTCGCCAAAATCGGAGAGTAAAGCCTTAGCCTCCGCAAGTGTAAGCTCTTCACTTGCCTCTCCAAGCCAGACGGGCAGAATTGCATGGGATAGAACACTTGAAAAGATCTGTTTACCATCAAAGCGGATGATAGTCTTCGACTCGGGTTCACCATACAACTCATACAAGTTTTCATCCAAGAGCTGGTCAAAGCCAGGAAGGACCGGAATGAGAATGTTACCAAAGTGGAGGTCACCATAAGCATAACCTTGCGCATGTATGTATTCAACGGCCAGTACCAACTATACTACCAAGGCCCTCGCCACTTCTAGCCTAAAGAGGCGAATGTATGATCCATCTTTGGCATCCCAAAGACTCATCCTCGCGGGATGTGTCACGTAACATGCATGAGTACCATTTGGGCCTTGGATCTTGAAGGTATCCAAGATCAAGGGTATCATTATTTTGCTTAAATCATTACCTGAACGCTGTCGCGATCTGGAAAGGAAGGAAAGTACCTCAAGTTCGTGGAGATCCGAGTCTGCAGTACACACTTTAATAGCGACGAGCTTATCAACCCTTTCATCGCGAGCCAACTAATTGGTTGAGTACGAGCCATGACCGAGTTTATAAACGACCCGATAGCGACCGTGGAAGCGATCTCCAATTGAAACGGGATGGTAACCTCCTTCTCGGTACCGTTCCAGTTTCTCTACATCCTCGATGGGGATGTACAAATGAGGCAGCGTGGAGACTTTGGACTTCCTGGACAGATTGGTGAACGTGGAGCGCGGGCATCGAAATAGCTGACGGTGCAGCAAGGCCCCTAGTTCCTTATTACGGGTGGGACGAAGTCGAAATGGAAACGCGGGCGAATAGAAAGACCCCAGGCGAGGGAAGAATAATCTGCCCATCGCCTGATCTGTACATTCCAGAGGAAACAGGTGGTTTCGGCGCGTAACAAGCCATGGTTGAAAGGTGCGGGAGGCCGCGCGCCAAACGCTTGGGGTCCGCGCCGGGAGACCACGCGGATTCTCTCCAGCCACCGTGGCGAGGCACTTACTCCTACTTCTGCTACCATCGCTGCTGGCGTTCCATAGCGAGACGTTACTTAAGAAAATCCGGAACTCGATGTCCTAATGTGATGATGATGGGGGTGACTGAAAATTCCGGTATTCTCGTCATGGTCTTGTGCGTAGAGTCCTGGAGGATCTCCTTCCTTAAATCCACCAAAAACAGTCACAACGCGGGATACCAGTGACAAAGCGTTCGTTAGGGCCTGTGAAGTTATGCGATTACATCAATCGGACTTTCCAATGCTATCGATCTACAAACCCTTCATCCATACAAGCCTTCTGCTTAGGATGAAGCAGCCTGGGGAATTGGCCACTCCTTGTCCTCCCCCTGACCCTCCAACCAGGGCAAGCATGCCTGGTACAAAGCCTTGAGTTCCCCCCGGCCCTGACCCACGAACTTGTCAAAGAGCTCCCTGTCAAAGCGCTCGATGAACGCCAGGTGGCAAGACAACAACAGATCCACAAACCCGGGGGTTTCGCCTTCAAAAAACGGGCCATTCTTTCCCTCCCGTCCCTGCAGCATCTGGATCAGGGTCGCGGACTCCTTCTCCAGCAGCTGCCACAGCTGGTCCAGCGATTCCTGGTCCGTGGGACGCACCTCCGCCAGCGGCTTCCCAAAGTGCGCCGAGCGCGTCTCGCGGAAATACTCCTGTCCTCGGGGATCCAGATGGTCCACCACGCGGGGGATGATCAATTGCCGAAATCCGGGGCCGTGGAGAGTGATAATCTTGTTCACGGCGAGGAGCAGCGCGTAGCTGGCGTCGCCGGACGGGAACAGCGGCGGAGACGGAAACACCTGGTCGAGATGCAGGACGATGGGAAGCGAGTCCATCATGGCGCCATGGGGGTTGGAGGTCACCGAGGCCTTGTGGATGATGGTTGGCAACGTGTAGGGGATGCCCTGCTCATTGGGCCCCAAGCCTAAGCCGGTCACGAGGGGCTTGACATCGGGGTAGGAGATCCAGCTCTGGGTATACGGGATGCCCTTGAAATTGAGCACGGTGCGCACCTTCAAGGTGTTGGGGGACCATGATTTGGAGGGACCTGGGAGATGATTAGAGGCGGCGGGTCCGATGATTGCGGGGCAGCGGGCAGCGGGCAGCGGGCAGACCTGGGAAATCGGAGTAGAGGTCGAAGAAGTGGACGGGCTCAGCGTCGGCCATGATGGGAATGAGTTTGTCTGATGAATACGAAAACGGTTCAAAAGGCTTGGTCCAGAAACCCCAAGAGAATCCGTGCCTGCTCGGCCGTCTTTTAAAGATGGGTGGCTAATTATGCATCGAGTCGCCGTCGGTGGGGAAAGCGGGTTAGATTTGGAAACAGCTTACAAATCAACGATCGGGGGTGGGGGGGGCCTGACTCTTTCCCCAAAGCTTACGGTGGCAGACAATGGGCAGTCGCATATATCCAAGTGAGTGTAATTAGGTCCCTATAAACACGACGTCCTCTCTCCATTAATCCTATATCCCGCGGACTGCTCCAAATCTCGCTGACAGGTCCGAACCATCCTGCCACATCTGCCCTGAACATCTGGACTCCTGGGAGATCCCCTAGTGGGTGCCCGCGGCCCCCCAGGCTCCGCCTCCGGCACCGGTGGAACCTCCGGCTGCGAACGTGCCCCCGGATGGGCCATTGCCGCCCGCGACTATAGAGTAGAAAACCGTTAGTTGATAAACATCTCGACTTCTCGGGGGCTCACTGACAACCACCACTGCCACCCTCCTGTCATTATGTGTCAGCCAAGAGATTCAACCGTAACCTGAGACACAATTGCTATCACTTACCGCGGGCCATCCCCCGGATGATCCTCCATATCCGCCGGCGCCGTGGTCTCCGTTTAGGCCTCCACCCAGGCCTCCACCCAGGCCTCCCCCAAGGCCTTCGCCTGAGCCTTCACCGGGACCCCCTCCGAGGCCTCCCCCGAGGCCTCCACCCTGATTTCCGTTGTGGCCCGACTGGCCATTGCCATCCCGGCCACTGCCCTGTCCCTGTTTCATAGTGCATCCGTCAGTCGACAATGCACTTGGGACAACACTTGCACTACTTACCGCGAGAAGTGCATTCACACCATCTACAACATCAGTCACCGTATCCGTCAGTTGGCGTTTGCCCCCTAAATTGAGAAAGTGTCAGTTCCGGGATTCCCTCGGGTATCAGGACCCACTCACGGCCAGAACCAGAACCCTATTCACGCGATGTTAGCGGGGATCATTAATCAGTCTCTCGTCCTGGATACTTACACCCAAAAGGGCGTTGAGACCTTTTCCAACATCAGTTAGTGTATCGGTCAGTTGACGCTTGTCGTCTAAATTGAATTCCTGTTAGATCCTGGAGACTCTTGGATATATCGGGGCCCACTCACGACCGGATTCGGGACCCTAATCACACGATGTCAGCAGGAAATATCAGCGTTATTTGGTGTCTTAATACTTACAGCGACCAGGGCGTTAACACCATCCCCAACATCAGTCAAGGTATCGGTGAGCTGACGCTTACCACCTAAATCAAAACCCTGTTAGTTCCTGGAAGGGGTCTTCTCTTCCCGGCCTATGAGTCCCGGATACTTACGGGCAGTCGGGCTCGCAGCAGCCATGCTGGCAGCAAAGAGACACAGGACAACTGAAACCTTCATGGTGAGCGGTGTTTCCGGTAGATTGACACAGTGGAACCAGGATGTGTGATTAAGCTAGGAGCAGTGATCAAGGAGACTGGACTAGAAGACCTGATGATTGCAGTGGTAGAGGTATTGAAAGTCGAGGACCAACCGCCCTTTTATACCTTCTCGAAGCTCGGGGATCGATACAGAATGATGCAGCTCTTTCGGACCTATCTAATACCCGCAATTGCCACCACTAGAGTACATCAGACGGGGATAGTATGGTCGTACAAGTTTCCAATTATTGTCGGGCCTGCCTGCAAGAGCCCACAATATCGGTCGGGGCATAGCCATGAGATCCCGTGTCATCTAGTATCGGCGCCATGTTTTCAAGATCGCGAGATATTGAGAACATATCTTGGGCAATTCCAGGAGTGCATCTATTAAACATCCCATGTTATCTTACTGAGTTGCGGTATTCGACTCACAGTCACTACTTCATCACTACCCGTCTGTCCTATAGCTTCCAATATCGTTTGATCTCAACGGTAAGATCCACAAAGCTTGAGGCACAAAAGGTTTACCTCCAAGTAGTGTCGGTAACCGATAGGTGCTTGGTTATGCTCCAAAAGGCTACTAATAACATACGTATCATAGATTGATCCGACTGGGGATAGGGGATGCAGTTGCACCAGCCATTAGTAAGTGGCAAAGATTTACTTAAGATGCCGCATTCCCTTCATGGAGAATTTGAAATCATGGTGAAGCAATATGCTAGTCAATCCGTGGCAAATGACCTTAATTGAAAGGGTAATCGAAAAGCTATCGGTGATGGATCCAATAATGGGATGCATGTTCTGTATCAGATGACCCGCCGGCCGCAAAGCCCTCCCTATCTAAGCACCGGCAGAGCACCCGCAAAGGCTTGAGCTGCAGCTAATAACAGTCATGCATAGACCCATGCTAAGACAGTACCAGGAACTGCAATGTTGATCAATGGCTCCTTGAATCGATATCTTGTCCATTCTGGAGAAAGATCGAAGGTGCGCTGTACCGACATCACAACTGCATACGGTAACCAGGGAGTCACAACTGCCGATCGATCGATCTTCAAAACTGAGGGGTCTTACCGTGCCACTGCTCAGGTACTCCATCTTTATCGCCGAGCGTCTTTGGTCTACCTCCTGTGACTCAAGTTTTTTCCTGACACCTAGCACGTAGAATTTAAATACTGCCTGTGCTATCATCAAGTGGGGCTGTGGTTTAGTGGTATAATATTCCCTTAGCATGGGAGAGGTCCGGGGTTCGATTCCCCGCAGCTCCATTTTTTGGTTTTTTTCTTTCTCTCCCGCGGCTAGCTTGGAACCAACTTCTCTTTGAACATAGTAAATTGTTTCTAAGCTGAAGCGATTGAAATCTCAGCTTTGATGTAGCGTCTCCTTGTGCTCCGCCCTTCAACTCGTTCCATATCTATCCTTACATCTGGCTGGGTTCTTTCCCGCGAAGTACACCGCTCAAGTTGCGTCGAAAACTGGTCGGAATAGAAGTGACTTGCGCTGGGAGATAAATATATAATGGTCGGGGGGTAGGAAGTTCCTGGACCCGACTATTAGGGGTGGAATGGGTCAAGGGACTGTTCAACTATAGTACTATGTGGATCGGTATGATTAGGACGGATGATGCAGCTTCAATGTGTTCCCAGACCCCGTTGAAAGATAAGAGAATAACCTAGTGACTCTAGAAGAAGCTTTAGGATCTCATAGGTGTCCGTAGATAACAATGTACCCAATCATCGTGATGCAGACATTCTAATCGTGGGTCGATTCATCTAACTCTGACAGTCCTGCTTAGGAATATGATTAGGTCTGCAATTCGAGTTAACAGACACCGTAGCAAAAGATCGCTGGATCCATTGTTTTCACACCATTTCTGTCCTCGACCAGGTCTCGACTCGATTCTCGAGAAGGCAGGAGTGGGATACGGTGTCTGCTGTGGCACTCGCATATCTGCTGCCGGTCCCCTTCTCTGGGTCAATCTATCAAGCTGACTATTGCCGACCACAATCCCATTAGGTGCGGCGCTTCATGATAGCGAGCATTTCATATCCCATTAACCCGATATCATCCTCCGGGAGATACACCGAGAAAGAAGAATTGTGAAAGCATGGCTCATAATCAGCCCAATCCGCACGTGGCCCTAGCCACACGATCAATTGGACTGAACCATTGCCATAGGTCTCCAGATACTTCGTGACGAGCTTCGGTTCTCGTGGGTAGACAAACATCCAAGCTGCCGCTTGAGCGGCGCCAGCATGCAGATCCCATGTGCCGCCGACAACGTCTATGTTTTCTTCAGGGAGATAGCGATTGACCGACAAAGCCACCTCAACGCCAATGATTTGCGTCCTCGGATGACGATATGCGATCAGTGCTTCCAGGAGACCTGATCCACAGCCCACGGAGATCGTGAAGGCAGGTGTCGGGGGCAGAAGCTCGGCTAGATGAGCGACCAAGGTACTGGAGATATCCAGACAGCAATCCGGAAATGCCTGGGGGGATGCGGTGAGTTGGTGGGAAATGGCGGCGATGTCCATGATTTTGGTGGTGCCAAGCCATTGCAATATGTGTGGGGAGCAGAGATGCAAAACCACAAGCAATTTGCCGGGGACCGTTCGGATCCGGATTTACCATCATCCGCGCAGCTTATCGGTGGGGCTTCTCCCCTGGCTTCACAGCGAACTGGAGCATTCATCAAGCACCTGGGGCATCGTCTAAGTGAGGCCTTGGAATCTTGCAATCTTTTGCTTTGGAAACTCTTTGCGTGCTGCAACTCTGCTCTATTGGACATTTTGATGCCATGCAGATCTCAGGACTACTTGAATCTTCATTCCGGTTGAAATGACACTACGGATGAGTCCGATCTCTCGGATATATATAACTAGTAGTAGTTAGCGGTTACGCAAATGACACAAATGAATATCGTAGGCGACCAACCTCATCGAAAGAACTAGAAGGAAGGACTTTCGATAGATTCTGCTCTTCACCTACGAGTCAAGATGCCACTGATAACGATCGACCAATCACTCCGCACCATGGCCAGTCAAAGCCGACTCGGTCCAAAACCCCCCGGTCAGCCAGCCGTACCCCGCATCGGACCCCTCTCAGCGTCGCCCATTCCTCCCTCCTCTCACCTTTCTGCTCCCTTCCACTGCAAAAGTACCATCCTCGCAAAACATGGCCATCTTCCACATAGGTGCGTATCATCCCGGGCACCCGGTGCGCGACCGAGACTAACAGGGCCAAGTCCTCTTCCGCCTGAAAAAGGGCGTCTCGGCCAGCGACGTCGAAGCCTGGAACGAGCTGGGCAGAGGCATGGTCGGGAAGATTCCGGGTAAGGCCACCACATTCAAACCACGACCAAGACCAGACCAAGACCAAGATTAACGAGTCGTTCTTGATTAGGGTTGCGCGAACTCCACATTAACGCCCCGCTGGCGATGACGGCCTCCCGAGCCAAGGGATTTGATATGGGCTTGGTGGCCATCCTGGAGAAGCCGGAGGATCTCCAGGTTTATGCCAATCACCCGGACCACTTGAAGTGAGTGCTCCTACTTGTATCCGTCGGGGTGGTGCAGTGTGCTTCTGAAAGAGCTCAACTAACAGTTGTTTAGAGTGCAAGAGCTGCGGGAGAGCTTGTGTGACGATGCCCTGGCGTATGATTTAGAGTTTTAGATGTGATGCTTAGTGAAATCTTACAAGCTGGTTGATGAGTGCAATCTGTTTAGGCTGTAGTAGCCAGTGATCAAGCTGGGCGGCCCGGGGGCTCCCCCGGCCGGGGGGGAAGGGGAAGGGCCACTAAGAATAGCAGTTTCTCCTATGTAGATCCTTACTGAATAGACTGGATTAATGTCACCAGGTGTCTCGACCTTCCTGGACAAAGGTCCTGAGGCCGGGGTAGTCTGGGTGCACCCACTATTTGTCATTCTTGGGTCTTATCCCTTGCGGGATAAGGGACCCCGGCATTCAAATACCCAACCACAACCATCATCGATACACAGCGAGTCATAAGCGTCTAGACGGTCCCGGTGGCTGCCATTCCCACGGAAAGAAGCAACGGACGGCCAAATAAGCAATCATATCACGACCAATCAAGCATGCCGTGGAAGCTTAAGGCTGCCAATCATCCACCCGCAGGCATACGACACCGCCATTTGCACGGGAAAACTCCGGGATTGGAACTCGGGGAAAATGCGGGACTGCGATCTAGCATCAGTGTTGGGATAAGATTTTCTGCTTTATTTGTTACCAAACATTGTCCGGTGTACAACGCACACCATTGTCAGACCGCTAGGCAAATCCCTGTCGTGAGCGCAACTGACAGCCGAGCCCACAACCGATGTACTGATTACGGTAACTGCCACAATCTGCAGCTGCTGAAAGCACTATCCCCTGGGTATTTGACAGGCAGCGGTTGCGTGTCGGGGACACCTGGACGTGGGGAACCCCCAGCTGCACTGCGTGGGGGTGCGCATGGGGTCTGGGGGAATGCGGAGGTCGGACTTGGGCCGATTCGATGGCAGCAGGGATCCTGGGTCTCCCCGGATGAGGTCTACTGAGGGATGCGGTCGAGTGTCTCGGTCATTGGCCGCCGGGATGATCGTCGGGGGAGAAACTGGGCAATCTATCCGATGGCGGTCGGGCTGGACTGTGATCATGACGAAACACCGGCAGGACGATGCGGGGAATCGCAGCATTGTTTGTGCTGGACGATATATAAACCATAAGCCAAGTGCAATGAATAGTCTAGTCGTATAGGGCAGACCAAGTAAGCATGTTGTCCCTGCGAGGAAAGCCCTTAGTCTACCTGGTGACCATCGTCAGCTCAACCGGCTTCTGCCTGTTCGGCTACGACAATGGCCTCATGGGCCAGGTCATTTCAGAACCCAGCTTCCTCGATGTGGTGGGCAATCCGGACGCAGCGGTGCAGGGCTTTGCCGTGTCCTCCTACGATGTCGGGTGTATGTTTGGGGCGCTCGCCGCGCTGGTCATCAGTGAACAGATGGGCCGGAGACGCACCATCCTGCTGGCCTGTGTCGTCCACCTCATTGGGGACGTCCTCAATGCCTCCTCCTACTCGCTCGCCCAGTTCCTAGTCTCCCGAATCATCCTGGGCATGGGTCTCGGTCTCTTCACCAGTGCCTCCCCCGTCTGGCTGGCCGAAACCGCCACCGCGCAGATGAGAGCCGTCATGGTGGCTGTCCAGCTGACGTTCCTCATCATCGGCACCAACCTGGCCTACTGGGTCGACTACGGACTCGGATTCCTCGACAACGAGATCAGCTGGCGCGTTCCGTTTGCCTTGCAGGCTGTCTATCCCATCTTGGCCTTTGCCTTCACGCTGTTCCTGCCGGAGTCGCCCCGATGGCTGGCCGCCCACGGCCAAACCGAGGCCGCCGCCGTCGCGCTGTCGGCGTTCCGTGATCTGCCCGAGGACCACGAGATGATCCGCGCAGAGCTGCAGGATATTGCGTCGGCGATTGCCCTCGAGGCCGACGGGGAATCCTGGGGCGCCCTCTTCCGCCAGGGGCCCAGCAAGGTGCGCACCCGCATCATCATCGCCTGCGCCGCCAACGCCATGCAGAGCTACTCAGGGATCAACTTTGTCGAGTATTATTTCCCATTCATCCTGACCAATTCGGTCGGCCTCAGCACCAACATCGCCAATCTGGTGGCAGGCTGCTCGCAGGTCTGGTTCCTGCTGTCCTCCTTCCTGACCTGGTACTACATCAACAAGCTCGGGCGACGCCGCCTGTTCTACCTGGGCAACATTGGCATGGGCTGCTGCATGGTGGCGGTGTGCATCACGCTCTGGAAAGACACCCACACCTCCGCCATTCTCACCATCATCTTCTTTTTCATCTACCTGTCCTTCTTCACCTGGGGGTGGATGTCGAACATGTGGACGTATCCCGCCGAGATCGTGCCGTTGCACGTGCGCGGCAAGGCGATGGCGCTGTCGGTGATCTTCCAATTCGCGAACCAGTTCTGGACCGTAGAGATTGCGCCCGTGACCATCGACAGCATCGGCTGGCGCACGTATATCATTTGGGCCGTGCTCAATTTTGCCTGCTGCGTGGTGGTGTATCTGTTCTTTCCCGAGACCTCGGCCCTCACCCTCGAGTCCGTCGATTTTCTCTTCTCCTCGTCGCGCAATATCCGGGAGGTGGTGGCGCGCAGTGAGCAGCTCTGGTCGAACCACTACCATCTTGAGGTGGGAGCGGCGGCGGCGGCGGCGGCGGGGAGCGATGGGAAGGAAAAGGCCATGGAAGCGGGGGCGGCGCAGGTGTCGCATGTTGAGGGACCGGCGCAGGAGTAGGACGGATGGTTAAGTAGGAGTTTAGTTTTTGCGACATTTTGATCGTGTGAATTGGAACCACTGGTTGGGAACTTTCTTGTTAGTGCTGGAGTAACATGACACATGTATACCATGCTCTCTTTTAGGTAGAACGCGGTCTACTGAGCAATGCCCTGGCAGTGTTCCCCCCAGAGCATCGATGGCTTCCTGGAGATAGACACCTGAGGCAACAAATCAGCGATCGGGGGCCGTCGGCGGTCGGCTGTCTGCCACCTCACATCGATAACCAAGAGACCTCGCACAATCTCCAACAAGGGTGCAGACCGCTCAGGGGCACGCAGATGGACGCCGCAAATTTGACCTGCGAAGAAGAGACCCCAAGGTGACAGGTCTGCCGGGGTGCGACGGAGGAAGCCGTTTTACCAGACTGGCCCCGATCGGATCGGTGATTCCCTCGAGTACGTTCCTGGAAACGAAACCCGGTCTAGCTTGTCTGTATCAATACCATCCCAGGAAGCCGGAGCGATGGCGGGTGTCGTTTTATGGCTCGCAAAGAAAGGGGTCGAGAACCGACCGGCACACGAAGGTGATCCGATTGTAATCTGGACGAACTAGCACCAATTACAGGGTCCAACCTAACTCTCGCCAGCTCTCCTCATGGACCACCGACTTATTCGAGATGTGCCTGCGCGCAGGACTTGGCCCAGTAACCTCGCGGCCAGATGACTTGTCATCGGCGAAGACAAGGGGCAGCGGCTACCCTGCCCGACAATCTAGTACCAGAGACATCTACTAGTATCCCATAAGAAGACTGGAGGGGTGACTTATGTACCCCTGGGTCCCATGGTGGGATCCGCGGTCGGAAAGGGTCTACCTACCGGGGCAGCCAATACTCACGGATCTGCATCGAGCAGGGACGCGGTCTTAGCGATATGATCTCGGGGAATGATCGCTCGTTGCGGTCCAAGGAGGTGACCGGTGAACAGGACTTGGAACTGAACCCCCAGGGATTCCTCCTGGAAGTCCGGGGCATGAGTACGGCTAGCCCAACGGATACGTCCGGATGCGAAATCCACGTCCCTCAGCGTATTCTCGGGGGTATGGCCATGGCCATTACCGGCGCGATGTCGGGCCGAGCCGGCACGGCGCCATCTTGTTTGTGACAGCGTGCGACCTGAACAAGGCCAGGACGGCTTGGACAGGAATCCTGGAGCCTGGCCGGGTATCACTAGAAAGTATCTGGAGGATTGCCGAAGTGATGCGGGGGCTGATGACCAGGAGGCGTTTTGGGGTTGGCTCGAACCTTACCCCTGTCGATGTGGATCTCCTCAGCCCAGCCCTGAGCGATCATTCCATGCTGCCTGATGGTGCCGACTGCCGGTCTTGCGCCAGGCGCAGCCCTGTGAGGATTCCACGTAACATCGATCCTTTGCATCACCATAATGCGGGATTACCACATCGTCACGGTCCAAGTTTCATGATTCTGCCCACGCCGGATGCGCTTGCTGACCGACACCATGGAACCGTGGAGGGAGGGTGAAAGATGCCTCAGGTGTCGAAGATAAACGTCACGATGACTTCAGAAAGTGGACCGGGTGGCCACGCCTTAAAGCTTGGCTGTAAAGCTTGGCCTCAAGGATTTAGATTCCTCTCCTCCCATCTCTAACCTCTACTACCTTTAACTCTTCAACCATGGCTCCTGTCAGGTCAGCCCCGACCTCCCCGGCCATCAAGCACCCCTCCACTGACGACGACGCCAGATTCCGCCACGACCCCAGCTGGTCGTATCAGCAAGGCCTGTCCGGCTCCATGCTCAAGGCCTTTCTCCGCACCTTTACGGCCCTGCACATGAAATGGCCCCTATCCCTCAAGCCACACCATGAAGGCGAGCGATTTGTGTTGATCCCCCCCGCCCAGCCCGAGTACTACACCGGGGTGATGGAGGATCCCGCCGTCCGGCCCGAGACCATCGGCGCCACCTGGTATCCCGACCCATATTCCCCTCAGACACCACTCCCCGACGGGCAGCATGTCATCCTGCATCTGCACGGAGGCTCGTATATTCTCGGGGACGGCCGGACCTCCTCCTGTAACTTTCTCGCCAAGACCCTCCTCGAACAGACCCCATCCCGCTATATGCTCTGTCCGCAGTACCGATTAGCGTGCAATCATAATAGCCGTTTCCCGGCTCAGCTGCAGGATGCCCTCGCGGCATATGTTTATCTCATTCACACGCTCCAGATCCCACCATCCCGCATCGTGCTGAGCGGGGACAGCTCGGGCGGACACCTCGTCCTGGCGCTTCTCCGCTACATCGGGGAGTACAACGACCCGGAGCGGCTGCCCGCGCCCAAGTGTAGCTGGGCCTGGTCGCCGTGGTGCGACGTCCCAGCGGCGGTGGATCCCAGTGCCTGGACGCACAGCGACAACTACAAGACCGAATACATCCCAGGGTCCTTCCCCGCCTGGGGGGCGAAGCAGTTCCTGGGCGATGGGCCCATCACGGAGCAGGTACAGCCGTATGTGGCTCCGCTCTGGCATCCATTCGTCGTCCCCTCGCCGGTGCTCATCATCACGGGCGGGCGGGAGGTCCTCTGCCAGGACCACGAGAAGCTGGCACAGGAATTCCAGAAGCTCGAGGGGAACCAATCGCGCATCGAGCTGTTTGTGGAGGGACGGGTGCCGCATGATGTGCTGATGATCGGGTGGATTATGGGGTTCAAGGATGAAGCGCGGCATTGTGCCATCGGGGCGGGGGAGTTCTTGCGACGCGTGGAGTCCCCGCCGGGAGCGAGTGGGACCGATGCCAGAGCTGGATGGGTGTCAGGATGATTGTCTGCGGCTGAGCGATCTTGGTTGTATCCCAACATGGAACAGCAGGCTGTCTGTGTGAGAATGTATATTTGAATCTGCGATGGTCTTTTGCTCCCCCATTTGTCTTACCTCATGTTGCGGTCTCTGCTAGCTAGGCGCGTGTCGCATTGAGTGCTGCACCACAAATTGATAGATTGAAATTCACTTCCGGTAGCATCGAAGGGATACACTGAGAGGAGACGGTCTGCTAAATAGATTCTGCCATGTAAATGAGCACGATCTCCTTGCCGCACTCAAATTGTAGGATTCTTCACACGCTCTGGACAGTTCGAGTACTATTTATCCCCTAATAGGTGACAGGTCATGCCCGGAGGAGATTGGGGACCTTGGGGTCGGCCGCAGAGGCATGACTTCCACCTCCCCGAACCTTCCTCCCCTCTCTGCTTGCCTACAAAGACACGACACGACAATGGACTGGCAACCATATTTGCTGATCATTCTACCTCATGGTAACATCTCATCGGCTAAGTACAGATTCTAATCCCTTCCTCAACCCAACCCTTACTATACACCCCCACTAACTCATCCCCCTCGACTCACAGATTTGCCGACAACACCCCCGCCTTCTGCGCTGTATAGGTCGCAATCAAATCCATCAACGCGGGCGAGAGCACATCATATGTCTCGAGCCCTAACGACTGAAACTTGCCTCGCACTTCGCCCATGCCTTGTGGCGGAAAGCCTTGCTCGATAATGGACGACACGAACCCGGCAAACTGAGGCTCCTGCCACCCCGCCTGATCGGACAGCTCGGCATGCACAAAGTCAAGGCCCTTGAAGGGGTGGTCCTTTTCGATGCGCCCGTACAGATGCACGCCACACTGCTTGCACGCATACCGTTGAATGGCGGCGGTCGGGTCGACGATGGCCAGCTTCTCGCCGTGGGCCGTTACGGAGAGGGCGTCGCGGGGCACAACCCCGACGATGGAGAAAAGCGACCCGGCGGGTTTCCAGCACTTGGAGCAGCCGCAAGCATGGTTATGGGCGACATTGCTGGCCAGGGTGACGGTCACCCGGTCGGAGGAACACTTGCAGTACAGCTTGCCGCCAGGGAAGTTGGCATCCCCTTTGGTGATGCCGTTGTTGAGGAGGGGATGAAGGGAGGGTGCCATTTTGATTTTCGAGGTTACCACGAGGATCGGTTATAGTAAGGAGTGATGGATGAAACAGTCTTTGTGAATTTCTGCATGGTCGATTGTGTGCAACGCCAACCTCTATATACGGTGAGAATGGCAGGGATGCCATCGCCATGGAGGGGCAGTGGCATTCCCCTCTTCTCTGGCCGTCCCCTCGTGCGGGGAGAGCTCGGCGGGTAATCCGGGCGGGCGCGATGGCATCATCCTGCGACGGGGAAATTATTACTCGTCTAGGCTGGTGGGCCCGGCTGCGAACCGAACCGATTGCGCCCTGTCAGCGCTGCAGAGTACCGGATACTGCAATTCTTCCCAGGGATGATCGGGACACGGAGCCGACGCCGGATTGCGTCCCGAGGATGTACACCCCTCCTACTACCGTTCAATTCATCCTGTCATCTGTTGAGATATGGCGACAATACCTGTCCATCGTCCCGCATAAAGCGCATTTCCACACTTTACCTTCCAGGTGGCTCGCGCCCGGTATAGGAATTCCCCGACACCAACCACTACGTCGCAGAGGGAACCGTACGGAAAATCACCGAAGATGTCCATTCTCATCTAGTATCTCCTTCATTCAACTTTGACACCTATTCTAAAGGTGCCCCATTAATTATCACCTCGCCAAATGCACACTCGTTGTCAGCGGCGTATTCGCCAATTGTCGAGATCAGACCCGGGAGAGACGCCAGGTTTGTCTGAAGATAAACAGCCGACAGAATCACTGATTGAATGTGCTTTCCAAAAGCAGCTGGCTTACCCATTATCGTTGAGATAATCCGCTAGTAGGAGTGCCTCATTGCACTGTCAAGGTTGTGGGCAGCCGACTCTCCATATCCTCTGCCGTGGCACTCCCCGAATTCGGTCCGTGATTTTCGCAAACAGCCTGTTCAACTCCAAACACCCAATGCACTGGCCATGATAATGGGTCAGCCTATTGTACCATCTGGGAGCATCCTCACCCCGCAGCACCAACCCAGGGACCTTGGGCAACCCGGCCCGCCGTGCAGCTGGGCCAGGCCAACGACATTCCTCCTAATACCTCGTCTGAAAAGCCAGAAACTCGTCGACATTCTTGTGCATCGTCATGGAGGTATCTCTGATGTCGCTTCATTGGGTCGAAAGGGGATACTTGAGGACAGGCTGATATGGCGCGTTCGGCAGGCCGCGGTCGCCACGAGCCGGGAACAGGGGGCGCCCTCGGGAAAAAAGCGCGTAAGACAAGGCACTGTCAAGGAAGTGTCTTCGCGGGGAGGGCTATGGATCGAGAAACGTGCTCGGAAGCATGGATGCGAGCGGGCACAGGGACGCCGTGCCGGGTCGAAATTCTCACTTCCCAGGGTTGCACTTGGGTAGAGGCCTACAAAGTGTGAGTGCGGCTGGGGATGCTGGGACTCTGAAGAGGCCGCCTTCTCCTACCACAAGTTGATTGGATGGAGCATTGGGAACAAGTTCTTGCATCGCTTGCACAGAGGTCCCATGGCACGCCACTAGTACAATCACAGGTCGACCCACATCGACAGGTCCGTTGGCGCATCATCGTAGGATAAAGCTGGGGAATGCAGCTTCCACCCAGGCAGGACCTGCCTCAGGATCAGCGGGTGGCGCACCACTCCAAGTATGACTTAACCTCTCTCGTCATCAAGCTAGTCGCTGGCTCGATCACTGTCCGCGAAAGTGGCCGGCTGCTCTCGGCGCATTCTGGCCCCCACGCGTCCACTGCGGATCGTCCCGATCGTACCGCTCCGTGGAAGCCATTCATTGGCTATGCCCCTGATCGCACCAGGATAGCTGGACGACCGGGCCCGGTGGAATGGATCTAGCATGCCATGGGCCTATGATATCCCTCGGGCAGCTGTTGCCGGGAGCAGAACACGGCCGCAGTGAAGGAGTAGATACCAGCCTGGCTAATGGGGTCCACAATACAAAAGCGTCGGCTCGTTGATTGGAGCTGGACAGCTTCCATACATGCAAAGGCATTCGTCAGCATGGAAGCGTGCAGATGACGTCGCAGATCACTTTATGTTAGCGCCGACCCCGCAGAACCCCCTCCCGGCCAAGCGCAACACCTCGGTTTTGCAGACTTCCTCAAGTAGGTCATCTTTCATTCCTGCTGAGTCGCCTCTCATCAGACCTTTGCCCCTGCTCCAACCATGGGATCCATTTCGCCACCGACAGTTTCCCCCTACCGGCCCACCCCCGCCGATATCACCATCAACAACCACCAAGCAGGCGATCCCGATCGGATTCTCTTCCAGAATGTCCTCATTCTAGATTCGACTGGGAGCCTCCCTTATGCCGGTGACGTGCTGATTCAAGGTGAACGCATCGTGGCGGTAGGGCAGGTTGACCCGGCTGCCGCCATGGGGGCCTTGGTCATCGAGGGCGGAGGCCAGAAGACCCTGATGTCGGGCCTGGCGGATGCACACACGCACCTTAGCTTCAACAACGCCATCACGACCGAAGAATTGACCACCATCCCCCTGGAAGAACATGTCCTCGCCACGGCTCGGTCGGCCAAAACCTATCTCGACTGCGGTTACACCATGTGCTTTGGGGCTGCGGCTGCCCGGCCTCGACTGGACATTGCTATCAAAGCATCCATCAAATCTGGCCAGATCCCCGGCCCCCGAACCCTAGCCAACGTTCCCGAGATCACCACCACGGGCGGTGCCATCATCCCCGATATCTCGCGGTATGCGGACGGGCCACATGAGATGCGTAAGGTCGTACGGGAGTTCATCGAGCTGGGGGCAGACAACATCAAGCTCAGCATGACGGGCGATAATATCGTGGAAAATATGCCCAGCGAGGAGACTTATTTCACCCTCGAAGAAACCGTTGCCGCGGTTGAAGAGGCTCACAATCGTGGGAAGCGCGTGTGTGCCCACGCCAGGAGTGCCGCCTCGGTCAAGCTGTGCCTCACGGCGGGGGTCGACGTCATCTATCATACCAGCTACGCCGACGAAGAGTGTCTGGACATGCTGGAGAAGAAGAAGGACTCGGTGTTTGTGGCGCCCGCAATCAATCTGCCGATTGCCACCTGTTCGGGTGAGGCGACCCCCTATGGCTTCACCGTCGAGATGGCCGAGAAGAAGGGCGTCAAGCATGAGGTCGAGGCGGCATGTAAGGCCATGACGGAGATGCACCGACGCGGCATCCGCGTCATGCCGGGCGGTGATTACGGCTTTGCGTGGGCGCCGCACGGCACGTATGCCAGGGACTTGCAGCACTTTGTCGAGCGGTTCGGCTACACGCCCATGGAGAGCATCCTGGCGGCCACGGCCTTGGGCGGGGAGATCATGGGCCACCCGGAAGAGTTGGGCAAGGTGCAGCCGGGATACTATGCCGATGTGATCCTGGTGGATGGCAATCCTCTGGAGGATATTACCATTCTTCAAGACACCTCGCGCCTGCATGCGATCGTGATCAACGGTTGTGTCCATAAGCTCGTCAGCGTGTCGGATACTGCTGACCGAAAATGATGACTTGCCATTGACACTGTGTGACAATGCCGAACTGGGACGCATGGCTGCGTGGTAATTTGATGCATGACTTGCTTTTGTTAAGTTGATACTTTGTGAGAAATGAGATATGCACCCCATTCAAAGTTCTCAAGCAAGGGCATGTGGATGCGGTGATCATGTTGTAGGCGCTGTGGCGTCGGTAAATGTCCGGTCGTCGGTGTGTATTGCTCAACTCGTATAGCTCTCCGCTGCCTGCAGTAGCTACCAGCTGCCGAATGCAATCTGGTCCAGACCGGTACAACAGCTACCCAAGTTCGAGTGGCAGAATCTGGCTCCATTCAACGTAAGCAACATCCTCGTCATCCGGGAGAACACTGTGTCAGCGCATTATCGATCGACAGAAGGGAATGAGGCTGTGATGCACTTCTCTGACAGGGACAGGTTGATGGTGAGATTGTCACTGGAAGTTCTAGACGGGTGATCTGCACTGGGAACATCGGATACCAGAGTCTCCGCTGTTTAGAATGCAGTTTCCTCGCTCTCATTCGCCGGAGGGCCAATGCTGACAGCCACGCCCCAGGTCCGGACGGATTTACGTCTTATGTCCGAAGGTACTTGGTATACACACAGAACAGTATGAAGCCCTCTGATATAAGAATGAACAACTTCTTCTTCTTTTGAAATTGGTGTACGCAATAAACTGATCCAGGATCACTATTCACCCCCTTGACCATGACCCCCACGATTGCCAACCGATCAGTCGGCCCGATAGGGTTCGGCCTCATGGGTAGGTCCTCCCAACCACCACGAGTCTTGACACTGACATGACATAGGACTGACCTGGCGCCCCCAGCCATCCTCATATGACGACGCAGTCAAGGTGATGAAACGCGCCCTCGACCTCGGGGCCAACCTCTGGAACGGCGGCGAGATGTACGGCCCACCCAACGCCAACTCCCTGCACCTGCTAGAATACTACTTCACCCAGTATCCCGAAGACAGCGACAAGGTGATCATCAGCATCAAAGGAGCGGCAGGCGCCCACGGCCCCGACGGCAGCCCAGAGAACGTTCGCGCCAGCGTCGAGAACGGCCTGAAGATCCTCGACGGCAAGGCCTTTATCAGCATTTTCGAACCCGCGCGCATCGACCCCAACACTCCCATCGAGACCACCATCTCCATCCTCAGCGAATACGTCAAAGCCGGGAAGATCGGCGGCATCGGCCTCACCGAGTGTAACGAGCAGACACTGCGTCGAGCCCATGCCATCCACCCAATCACCGCCGTTGAAGTCGAACTCTCGCTCTTCTCGACTAACCCGTTGCATAACGGGGTCGCCGAGGCCTGTGCCGAGCTGGGAATCGCCCTGGTCGCTTACTCGCCTCTTTCGCGCGGCTGGCTGACGGGGCAAGTCCGCTCGCTCGATGATCTCCCCGCCGATGATATCCGGCGTCTGTTCCCTCGGTTTCAGCCTGAGGTGTTTCATCTCAACTTGAGACTGGTCGAGGGTTTGGAGCAGATTGCTGCAGAGAAGAAGGTGACTCTGGCTCAGACGGCTCTCGCGTGGGTGCGAGCCCAGAGTCGGGCCTCCGGTGCGCCGCTCATTATTCCCATTCCGGGATGCACCACTGTTGCCCGTGTGGAGGAGAACTTGGCGTCTGTGGAGTTGACGGCTGAGGAGGTGGAGAGAATTGCGGTTATCTTGGAGGAGATTCCGGTGCATGGGAAGAGGTATCCGGAGATGTGGGAACAGTATAATGATTTGTGAATGTGTAGTTCTGGATTCAATGCTAATTTTTTGAAATGTATCAGAATGTTAATGGGTTAAGTACGCGTGCTTACGTATCCTGATTAATGTCCACGTGGATTGATTGATTATCCTGTCCTTCCATGCGCACACATGCCCTTTCAGGAATCTCTTTCTAAGATCTGCCGCAATTTCCGAGACGGAATGAAAATGGTACTTCACTGACCAACTATGCATCACAAGTGTGGTATATGGCTCATATTATCTCTCTATATATTTCGTGTACGTGGGTTGGGTGCATGTCAGGCCTAGAGAACGGCCGCGACTAAAGCCGCAGCGGCAGCGCCTCCGAACAACAGGGCCGCATCGCCCGTGATCAACGAGCCCCCACCAGTGCTGGTAGCAGACGCATTCGCCTTGGACGCATTTGAAGAGGTCGAGGCACCAGTAGAAGCAGCCGCGGAGGCAGAAGAGATGCCAGCAGACCCGGCGGCGGTCTCAGACCGTGTTTCCGTGCTGGAGCTGCCGGACGATCCGGTTTTACTGGCACTCTGCACCTCAGTCGTGGCGCCGGCAGTAGCGGCCACACTGGTGACGGACCCCGCAGTGATGGTGACGGGCATCAGACCCAGGTCACCATCCAGGGTGGTGATGGTGGTCCCCGGGAAATTGGCCCCAGATCCGGCGGCCGTCTCCGAGCAGACCGCGTAGGTTGTCCCATCCAATGAGCAGATGCAGGTGTAGTAACTAGAAGGAATAGCCCACGTCAGTCATCGGCTACCTGGGCAGTCCCACGGCTAACTTACAAATCTTCATCCGGCACGTCCATGATCATCGTGGTTTGCGGACCAGCGATGACAGTCATCCCGGGGCCCATGCCACACTCGTCACTGTCGGTACCGGGGGGGCAGTTGACGCTATAGGTGGTCGCGGTCGCATCCTGGTCCTGGATTAGCGCACGATAGGTGAGACAGATGAGATTAGAGTCGACTTACGTTCCCCATGATCGACGCGGCCAAAGACTGTGAATCCGTGTCATAAAAGAACATGGAGGTGACGGTGGCCGTGGCTGAGACCATGCCAGCAGCAGCCAGACCCAAAACGAGCGTGCGGTTCATCATTGTGAAAACGAGTGACTATTGCGATACCAAGCGAGTGTGATGAGAGCGAGATGACAACGAGAAACAAAGGGGGAGGAAGAGACTAAAAGGTTGGAAAGGGTGGACGCGGAGGCGGCCAGACCCGATGCAGATGACCCTCTTTTTTGCTGCCACGAGATGGAGGCCTCTTCAACCGAGACCTGCTAACTTTGTCAGGCCAGGGCCGGGCAAGAAGACCCTTCCTGGCGGCCCGGCTGTGACCTATGAGAGCATCGCCCGGGGCCTGACCCTGGCCAGACCTGGGCCCGAGGGTCTGCGCTAAGGCCCAAGGGGATTAGCGCAGGGATGGTGGAAGTTTGTCGGGGCGCGCCAGGAACGCCTCCGTAACCGCCACGGCCAGCTCGCAGTTACGGCTTAGGCCCATCCATTCAGGGCATCATCCAGTTGCGGGGTCATCCACGTGTAGCAAGCATGGTTTTGTAGCGCTTATACTCCGTAGCCAACACCAGTTGCGGGTAATCTTGATATCTCTTCGCAGACCCGGTCGGCTACATGAAGTAAGCGATTAAGGTCGATAGTATGCATTCTGGACACCATGCAGCCTGAACACTGACCACCACATAGACATATCGGGCATATCGAACCGCAGCTTCGATGTCATCTAACCGATTCTTCTCATAGTTATTCGCGGCCTGCTGACAAAGTGGCTCCCAAGATAGTCCTCCACTTGCCACGAATCATGCTCTTTGGGATCGGATGTCCGTGTCTGGGCAATTTCCGCCGGACATTCTTCACATCCCATGACCACCGCAGCCAGAAAAGGCGCGTCGAGTGGCCGACCTCGGCTGATATAGCAGTTGGTCCAGCCCATGTCCCGACACAGTGGGATCTGGTTGCTGAGAGCCTGAGAAGCTGAACTGCTGACGTGCATCCCCTTTCTCGAGACAAGCATCGAATAAGTGTGGGTTCCGGAACGAATAGACTTTCATCGGGCGAAAGGGAGGGGTCATAGCCCACCCCTCAGCAGCAGAGTAGAATAGATTGCAGATGCCGGTGGTGCTGAGGATCTCGTTGCGTGGGGTTTTGCTGCTGTCAATCTAATTTGATCAGTCTCCCAGTTGAAACCCCTGTGGATGATACACTCGCATCATACCAATCATCCTTTATTCCGACCGCAAAACCGCCAACGCCGCGATCCCCTGTTACTCATGATCTGTATCCCATCCCGTTTACCGGATTCGATGACCAGTGCTGAAGGGGAGCGTCTTGCCCGCATAACTGCTGTTCTTCCTTGGATCCATCGCTTCAGACTGCCTTTGAGCGGTCGCATAGATGCCACATATTGCCGATAGTCATCGATTTCACATTGCTATGGTGCGTGCGGTCGGACCCCGGCGGTGCACTACCTTGTCGGAATGGTGAAATTGGCTATGCCTCGAGCTTATGCGGCAAGAAGAGGAAACAGAAGACTCCATGTCAGCGCAGAGCTGCGGATTGGACATGTAGAATCATCATAAGATGACGACCCTAGAGCATAATCTTTGTAGTCCTGCTGGCGTCAAAGTATTTATCTCTGAAAGTAACTTTGCAGTCTAAATAACTGCCTCTGGTGAAAGGGTGTTGTTGCTGTGCTGCTGTATTGTGCGAGATGCAGCGCAGGAGTGCAAACGGGGAAAACGTGACAAACAACCCCCCTTCCCCACCGTCGCCCTTTCCCTCTTCCACAACGCATCACCAGAGCAATTTGTAACCAGTGCTTGAATCGGATCATGAGTCCTGGCTAGTGTTTCTTTCCAGCACCATTCGTTATGCTCTCTAAGATCAGACTCAAGTTACTAAGGTCAGTAAGAAAGGGTGGGCTGTCTTTAAGCGGCCCGGGGGCGCGGAACTATCTACATTTGCTCGCAGGTTTCAGTAGCTGTTCGTGTCAACACTCAGACCACTCAACCCCGGGTCATATCGATGAGATTGCTAACTGCGTCCATCTATAGACGAAATGCCCACGAGCTATCTCCACCGCGCATACTGAAAGTCGGCCGGAACTAAGCAGCGTTGCCGCTCCCCAAATGCGTACAACCCCAGCATCATCCCCGTGAAGGCGGCTCCCACTGCCGGTGCTGCAGTCATGCTACGGTTGTCCACTTCACCTAACCATCGGACAGGATCCTCCAGTGACTCGTCATTGGGGATCTCCTGGATTCCAAAGCGGTAGCGGTCTCCACACTCGACTATAAAACGGACGTCCGACTGCGAATGGTGTAGATCGCTGTCCACCGGATCCCCATGGACAAGTCGCAGCCGAACAAATCGTCTCCCGTCCTCACGGCGACGAATCCCGATGCTGCTATACGTCAGATAATTCCACCAGACAACAGTCCCTGCCTCAGAGGCAGTATTCGTTGGGTGGAACGAAAGCCGCGTCTCCCAAGTACAGAATCGGTGCGTTTGTTTTCGAAGAAAGAGCGTCGGGCATGCCGGGACGGAGAGATTGTACGGACCACCGTAGAGGCGAAGGTGATGGGGTCGTTCCGTGAGAGAATAGTCGCGGACGACGGGCGTGTTTTTGCGATACCACCCAAGCTGCAAGCCACGGTCCGAGAATTGATCACACCAGGCAACTGGGATGGAAAGCTCGTACAGATGGGGGCTATCCGATTGAAGAGGGATCTTCTGGCCACGATTGACAATGGGCCAGTCATTCTCCCAGTCAACGGGAACAAGAAAGGTCTCGCGTCCTAGCCACAGACATAAGTGTGCCGTCAGATGGCCTGGTCAAGACTCGAATAGGCTGCACCCACCAAAGACTGATTCCTCCCATCCTCCATCCTTCTGAATCGGTCGTACTCCCAGCAAAACAGCCCACCATTGCCCCTGCGCATCTTCCACCAGGTCTGCGTGCCCTGTGTTTTGGACACTGTCATCTGTCCCGTTTCGCCAGAGAGGATTTGCCGGTCCGACTTCCCATGGCCCAAATGGGCTCGTCGTGCTACGACTGACCCATTCGCAATGCCCACTCTCAGTGCCGCCCTCCGCCGTGAATAGATAATAGTATGGGCCCCGCTTGAAGATATGCGATCCCTCCGCGACACCTGAGGTTGACTCTCGGATTAGCTTAGGCTCCGAGGTCGAGGACCCTGTCTCTAAGTCCACGGTGACAATGTGAATTGCAAAATCCTTGAGGTTTGCGTTGGGGGTCCGTTCAAGCTTGCGATAAGTGGACGAAAGATAGACGGAGCCATCGTCATCCCAGAACAGCTATTGGACGTGTCAATTCAGAGTAGATGGAAAATGATACGGGTCACCGACGTCCTGATCAAAACCAACTTGGTCAAAATACACCGGGTCCGACCATGACTCCGAGTTCCAGATGTCCGTGGTCTTGACATAGAACCCGCGCGGCCAGACGCGGTCATCCTCTTGAGGCCGATACCGCTGGAAGCAAGCGGCAAGGACATAGAAGACCCCATCATGATACCGCAAGGTAGTGGCCCACACTCCACCACCCGGCTCGGGGGTCTGGATCTGGATTTGACTGGGTCGGGTAAGGGCATGGCCGATGAGAGTCCACCGAATAAGATCTGTGCTATGATAGATCGGCGCCCCGGGGAAGTATTCGAAGGAGGAGGTTACGATGAAAAAGTCCCTTCCGACCCGAATGATCGAGGGATCGGGATTAAACCCTGGCAAGATGGGGTTGGTGTACATGTTGACCTACGGGATGCAGGGGACTAGAGCGAGCTCGCATGGAGTGACGGAATCGAGCCATTTATATGCCCCCCAGACATGACACCGAAGTCACCGCTGTGTGATTGGTGGAGAAATACATAAGGAGGGGAAGTCCGCCAAGGGTGACCAGCCACCTCTATCAAGCGAAGTCATATACACGAAGTACCGGATCATGACCTTTACCCGCCGCTGAAGCGTTTGCAGCAGTTGGGGAAGAGTGACTCGATGTTTATCATAAATGATCCATTTGACGATCTTCCACCCAAGCTACCGGCGCGCGCTCCAGGAGAGCCCATTTCATTTTACCGCCAGGAGCATTCTGCTTAAAGGACCGCTGGGCCACTGTCTTCGATCCAGCCAGCCAAGTATCTTACGCAGAGCTGGTTTGTCGTCGCCGTAACCAACAAGGCCAGCCATAGGGCACAGCCGTGAAATGTGTCTCAAAGCTCCACGGCTTCTTGGGATCCACCTGTTCGATGTCATAGTCACGCACGATAGTGGCAGTGAGCTTGGAGATCTCAAAGTGCGCTAGGTTCCGTCCTGGACATTGATTGTACCCAGCTCCCCACTGGTGAAGTATCAGAATACGCGAGGGGCGGTACAGGCAGAGAATCACAACTTACATGGATAAGGAAGGGGTCCATCTGTTTGGATCGCTCAGGATCTAGCCACCGTTCAGGATTAAAATCGTTGCAGTCGGGTCCGAAGAGATCCGGGTTACGATGGAAAGACCAGGGATTAATGCTCAGGATGGTCTGTGTCGGCATTAGTCTTCACTCTTCTCACGTTTCAACAGAATCGGTCTTACCCCTTCCTCAAAATGCCGCCCGCCAATTGCAAGGCCACCCGCAGGGACCACGCGAGGCAGTCCAGTGCCAGTCGCAGAGTGGTAACGGTAGGACTCCTTGATCTGCAATTGTGAGTATCGCAGTCGGTATTGAAGATACTTAAACACTTACACAGGCCTGAAGATAGGGCAGCTTAGCTGCCTCGGCATACGACACCACGCGTGAGAGGTCGCCACGAGAGTGTGCTCCGTCAATCTCCTCTTGTAGCTTCTGCAGATACTGGGGATGGTGGATGAGATAATAGAAGAACGCCTGCAGAGTGGCACTGGTGGTATCGGCGCCGGCGCCGATGTTTGCGACAGCAGCACCAAAGACCTCCGACTCGTCCATGCGATCGGGGTACTGACGACGGGTTTGAAGCCACCGCTCCATCATATCCCGGCGGACATTCGAGTTCTTCTTCCGGCGGTCAATAGCTGCCAGGCAGGTGTCGAAAATGTGAGAGGAAGGCTGTAGGCCTAGCCGGCTAAGAAGTGGGTTGCCAAGGGTGAGATTATGCAGCCACACGTAATGCCCCATGATCGCGATATATAGCGCCAGGGCGCGGCTGTTGGCGATGGCATTTCCAATGTCGGTTCCGGTCTCGAGGAACCGAAAAGGACTGGAAAAGGTCACTTCACCGACGACATCAAAGGCGAAATAGTTGAACCAGCGGTCGAACTCGACGGGCTGGCCGGACGCGATCAGTTTATCGAATTGGTCCTCCAGGAGGCCTAGGAGAGCATCCACATAGGGCTCGGATTTGATGATGTTGGAGAGCGCATATCCCGACGCGACATTTCGGGACTTGCGAATGTGTCGCTGAGGGTCCAGCTCCGACATTTGGTTCACATAGTGATAGTCGGGCAAGCTGAAGATCGCATACCACGGGCCCTGTGCGTCTTTAGCGTGGTCCCGAGGATCTGTGTGACTGGCAAGGACTCCACCATCGTACCTTGGCGATATTGGCGTGGAGCAACAGGCGCACCGCATCGGGATGTGCAACGCTCACCTCATTGTCGGCGATGCGAACAAAGCTGCCTGTCTCGACTTAGTAATTCTCACTTTCCGATTCGACTTCGGGGATGCACGGACCATATTTGCGATGGAGCTTCACGATCTCTTGTTCCGTGTGACCTTTGATCAGTTGGTAGACCTGCCATAGGCTAGAGACGGACGCCAGCCATGGACCTGGGATATCCCGGATGGCTGTTGCATAGCGTCTCTTCAAGGCAACCAGTGCGAGAATGCCGAGAAGCAGGAGGGGGAGTGAGACCTGCAGCGATGGCTGGGTCCCACGAAGGAGGGCTAACAGAAATTGGACAGACATGCTGGGGAGGGTCTCGCGTCTGCCTAGAAGCGAGGAAATCTTTGAGCTGATCTCTTCCAGGCTGTCTATATTTATTGGCCTACCCCGCTGGGGGCGACCTCGCGATCGTGGACCACGAGACAGGCCGGTGTTTTAGTGCCAGCTAAAGCCAGCGCTAACGGCAGATGAGGACACCATCCGTCACACAGCCGAAGCCCGGCCCCAGGCGCTCAGCGTGATTCTCTGCACGGTGACTGACTGGACTCTCCCGCGAAACCTCTAGAGTTGAGGGACGAGAAATCCATCAATGTCCCAGATTACTCACCTTGGGGGTTGAAATTTGTGGCAGGCCAGGTCCGTCGTGACAGGTGCTTGTCTGGCCATGGCAGGTGTTCGGTGCGGGGGTGACGGGACGGACCAATCGATCATACGGAACCTGGACTACGAGGCGAGATTGCTGGTTCCATCTTTCATGGGCGAATCACCGTCCCCTGAGTTCAATAGTGTTCGCACCAAGGAATCCATGACGTGAAGGATCGGGTGGGACCCATGTCCCCAAGTTTCCTTAAGGGTCTGGAAATTGGCGCAGAGCACAAACAAGGGAAAGAATGGCTTTCATCCAGCAAGGTCCAGCCCGATCAAGCAAGCAAGCTCTTTAACACGCGGGCCGGATGGGAGGCGACTCTTCCGTCCCGCAGATTGAGTTTCTCCGCGCCATGGGGTCCACAGTCCAATTATGAGGATTCATCCCTTGCAACGCCTGCATGAATCCCCTGGTATCCCTGCAAGGCCAACCCTTCTTCATTTTTCTCCTCGCAAATGTCTTAAAGTCATCCCGGGAATCTTTCTCTATGCACTCCAGTTTGTTGTAGCCGGTGGTCGTCTGCCATGGGGTCGGCGAGCACACTCCAGCTCACGCCAGAATTCCTGGCCCAGGACCGACGTCCTCAGGCCAGGATTGGGATTGGGGTTGTGACAGCGCTGTCGGGGGTAGTTGTCTTGATCCGTGTCTATGCTCCTTGGTCCCTCATTCGCAGCTTTGGTTGGGACGATGGCCTCATCTGCATTGCGATGGTGAGTGCTCTTGACAAGGAGGGTGGTCTGCGACGCAGCTGACCAGCATTGCTGAACGGAGTAGTTGATGAACATCGTTGTCATGGCACTCTCGCTTCAAGTTCTCCGCTACGGTGCCGGTCTTCATATTTGGGCTCTTGATCTCGCTAAGACCCCTCTGCTCTACAAGTGGCTGGTTGCCGCCCAGCTGGTATACATGATCGCTCTGTGGGTGTGCCGTTTGTCCGGATTGGCTTTTTACCACCGTCTGAACCCGATGCCACAATTCCAACTATATCTACGGGTCTCCTTCGCCTTCGTAACGGCCGTCATGTTTGCTCAGGTTCTCATCATTGCCCTGCAATGTGTTCCGCTCGCTGCACTCTGGGGTGGTGCCGAAGGGAAGTGTATGGGATCGAAGACGGTGTTCATTTCCACGGCTGCGATGACGATCATCTGCGACTCGCTCATCCTCTTCCTCCCGATCAAGATTGTGTTCTCCATCAAGGCGAATGCGACACGAAAGGCTGCATTGAGCGTAGTCTTGTGTTTTGGTGTTTTGGAAGTCTCTGTGGATCCCTTCATATCTAGCTACTAAACCATCATTTCGAATAGTGCTGTAATGTGTGTTTCGATAAGAAGACCCCCAGTATGCCCCATTAGACCACTGTTCATTGACTAACACCTACTAGGACCTCCGTCTGTCGCATCGTCTCCATGATCCCCGCCATCAACGAAACCGACGCGACCTGGTACTTTTCCGTGGTCATGGTCTGGTCCGACACCGAAGTCAGCACCGCCATCATCGCTTTGTCCTTGCCGGCCTTGAAAGGACTGGTCGGAGCCGTGGCCGGCAGCACGCGCAAGGCTACCTCGCAGGAGCAGAGCGGCAGTAATGGCCACGAATTGAATCTGGAGAATGTTCATCCTGAGTACAGGCCGCATATGTACCAGGGTCTGACCGTGATCCGCATGATGCGCGGATCAGCATCGGGGAAAATGCGAGCCAGGACCCGATCTGGGTGGATAACAGCTCCGGAGGGATCCATGTCAAGAATAGCATCCGGGTTAGTGTCAGCGACCGATGAACTCCCACCATGGGCGAAGGAGCCCTGCCAGACTATCCAAAGCGGAGATGACCCCCAGTCGTGGAGCCTTCTACATTGAGTTAAGACAGTTATGAACTCAGTGTTCATGGTACTCCAGTAGATCAAATGCGATAGAAGGAAACACAGCGCCAATGCTCCAAAGTACAAATCATTGTTGACGGTTTCCAGGGAACGAATGCCCGGTGCTCCAGAACCATCAGGAAAAATGAGGAAAGATGGCGCTCCATTGTACGGTTTCATAGACGGCGGCAGGCATCGAAGAAAAACAATAAAACACCAGGACGAACAAGCCCACTCGGGAGATTGTGTACACCACGGTCAGCGCAAGCACCACCAGGTACGGTGATTTGCGAAGGAAAACCGTATCGCGAGATGGCGGCCGTATCGTTATGAGGGTCGTCAGGATCATCGGGGCGCCAGTCCCAGCGACACTGAAGATCCGCCAGAGCATTTGAGCTCGGTCCGACGGAAATTTCCAGTTCCAGGCGATGAGATGGAACCCGGAGAAGACTATGGACGCTAGATTGCACACCACGGACTGCGCACTATTCCTATCCAGCTCGAAAAAAATCACCACGACAAACGGAAACGCTCGCAACCAGGTACTAAGTGGTAGCTCATATCTCCGCTTAGACGCAGTTTTGTCCGGCAGCACCGCTCGGGCTTTCTCTGGGTTGGAGGGGAGCAGGACGGTGGCGCGTTGAACCCCGAATGGCTTATTCCACCACAAGCCGTACATGATGAGGGCGCAGAAGATAAAGGCCAGCGTCATGAGCTCGAGTTCCGTCAAGGGCAATCCCGTGGCGGCTCGTGCGATACTTTGGATAACCAACCATCCGCATTGCAGACAGGCCAAGCCCTTGGTGAGGGCGTCGGATGTCGAAGCGTTGTGGATGTCCTGCTCCTTAACAACCGGCAAGCTGCGGTTCTGGAGATCATGATCGCTGGTTGCGGGGAAGAGTCCCAATTCTTCCAGTTCCTCTGCTTCACGTCAGCTCGTGCTGCAGTCGTTGATCAGCTTCTTACCAAAGCCAACCCCCCAGGGATAGTAATAGTCTAGCCCTGTGGCCACGCCGTCGCCTGACACTGCGTTACCCTCTATATCTTCTGCGGGCGCTGCCCCTTGTTTTACTGGCTTGTCATTCGCAGAGTCTCCACCATCACCACCATCGCCGCCATTGCCACCATCATCACCAGTGCCATCACGATTGGGCTCTCGAGGAATTGCAAACCGAAATCCACCCATACAGGCATAAAACGCATGCGACATAGTAAACCCCAGATGTCGGCACTTCTTGAACAGATCCCGGGCACTTGCATATTCCACATATGCCATGGTGACCCCAATCTCCGGAGCAATAGCAATGACCACCATCCACCTCACCCTCCGCGCCCAGAGCTGCCGAAGCGGCGCCGTCGGCCAGTACGGGAGGCAGCCCCATAGGTGAAGCCAGCCGGCGTCGCTCTCCTCGATGGTCGGGACATTCATATGCACGCATTTCCAGGAACACAGGAGGAAGACGGACAAGCAGCTGAAGAGGATGTCGGAGGTGCTGCGGGTGTTAGGGGAGGATACCCAGCCTACGCGTTCGCCTGTCTGGGCGGCCGTAGTGATATTGACGGTTTGGGCTGGGACGGGGTGGTTTAGCAGCAAGAGGGCGAGGATGATCGGAAGAGATGTTGTCATTTTGATAAATAGGTGGAAGGACTGGTGAGAGCGCGGGTATTGAATACCTAAGGATATTTCTCAGCTGTGGTTCAGCTTCGAGTAGATAGCTACAGGCACCTTTAAAGTCGCGAGGAGGCTGAGTTAGCCATCGTCATGCGGGTTAGCCACGCTAATGCCGCGCAAGGCTCGGCTCGAACATAGCCCGCAAGTGAGGGCCTGCCACGTCGGCAGCTGATATGCCGTTGATGTGTTGCTCGCCGATGGCTTTATTCGGGTGCAGGGAACTTGTCATGGCCGGACATTAAAATCCCGTTGCCTAATGGACATTCCGTGTTAGTCGGGGACGAGGCTCTGCAGTTGCCCCAATAGAGGTCTAAATAGTGACTCTCATGTACATGGCTCCGAGATCTAAGCAAATATTGACTAATCTCTACCCCTACAATCCCTGATTCTATCCACTAGATCTCTGAATATCTCAGCCAAACACATCAATCACGCTGCGCGGCTCGCGGTACCTCCCAATCGGTACGTATTCCACCTCAAAGCCCATGGATTTGGGGCCCCCCAGTTCCATCCCCCGGGGGGTGTCTGTCCATCGGGGAGATGCTGCAATGGCAAGAATCACCACCTTAAGACCATACTTGAACTCGGGTGTCCCTAGTCCAGCCCCCGTCTCAGCATCCAGCACGACAATGAGATCCGGTACCGAAGCTAGAATCTTCTTCTCGCCATCGTGGAGCACCGCCTCGACATAGGCATTCTCATTCTTGAACGGAATATTCATCGTCGCTGTGCTTCCATCACTCAGTCGACCATCCACCTCCAATACCCCATACGAATGACCCGTCTTGAGCACTCGCGACACACTGACCACTTTGCCCTCGCCTAGGATGGCTGCACTATCGGGTCCGCCCACCTCCTCGATGATTCGTTTCGCCTTGTCGGCAATGGTCTTCTCCAGAGCGACCGCCCTCCCAATCCACCACGCCAACGACAGCGTATTCAGAATCGCCTGCTGGCGCACCATCTGGACGGTCTTCGGCGGCCCCGCACTCCCCGCCCGACATCCCATCTCCACGACCGACGCCCGCAACGCCCGATCCACTAACCGATCCGTCCTTGACTTCGTCATGGTCACGAACGAGCCATCCCCACTCGCAATCGTGGTCGGGACCAGAGCCTCCCCTCTGGCCGAGCCATACACATTGGGTGTCACCTGCCACATGGTGGGATAGGCCCGTCCCATATAATCCGCATCGAGGCAGGGCACGCCATAATGTGCCGAAACACCGAGATTCACCATCCCATTGCCGCCGCCGATTTCGAGAGCCACGAACCCAGACACGGGGGGACTGCCCGTGACCCGCATCAGCTCGTCCTGGGCTTGGAGACATTCGTTATTTTCGAGTCGTTCCATGCTGACTTCGGGACTGCCCATGCAGCCGGTCCAGCCGATGAGGGCGTCGTCAGGGAGGGAGAGGGAGGAGGGGGAGATCACTTTGATGGTGCCGGGGTGGTGATGGAGGAATGCTTTCGTTTTGAGGTATTCTTGGTAGGGATCGCCGCCGCCGCCGCAGCCGAGGATTTTGCAGCCGCGGGCGAGGAAGTCGAGGTCCGTGGGGGAGATGACCCATGTTTGGTTGGTGATGTTGGGGCGGTAGGTGTGGAGGTTGGTGATGTTGTCAAGTGGTTTGGGTACTGAGTTAAGTACGGACGGTGCTGGTTCTTGCGTAGTGTCTGTATCTAGGGTATCTTCGTCTGGGATAGTGAGGAGCTTCTCCGGGGATGTCTGGGAGACAATGTCTAGTTCCCCGATGGCTCGCACGACAATCCGTGCTTTGGCTTCAACATATTGGATAGGTAGCATGGTCACCTCGGCAATTTGTACCGTATTAGCCCGGGCACCGTTGCCAATGGCTTTTTGGATTGCGAGTTGAGACACCGTCTCTTGTGCCTCTTTGACGGTGCGATTGGATGTGTCCACGACCGTGTCAATCACGCCAGACACGCGCGAAATTGCAGCCCCGACAGCATTGGCGACTTCACCACCCTTGACGGTCTGCACCAGGCGGACACCTGCCAGGGGCTCGTCGGTGCGGATGATGGGTGCACCACCGCCGACGATGAGCACGTCCACGTCGTCTTTCTGGATCTTGGTGCGGTCGACGAGGTCTTCGATCTTGCGTCGCATGAGGGATTGCGCTTGGGTTACCATTTCCGTTGTAATTTCGTGTAGATTCGAGAGATCTCCCATTTCCTCTAGGGGATTGTTCTCCGTCAAGCCATGCATGGCTGATGCAACGACAATATCGGTGGCCGTCAAAACATCACCACCAAAAAGCCGTGCTTTCTCCAACAGCTCATGGGCCACACTATCCGGACCGACAGAGCATTCCTCATCCATCCGGATGATACTTCCCCCTCCCAATCCGATGCTCTCCACCGCCGGCAAGGCAAAGTTGGTGCGAACACCCCCGACAACGCTCATCACGGAGCTCATCTGCGGCAGACCATTCGGCAGCAACAATCCACTATCACTCGTCGTCCCCCCGATATCAATCACCACCAGTGGCTCCGTCCGGGTGGTATGCTGCTGTCCATTCGCCTCAGCCGCCGCACGCCACAGAAACTCGCCTCCGCGGATCGAATTCGTCGGCCCCGAGTTAAACGTCCGAATCGGCAGATCCACTGCCTCCGTCGCCCCCAGAACACTCCCATCATTCTGCGTCAGATACAGCGTACACGGTACATCCCGAAAGATCTCCCGCATGGCCCGCTGAAATCCAGAAATGGTCCGCTCCGCCAACGGCCGCAGCGTGGCATTCAAGATCGCCGCATTCTCCCGCGCCAGGAACCCCAACCCTGACACCTCATGCGACATCGTTACTCGCGGGGTGACCCCTCCCTCTCCATACTCTGCCATCGCCTCCAGGAGAACCTCTTTCACCCTCCTCTCCTGCTCCCCATCCACGGGCGCATACATCCCCGCGACCACCACATCGGCTATCCCATCCTCCACGATCCTCCGCGCCACGCGCCTCACCTCCCCCTCATCCACGGGACTAATCACACCCCCATCAATCTGATACCCCCCATGACAGAAATAGGCCCTCGCTGCAATCTTGCTCCTCAAATCGTCCGGAAAATCCACAAAGGGCGGAATCGCCCGACCGAACCCCTCCTCCGGCCCCCCGCACAGTCGTACAACGGCGACGCGCCGTAACGACGACGCGCGCTGCACGATGGCATTCACGAAGTGGGTAGTCCCGATGATGACGCAGCCGATAGACGAGAGGGGGATGGCTGCGGTGGATAGGACGGCCTGGACGGCGGTGGTGATGCCCGAAGTGATGTCGGGGGTGGTGGGGGCTTTGTGGGAGGCGAGGATGGTGAGGGGGGACAGGCGGAGGAGGATGGCGTCGGTGTTGGTTCCTATCGATATTATTAGTTAGGTTGCATTGCAGTGTAGTGTGAAGGGTAGGGGGAAGGGAGGGATACCCCCGACATCGACGCCGAGACGGTAGTGGTGGTGGTGGTGGTGGTGCTGCTGCTGCTGCTGGTCGGTAACACGCATGTTGGGTGACGGTGGGATTGAGGGGGGGCATCAGTAGTAGTGGTGATATGTATTAATAGTAGTGGTGGTAGCAGTGGTGGGCATGCGGGGTCGCTGATAGGAGAATTCCCGTCCCCCTCATCGGACGCCAATCGTCTTCCCCGCTGATATCGGATCTCTAGGTGATGTTGTCGCGGGCATCTCCTCATCCTAGCGTCTTGATTCATCCCCAGCACACCAGCCGGTCGCCATCCCCAGATTCATACCCGGGTACTGTGCTGGTTCTGGACCAGCTGATCCACAGCACGGTCGCACCGGATACTGCACTATGGTAGGACAGCCCGCGGGGGAGAATGATCGCATGACAGACGTACGTGGCAGGCACAGGCAGGCACAGGCAGACATTACATTATCATTTGTAGTTCAGTAGCTAACCGCTCCAGCTGCTGCACAAGTCTCTACATGCGCGGAAAGAACCGCCCCGTGGGAAAAGAAAGAACATCATGCAAAGTGCGGCGCATTGAGAAACAGCCCCATCAGAATCCCCCCTAACGTACCGGCAATCGGAATCGTCATGATCCACGCCAGCAGCAGCAGTCCAACCCGTTGAAAGTTGACGGCCTTGAGCGTGCCATTGCACAGGCCCACGCCCACCGTAGCTCCCGTAATGCACATCGACGTCGACACGGGGAGCGAGTACTGCGAGAAGACCAGCACCGTGATGGCCGCTCCCATCTCCATCGAACAGCCCCGACTCGGCGAGTGGTAGGTAATCTTGTTGCCCATGACTAGTCTCGTTAGTGATCATTTCACCGCAAAGTGGGTATCGTAGATATCAACGTACCCTTCATGATGTTGTAGCCGTAGGTAATCAACCCCAGCGAGATGCACGCCGCCAGCACCGCCAACTGCCACACCGGCACTGGAGCCTTGGCGGCCGCAGCGTTGCCCGTCGACCAAGCCGAGTAGATGACCGCCCAGGGTCCAACCGAGTTGCCGATATCGTTGGCACCGTGCGCGAACGACGCCGTGCAGGCTGTCAAGACTTGAACAAACGAGTAGGTGTGCTCCACCTCGTTGGGATACTTCTCGGCGTGAGCGTAAACCCGCTGCATGCGCTTGCCTTCCGGAGTGCCCGCAATGCCAGACTGGGCCGCGTGGATATCGTAGTGCAGACCATACAGCAGCCCGCACACAATCATCGCGGGGATGCGCTTCGCCAGGATCGCCATGTTGTTCAGCTCATACAGCTGGCCCGCGCCCATGGGGTTGTCACGAAGAGTACGCATCGCCCATCCAAGAGGTCCACGCTTCTTGAGCAGCCGTTCCCGCAGCCGACGGTCGGACTGTTCCATGAGCTCCTTGTAGGTCAGCTGGGTCGCTTCCCCGGCTACCAACCGCTTCTCGCCTTCTTCGCTGCGGGACTGGATCGACTCGACTCCGGCCTGCGTCGACTTCTGGACGTCGTCCCCGCGGAGGGTATCCGGGGAGCGGGCGGCCAGGTCGTCATGGCTGTCCTGGACGACGGCGTAGTCGGGCACCTGGGCTTGCTCGCCCGTTTCCGTGGCAGGGCGGGTCAGCAACAGGGGACCCAGGATGAACATCCACCATTTAACATTCGGGTCCTTCTTGATGACACGGGAATACACAAACGGAACGAAGAAGATGGCCGACAGGAGGGCAACGCCACCACCCGTACCCATGGTGACGGCCGCAATGTACCAGCCAGGCTTCTTGGTGAGACCCAGATTCGGGGAGCCCTTGTAGACGATGGACAAGGTACAGATGGTAGCGGCAATGAGGAAGAAGAACGGCGAGCTGTAGACGGCCCAGGGGATGGGGTTCTTGCGGATGAGCACCACCAACTTGATGAGCATGAAGATGGCCGCTGCGAAGCCTCCCGAGATGACGGGTGCCATACCCAGACCAGCGAAGATGGCTCCCAGTCCCTTGCCATTGTTCCAGCCCCACTGTACCTGGGAGGCACCCACGGTGGCCACACCGACGCCAGCCACGGCGGAGATCAGTGAGTAAGTCGAGGAAACGTGGGCGGAGTGGCGGGTACACCACATGACCCAGGAGGAGGCCGCCGCCAAAGCACAGGTAAAGGCTAGCATCTGGACGCCCGCGTTGTCCTGGAAGGCCGAGTTGGGAATGATGCCGTTCTTGATGGTGTCGGCCGTGCGAGCTCCGACCGTGATGGCACCCAGCATTTCGAAGACGGTACCGAACACCATGGCCTGGCGGTAGGAGATGGAACGGGAGGAGACACTGGTTGCCCAGGAGTTGGCCACATCGTCTGCACGCAACGCAAGGCAGTTAGCAGGGACTCCCCAGCCCGAGATACGGCCCCCAGGTCCACTTACTTGCGCCGTTGTTGTAGGCATCCAGCATGGCAAACAGGGTGCCGATGGCGAAGATGTAGTCGTACGCGTGCAGCACCGCCATGATGACTGGAGTCTTCGTCTAGTCTGGAGATGTGCGAGGAAGGGAGGTGGTGAGGAGATGGTGGCCGCAGCTGACAGCTCTGATACCACAGCGTGGCAGCACACTTTATGTGACCACCCCGGGCTGAGCCTGGCCGGGGGCCATTCACTACGCCCAGCCCACGTGCCTGCGTAAGTTTTCGGTGGGCTTCCTGTCTCCAGCTCTGGGGAGCAACACGTTCCTGGACGGAGGGCCGTGATTCGGGGGAAGTCCCCGGCGTGGGACGGGGTCTCCCTCGACCGGGCTCGAAGTCTGTTGTAGTACTCCGTACTTACGAGGGAAATAGAGGGTGTGACAACCGTGGCAGCGCGAGTGCCATGGCTGGGTGGCACGGCGGCCGTGCTGGGTAGATGCTGGGCCGAAGCTGGGCGGTGGCTTGGCCCTGGGCGGATCCGAGGAGGCGTGCCTTGGCCAGCCTTGGCGCCTGGGCGGAACGGTTGGCCCCACCATCCTATCAGGGGCGGCCCCGGGTCCACGTGCGGAGTTGGCTGGCTGGCCAGCTGGGGGAAACTACTGCCAGACTTCCAGAAGGGCGGCCCCGACTCGCGGACCTTTCCCTGTCTGGTGCCACGGCCAGAGCGGGCCACAGCCTTGGCGGCGACACAATCGCAGGTAATCCTCCGATGTCATTTCTACGAACGACCGGGGTGGGGGCAGAACGCCCGTGTAACGCTACGCTTCGAGGTAAGGATCCAAAAAAGTGAGGGAGTTACATGAGACGATGATATGAACAGTAGGACAGCACGTGCACACCGGACCTCATGCGCCCGCCGTGAACGACCAATGACAGGAGTGGCAAGGGGTGCTCAGTTCACCGGAATGTTCCGTTCCAGGTAGCCGCTCCACGTCGCCAAGCTACGCTTCCACGTCGTGTTGGACGACAGCTGCAGGTCCTCGATCGCACTCGCGTACTTGATCAGCGTCGCCTCCGAGTACGCCGTGCCCATCAGGGCCAACCCATACGGCATCTTCGAGCCCTTGTTGATGCCCGCGGGCAGCGTCACCACCGGGTACCCGGCCTGGGCGGCGATCTCGACCGACGGCGCAAAGTCGGGAGGGGCCAGCAAGGCCGTCAGGTTGCGACCCTGGTAGTGCAGCGCCGCGTCAATACCGTCCTCCCGACTGGTGCGTCGGCAGTACTCCAGCGCCTGCCAGTACGTCTCGTTCATCACACCCTTGGTGGCCAGGGAGGCCAGGAAACCGTCCTGGCCCGAGGCAAAGGCCGGGTTGACCCCGGGGATACCACCCTCGCTACCGGCATTGTCAATGTTGTACTGCACCAGGTCCTCCAGCGACCGCATGTTGGTGTTGTTCAGCTCCGCCAGGTAGTCCCGGATGTTGTTGTAAAAGTCCACCTTGATGTACGAGTACTCGGACTGGTTGGGGTAGCCGCGCTCCGTACCATAGTCCCAGTTCCAGCCCGCCGGGTCAACAATGTCCTTGTAGTACGGCAGCTCCGTACCGTTGATGATGGTGGCACCCGCCGCCTCGATCAGCTCCAGCAGCTCGGTCAGCTGCGCGTTCTGCGCGGCATCGTTGTACTGCCAGAACGACAGCCAGGGCAGACCAAAGACCGCCCCCTTGAGGGCCGACTTGTCTGTGAGGAACTGCGCATAGCCGCCGGCAGGGGTCTTGCCCTGCTGGGCATAGGTCTCGTTGTCCCGAGGGTCAATGCCATAGATGGCATCAAGCGCGTATGCAGCATCCCGAACGGTCTTGCCAAAGGTGCCGACCGTGTCCTGGTGGAGAGACTCGGGGATGACACCCGCCCGGGAGGTCAGGCCCACCGTGGGCTTGATGCCGACAATGTTACAGCGCTCGGCCGGGTTGATCACTGCATTTCAGGTGAGCTAACATCCACATTCATGACATCAGCCCAACTTACCACTACCGTCCGTCTCAGTACCCAGAGCAAAAGGCACCTGGTTGCTGGTGACCGCCACACCCGAGCCAGAGCTACTGCCACCAGGGTTGACCGTGAAGTTGTAGGGGTTGCGGCACTGGCCACCACGGCCCGAATAGCCCTCCGAATAGTCGTTGGACCGCATGTCCGCCCACTCACTGAGCGTCGCTTTGCCCAGAAGCACCGCACCCGCCTCGCGCAGGCGGTGGACCACGTGCGAGTCGCGAGGGACCACAGAGCCCACCAGAGCCCAGCTGCCCGCCGTCGTCTCCATCTTGTCCTTGCTGGCGATGTTGTCCTTGACCAGGAACGGAATGCCGTGCAACGGGCCCCGCACGGTGCCCTGCTGACGCTCCTCGTCCAGAGCCTCGGCGATGGCCATGGCATCAGGGTTGAGTTGCATAACCGCACTGCCTCGTGTCTCAGCGTGATGAACGGGGGGTGGATGCACAGGATGAAGACCTACTTGGTATACGGTTGCACCTGGTAGATGCGCTCCAGGTAGCACTGCAACAACTGCACCCCGGTCAGGCGACCCGCCTTGAGCTCGGCCTGGATCTCGTCGATGGTGGCCTCTTCCAGCTGGAAGCCGCGGCAGTCCCGCATGGGGAAGAGGTCTGCGCCATTGACGCCCAGCTTGGGGAAGTCATAGGGGAAGGGCTGGGTGTCGATCTGCTGAGCCACGAGGCTGTCATTGAGGCCGGAGGCGCTGGTTAGGGCGGCCAAGCCGGTGGTGAGGAGCCAAGACGCGATCGAGGGCATCGTGGATCGTATTCTGCAGATCGCTGCCACGTGGAAATGAAATCGCAGGATGAGCCGATGAGAGATGGGCAGCAGCTGGTTCGATTTAAATGGCTGGGCAGGAAGCCCGAGCCAACCGCGCCTGCAAGGGACGGTCGGGATTCAGGGGACTCTCGCTCTGTTGCGGACTTGCTGTGGTCTGATGGCAGGCTAACTTTCACTATTGATTTGGCTGCAGGGTATGTGATTGGCGGGGAGTTCATGAATGGAGAGGGGATAGATTAATCGGTTGCGTAAACCGACACAGGAGTGGACGAGAGCGAGGAGTGGGTGAGGCTGGTGGGTTGGGCGCGCCCACTGCCGTCTTACCAGACGAGCCCCGTCGGTCGGAGGGCGATTGGCGACTGCTGCCCCCAAACCCCAACATGGCAGCTCATCGGCTGATCCCTGTTCGTCCGAGCGTTGGCAGCTCGAACGGGTGCTGCGCATGTTCTGATGTTCTGGAAGTTGAGGTTCATCTGCACCTCAGCACCGGAACTTCACTAATGACGATCGTCTCGATCGCCTCGATCGCATGGTGAGAACCATAATTGTTAGGCTGCAGTGAACGGCGACACCGGCGCATCCTTCGACCTTCCATTAGGCGAGCCCCGGACACATCCGGTAAAGTCGGGACTCGGTAGCGGCCCAGTTGCTCCACTCCTCGTTAGCGGGTGGCGCTCAATGGCATGCCGACCACCAGCCTATGCATGACATGAATGATGAACAGCACCACGCCAGATGCCTTGGCGATTCCAACGGCGCCTTCCAGCAGAGATGCCAACCTGCAACGAGGAAAGTCCCTCTTGCTGGCCACGCGGCCATTGGTCTTCCCCATACCCCCCCCCTCGGCAGATGGCACGCTCCGGGGAAATGACACACTCGGCATCAACAGGGGCCTAGGAAATATCAGGGCCGAACTAAGGCCGCGACTAGAACCGTCGGCTGAAACTAGCTTAGCATCCACTGATCCAGGCAAACTTTATGGGGGAAAAGCCCTCACAGCCTCGGATTTTCCCGGTGCCCAATCCCACGGCCTGGCTGCCATCGGGGCCCCCTGGCAAAAAGTCTGGTCATCATCACACACACTGACCATGTCCTGGCCACGATTTCCATTCTGTCCACTCGTAGAGACGTCGATGTGATCCCGATGAACGATGCCTCAGATCTCGGCTGCTATCCAAGCCGCAGAGGCGGAGGGCCGCATCCCCTCGAGCGTCAGTCTGGACTACCTGGCCCAGTCGCGAGATCAGCCCACCAAGATCGCCATCCTCTTCGTTGGCGCCCTGACCTTCGTGATCGTCGTCGCCAGGTGCTACGCCAGACTCTTTCTTGTCAAGAAGTTCGGCTGGGATGATGGCTTGGCTGTTTTTACTCTGGTAGCTGGCTCCCTCCTGGATCCCAACGGTGGCTGCCCTGCTGACCCTCTGATAGTCCCTCTACATCTCGATCGTCGCCCTGTCCGTGGTCTTGATTGACATGGGGAGTGGCCGGCACATTGAGTACATCCAGTATGTGCTGACCTTGACCCAGGTCGACAACACCGAAATCTACGACTTCGTCATGCACATCTTGTACACAACCGCCTTGTTCGTCTGTCGGCTGTCCGGTCTGGCCTTCTACCAACGCTTGGCCTCGCGCCACCCCAAGATCTCCTTGGCCATCAAGCTTTCGGCAGGCTTTTTGATCGCCGCATACCTAACCCAGTTTTTTCTGCTGCTGTTCCACTGCCTCCCCGTAACTGGCCTCTGGCCTTATACCTGGCAGCCGCAGATCGACGATTATAACTGTATCTCCTGGGGGGATGTCTATGTCGCCAATTCGGTCTTGTCACTGGTCTGCGATGTGATGATGTTGACCCTCCCGTCCATGCTGATCTACATGCTGCAAGTGTCCCAGAAGCGGAAACTTCAGCTGTCGCTCATCATGTTCCCGGGCGTCTTGTACGTCAACGAGCCCGGTCCCCTCTTCTTTGTCCCACCGCTAATCAGAATCGTCTTCTAGGGTCCTGGTTATTTCGTGCGTCCGCATGTACCTTGTCATTATCGGCCAGTGGTCCTCCGACGGCAGTTGGGCCTACGACCCGATGCTGGCGATCGAAACGTCCGAGGTGGGCGGCACCCTGATCGCGCTCTCGATTCCCGCCATGAAGTCTTTATTCGGATCGTGGTTTTCGCACCTCAAAGCATACTCGTCGCGTGCAGGAGGGACTAGTGGCAAACCGAGCGGAGCAGCACACCGAACCTATGGGCGAAGCTGGGAAACCGGGGTGAAACTGAGCAGTCTGGGAAACCGCACCATGGATGACGCATACAAGGTCAATATCGGGGCGGGGGAGGATCCAATCGCCCAGATGCCGACTAGTGACCGACACCAACGTTCGCGGAACGACAACTCGTCGGAAGATCTGCTCATGGACGCAGGGTTCTCGCAGGAGAATCGACAGTTGGCACTCAAGCACGGAATCCGCTTGACGGAAGAGATTTCCGTGTCGTCGTCGAGAGCCTCGGGGATCCACCAGTTAGGTCGCTGATGAATTAGATAAGGGTCAGCAATAGTAATAATATCGGTATTTTTTTCCTCCACTGCAGTACGTAGTGGGTCGAGACTTACCCCAGTCAGCACCATGTGAGCTCGTGGTTGCATTGTTGGGCGCCATTTTGATAGGGTCTAAATGACCATCTCATCGACCGTCATACACCCATTTCGAGTCACCAATATAGCTTCGTCGATGCGCGCAGGAAGATGAGAATGGTGGATGGGGAATCCTCCGACCGGCACGGGCCTCGTGGAAGCTCGCGCCGCGCCGAGTCCCTGGTGCTCCCGATTGAGCCTAGCGTGAGTATATTTAGTCACGTGCCTCCCTGTCTTATGCTCCAGTCATCTATCCAATTCCCAAGACCAGGTACTAGCGACCGGGGCAATTGAGTCATTCTGGTACGATTTATCTTCATAGAACTGAAAATCAATGCATAGAGCTGTTATGCACTGGAGATTAAGGTTGGCAGTACTTATACGTGCCCAATTGCGATCTATGGCATATCATGTCCGTCCCGAAGATATATTTTCCCACGCACCTTTAGACTGGGCTAAGCTTGGGGTCAGCACATGCGAAACTACTCAATGAATGATCTCAGTGGCTTATTGTAAGCTGAGACCAGATCACAGAGCATAGGTAGCATGGTTAGAAGGTCCTGTTCTCTCAAAGGCATCTATAATGTCCAATTGAATCGATAGTAGTACTTGCACACTAAATACCTCATGCTAGTATCTACATTCTCGGCTACGTGGTTGCAGAGAGAGGGGGGAAAGAGTGTAGGACAAAGAATTATATTGCTCAAGACGAATTAAGTCGACACTCTGCGCGACAAGGTATTCATCGTCTGCAGCAGGTTAAATGGTTGGTCTAGAATGGACGGCCAATTTGCATCAGGCCAGGAATGTAGGCAGTCCTGCATCCGCATCGGGAACTGTGACAAGCCTGACTATGTTGCTTATTCTCTCACCAAGTTCTGTGAAGGTTACTTGACCGATGCAGTGTAATGAACAATCGCTGATATTGACCCGTGATACCCTGGAAGTGTCATTCATGGTTGTGATCCTGGATCGAGTCTGATCCAACTCAGCAGCCTAAACCGTGGTGACAGAACACCCATCATTCTTCCGATGTGATACATCGTGTTCCGAGTCCTTACTGCCATCGGTCAAGAGACAAGACAGCTGCATGATGCGTCGCCTGATGTGTTACCCTGATAGGCAAACGGACCCGGCAATGCAGATGAGCAGTCCGTTGGAACGCGCTATTACCCCCGGGCCTGCGGGAAAACAACCCTCTGGGACCGATAGAGTGATGACACCAGGAGCAGGAATTGACCATCGGGAGCTGCAGGGTCGATGGCGACAGATCTCCGGGATAAGCATAATCGTTCAGAGTTGACTGGGAAGAGGGAGGGAGAGGAGGAAGCAAACAGAGCAAAGAGACCCACAATCACATGTCAGAGCGTGGGCAGTGTGTGTGATTGGACCAGATACCCCACGGTAAGCAACAAGCAACCAATGACCGTGCGCTGATAATAATAAAAGCGCTGCCGATCGGGTCGAACCGCATCCCCAACGCGAGGGGACCCCACCGGCGCTGAGGGGGCGGAGTCAATCGCCGTCCGCCAGATGGACGGCCAGGAACAGCTCCTGCCACGGGTGACGCAGCTTGCAGCAGATGGGAGGACAAGGTCAGGTCGCGTACGAGGGCAATTATGGGTTCGGAGCATCGGTGCGACTGGACGGACAGAATACAGGCCCCTGGCTTGGCCAAGCTCCTGCTACGATCCTGGTACACATGCAGGCTGACCGGACAGTCATTGGCTGCAGATTGCGACATTTATTTTCCTTTTCCCACCGTTGGAATCCTTTCCGTGAACCCGACCATCGAGCAGGATCCTGCTTCGGGGGGTCGCTAAAGTGGGATGCCCAGAAGCATGAATCGAGAGCGTTGAGGCCCGGCTAGCCTCTTTGGGGCCCCTGGGATTTGCATGTGATCGAGCCGGGGGGTGGCCGCCCAGCTTCACTCGCTCTCACTTGCTACATATCGCCCTCGCCCCCCACTGCCTCGTACACACTAATTCTCAACAGGTGCCAGATTGGAGTTGCCTCGTGTCCAGCATGTTGTTTGCTTTGTTCTCAAAAGAAGGCCGTGGAAACCGGCCGGTAAGTTCGCTTCTCTCCCACTCCCTGCTTCCACCTCAGACCGCGACATCTGACACCTCACTCGTTTTCCACAGCTCGCCCGTCGACTTAAATACCCCCCTGGCCCACCCTGAGTGCCTACCCCTTGAACGGTGGCCGATCTCCTCTTCTCCTCCATCGCCCTCTCTTTCTTCCCCCACACAATGGCCGTCATCGATGTCACCAAAGATCTGTCGGCTCTCTTTAGCAAACAGGTCCAGGCCACTCCCGATGCAATCGCTCTGGAGGATGACAAAACTACATACACCTATGCAGAGCTAGATCGGGCGGTCGACACTCTCACTCTCCGCCTCCGTCACTACGGCGTCGGGCGGGACACCTTGGTCGGAGTGCTGCTCCCGCGCAGCAGTGACTATGTCATTGCTTGTCTCGCCGCCCTCCGGGCCGGCGGCGCGTTCCTGGTTCTTGAGCTGGCATACCCCCCCGACCTCCTGGACGATGTCATTCGTGACGGAAACCCAGCAGTAATCATTACCTGCCAGGCCGAACTCGGCAAGATCAAGGCCGACGTCCCCCTCATTTCGCTGGATGAACCGGCATCAGAGACCAACGGTGTGTCGGAGCTGCCTCCTCTCCCAGCGGACGATGACTTGGATCGACTAGCCTTCGTTTCATATTCGTCCGGTACCACCGGCAAGCCAAAGGGGATTGCCAACCCCCACCGAGCTCCCGTTCTTTCCTATAATCTGCGATTTGGCGTGCAGGATCTTACTCCCAGCGACCGCGTCGCGTGCAATGTCTTCTTCATCTGGGAGATCTTGCGCCCGTTGCTGCGGGGAGCGACCGTCGTCGCGGTGCCCGATGAAATCAGTTACGACCCGGCTGCGCTGGTCGAGCTGCTCGCGGCGAAGCGTATCACGGAAACCCTCATGACCCCCACTCTGCTCGCGACTGTTCTCGCCCGCCATCCTCACATCGGCTCTCGCCTGCCGGATCTCCGCACGTTGTGGTTCAATGGCGAGGTGGTGACGACGGATCTCGCCCGTCGAGCGAGCAAGGCCCTTCCAAAGACTCGCTTGCTCAATTGCTACAGTGCCTGCGAAACCCACGAGATTGCTTGCGGCGATATCCGGGAGATGATCGACGAACAGGCGCTATACTGTCCGGTCGGGCCACCGATGGACCCGAAGAACACACATATTCTCGACGATAACCAGCAGCCGGTGGAGAACGGGGTGAGCGGGGAGCTGTTTGTGGCTGGTCCACTGCTTGCCCGTGGGTACCTCAACCTCCCCGAGACCACCGCCAAAGCATTCATTCAGAACCCCTTTGATTCACAACCGGGGGCCCGTCTGTACCGAACCGGCGATCTCGCCCGCCTGCTTCCGTCCGGACTCCTCGAGATCACCGGTCGCGTGGGGTCGATGATCAAATTGCGCGGATACTCGGTGGTTCCCGCCAAGGTGGAAAACGAGATTGTTAAGAACCTTGCGGTCAGCCACTGTGCGGTCGTGGCCCACGGTGAAGGCCTAGAGCGGCAGTTGGTGGCGTACATTGTGCCCGACCAGGACCAGCCCGCCGGTCGGCCGGTGGTTGAGATCAACGAGGCGGGCAATAGCCCCGGCGCGCGTCGCACCCTCGCGCAGTCCCTGGCACACTACATGATCCCGTCGCTGTGGGTGACGCTGGACGAGCTGCCGACGCATGAGGTGACGGGCAAGGTCGATCTCAAACGCCTGCCGGCCCCGCGCCCCGCCGATCATGTCAACGGAAACGGAACGCCCGTGGAGCAAGACCCGATCGGCATCGATCAAGTAGCGGCCATCTGGGCTGCAGCTCTCAAAACCTCGCGCACCCTGCTCAAGCCCGGCGACGATTTCTTCGATCTGGGCGGACACTCCTTGTCTTTGGCGGATCTTTCCTCGAGGATGTCTCGACACTTTGGTTTCCGGGTTCCGATCGCCCGGCTCGCAGAGAACTCGACTCTGACTGGCCACCTTGAGACCGTCCGTGCCATTAGGGACGGACACACGGCCGCGGTGCAAGCCGACTTACCGGCTGTCCTGCGTGCCGATGCTACCCTGGACGATGATATCCGACCGTCCAAAGCTACCATCCGCTCCGTCGACCAGGCCGACACGGTGCTCCTGACGGGTGTGACCGGATTCCTTGGCGCGTTCCTTCTTCACGACCTGTTGGAGAGTACCTCGGCTCATATCATCTGTCTCGTGCGATTTACTGATCCGGCTGACGATGATCAGCCTGGTGGAGTGGCGAGAATTCGTCGAAACCTGCTGGACCTGGGGCTGTGGCGTGATTCTGTCATGGAGCGCGTCGAGATTCTTCCCGGAAACCTCTCCCGCACCCGCTTCGGTCTGTCGCCGGAAGCATTTGACGAGCTCGCCTCTCGGGTGCAAGTCATCGTCCATGCGGCTGCCACCGTCAACCTGGTCTACCCCTATGCCGCCCTGCGCGGTCCCAATGTCGGCGGTACACGTGAAATCCTCCGCCTGGCATGCAAAGGGGGTGCGACCGTGCAGTACGTGTCCACCAATGGTGTTCTCCCCCCGTCACTGGAGAAGGGCTGGTCGGAGGACACCATGTTGGACGTAGATGATGTGCCAGAGAAGTTGTTGGATGGCTATGGCCAGACCAAATGGGTGGCTGAGCAGCTTGTGCTGGAAGCCGGTCGTCGTGGGCTCCCCGTGAAGATCCACCGCGCAGGAACTATCAGTGGCCACAGCCAGACGGGTGCGGCCAATGCCTGGGATCTTCTGTCGGCCTTGATCGTCGAGTCGATCAAACTCGGCTACGCGCCGGATGTAGACGGCTGGCGGGCGGAGATGACGCCCGTGGATTTTGTCAGCAAGGCCATCATTCATCTGGCTAGTCAGACGCACGCCGAGCAGACCGTTTTTCATCTCGGCGATCCCAACCCGGTTGATACGCGATCAGTCTTTGCGGCACTCAATGAGCTCGGTTATCCGACCAAGTCTGTGGGCTGGGACGAATGGGTCTCCCTGTGGAATGAGAAACGCGGTGCCGTCAAGGGTGGTGACGGTGCCTTTACTGTCGACATCCTCCGCAGTGGCATGCCCACGGTGGAGTTCCTCCGGGGCATTGTGGTGCTGGACAATGCTGCCACTCGGCCCTTCCGGGCGGTCGTGGAACGGCCCAAGGTGGACCGGGCCTTGCTCGAGACTTACACGCGGCACTGGTTCGCCCGAGGCTGGCTGCCCCGGCCTCCTGTTCGCCAGCAGGCAAATGGTGTTGCTAAGCCCGCCCACAAGGGCGCTCTGAGCGGCCGGGTGGCCGTGGTGACGGGGGCGTCTTCTGGTATTGGCGCTGCGGTGGCGGTCGCTCTGGCCCGGGAGGGATGCCATGTCGCCCTGGCCGCCCGACGCGTGGACGCCCTCGAATCCGTCAAGGGCCGGATCACAGCACAGGGGAGCAAGGCCATCGTTCGCCAGACCGATGTCACAAACAAGGCGCAGGTGGATGGCCTCCTTCAAGCCGCCCACGACGAGCTCGGGCCGGTGGACATCCTCGTGTCGTGCGCCGGAGTCATGTACTTTACCATGATGGCCAATGTGCAGACGGAGGAATGGGAGCGCACGGTCGACGTCAACTGCAAAGGTCTCCTCCACTGCCTGTCGGCGAGCGTGCCGGGCATGCTCTCGCGCGGAGGTGGCCATATTGTGGCGATTTCCTCTGACGCCGGACGCAAGGTGTTCCCGGGCCTGGGTGTGTACTCGGCCAGCAAGTTTTTCGTCGAGGCCACGCTGCAGTCGCTCCGGCTGGAGACGGCGGGCACGGGTCTGCGGGTGACGAGCGTGCAGCCAGGCAACACGGCGACCGATCTGCTGGGAATGTCCACGGATGCGGAAGCCATCAAGAAGTACGGCGAGCCGACGGGGGCGCAAATCCTCGATCCAGAGGATGTTGCCAACTCGATTGTGTACGCGTTGCGCCAGCCGGCCCATGTGTCGGTGAACGAAGTCTTGATTGAGCCGCGGGACGAGCCGATCTAGTGGAATGGAAGTTAGAGTTTATAGACATAGATATTATATAAGGATAATGGGATAATTTGCAGTTGACGAACTCTATCTACCTTACTTCAAACAGGATGCCGCCGGTGCCGCCGGTGCCGCCGAGGAAGCTGTCCAATGTGGGCAGTCACAGCGAGATTACAAAGAGAGCTCACTCGACTAAAGGATGATATTCTTTTGCTGTGCTAAAAGTCCCGAGGCCGATTTTCCTCCTTCAGCTCCGGGCGAAGATGGTAGATGGGATCCACCTGCTCTACATACCCACACGCCGGTTCCCGCATGGAATAGCCCATGTACTCCTGGATCTCCCGGTCATAGCTGCGCGCGATGTCGGTTGGCCCGGCTAGGAACTGGTTTTCTTCCTGGCGCAAGTAACCCCGCACGATGAATGTGGCAAAGAGGAGACGGTGTTCGTCGGTGGTCGTGTTCGAACCCCCGCCGTGATCCGCCGATGCCAACATGAGGAAGCCGTCTCCTTTGTCCATGTCTGCAAAGATGCATTGCTCGACTTTGGGGGGAGTTGCGCGGTCCGAGCCCCTGCTGGTGATTAGACAATTACTTGCATGGGAGGCAATATACCTACCAGAGATGACTGCGCGGAATAAACTGCGTCCCCCCATTCTCCTTGGTAATGCGACAACCAGCAACAAACAGACCAACGGCCGATTCCCGCTTCATGTCTCGCGCATCATCCCAATGATCGATCTCCGCATGATCGCGATGACTGATGTAATCATCGCGATGCAAGGGCTGCGCCTTGCCTCCGGGGCCGATCCTCATGGCGGTGCAGGAATGCACATAAGGTTTGGATAGGGAGAGCTTTTTCTCCCCGCCCCACCAGTACCATCGTCGGGAAGTGAGGACATGGTCACAGACCTGGCGAAAGAGCGGGTTCATGACCTGCGTCTTGGTATAGGTTGGACTTCGGGCGATCAGTGACGGGGCGCGTTGCGTTTGCGCTGGTCATTAGCGGGATCACGATGAGTCTGGTGGAATACCATTCCATTCTGTATCAGCGTCGAGACGAGGCTTAGCTTCTTGATAGGCCTGGTCGACATCTTCCTCAGAGACCAGGGTCTTGACAAACACGCCCCCGTCTCGTTTGAGAAGATAGAGGATCTCTTCCACGGGGGTGTCCTTGGAGACCTTCTGGACTGCGTCGCTGTACTTGCGGGGGGTATTGCCCGATTCGGTAATATAGCCAGCCGTCCCGAAGGGAAATTGACCCGCATGGGTTCCCCGGATTATTGCACATAGTTGGCATTGTTTTTGTACCTGCACCAACGGCATTCTATGTTGGTCTAGAAGCAATTTTAGGATATAGATACTCAAGTACATTTATTTTTGCCAACTTCAACACCACCAAGACAAGGGATGCCCTTGCGTGCAGTATGTCTTTCCCGGGTTACAGAGATAGTCTCTGATAACGATGCAGATGTTCGGGAATCTCACTGGTAGCGTCGGTCATCAATGGAATTGCCCGCTTTTGCGTTCCTGGGTATGTTGACAAGCAGAGTCGTTCATCCTCGCATCGGGACAAGGGAACAGCGGGTGGGGTGCCGGGACAGCCTGGATGTTGGCAATTACCAACTCTCTGTACGCCTTTGGTGGCACCGACGGCGGTATGTCTTGAACCCATTTCACCAGAGGTAGCTGACAGAAGCAGTCATCCACATCTGTGAAGAACTTCCACAGCCGGGGAGACGCGTGCCGCAGGTGATGATCATGACGATGGTCACTGGGCTAGTCACCAGCTTGTCTTTATTTATTGCGCTCATGTTCTTCGTCGAGGTCATCGATGCAGTCCGACAGGCGTCACTGCCCAGCTTGGAACTGATATATCAAATGTGAGCCGGTCACCATCTAGAGATCACCACTAACAGCAACAGAACCAAAAGCCGGACCATCACGTTAGCATTATCCATCGTCCTGACCATCATCTACGCCTGTACCACCCACACCTAATCACCAATAAACAGCCGCCCTCCCCTCCCAATGGGTAATATCCGGCCGCATCGCCTGGGCATTCGCACGAGACGTATCCCCCCATCCCCACCCACCAACCCTAACTGAATCACAGAACGGCACCCCCCTCCCCGCCCTCCTCACGCAAATCTACCCCACGCTCAACTTCCCCATCTACACCACCCTCGCGGCCCTCCTCTTCAGCACCCTCTACGGCCTGCTGTACCTGGCCTCGACGACCGCCTTCACCAGCATCATCACCTCGGCCGTCCTCTTCCTGAACATCACCTATACCGTGCCCCAAGGAATCCTCCTCACCCGCGGTCGAGCGAGTCTTCCACAGCGGTACTTGGATCTCGGGTGGTTCGGATACGTGTGTAATGTGTTTTCGGTGGGGTGGATTGTGGTTCTAGGGGTGATGGTGTGTTTACCGAGTGAGAGGGGGAGTGTGGAGGTTGGGGGGATGAATTATGTGAGTGTGATATTGGTGGGTGTGTTTGGGGGGATTAATGTGCTGTGGGGGGTTTATGGACGGGGGAGGGTAATATGGGGGGGGATGGAATAAGTAGAGACTTATGTGTGGGGAGACGAGAGAGAGAGAGAGAGAGAGAGAGAGAGAGAGAGAGATAGGAATAAAGGAGGGGAGGTATGCGTATTAGGGCTTTACTTCGCTATTCGGGTATATTTGTCTATTTAGCAGCTAAGAGGCTGGAATACCTGACCAAGTTGTTGAACCCGGAGGTATACAAAGGTCGAGTGTACCGCGCTGCATTGCAGTACAAGCTAATCCACCGTAGTGATTTCTTTCTGCCATTTTGTAGTGTCTCATGCACAGCGCACAGCACATGTTCGTGAACAGGTAGGTAGGGTACCTCTTCCGGTGGAAGAATTACCCAAGGCGGAAGGTCTCCCGCCAGCCCCTCACATAGTTACACTGCATATAAGAACCACCACGCACCTGTATTCCAGATTTCCATCACCAATCCACCATCTCATCTCATCCTACCAGACAAAGTCATCTGTGATCAGAACCCACCGCTCCACCCCACCACAACCATGCCGATCACAGTAACTCTCCCCCAACTCTCCAAAACCATCGACCACTCCCTCCTCCACCCCACCATGACGGACACCGACATCCTCACGGGCCTGCGCATCGCCTGCGACTACAACGTCGCCACCGCCTGCATCAAGCCCTACTCCATCGGCCTCGCCAAGGATATCCTCGCCGGATCGGACGTCCTCATCTGTCCCGTCATCGGCTTCCCGCACGGAAATAGCACGACCGAGATCAAAGTCCTCGAGGCCACGGCGGCCGCTCAGGCCGGGGGCGCGGAGATCGATATGGTGGTGAATGTGGGGAAGGTACTAAGTGGGGAGTGGGGGTATGTCCACGCCGAAATACAAGCAATCAATGAAGCGGTGGTGAAGCATGGGGCGATACTCAAGGTGATTTTCGAGAATGACTATCTCTCCGCGGAGCATATTGCCCGACTATGTGAGATCTGCACCGAGGTAGGAGTGGCATTTGTCAAGACGTCGACGGGGTATGGGTTTGTCAAGCAGCGGGATGGGTCGTATAATTACCGCGGGGCGACGGTGTCGGATTTGAAGTTAATGAGGGAGAAGACGGGGGAGAAGGTACAGATTAAGGCGGCCGGGGGTGTACGGACGTTGGATGATTTGTTGCATGTGATGAGTTTGGGGGTGACGCGGATTGGGGCCACGGCGACGGTGGCCATTCTGGAGGAGGCGAAGAGGCGGGGGACTGGGAATGAGCCGGTGGAGGTGGAATTCCGGCCGGGGAGCGTAGGTAGATATAGCTGGGTCGATTAGCTCGTACTGAGAAGGAGGGTTGGGGAGGGCAACCTTGATCGAAATCTTGGAGGGCTGCAGCCAAGACAGGGTCCTGCATATAGTGAAGATATCCATCACCAGAGACCATATCACTGGAATCCGTGTAGTCGACCGCTCCTTCACCCAGAGTACAGGCAGGGTCCGACAGGTGCGTCGTGGCCTCATCTGGAGCAGGTCCTGGGCTGGAGGCATGACCTTGTTGACCCAATCAATGTAGCCTTCTCCCTCATTCGAACCGGTGCTAACGCTTTTGGTTCGGATAACTCCAGAATCACGTCAAGCTCCTTTTCCATGACCAGCTTGGCTAATCGCTGAAGAATGGCCAAGCCCTGCTGCGCGACTACCGAGTGCAGTCGGAGTTTCTCTTGCACTCCCATCAGTCTGCGAAGCCCGGCTTTTGTCTCGGCCGATTGCGGGCCCAGAGGATCCATGCTGCTGAGGATGCCCAAGGTTACGCCAGCAGTGAAGGTATGGATGCTGACGAATGCCGCCGCATAGGTTTCTGAGACCAATTCAAGAAGAGGACGAGACAGGATCTCCGATGTCTTAAGCGCAGCATCGCGACAGGCGTCCAGTGAAAGGTTGAACGGGTCAGCCGAGACCGCACCGGGCCGTTCAGAGCTGCTGTGAGAATTAGGATTGGTCTTCAGTTTGTACGATAACAGAGGCCGGTGGGTCAGAATGCGTGCATTTTGATACGCCAGCCAGAGCGTCAGAGCCTGGAGTTGGTAGATGTGCTTCTCCCAGCGCGGCCCCGTTGCTCCAATGTCACGGTCAATCTCCTCAATAGACGCGTAGTAAACACAATGGGCTACATTACGCCATTGAAGTTGAGGACGAAGTTCGGCCTCCCATTGGCGAGGCCGATCGTCAAAAGCGGCAACTGTTTGAATCACACTTGGCATGTGCAGCTTTTCCGCCGGAAGTCGACTCTTGTCACCTGCATACGCGCCAATGCGGTACAACTCCAACGTTGCCTTGGTAATAGTCGAGAGCTTGGAGATGAAGTACTTGTAGGAGAGCAGTGTCGTCTGGCATGCCAATGGCTGATCGAAGGACCCAGGAGACTGCGTAACTTGTAGCTTTGCCGACGGATCTAAGGGTTCCACGTCGCAATCTGCATCGTAAATGCTATGCGGGTACCCGTAGGTCGCTGCGGAAAAGGTCTCGATCTCATACACGGCCCACCAGCATCTCTTTCGGGCTTCATTCAGGGCCCGGAAGTCAGCCGATTCAGAGGGTTGCAGCCGTCGATGGAGGTGCAGCGCTTGAGCGATGCGGAGCCCACAGCCGCACACTGGCCATGCCAACCGAGGAGTTCCATGGTATAGGTAGTATGTGCCAAGTAGAATGCATGTCTGCACTGCTTCCAGGGAGCCGAGTGACATGATGTCTAGCAGCCGGGCTCGTACCGTAGATAGAATGCGATCCCGAAGGGTTAGATCAACCCCATGTCTAGCTAACAGCTCCCGTCGATAGGGTCCAGCGTATTGCAGTCCGATGGAAATCACAATCAGAAAGGTGCTGATAAAGCCGACGCGATGATTAGAGCGAACTGATGGCCTGCGCTGCTGGTAGAGTTTGGGCTAGCGCTGGCGGAACTCGTCTTAATAGAAGATCAGCACGAACCAGTGCACTCGGTCAAAGTAGGCGTCCACCAGCAGACTGGCCGCGTCAAAACTAGGGAACAGGGAGATCAAGTCTTGGACAGTGGACGATGGGGAGTCGCAAGGTGTGTTTCTCCTATACATGGGCATTCCTTCGTCGACACTCGGAGTAACGGAGCGTGGCTCCCGCAGAGGGGCTCCCGGAATGGCGGTGATTGCCGGATCGCCTGGTGCAGCGGCATTGTGCAGCTCGAACGCCTGTACTGCTGTTAGGTGAGTACGGCTGGCAGAAATGAACGTACCCCGCCGAGTAAGGAGATGGTCGAACTGGAAGTCCAATTGTGACGGATCTGGTGGGATGGGATGCGCGATGCCGGCTCCTCTCGATCGGCGTCAGACGAGAGGCGGGGACTCGATTGGCGGTATCGTGTGCCACTTTGGTCTGGATCGGCAATCCGTCCAGATTCCGGGGATGGCCCATGAGCCGGTCCCCTCTGTTAGAGCGACGACCAAAGAACTTGTTTTGTATAGCCAAGGAGTAAGGTTTTCTTCGGAGCCACGAAATACCCAACGGTTGGTTACCAATCCCTGATGACTGCTTTCTAGCTCCCAATTAGGCCGAAATGATCCGACATGAGTTTGAGGCTTATCAGTGACAAATTTCTCGTCGCTTTTAACACCTGAATCATCGTAAAAGGGCAATGACTTCTCAAGTTTGTGTCGGTATGCATAAGAGAGATCTAGCACCAAACTATCCAATCCATAGCAAGTTGAATCCCACTCATAGTGCATTATCCTGCTAAAAAGTCTTGACTAGTAAATCGAAGAGTAACTTTATATCTACCAGTACTCGAGAGGAGGAAGGCCCCGCAAAGTTATGATGGAGGCTATCATCTTGAAAATTTCTTTTTGCCCAAACAACTTGTATTTACTCTTCGATCTCGATCTGTGCTCCTCAAATATACTATCCCAAGTCGCGTGTTTTCATTGATTCGAGACGCTTATTTTCGATAGATGAAGGTCGAAAACCAAGATTGATATCCGTTTCCTGATCAACTTCGCCCTAAGTTGTCCAGTCCTTGTTTCGAAGATCCGTGTAATGTCTCTTCCAGAGGCCTCTGAATGTCGGACGAACTGGTTGGGGAGTTGCTCAAGAATTCGTATTAGGGGCTGGGCTCTCGTCGCGTTGCGGTACGAGCGGTGCAGTGTTTGAATTTCAAGGAATATCGTGATTCAATTGCTCTCGTGGGTGGAGGGCCGCCTTGAACTTCTTGGAGTGGGTTCAAAAAGGCATTTCTTGGGGGCCCACCGAAGAGAGATCGATGGGAGGAGAAGGAAGAGGAGGCAAATTGCTCTTTTTCGCCTAGCAGCCTCTGGGACCCCGCCATGATTGGTATATTTCAGGCCGCGACTGCATAGTGCCGTATCACGTTCCGATGTATTGTATCTGTCGTGTAACAGTGCACCATCAATACCGAATCGACATAATCATACTCCCGCCATATGATCTCGTAGGCCTCACTGAAAGAACCAAAGACGATACGGCTGATTCCCAATCCGATACAACGCCTCGATAATATCCCTCCGGGAATCATCCTCGCTCGTATCCCGATAAAACTCCAGCGCTTCCCGATACACGTCACGATCGCGGGCATATCCTCGCGCATCCTCCAGAATCTCATCATACACACTGACGTTCCATTCCGTGTATTGCCCGTCGTCGGTGCAGTCCCAGTGGGTGTACATGCCGTCCACGGTATCGCCAAAGATATTGTATCGGGCCCAAATGGCATCTCCGTATCGCTTTTCGGTAATGGCGGTGCAGTATTCCGTGGCCCAGGGCTCAACCAGGTCCATGCCGACCGGGGGATTGCGGGCTTGGGTGATGGGGAGATCCAGGAATAATTGCTCGGGGAGGGATTCGGCGGTGGCCCCCATGAGCGTGGGAGCGATGGTGAGGACGTAGCGAAGAGAGTGCATTGTCGCGTAGAAAAAGAAGCAGGTAGACAAGAAGGTATATACAGAGAGTAATATATACAATGGAATCTGTTGATTAAAGATGAAGAATGAGTCCAGGCTAATCGATGAACGCTGCCAAGTGCCGACATACCAACCGTAGGCTGACACGAAACATAACATTCCTCATTCTTCCTTAAATCCCTCTTCCGCCGATCTCATTTGACTCTGCAATCCCTTTCCCTGTACCACTTGCAAAACTCGTTAGGTATCAAAATGCATTTCCTTGTGATCATCACCGCCCTCGCGTCCCTCAGCGGTCTAGGGGCAGCCGTCCCCGACGAATTCACCGCGCTAGGCTGCCCTAACACCACCAAACCCGAGGCCTCCCCGTCAGAACAGCTGGCCGCCTGGGACGAATTTACCAACCTCATGTACCACGAAAAGCGCATCAGCGATGCCTTCACCAAATACGCCGCGGCCGGGTACATCAACCACTCGCCCCACGTCACGATGAACGGCATCAACGAGACCATCGGGGAGTTGTCGCAGATTGTGCCCTATGTGGATTCCCAACTCCAGCGCGCCTATGTGGGATGGGATACGAATGGCACCACTTATGGTACTGCGCACACTAAGGTCAGCGGAGGAGAGGCCATGGGGATCTCGGATTCGGCTCTGGTGGATATCATCCGCATGGTGGGGACCTGCCTGGTGGAGCATTACGATGTGCAGCAAACTATCGAGGGGGCGGGTCCAAATCCGATTGCTTTTTTCTGATTCGTGGGATGTTATATCTGGCTGGTTGATTGATTCAGTGGACGCGAGAGATGTAATGACAAGTGTACCTAAAAGCTATACATGCAAGCCCTAATTCCGATGCGACGTGGCATTCCCCTCCACTCACCAGTTGTCCTTCACCGACTGGCTGCTTCGCCTCGGGCATGGTTGATGATCGTCCCGCACCATGCACTGATCTCGATCACCCTGTAGAGTGGCGTCAGCGATGTCGATCAATTGGTTGCAGCGGGTTGCCTATCAAACTTACAACGCGATCCCCTATCTATTCCTCAATATCCATTCTAACCGACAGCGACACCATGACTCTCAACGCCTGGGAGACGATTGTGCAGAAAAAGCAGGCAGAAGCAGCTGCTAAGATTCCCTCAGCATGGCGGTTGCGGGCGGAGTTCACGGCCGATATTTCCGAGAAGGCCTCTGCCAATGTCCTCGACGTGCCTCGCCAGTGTGGTTTGCTCTCTGCACGGCAGCTGGATATCACTGAAAACTACGATGCCACGGCACTCTTGGAGCAGATTCACTCGGGAAGGTATACTGCCGTGGAAGTCACCGAGGCATTCTGCATTCGTGCGGCGATTGCCCAGCAAGTGGTAGGTTGACCTATTGACATAGAAATACTTGGAATTGAGATGGCAACAGACACGCTGCTTGACGGAAACCTTTTTTGACCGTGCCTTGGAACGTGCCAAAGAGCTGGATGATTACTTCCAGTCCACGGGAAAGATCCGCGGGCCTTTGCACGGTCTGCCCATCAGTCTGAAGGTATGAACCCGTCCGATATCCCGGCTGCTAATAAAATTAGGACTGCTTTAATATCCAAGGTATCCCCAGCACCATCGGATACACCTCGTTTATCGCGCACGGTCCCGTCAAGAACAATGCAGCGGTTGTCCAGATCCTGCTCGACCTCGGGGCAGTCCTATACGTCAAAACCAACGTCCCTCAGGGAATGCTCGTAAGCACCCTATACTCCCCTCAGTACATCACTGAGACATCCCAGGCCGGCGAATCCCACAACTACATCTTCGGCCGAACCCTGAACCCCCACCGCACCAACCTCAGCGCGGGCGGATCCTCGGGCGGCGAAGGGGCCCTGATCGCCATGCGGGGGTCCATCCTCGGCGTAGGCACTGACATCGCCGGCTCGATTCGCATCCCCGCCATCTGCAACGGCACCTACGGACTGCGCCCATCCATCGACCGGATTCCCTACAGCGGCCAAACCGACTCCGCCCGCAACGGCCTCTCCGGAATTAAATCCTGCGCCGGGCCACTCGCCACCTCGATCCGCGACCTAGGATTATTCACCCAACACATCATCGACCACGACCCCTGGCAATACGACTCCTCGGCCATTTTCTCCCCGTGGCGGACCATTCCCACAAAACCCACCCTCCGTCTGGGCGTCATCCTCGAAGATCCCTACTTCCCGATCCTCCCCCCCGTGCTCAAAACCCTAACTCGCGCCATTCAGGCCTTAAAAACCGCCCACCACGAGATCATCACCCTGAACAACATCCCCTCCCTTCGCGAAACCACCCTCCTCGCGTTCCGCTCCTTCGCCATGGACCCCGCCCACACGGCATTCTCCCACATCCACGCCAGCGGCGAGCCCCCGATCCCAGCCTTATCCACCACCGTACTCCCAAACGAGATCATGCCGTATGAATATGTACCGCATACACTGGAGAATCTGTACGAATTAAACGCACAGCGTCAGGCTTTCCGCGAGGCATTTCGCGAGATCATATACCAGAATCAGCTGGATGTGATCCTCCTCCCGGGGTTACAGGGTACTGCGCCACGACATGATAGGATGGGATGGGTGCCGTATACTGTCCTTGCTAATGTTTTGGATGTATGTTACCACTATGTGTGTATGGTATGGTATGTATACTAACAGATAGGGTGTAGTACCCCGCGATCGTGATTCCATTTGGCAAGGCGAATAAGAGTGAGGATGCGAGGTATATACGGGATGTGGAGTATCGACGGGAGTGTAAGTATTACTTAGCTTTATGCAGTGGTGTGGTGTGATTGTGAGGTATTATGCTAATCAATGGGTGTAGATGATCCCGAGGCAATTGAGGGCATGCCGTGCGCGGTGCAGGTGATGGGACGGACGATGCGGGAGGAGGAGTTGGTGCGGGATGCGGGGGTGATTGCTGCCGCTTTAGGAGTATAGATATCCTGGATAGGATGGATAGATGATTAGGATGGTTGGTTGGTTCATGGGGTAAAAGACATTTGATGTTTTCTTGGAGATGTGGATGAGGTTGGAAGTGGATACTTTGTTTCTTTTTATCTTGATCTAAGGTCGGATGTGGCGTATCCATGAATGGTATCACGGCAAAGAACTGCTGCGTACATTTGAGAGACCACCATGGATAGAAAGAAATCATCTTACTATTAGACATGGCATCGAACTAAGTAAAGTGCAGGCTAATACAACGGCAACTTATACGCATCAAAATCATACACCCAAGTCTGATACGACGCCTGATCAAACACACAGTCCATGACCGTGCCATTGTTCTTCCACAACGGCCGTAGCGGCCACGCACACAATTCCTGCTGTTCGCCCTCCCGCTCGCCGGCCAGGACTGTCGCATTCAACCGGGTCGGGAAGACGTGGCCCTCCACCCACTGGATGAGCGTCTCGAGCGTGGTCTGGGGGAAGGGTCCATTGGGCTGTGTCGTGCTGGACGCGCAGTGTGCAGCGCCGGGGATCAAATAGAGCCGGTTCCATTCGTTCAGCGCCTGGGAACTCTCGTTGAAGGATAGGCCCGGATACATGATCTGTCGGACCGATTCGTGGTAGTGGACGGATGACCCGGTCGGGATACTGGGATCGGACTCGCCATGCACGTGGATGACCTTGCCTCCGGCAGATTGGAACGGGGTCAGATCCGGCCAGGTGGTTTGGAGACTATCCTCGTAGCGCTGCCAGCCTAGCTCCATCCACTCCTTCAAGGTGTCGTACGTGACGTTATCCAGAGTGGACAGGTTGTCGGCATCGCGCAGTTCCAAGAAGCGCGCCACCCACTCGCCGCCCAACGAGGTGATATCCAGCTCCCACTGGTCGGTGTCGTAGTTGTACTGGGTGTCGGCATCGTCAAAGGTAGACGAGGGTTGATACCAGATGTACGCACGACGGCCATCGAGGGTGCGGAGACCATCCAGCATCTTACTTGCCGCGGCGGCACCCAGGACAGAAACCGTGCCATTTTGCGCGGGGGTGGAGTTGCTCATCGAGGTGCGCTTCTTCAGCACGGTCGTGCTGGTGGATGCGGGGCAGGAGTAGGGGGCCCCGACAGTGGAGTTGACGTTAAAGTGCAGTTTGCAGAGATCCGTACGACTGACCACCCCATCGACGCGACCATCCAACGCATCGCAGGCGGCGATGGTCAAGTTGACAATCTTCTCCAATTCACACGTCGGTGGGTAATACCCCATGGTGTGTTCCACCACGTTCGGGTACAGATGGTTCACCTGCTGTTGTCCGTACCGGAAGGCCGGAGCCCCAATGACCGCACCGTCCCATTCATCAGGGTAGCGTTGCACCTGACTCCAGCCTTCGCGACCACCCTCGGAGCAGCCCTGGTAGTAGGCGTAGATCTTGGCGTCACCCACACCATAGAAATTCCGACTGAACGCCTTGCCGACCACACTCAATTCGTGGTGAGCGAGGTACCCGAACGAGTACAGCGCCTGGTAATTGATGGTGCCGTTGGCTTCCAGAAACACGGCATCAAATTGCGTATCAAAGCTCCCGAACCCGCCATCCGTGATACCGGCTGCCGCGCCATACATCACACCCCCGGGCAGGGAGCTAGTCCCGGAGTTGATAGCGAACCCGCCCCCACCGGTAGACAACCACCGGTTCTGGTAGTCCTTCGGGGCGGGCAACCAGAGTTCGAGCAGGTACGGCGTATCCAGACCCGGCCGGGTATAGGAGAGCGTGACATTGCAGTAACTGAACGACGAGGCGGGGAAGAAATAGGAACTGGAAAATGAGGCGTTGTAGACGGCACGGGCCGTGATGGATGACGAGTCGATTTGGAGTCCGTCGATATCGGCACTGCTCGGCAGGGACGCTTTGGCGTGGCTGGTGGTGCAGACGTCGGCGAGACTGGATGCCTGGGAGAGGGCGAGGGTGGTGGCCCCGGCTAGGACACCCAAGGTGATTCTCATGTTGCGTGGAGGAAGATGAGGAATGAATGGTGCTGGTTGAGCAATGACAGATGGATGGGATACCACGGTCCTTATATGTTGGATGCTGTGATTTCGTGGTTCCATCGCGTTGTCTGAGGTTGGAGTAGATTCGGAGCAAGCATTGCATGAGCAGGCTGATCATCACCCATCTTAGCAATTAATCATGCCGATCTGCGTTTGATACGTAGTACCAGTATCAACCAAGGTAGGAAGTTTGGTTTAGACTCAGGTGACGTCGTATTCCATCCATGTTCTCCTCATGCGTTACCCAATTGGCCAAGAAGAAGAAGAATAGAAATCTATCCAATACACATCCAGACTAGTCCATATCCTCGGGGCATTTTGCAGCCGCGATATCCATATTACTGTCCACCGGGTACTCGTCACGACGCGCAGCTGCATAGCCTGCAGTGAGAACGGCTGCTAGGAACATGCCGCGTCATCACCCCAATCCGTGGACAGGCACGGCTGGTGTTGGCCGTGGTATCAACGGACCGACGGCGGGATGACGATCAGGGGCAGCACGGGAAAACAGTTAGCCCCGCAAATCAACGCCATCCTGGACAACCTTGGCAAAGTTTATCAAGTTCTTAATTCGATTCTCAGTTCTGTGGCGATGATACAGGTTGACAAGAGCCTGGAAGATGAGACATAGATCAGAACAGCATCCTGGGAATACTGCGGAACTCATGTAGACACTAGACAGAGATTACACCAACCTTAGACAAGGAGACTAGGTAGTACCTGCAGAAACGCATAGTGGCTGCACTGCATTCTGCAGAAACAACTCGGAGAAAGAGCCCGGCCCGGCGGGAATGCCTGGAACAGGTAGTCTCCGCCGATTTCGGCTCTCATTGCTGGCCCGGCGTCCGAGGCCGAGCCAATGCCGGCGGGGGCCACCCAGACGGACCCCTCGGATATTTACCCCGTTCTGGGTCACTTCAGTCGCTGATCATACTGGACGATACTGTCTCGGGTTGGATTGGCTTGGCTGGGAGTATTGAAAGATTCAGTTTCGGATGGTTCTTCTCACTTTTACTCTGCACGCCGAGTCCGATGCTCCGGTCTAGCCTGCACTTCGATTCTCTGGTGTTTATCATTCTCACCATGACGCCCGATCGAGACGGAGTCCCTCGCGGGAATTAATACCGCAGTCCCACTTGTAACCCTGTTTGCCCTCCGCGGTGGACCTTGTGGCATGACGGGATGGGTTCAGAGTTGACCTGGGGTTTGGCTGACGAATGCTCAGCGATCAACAGATTAGACCTTCTAAACTCGGTTGGAGGTTATTAATACCATCAAGTTTTATGTTGAGGTGCCTGTTGGCCGGTAGACGAGGATCACGGGTTCTAATCATATTAGCTACCACTACTAAAGCATTCTTCTTCTTCCTTCCAGCTATAGCCTAGATAGCGAATACAACCAACATCTTCAACCCCCTGAGCCGTAGCTCACAACATTTTATGATAGGTAGGAGATACAAACAGTATACCCCAAAGAATACAGGGAACAAAAGGAGGGACAGTATGGACCATTCACAACCTTGCAACTTGCAAGGACTAATTTGTCAAGGGTTTAGCGTCTGGTGAAATTCTCCGCTGGGGCAGGAACTCGGGCTAAATTTTTATCCCCCGCCCCCGGGAAAAATGGACTGGTGCGCATTGGCACCTTAAAAACTATGCATTGACGTCGGTGGAATAATTCACCCAATCGTTTTTGTCCCCCATCAATTACCCGGACCCAGCTCCCTGTAGAGGAGAAAGGCCGGGGAGGGGGGTGGGTGCAATGCAAATGATGACTCTCGGTTTCCTTCTCATATTTTTGGAGAAACATCAGCCTCATATAACGCTCCAACAGTCGAAAACTCCTGGCAACCCACATAAATGCCAACGAACCTCGACCCGCTCGGTGCTGGGAACACGGTGTCATGCGACACTAGCCGCTGGTGGCTGTCCGCAGATGCCCGGTCTTTGCACCATACATCCCGCCAGTCATAATTGCCCGTGTTTGCCGGTCCCTCCCGCGAACTACGGGAGATACTGAGCTTATGGGACCGAGATCCCTCACCCTGTTCAACCTCAAACTCCATTTCTACAAGCTCGCGTCCTCGGGCCGCAGCCGACAAGCCAACGATTTTAGCATCCTGAGCAAAATGGACTGTTCGACTGGTGTCGGTATCCACGTCCCCTATGCTTGCTCTAGCCCCTGACTTGTAGATGAAGGCAAGACCGATGATCGCCTGACCTTCAAAGTAGGCGTCGGCCCTAAGTACGGACTCTCTAGAGCCGCCGCCATTCCGTCTCTCGAAGTAAAGTTTCCGAACCTGGTCAAAGGGAGGAGGCTGTTCTGGAACCATTATCGGTGGTCTCCGGCTTCCGCTCGCGGAAACGAGCGCTCGGACACGATCTGAACATAGGTTCAATATCCATGACATAGCTGTCAGTTTCTCGTCAGAGTCTCCCTTGTACTGGGTCTGCAGCTTTCGCGGTGGGAGGCTTTGAAAGTCTGGAGAGCGAAATGTCACACAGCGAGATTGCGTGGTTTCGAAGCGTATAGCTGCGACTTGGCCTACTTCCAGCCCGGGGCATTCAGTAGAATACCCCATGGGAGTGAGCCAGATGGTGAATGATTGGATTTCCTCATCCGGGGAGATTTCAAACCCGTTTCCAAGCTCGTTCATCCATTGACCTACTACGCTTGGGCTTGGATGACTGTAATACTCAAGCTTCAAGCCGGATATGCGACTAGGGGATCTGGACCGCCCGTGGATACCCATGGATGCCCGAATTCTTCGAACATTCTTCAGCGAGGCATAGGTCTGATAGTTACCAGGATTTGTACTGTTGATGAAATGTGAGAATTTCTGGTCGTATCGGACTTGATCGTCGGGTATCTCATGACATCCACGATCCAGAATATCCGGTAGCGTGACCTCCTCGTCACACTGCTGGGACTGGACACCGAGTTGGACAAAGCCGTTTTGGTGTGCCTGGGCCTGTTGAGCCGTTGTTCGGATTTGATGGTAGCGATTCTACATACCAGGTCGTGGGAAACAAGTCCCGTGATGATGTTGCTGAGTGGTGAAATCGGTATTGGCTCGACAACCGCATCGAGTTGATAGTGAAGGGGAGCGAAAGTGGCAGTCCTTCCATAGTTTGTCGAGATCTGGGTTGGGATTAGCGTTGCGCATGAATGTTTGGGCAATACACATAACAGACCTGCAAGCCACCTAGGCCGGGTGTTGGGTAGTACTCGCGATTGTCTTTCAGAATGCTTACGCCATTGACACGCTCCCCCTTCGAGCCAGCGACGGGAAACGAGATCCCACAGCCACGATTAGAACCGAAAAGTACCGACTTTCCATCAGAGGATGATACTTCTATCCCGATCAGTGGGTGAGGACGGGATGCCATGTGGAACGTCAGACATGTCAAAGACCCGAGACGCAGGCCTCTTTGGCCACCGAAGTCAATATTGGCCAGCGGCTCAAAGGCCCTGGAAGGCAGGGACGGTAGCATGGGGCTAAGCATCAAACCATCGTGCATTGGAGGCTCTGGTGTCCACAAATGGGACTGCACGCTAGACGAGTTCAGTACGCCTTGAGAGTGTGGTTTCAAAGATGCTCGGGGGTGTTCGATCAATTCGCCGAGGCCGAGCCAGACGATCTTGAAGTGATCTAACCCCGCAAGCAGGTAGTTCCGATTCGACCTTTCCGGAACAATTAGCGTGCCTTGAGCAATCCCTGGACCGTTGCTTTCACCAACCCAGTACGATGAATCCGAAGGTGTGAAGGTGAATTTAACTCCCGTCAACCCTTCCGAGCAAAACGCCACGGAGAGTGCTTCAAGGTGGGAAGTGCTCGGTACGTCTATCCACTTCTGTGAATATGGATTGTGATATCCGACCGAACGGTGAATGGCATTGCTTTCCCCCGACGGAAATAGGTGCACACCCGATATAAAGCTCCGTGCGCCAATCTGAACAGTTGAGATACCGATTCGCCGTCGGTTCTGCCGAGGCGGGGACATGAGTGACTGTGTCCTACGATAAAGCACACGGCATCCCTCGTTCAAGGGGCGATCTGCACTGATAGTGGCTAGCTGCCCAGAAAAAGAGCCGGTCATCTCTAGCACCTGAGGCGGGCTTTCAGCACCCTCCTCATCGGTCAGCTGGAAACAGCTACCTTCACGGTTTGCCGGTTGACATGCAGATCCATAAGGGCTCCTCCGCAAGACAGCATCTAGGTCCACAAGAGCAGCGATGGGCTCCAACAGCTGGCGGATTCGTTTTCGATTGGTCAAGGGCTGGAGTCCAGCCTTTAGCGACGCCCTGGTCCCCAAGAAGAGCCGGGACCAGTCGTGTGCCTCGGTAAGCTTTGGGAAAAGAAAATCGGCCTCTTGGCCTAGGAGGAATCTACTCCGCCAGTACGACTGTGGAAGCAATTCGAGTCTCAAGAGACGTGCTAGACCACGGCAGACAAGTCTCATAGTTAAGATCTCATCAAAGGACAAATAGGAAAAGGTCTCTAACTTCAGCTCGGGTGAGAGCCTATCGAAGATATTGCGGTTGGGTCGTCTGAGCATGTCACATTTTTCTCCTCTCGAGTCGTTAGGCGACAGGGGCCGATGCGGGCCGCCATGTGCCTCGCGCAGGTCAGACGCGCTTTTTTCCAGATCGTCCATGGACGGGATGGCATATGGGTCAGCGTAGAAGTGTGAGCTCAGATCCGCCGGCCTTGGCCGCCCTAAAAGCTTGTGTGTTTGCGCAGCACCTCCGTAGTCGTGGCCAAGTTGGAAACTGGAGGCATTGAGGCAAGGGGTGCAGTAAAGCTGGTAGAAGACTGCCTCTGCAATTGCCGTCCGATTCGGGGATGGATGGTCACCCTGACCAGGGCCGAGCCTCAAGAGAAGCAATCTCCAGCACGAGTTGTGAAAGCCGAAGCACCAACGGCCTTCGGAAGGTTCGCAGAGCCTCCATTCCTCCAGCGCCCCAAGGCCCACGTCCACGTAGGATACGTCGTTGTCAAGCGGTGCGTGGAGGTTATTCCGGCCGCGTACTATCCCTAGTCCGGTGATCGTGATCTGGCCGCCAGGAAGATTGGTTGCGTAGACGCCTCGAACTTCAGCATACCAAGGGCGAACGCGGGTCTGGGGAGACGCGGGATCGTCACCATAGGGATCAGGCAGTAAGATGACCCCACAAAATGGGCAGTAAACGTTGGAAGGCATCAAGTCAAGATGTCGCGCATCCCCAGAGGATTGGTCAGAGGAGGGAGAAGGAGCAGAACAGGGTGGAAGTCGGGCGGCTGTGAAGGAAGTGGAGGAAGTTGAAGGTGTAGGAGATGGGCGCTAGCCCGGAGTTGTACTGTATCGTAATCCGTAAGGCTCTGGATGATGGGTCGGATGTGCCAGTGCAGCCTTACCCCGTACTACCCCCGTACTTTACGTATCAAAGGATGGATGGCCGTCATCCAAGTCATGGCCATGAGACAGAACCCTCGAGATTCAGCCCACTGGGCCGAACGCCAGATCTTGCTGGTCGAATGCAAGCGCCCATCCAGCGACACTCCCGCGGGCTGGGAGAACACCATTCATGGGCAGTTCCTGGACGATCTCTCGCAGACCTTGAACGCTTCGGAGAGAATATATGGAGCAGTTGCGATAGGCTCAAAAGTGAGATTCTACCGTTTTGATGGCACCGCACCGGCCAATCAGCAACTCGTTCAGCTTCACCAGGGCACCATTGACATGTGCGCCCCAAATGGCATCGGTCAGGTTGAGAGTATGATGAACTACATCAAGGCCAATGGGTGGCAGTGGGCCATTTGATTAGAGAATCCAACGGGGATTGTGTAGTCGTCCTGACGCGATGTTGGAAATGTTGTGCTGGCTATCGTTTCTATTACGCATTGAAGATGTTTTTTCTTTTTTTTTTGCTTATTTTTTGCTTTTTTTTTTTTTTTTGTTGTATCTAAGAGTCCTTTGTTTAGCTTAGTACGTGTTCAGCTTAGTACGAAATTTTATTGGCACGATGCGCATTACCCTGCTCTTTTCGAGCCAAATCGAGTCGACCCTACTCGCAAGGACTGCCTGTGGGCCATCGCCGGCGCGTAAACGAGAAACGGACTGTGGAGTCCGAACCACAACGTGATGACTACCTCGATCCAGGGGTACACGGCAAAATTGGCACTGCCCAGCATCCGGCAGTATGGTAAAGGGCTCTACCGAAAAGGGCTTTACCGAAAGATGGGACTGCCGTCCCTTGGCAATCACGAAGCTTCTTGACGGGGAGATGTGGGTAGCATGCAGTCTCTCTGCAGTAATCGAGGATGAGAAGATCGATTTCTGCGAGTGAATCCGCAAAGGCCCAGTGAGAGAGAGGACTGGGAAATATCGATACCTTGGGCAGGCCCACACACCGAGGTCTATGTTTCCCTCCCTTTCTTGTCGCGCGGACTACTGCTCCGCATCTCCAATCACACTTTTCGGCACATGCGTCGATCCCCCATCATGCGACCGCTCAGTCAACGACACCTCATAGTCCACCCCCCGACTACCGCTCTTGGTGGGCTCCAAATATGTCAATGGCATCTCACTCTCCGTGTCGCGCCTGCGTTTGAACGCCGATCCGGAAGCACCAGACTGGGCCCCCGTCTGGGATGAGTATGCCGCCTTGGCCGACGAGAAAACCCCGGGGAACGCGGCCTTGAAGACTGGACGCATCATGGGCACACATGCATTGCTGATCGCCAGGGCGGGCTCGGTCACACTCCAAAATGCGGCCCAGATCATGCTATATGGGAGGTCGTTAAAATCAACGGTAGTGAGGACGTGGATGCGAATGACGGTAATTGCAGAGATGCTGTGACCGTTAGTACCCGTCACACTGAGTGTGGAGGAATTGGGGTATACATACAATAAGCCGACCCCGAAGATACCGTACAGAGCCATCTTAGTAGCAGTGGACATCTGGAGCTTCCAGATATGGTGTACGGGCAGAGCCATAATCAGGACATCCGTGACAAGGTTAAAGGCACCAATCGTGGAAAAGGCCACATTCATACTAGCGCAATGGCCGGGTTGGGTCGCATTCCAGTTTTTCGCAAACGGGTGGCAGATTAGAAAGACCTGGAGCGTGCTTCCCAGCCAGTATGCACCCGCGCAGCCCATACAAGCTCTGGCGGCCATGCGAAAGCCGCGGGTGACGAAGATTCGGAGGTAGAAAAAGAGGTAGGAAAATTTGGCAAAGACCATGGCGTTGTAGTAGACGATCTGGTAGACGACAAGCATCTGGTACCGTTAGCTCCAGGGCATCAGGGGTTCGTCCGAGAGCTCACCTTGAAAATCAGAATGGTGTTTTCGGCAGGAAGGTCCGTCATGTGGTGGCGCATACCCACCCGCGCATAGTGATACTGCATTGCGAGCATGCCATACGTGTGCAACTAGAGTTCGTCAGTCAAGATGTAGGCCAGTGACCCAGGTTTATCGTACCATCGACACCACGATACAGGCATCATCCCACCAGACCTTGCTCTCCCGAATCCGCCGAGACAAGAATCGCAGCCCAACTGCCAATGTACTCAGTGCCACCAGCACGGTGTTGGCGATAAGCTGGTCGCGCACTATCGCGAACTCGAAGACATTATAGAACTCCACCGCCATGTCGCCAGCCTGTCGTCGGGCATTGGGAAAGATGTGACAAGAGCAAAAAGGTACATGAGGCAAAGAAAACACATGCGAAGTTCGGACTTGAGGCAGCGAGGCACCGTCCACATCCAGAGCCGGTCCAGACACCGACGATCATGCTCATGATCACCGGCAGATTGACCGTTTCGGTACTTGGGGTGAGACGAGAGAAGGATTCAGCGGGGCCAGGATCCGCTGGCCTCGGTTGTTATGAACTTGTGACCGACTGACAGCGGCCTCCGCGGCCTGTAGCCTGGACTAGTAGAGCTGCTAACGCCTTAGCCAAACGGCCACGGCTGCCACCGGGTGGATCAGCCTTACCCCATGGCCAATCCAGCCCCCTGTTGCGACCACGAACAAAGACCGTTAGCAAGCTAATGACTGCGACATGTCTATCCCAATAAATCCTAAGTCTTAGCTCGAAGCCACCGGAATGTAATTCCTTTGTCGAGACTGAGCGGCCAGCACTTATTTCATGCCGTGCAACCCGCCCCCTACCTTCTACCACCAGCTTTCGGACACGATCAACATGACTGGCTCGAAATCCTACGACTACATCATTGTTGGGGCAGGCATTGGCGGGTTGGTGCTCGCATCTCGCCTCACCGAAGACGCCGAGGTGAATGTCCTCCTGGTCGAGGCTGGCGCTAACCGCATCGGCGATCCTCGCATTGAAACCCCTGGTCTCCTGGCATATCTGTATGGAAATCCGGACTTTGACTGGGATTACATGACCGAGCCGCAGGTATGCCCCATGGCACGATTTCACATCCGGGGCGTTGGCTGACTGTCCAGGTCCATGTCAACCAGCGTCAGATTGCGCAGCCACGGGGCCGTATGGTGGGTGGAACATCCGCCATGAATTTTTCCGTCATCATGTACCCATCTGAGGCCAATTTCGCGGCGTGGAAGTCGCTGGGGAACCAGGGATGGGGACCCCAGGACATGGCCCCCTACCTTAAAAAGTTCCATACCTACACTCCACCCGGTCCAGAGACCGCAAAGTACCTGTCCCTGGACCGGTACATGAAGCAGGAAAACCAGGGGGCGGACGGTCCGGTTCCCGTCACCCTGCCTGATGTATACGGCGTGTTCAACAAGGCTTGGGATGAAAGCTTCGAACGGCTGGGCTGGCACAATGACGTAGATCCTATCTCGGGTCGCAAAGTAGGCACCTTTACTGCACCATTGTCGGTCGACGGAACCACAGGTCGTCGCGGTTATGCCGCCGCGTACTACTCGCCGGAGGTGGCACAACGACCGAATCTGGACCTCTTAGCGGAGACTCTCGTCGAGCGAGTATTATTGACTAAGGATGCAGACGGCCAGGCCGTCGCGACCGGCGTGCAGGTCAGAACCAAGAACGAAGAGAGCCGACAAATTTCCGCGACTCGTGAGGTCATCATCTGCGCAGGGAGTCTGAACTCACCGCAGCTTCTCGAATTATCCGGAATTGGGCAACGCGAGCTGTTAGAAAAACACAACATCCCGGTGATCATCGACCAGCCCGGCGTTGGAGAGAATCTGCAAGATCACTGCTTGGCAGGCATCAACTTTGAAGTCGCCGACGGACAAGTTTCAGGCGACATCATGCGCGATCCCACCATTGTGCAATCCTTGATCCAACTTTATGAAGACACGCGCGGGGGTCCGCTGGCCGGAACGCCCATTAGTGTGGCGTACCTGCCTTTGGTGGGCCATGACGGACAGCTATCAAATGAAAGGGTCCGAGAGCTGCTGACCCAATACCTGGACCAGGGTCTGGAGGATCTACCACTGGCTCAGCAGAAGCAGTTTGCTCTCCAGCGGGAATTACTCGAGGACGGCAGCAATGCCTCCTCCGAATACATGTTCCTTCCATTCCAAACCCACATGCAATCGGGCAAAACCACCATGGCGGATTTGTTCGCCAAGTCGCTCCCAGGAAACTACATCACCATATTGGTCATGCACAACCATCCGTTCTCCCGGGGATCAGTGCATATCCGCTCCGGCAGTCCGGAAGACCGACCGAGCATTGATCCGAACTATCTATCGCATCCACTTGACATCGAGATCCTGGCCCGTCACGTCCAGTACCTCGATCAGATCGTCGCCACCGCGCCGTTTGCGGGGCTGTTGAAACCCAATTCCCGCCAGCCTGAACAGGCGGTTGACTTCAAGGATCTCGAAAAGACGAAGGAGATTGTCAGGGAACGTCTTTTCACATGCTTCCACCCGTCGGGGACTTGCGCCATGATGCCCGTCGAATTGGGGGGTGTTGTGGACGCGCAGCTGCGGGTGCACGGCACGCGTAATCTGCGTGTCGTGGATGCGAGCATCTTTCCCTTGGAGCCGACGGGGAATATCCAAGCCACGACATACGCGGTAGCGGAGCGGGCAGCGGATTTGATTCGGGGGATTTGACGGTGCACAAATATTTAGCATAATTTCATTGTGTTTCTACTGTGTAGTTGGGGAAGTGTGCTGCTTGTTGTTTAAACCGAGAGTAGTGGGTAGACGTAGCCATATAATCATTGGCAGTAGGTTGAGCCTCACAGAACTGTGCTCTCTGGGACCTTCGCCCCCATAATGCTCATCGCGCGACTGGGTTCCATGTCCTAGTTCAACGAGGGGTGATATCCGCCAGTCTAAGGAATCATGGATGGGGTCAGTCATCCCAGAGGCCGAGGAAAAGCAGTGCCATGTCCCCGGGGGCCGTGCTGAGGCGGAGGACGTCCCTTGCTAGCTGATATATCTGGCTCCGACAGCCATCTCGAGCAATCAAATTCATCGCGGAAGCTCAATCACTATCTACCACGAGGGAATCCCCAATGGGATCCTGCAGGGCGGATACCCAGAGTGGAGAGTGCGCTTGGCATTGGTCATGGGCGCAAGCAAAGGCATGCTGGCAGCTGCACGCGTGGTCCACAGAGCATTCTGAATCCCACCATCCCATTGGCTCCATTGCTCAACCGATTCCATTGTCGGGAGTTGCCGCAATTGTGCACAGGGACAGAGGAAATTGAGACACCAGAATTGACAGACCTTGGTTCTGGTACGGAATGCCCGGGAGAGGATCCCCATGTTGCTCACCGAGCCATCACCTGACTGGTCGGGTCCGAGCCGCTTCCGGTAAGGCTCGGAAAGGGTGGCTGCGGGGCGATCCCTTCCCTTGTGGGAAGTTTAACTTTCAGAGGAATGGCAGGTGGGCCGCTAGCCAATGCATAGCCAGTTTGCACGGTTTGTTGTCGTGGCCCCTTTCCACGGCGCAACCATCGGTTCCTGGGGACGATGTTGCAGACTGGGCATTTTCTTCTCTTGAGCGAGAAGATCACTGGTACAGAAAGGTGGAGAAAATCACCAGAAGCAGAATTATGTTGCACCAGCTTTTGTTGCCTTGAGTACAGGTGTTGGCTTCAACTTCTGCGACCACGAATACGTCAAAATAATCTTGAGCGAACCCGAAGATCCAACCGATCGATTGTAGCGTACTCCGATCTAGCAGTGTCAAAACACCATTAAGCCTAGTGATCAGTGTCCACGAACATCATGTTGTGCTTGGGGAGTCAATGTATAGTTCTGGAGTAGGTTTGTTGTTTCGCTGCTCCCTGTGTTTGCATCGTATGTTTGCGTTGGCATCAAGTGACCTGAGAAATATATGTTCCCGCTACCACAGGTAACTAGACTTGGCAACTCTCCGCATCATAATAGTGCAACACCGAGGACTCGATATCGTGAGAGGTCCTTGAACATCATGGGAATAGTTCTCCCTACCGCACAGCACCTTTCTATCGTCTATTGCACAAGTGGAGGCTGAAAGAAATGCCGTGGTTCTGATGGCCGACCGTGGTACTACCCCGCAGATGACGCCCTGGAAGTTGCTACTGGAACTTTTTTGCGATGACTTTGACCTTACAATGTGGTACGGAAGCCATGGTTTGGCTAAAATGGATCAAGTAAGGGATGTCTTCAATCATTAAAACCATATATCATCTAATGCTTGACGTATTATACAGAAATCAATGCGTCGTCGGACGGAAAAGGAACGATAACGACCTCACGAATTCGGATCCATATTTACAATGCTTGCGAACCATGGTGGGAAACACTTGGCCACCATGACACTGCTTAGGAGAAGGCGGCAAAGCAAGTGCTGTTGGCCTGGGACTCCTCCCAGCCAACGCACTTCCAGCAGCTCAGAAGACCAGTGGGGTCATACTTTTCCTTGATGGAGAGCAGCTTGTCGTAGTTGTCTCCCCACCAGGCCTCACGCCAGTCCTCGGTGAAAGGGTTGGCCTCGTTGCTGTAAGCTCCGCTGCCAGGGGTGATCCGCTCGAGCGTGGCAGTCATGTTCTGGAGGGTGGCAATCTTCTGCTCACGAGTCTGCAGGGTGCTGTTCCAGGCCCAGGAGCTGCCCGAGCCCAGCTCCCAGATGGCCTGACGCCAGGCGGGGGCGGCGCTGGTGGAGCCCTCGGTGTAGTTGTACAGGACGGGTCCGACGACGGGGATGTAGGGGCTTTGGCCATTGGCGAGAATGAGCTCGAAGAAGTCCATCAAATTGGCACGGCCCTCAGCCGTCTCGAAGACAGAGGAGGGAACCAGGCGACTGCCGGCAAAGTGGGTGACGCCGACGCTGACGGAGCTGGAGGTGACATACTTCTCGTAGAAGTCGTACCAAGAAGAAAACGCCTCGATGACAGCGGAACCACCCTGCGCCTTTGCGTAGGCCACCACCTCGGCCAGAGATTCCTCCGCCTCATCAACCGAGAGCAGAGGGGACACATTGACCAGGGTGTTGCCGGTGATATGACCACCCCAGCCTTCCTGGGCCCATTTCAGGGTGTTGTTAACAACAATATCCATGAATGGCAGGACATTGGTAGAGTTGCTGGTGAACTTGATGATGGCGGCGACGAAGCTGATGGTAGGCTCGACGCGGTGGGTGCTTTCCATGACAACACCGAAGGTGCCACCACCGCCACCACGCAGGGCCCAGAAAAGGTCCTGGTTCTGGCATTCGTTGGCGACGCGCAGCTGGCCATCGGGAGTGACCACCTTGTACTGCACGACGCGGTCAACACCGAGACCATAGACAGGGGAGAGAACCGAGTGGCCGCCGTTCATGACCCAACCGCCCGAGAGACCGACAGTGGGCGAGTAACCACCCAAGATGGTGACATTGTTTTGGTGAGCGAAAGTATAGGCCTCATCGAAGTTGACACCGGCGCCAGCGGTGATGGCGTTGTAAGACGTCTGGCAGCCCGAGGGAACAAAGGACGAGTCGTAGCTGAGGTCCTGCAACTTGCGCGTCCACAGGGCCAGAGAACCCTTGCCGCTGCTGCGGGTCAGGTAATCGTGCCCACTGTTCTTGATCACCAGACGGGTGCCGGAGCAGTTGGAGTAATGCATTGCCTCCCGGACATCGTTGTCATCCCTGACCTCGATGTAGTATGAAGGCATGTTGCCTTGGCGGCAGGTCTGGTTCACAAAGGCCAGCGAATCAGTAGGATCGCTGCTATCCAGCAGGCACTGATCCTGGGGATTGGACGAGCACATCTCATCCTGGTTATTCATGTAACCATTGGGCGAGTTGGTGCGCAGGTAGGGATCGGTGTAGTTGGCCTGAATATTGGCGCAGGCCGCATCGTTGGGGGTCACTTGCTGGCCATTGTAACTGGAAAAGCAAGGAAGGGAGAAAGGCGTCAAGGGTTGAACGCGGCCCTGAAGGGTGGCATTGAGGCTATTGAGAGTGCACTCGCAGCCACAGGCGGCGGCACCTTGTCCCAGTCCCAAAAATTGGACGGCCAGAACGGCCAATGAGGCTTTGTATCCTGAAGGCGTCATCGTGCTAAACTGCCACGCGACACTGAGACAATATCGGGGAAAGAGAACGGGGAATGGGTGACGATCGCGACTATTTAATGAACGGTCGGACCGGCAGATAAGGAGAATTTTTTTTTCACTTCCGGCACGCTCCGTTTGGGTCGGTTGTCCGTGGTCTAGCGAATGTCTCATACGATACTGCAACTATTGATTCACACGCGGTGGAGGTTACCGGATCAGGATGGGGTTGAAGGTGGACAGGTGGACGGGGAGACAGGGAACCCAGCTGGTGGTGCGGCCTGCAACTCTGCAAAAAGCAATGGAATCGCCGCAGAAGCGCCAGGCCCACCCGGTTCCACTTGGGGTTGGAGGCTTCATGGGGCCATGGAGCGGATCCCCTTGCCGGGGCGCCACGCTGATTCGCGGCGCCAGCAGACCTTGACGCAGGTCCTGTTGGGGCTCGAGGGCTTCGGGCGATGTCCGATGCAGCTGGTGAGCCCATAGCCTCTCTCCTTAGTCCTGACCTGAAGGCAGAAGCCCTCGAGAACGATATGCTCTCTGACCGATGTGGACCACCATCTAAGACCAGCGTCTCACTTTGATTGCGTCACGTCCACTCTCGGATTTTCCTGTCCGGCTCCAAAAGGCCCCTGAAGGGTCGAAGGCACGGCATCCCTGCTGGCCACGCGAGGAATCCCTCCGCTGGGTCGACGATCCCTGCAGCCCCGGAATCCCAGTCGATTGATGCTGGGGTTGCCATCTGATATCGATGATCGCGGTGGTGCGGACCAGGTCCAGCGGTCCTACACATCAAACACCGGGGATCCAGAGACTCGATCGACCGACCGCGGACGCACCGAGCCACCAGCAGATCAGACGTTGCATTCGTCCGTCGAACCGTCGGAGAAGAGTCAAAAGTTTAAAACGCGCCGAGCCATGGGAATGCAGTCAATAGATCTCCCCCCCCGGCCTGGAAATAGCCCATGACAAATTAGCGGCCGCCTTCCCAATCCTTATCATAACTCCGATTGTGCAGAACCTTCCCTTTAGGTTTTGGTGGCGACGACAGCACATTCGTAATATTAATCCGACAGCACCAGGGCCTTAATCTTGTTTGGCGACTGCCCCTCCCTAAATGGAATCTTATATGGAATTCCGACCCGCCCTGTCGCCTCTTTTTGCAAAGCTGACTCGTACAGCTCGCCGTGCAGGATGACTTACGAGGAGAATCGGTACTGGAAAAATGTGCTGACGATCGTGCCCATCGTCGGCGCCGCGCTGGCCACCATCTCGTATCTGCTGCGTCTGTACTCCCGTCGCTTTACGACCGCCGGTCTGAAGCTGGAGGACTGGTTGATGGGCGTTGGGTTGATTCTTTCCTACTGCGCCACCGCCTTTGTTGTGGACAGTGAGTGGTCCCGATCGTTGACGGCTGGCATGCCAGGCATACTAACATTCCTCGGCAGCTGCATTCAATGGCGTCGGTCTGCCAGTCAGCAGTCTCCCCGCAGATGAACGGCGGCGTATCCAATTCGTACGTTTTTTATCCCACCGATTTCAAAGGAGGACAAGTGTTGGCTAACATGCGACGATACTTGCAGGGTTCGTGGATGATCCAGAAGTTTTGGGCGCCGTCCGCAGCATTTGTGAAGATTTCCATCGTGGTATTTTTGAAGCGCCTACTCGGAACCGTCCGCGCGTACACCGTTGTGTCAAATGTCCTTATTGGGTTCATTACCTGTTGGGCCATCACGGCTCTGCTGGTCAACATCTTCCAGTGCAAACCGGTTCAGTACTATTACGACAAGTCCCTTCATGGACATTGCATGAGTGGGCAGCGATCATTCTTTCAGGCGATGGGATCTATCGCCTTGGTAGAGGACGTCATCATTTTGTGCCTGCCTACACCGATTGTGTGGGGCTTGCAGATTACCTTTCGACAAAAGTGTGCGGTGACAGTCGTCTTCTCCCTCGGTGGCCTGTGAGTTTCCTCAATCCGACATAGGGGATGGTGCTAACAGCTGGACAGGGTCTGTATCTTCAGTTTGATGCGTCTGATTGAATTCCGCAATTTTATTACGACTGATTTAGCTTGTGAGTGACAATGGTTGCAGTACCCTTGGTTACAGCGACTAACGGCCACAGCTTCGAGTGCTAAAGAATCCGTCTGGACGTGTCTCGAGCTCGATGTCGCCATAATTTGCGGTTGTCTGCCGCTAATGAAACCTCTGATCCAGGGCTTCCTGGGCAAGGTCCGAAGCGGGGTGTCCAAGGCCCGCTCTCATCCATCGTCCGGCACGAAGCTCTACTATCCCTCCAGCGCCACCCACAACAATGATGGTTTCCGACAGATCGATGACATGTTGGGCTCGCAAGCCTCGAAGAATCCCCATGTGATGGCCAGTTCCAGTCGAATGAGCTCGGATGTCGAATTACAAGGCATTGCGGTGCACACGCGGATTGAGCAGGATGTTGACCGCCCGCACACGGTTGACTCGGACGAGACCACCCACGCACATGCGTGGCCTTGAGAACGCACAATCTCTACTGGATACATCAATGCAGATTCCCAGCAACACATCGCTGTCCGCAAGTGGTGAACAGAACTCTCGATGGGCCGCGCTCGGCCCGTGGCTCACAAGCCATCGCGCTGTCCAGGGGCGTTAAAATTCCCCGTAGGAGGTCTCACACTAGCCGACTCAACCTCTGCGCGGGTGGACTGTGGCTTTGGCTTGAGATGTTTGCTTCTACTGGCAACCAGATCTCGCTAGCTCGATATAGGTGCGAGCTTCTTGCTGGCAGCGACTGTCGACACCCAGGTTCAAATGACTTGGGCGTGTCCACGACCTGAGACGAATCAAATAGATCGATATAATCTACCTAATATTTTCTAATGATGGAAATGACGCCACTGCGAATAATTTGAATAGCTCACCCTCCCGCACGAGAATCTACACTCATAAGGCGGGCTTTGATCCCGCGGGGATGAAGCCTGCAGCCACTCCACAATTGAATGAAGGGCCCGCGCCCGAAACCCTTGCATTTTACTTTCCATCTGCCCGAGATTCTCGAAACCTGGAAGAACCCTGCCGTGCGGGATTTGATTAGCGGCACTCTAGATGAAACCATGGATCGGGCAGTTTCCCCGGGCGGATTCTTGCGCTGATCTGCAGTCATTCGCAGTGGCAACTGGTCACAATCATCAATCTGGCACCGTGTTATCATTAAGAAATAATCTATGCAGCATCGATCTTAATGTACGTTCATTTGCAGTGGATCCGGTCGTATCTGATAAATAGGATCGGGTAGTCTTGCCCGGTCGGTCAGCGATCGTGAAGATCGCCTCGACGGGAAGTTAAGGGCCAACGGCTGTCGGCTGCTCCGTGGCTGAAGACTGACGATCGTAATAAACTGATCTTCTCAATTTCTCATCGCCGGTTGGGGCATGGTTGAGACTGCTGAGTAAGACGGAGTAAATGAGGGTTTCGTGGGAATAGGGTTGTGCGACCGGGACGGTGTCACCGCAGCCGATGGACCGAGGTAACGCGACGGAAATTCTGCCGGGGTTGTGGCTCCTTTTATGATCTGGGCTGGTCTGGATCTCAATCTGCCAGATGATCAGGGCGGGTGTGAGAGGGGCCTTGGGTGGCACAGTCGTCAGTCACAAGTGCACCTCGCGCCAAGAATCGAAGTGACTCCAACAGACGCTCTGTCCCGTCACGGGCTCGGGCGATTGGGTGGGGCCATTCATGCCTCGGTTGCTGTTTTGTCGCTGCCATTGATGAGAGTTCGATTCTCCATCACGACGAACTAAGTAACCACGACATACTGCGGGATGGCGGATTGTTGGCCAGGTTTACATGTATTTCCATCGCAGACCCCGTGCCAGCGGAGATGAAGTAGTAAATGGTCATTTCGATAGCGGTGTAAAGGTACCCGGCCAGTAGTAGTTGGCGATACATCCAAAGCTCAGCATATTGCTCTGTAGCCTGTCGAATGGATTGTTAGAGAACTACATACTACTCCGTGCGAGTAGTGCCAATCATACAAACTATGTGTTACATTGTAGGTAGTGTCTAAGCTAACCAGAAGTAGAGGAGCTTCCCGAACACCCGCTATGATTGGCCCGGGCGTGTATCAAGCATCACGCTAGCTCCAACCGGGCAAGCGCGGTGCTGCCTGATCTCGTATATTCTGGAGGATCTCATCAAGCATCGAGCATCGAGCCTCAAGAGCCTCTCGCGGGATCATAACCAGGCTATGCTAAAGATCCTGCTGGCAATCCTGTGGTTATTCTTATCCAAATGCGTCTGCCTGTTCGACATGCCAGAGCATATATATAGTAACTCGCCGCATCACACTCCATTGAATCCTGGATGAACAATACATACCTGAGGCCTTGGATCCCAAAGCTCTCTACCTTAAAGTATAGTATTCGCCTGAATTAACGCCATCATGAGCGCAACCACAACCTCCCCCACAGCCACCTCTGCAATAGCATCCGCCACCCAAACCTGCACCAACCCTAAGCCTGGCAAGAATGGCTACCTCCCACCCGAAGCATGCGACGTGATTCTCCCGTACGTGCCCTCACTAGCAGCCGCCGTGCTCTTCTGCGTGCTGTACGGCCTAACCCTCATCTGTCATGTTATTCAAGCCTTCCTATACAAAAAGGTCCCCCCCCACAGTCCCCCCTCTAAATCCAATCTAACCAACACAGCGGTACGCCTGGGTCATCATCATGGGAGCCACCTGGGAACTCATCGCCTTCATCTTCCGGGCCCTGCTCACCCTCCACCAAAACAACTCCAATTACGACACCATTTACACCATCATGTTCCTCCTCGCACCACTCTGTACCCCCCCCCAATGCCCCATTTCTCTCCCCAAACCCCATGGACTCCCCAACTAACCACCCCAGGGATCAACGCCTTCCTCTACATGACCCTCGGCCGCCTAATCCACTACTTCCTCCCCACGCAAACCCTCGCGCATATCACCTCAACGAAATACGGCCGGATCTTCATCTGGCTGGACATCCTGGCCTTCCTGGTGCAACTCGCCGGCGCAGCCATCACCACCTCCACCGACGCCCCCACCCGCACCATCATGCTAGGCGTCCACATCTACATGGGTGGCATCGGGCTCCAAGAGCTCTTCATTGTGATCTTCACGGGATTGACGATCCATTTGCATCGCCGGATGGTGGATCTTGAGCGGATGGGACAGTTACCAGAAGACAGAGTATCCCGATCGAATGTGCCGTGGAGGTGGTTATTCTATGTAATGTATACCGTGTTGGGACTTATTACCGTTCGTCATTCCCCTTCCCCTTCCCCCTCCCCTCCCCCTCCCCCCAACTTCCATACCCACTCCCAAAAACAATAATAGACTGACAGACAGTAATCTGTATCAAGATCCGCATCATCTTCCGATTAGCCCAATACGCCCAAGGCACCTCAACCAGTAACCCGGTGCTGACGCACGAAAGCTACGAGTATATCTTCGATGCGGTGCCGATGTTTCTGGCGCTGGGGTTGTTGAATGCGGTGCATCCGGGACGGGTGTTGCGGGGGGTGGAGTCGGAGTTTCCGCGGGTAAGGAGGGGGGAGAAGAGGGTGATGAAAGAGGAGAGGAGGAGGGTTAAAGAGGAGAGGAGGCGGGTGAGGCGGGAGGAGAGGGAGATGAGGAAGGGTGGGGGTGGGGGTGGGGGTGGGTGGTGGGGGAAGAGGGAGAGGGCGACGGAGAGGGAGAGTGATATGTTCGAGGTTCTTTCGGTGGGGGAGGAGGGGGGTGTGAGGAGGGTGTAGGTCGATAGGTGGGCTAGTGGTGTTTGCCACAAATGGAGATATGATTTGTGATGTTTCGTTGGAGTTTGGTGAGGGATACATGGTGGTGCTATTGACAGTTAGATGGATCGTGAAAGAATATTTGTCTATTTAAGAGTACTAGGTGCAAAGTTAAATATAATAATAAAGGCATGATAATGATCTAGACGAGGCTCCAGGGGAGGAGGAAGAGGATAGTAGATATTACAGTAATAGAAAGCTAAAGACCAAGAGAGACTAGGTGAATAACTACTTGAATTGTAGAGATATCTTTCAAAATTTTACGACATAGTGAAGTTTAATACGAGTAGAAGTCTTTAGGTCGATAAGAGTAAAACGATAAATGACCTCTGTTTAAGAAAATGATGATTGTCATTCATATCTTATTCAGCCACACGCGCACTGGTTGAGATTATATCTCGATATCTTAGAGAGCGGGGCCCAATTTCAATCTTAATCCATTGTCTGTTTGCTTAGGGTTGACTGCGATCGCAAACTGTTCTGGTCCAAGTTGTTGTAAATTCCAAGCCTAGATACCACCATGCGGTGTTGCGTCTTGGACTCTCCCTACTCTATCCGGTGTCACGTAGCATGAGTGTGCCTGAAGACAAGTGTGTGGGTATCGTTTCATATGCCTTGATTCATATCTATAACCGGTCGGCGTGGTCACTACTACTAGGTAAATGCTCTCCGACAGTGGGCCATCCGTGTGACATGGTTGGCTGGTGGGGATGGAACAACGAGCGCAGAGGAGACATTTTGCATGGTGGGTGGAAGATTCACATCGGTCAGCGGTATAGATGGGATTCTGAATACAAGGTAACTAAGAAGAGTGAATAGTCTTTGTCTCGACACCTCTTGACAAAGAAACTCGCGATCGAGAGGAGACACGGAACAGGCGGATGGGACCATACTTCCCACACTAAACGAATCTTTCTTGTTTCGTCATTTCGCATTTTCCGGCTTTGTAATTTCCTACCTTATCCCGCTGGCAGGATCAATTTTTTTGTAAATTATACTGGTTGTTTAAGATGAACGTGTCTAATTTTAACGACTTTCTCAGTCTCCCACTGTGGCCTGTGGAGTGCCAATGAAACAGCAACAAAGAGCCGGAAGAGAGCGGGATTGTGCGCTAAATACCATTCTGGTACTTATACATTTTGTGAAGAGAACCTTTTTTAATACTTGAGATATCCCCTGATTCTCGATGGCAATCCAGTATTAGAGTTGATGCAAGGTGTTTCATACGACAAGCTCCGAGGTATCTGCGGCTATGGGACAAAGATCGACGGAGAACCTGGTCCGAAAGAATGGTTGACATTGTCTGCTTTATGCCTCCAAAGCAGATACTATTGGAGATACCCTACCCTGCAGGCCATCTCTGATTATGTGGCTCATCAACATGTACATAAATATAGCATACGTCTGTCACCTTCATTTCTCCTGAATGTTCTCAGTGTCGGCTTACCTCACGGCACGCATTCCCTATCGTGTTACTCTCATCTCACGGCAACGCGATGAAAACCAACAGAAACAAGAAGACAAGAAAGGGAGGACGGACAAAATCTCGAAGAGCAGTATCAGCTAGCCAGTCTAGCAAAACCTCTCTGCGGACTCTCCTGGTTGAAATCCGGATACACATTCTCGGTTACCTGGATAGCCTCAGATCCTTACGGGCGGCCATTTTCTCATGCAAAGCACTGCATGTAGTGCACGGTGATTTTGCAGTGGTACCTGGATTTGAGAGACTACAGCCGTGAGATCAATCATTTCCTCGCTAAGCTTGCGACAACCATGGACATCAAGACTACGGGTCCTCGCTTCAGGGATGACGATCCGAGTTCCAGAATGGTATGGGCCTGGGCGACGGCGGATCCCAAATTCGACCTTGGGAAACTCAGATGTGGTTTCGGCCAGAAATTGTATGGGTGTTTCGTATGGGATGAAGAAAGACTGGCAGGGTCTCGTCTGATGGATGTTTCCCGGTTTGATTAGGAGCGAAAGAACTGATATATCTTTATATATAGAGTACTGTGTGAGATTATTAGATTACTTGGGATGTTCGGATGATCAGGGTGGACAAGGTAATTTAGGTACTTAGGACTATGAACATCACTGATTTAGACCTACATTATGATTCTAAGGGTTATATGCTCTATTCGAAGTCGCACCAACAGTGACTGATATGAAGTCCAAGGTATAATAGTAAACGGACCTCTATCATCCTCCCTATACAAACGAGGATCCTTAAGGCAGGGCTAACCGAGTAATTATGCAATTGATCTATATCTTTTTGATTGTGGCAACACCTCAACGGGTGAAGGAGTTTAAATAAGAGGACTACAGCGTGCTCTTATCCCCCGACTAGCCAGTTTGGCTGCGCGGAGTATCTCCAGTTCTTGCCCGTCGACCAGCCGCCCGTCAGCAACCAGAACCCTCCCATCAACCATAGTCATATCCACGTCTCGCCCAGTACACCCGTGGACCACAGTCGTGATGGCACTGACACCTCCCTCCTCGTCACAATCCCACGGCGCAGCCCCCAGACCCCCCTTTCCATACGGGTCCACCACCACCAGGTCCGCTTTCTTCCCAACTTCCAGGCATCCAATCTCATTCTCCAACCCCAGCGCTCTCGCCCCATTGATGGTAGCCATCTCCAGCGCAGTTCTGGCACCAACCACGGTCGCATCCCGACAAACCCCCTTATGCAGGATAGCCGCCAGATGCATCTCCTGAAACATATCGTAATGATTCGAGCAGGGCGCGCCATCGGTCCCCAGCCCCACGTTGATCGCAAGATCACCCCCCAGCATAGCCGGAACCGGAGCCACCCCCGACGCCAATTTGAGATTCGAGCTCGGGTTATGCGCGATCGAAGTACGCGTTGCGCTTAATAGAGGCAAATCTGTGTCAAGATCGAGGTTGACCATGTGCGCTAGGACCAAGTTATGACTCTTCTCTTTGCCGGGGTTCGTGGTCGCCTGGCTGGAAAGCTTGGTGTTCTGGATGAATTCCATAGCGCTGCACCCGTATAGATCGTGGTAGATTTCTCGGTCTTTGGGGGCTTCTGCGCAGTGCATCGTTATGGAGATACCATGTTCTGCACAACTCTCTCCAAGCTCGCAATATAGAGATGCGGGTGCACCCCGAGGTGTTCCTGCTGCTGCCCAGACGTGGAGTCGGTTGTTGTGGGTGCCATGGTGCTGTTGGTGTGCGGAGATGAGAGCGGGAATGGACATGGCAAGGAGGTCTTTGTCTCGCGGATCGGTGATGGATAGTTGGCGGTTTGTTTCGGAGAATTTGACTAATTTGCCCTGTGAGAGATATGTTCAGCGTTGTTGGATTGTGTACGGGTTCACTGGAAGAGGAGGAAGAAAGTAGCTGCGCACCAAGCACCCCCGGATTCCCATTTCGCCCACAGCATCACACACGCTTTCCCATCCCGCACGATAGGTTATCATTGGATCCAGAAAACAAGTGGTTCCTGTCTTGAGCATCTCGGCGATAGTGAGTCTGGCGGCGTGGTATCCGTCTTTGCCCTCGTAGGACGATTCGAGCGGCCAGATGGCGTCGCAGAGCCAGTTGTGCAGCGGGAGGTCTTCTGCCAGACCACGGAGGAGGGATTGAACTAGATGTGCGTGGATGTTGACGAGCCCAGGAAGGACGATCTTGCCGGTACAGTCGATTGTCACGTCCGGAACGATATCCGCGGGCGCGGGGCATTGGCCGATGGCGGCGATGCGGGTGTTCTGGACGAGCAGATAGCCATCGTGGATGATTTCACGGGCGTTGTTGATGGTGATAATGGTGGCATGAAGGAAAAGGATGGTATTTGTCGCTTTTGATGCCATTTTGGCTGTGGTGATGTTACTTGGGGATGAGAGAGTTCGTTTGTGCTTCATCGGAGGAAAATGGGATCCCTGTCGATCGGCGTGATAAGCCCGCCTCGGCCGAGGGGGCAGCCAGTCAGTATCCCCGAAGAGGGTCGCGCAGCTTATCGCTATCTGGATCTTCCCGTTGTCGGCCAGAGCTATGGGAATCTACAAAATGGAATCCGGCACTAGATCGGCTTTCTGTGCCAGCTATTCTTCCCAACACTGTCATGGAGACCAAGACCAGCCCCATCTTTACCACTGAAGAGGAGACCGCTTCTCCCACCACTGGGGAAGTCGTCACACCGTCGAAGTGGAGTTATTGGAAACACTATCTCACAAGCCGCGATGGGTGGATAGGTGACTATGTATGTGTAAACAATCCTCCAAGGCCAAACTGACATGTTGAAGGACTATATGTACCTAATCACTCCGAACATCTACCCACTCAACAAGCGTTACAAAGATGCCGAACCCCCCTTCTATGGCCTCAACGACGAGGTCCCCATTCTGTTGACCATCATCTTGGGCCTGCAACATGCCCTGACCATGATCGGGTCGGTGGTGTCACCCCCTCTGGCCCTCGCGAGTGGCGCCTTCTACCTCGATTCAGTCCAATCCCAGTATCTAGTTTCGGCGGCGTTCATCACCACTGGGATAGCTACAGCCCTACAGGTAACCCGTGTGCATATATTCAAGTCCCCGTTGTACATCGGAACGGGGTTGTTGTCGGTTGTCGCTCCAACATTTGATGTCATTGCGGTCGCGATGAACTACGCGGACACACGATACAAGAACGGGTCCTGTCCGACCGATGAGAGCGGCTCCCGACTCCCATGCCCTGAGGCTTGGGGAGCAGCACTGGGTACAACTTTGTGTACGGTCTGGATCCAGATTCTCATGTCTCTCGTCCCCCCTAAAGCCTTGAACCGTATCTTTCCGAAGGTTGTCACGGGAAGTCTGCTACTTCTTGTTGGGGTCTATCTCATCTCGAGTGGAATGGAGAACTGGGGAGGGAGTTCGAACTGCGACGGGGGAACGGGGTATTATGCCCTCTGTCCGAATATAGATGCCCCGAGACCGCTCCCATGGTAATTCTTCCCTCACCTTTCAGCTCTAGAGTATCGGGTAACAATCATTAACAAAAAAAAAACAGGGGCGACCCTAAGCTGATTGGTCTCGGATTCAGCGTCTTTGTCACCATCATTCTCGTTGAATTCATTGGCTCCCCGTTGATGAAGTCCGCCTCCGTTATCTTGGGGCTGGCAGTGGGATGTGCTATCTCCGGCGCAACAGGTTACTGGTCTCGCGAGGAAATTGACGCTGCACCAGTCGGTACATTCCTCTGGGTGCACACATTTCCACTTTCGGTGGACGGTGCGCTGGTCCTCCCTCTGCTCATCATGTTCGTCTGCGAAGCGGTCAGTTGTATGCCGGATATTCTAGCCACGGCCGAAATCTCCCGGGTGGACATCGAGGGGCGCGAGTTCCATAGTCGTATCCAGGGAGGTATTCTGTGCGACGGCTTGGGAAGTCTGGTCAGCGCGTTGGGCACCTCGTTGCCTATGGTCAGTCAGGCGGGAAATAATGGTGTCATTTCCTTGACCGGTTGTGCTGTACGTTACCTCCACTCGTTTCTTTCTGCCCTTGCACTAATGTCCGTAGAGCCGTCGAGCGGGTTGGTGTGCCTCGACCATTCTTCTGCTGATGGGAATCTTTGGCAAATTCGGGGCCGTCTTCGGATCAATGCCACCTTCTGTGCTGGGAGGAATGCAGGTGTTCTTGTATAGCACGATTGTTGTGGCCGGCGTGCGTGTCCTCGCACTTGTTGACTTTAGCCGACGCAACCGATTCATTCTCACGGCGTCGTTGGGGATCGGGTTCATGGACATCGTTTCCCCGAGTTGGTTCAGCTCGGTGCTGGCGTACAGTGGGCCGAACGTGCATCTGCAAGGTTTCGAGCAAGGGATCAACCTAATCGTTGAGACGCCGTTCATCATCGCGGCAGTCGTGGGGGTGGTACTGAATCTCGTGCTGAAGGATGAGGGGGAAAAGACCAACGCGGTGTTGCCATAAGCAAACATAGTATTCCCTGCTAGTCAGCTGATCGCACGTGGTCGATCAAATTGTTGGATACCTTCCGCTCTCAGTAATGGATGATGTCTTCTCTACCAGACTATTCGTTCACTGATTCAAAGACATATAATGTTAATCGCTTTCCCAGCTAATACATGAATCGAAACATATCACGCAACCTGTTCCATCAACTTCAACTTCTCCTGCAACGCTGCAAAGTTTCGCTTCATCGCGTTCGCATTGAATTGTTCCCCTGTCACTAGCGGATACTTTTTCTGTGGCCCCTGAATCAAGGCATCCTTGCATGGCTGGTTGAAATATGCAATGCTGTACCGATCCCCATAGTAATCCCCCGGCTCCGACGGCGCCTTGACGCGATGGAATGTTGACTTGAATCGGTCATCCGACCATGACATGAGCAGATCCCCGATGTTGCAGACGATATCCCCTGTGTGTGCCTCCACGCGTGTCCATTCATCGCCAATCCCGAACTCCGTGACGACCTCCCGCCCCGGACAGATCTCGAGTCCGCTCTGACCCTCTTTTTGGAACAGGAGGGTGAGAAAGTCCCAGTCTGCGTGTGCGCCGGCGCGGTGATAGGTCTTTCCATCGGGCTGGCTGGGCAATGCATAATAGTGCAATAGTCTCATGGTGGTCTGTTCGTTGGGTCGTGAAACATCGTGGCATTTGATGAAAAAGTCGTCGTCGAAACCGAGTCCGCGGGCGAAGCAGCGCATGAGTCGCTCGGAAACTTCCTGGACGCGGTGCATAAATGACAGGGAGGTGGCCTTGAAGCCCGGAAGATGTTTGTCGTCCATCCACAGTCCGATCATGTTCTCTCCGAATTGTAGCTGATAGGACTCCTTGGTGTCGGGCTGACCGGTTGAGGGTCGGATTTGGGCTTTCTTCTCCCATCCGACATTGTTTGCATTCCACGGAACCGTCGCTTTGATGTCGTCAGAAAGGGAGAAGAATCGCTCGGCGGTCGAAAACATATTCTCGATCTCCTCGTTGGCGATGCCATGATCGATGAGCGTGAAGAAGCCGACGTTCTCAGCCGCGTCGACCAGCTCGGCGGTGATTTGGTCGATGCGCTGGTCGAAATCCCGCAGGGAGATGCGAGGGATAGTGCGACTAACGTATCTGGTTGTCATGTTGTATGCAAAATGGCACTTGTGATGTTATTGTTGATGTTGGATGGCCGGTCATCTATTAGTAGAGGGAGTAAGCCGTCAGCTCGGCCGAGCTTATCAGCGGGCGGGTGCGATGTCGGCCGCTTCCCCGCCTTATCAAAGCGCGGGCCCCAGTCCCCGGCCGACCAGCAAAGTCAATCGCCGTCATGAGCTCCATCCGTCGACGCCTGGCCTGTGTGGAGTGCACACGGCGAAAGATCCGTTGTGACAAGGTGGTCCCGTGTCGCAATTGCACTAGAAGGTATGGATCCGATGGTTGAGCCAGGCATCGGCTAACTCCGATAGAGGTATCACTTGTTCGCGCGCCAGGGGTACCGATGATGAGGTGGAGCGATTGCAAGCCCGCGTCCAGGAGCTCGAAGCTGCTTTGAAGGAAACCACCCATCTACAACCGCAGATACAACAACAACAACTACAATCACGCTCCAGGTCAGAGATCCTCCGCAATGGTAGCAACACGCCCGTCTCCGAGACAGCGGAGACCCCCGAGCGCGAGATGGCGGACGCTGCCACCATCCTCGAGTTCCTCGCTTGGGGGCGACGGAAGAATCCGGACTATCACGAGGTGTTGGCCCGTAGAGATGGGGTCGAGCATGAGTCTCCTGGGGATGTGACAGCGGAGGGCGGCAGCGTAGATCGCAATCCGGAAATTGCATCTTCGCTGGCCTATCTGCAGCTCCTACTCCCGGATAGAGACCTCTTGTACCAACTCGTCTCCTACCACTGCGAATGTGTCCTCTGGTACCATGGCTCGTTTCACTCTCATCGCCTCCAGGATGAACTTGATAACTTCATCCGTTTTGCAAACGGCCAGATAGCCCATCCTCGAGTCGATCTGCAATGGGTGGCGCTGCTCTTTGCCGTCCTCACTGGTGCCCTAGCCTGCGCGCCTCGCATGACCGCCCAAGCCTGGGGCTTCCCAGAGTGGGAACAGACTACCCTGGCTCAGCGATGGTTCAAAGCCGTCTCAACGTGCCTGCACCACGCTGACTTCACCGCAATCCATTCTCCCTACGCCGTCCAGGCCATCGCTACACTAACCATGTCCGCACATCTCCTGGGCTTCTCAAATAGTCTCTCTGTTCTTCTCGCAGCCGCAACCCGCATTGCCCAGGGTTTAGGCCTGCATCGGCTTGGCTCGGAGAAGGAGACCATGCCCACACCAGCCATGATCGACCGCGAAATCGGGCGCAGAGCATGGTGTCAGCTGTGCATCCAGGACTGGTTCTCTATCCCATTTTCAGAAAGCTACCTGATCCCACGTGGATGTGTCAGTACCGCTCGTCCCCGTAATTGTCGTGACGACGATATGCGGAAATTATCCGACGATGAACCCACCCTCACCAGCTACTCGCGCTTCTTCTACCAAGTTGCTTCCATCATGCCTTCACTGCAGGATAGCATGACAGCCTCAAACACCCTCTACACAAGATACGAGCAGGTGCTTGAACACGATCGCCGGTTACGGAGCCTAGCTACGCAGGGTCTCCCGCTTTATCTTCGAAACATCCCAGTAGAAGACCATCCAGAGTGGCCGCGATATGTGCCGTGGGCCCGTCGCAGTTTGGCAATCAGCTCCTCACATAAGATCATTATGATCCATCGAAAATTTCTCGAATTGAGTTTCACGAACCCAGTTTTTGCGAGGACGCGCCGAACCTGCGTTGCTGCCGCAAGAACGATTATCAAAGAACAGAAGGAGGCGATTCATGATGGGGGTCCCGTCCTCTGGATCCATCAGGCATTTAGTGTTGCTGCTAGTGTATGTATCTTCCCTGCACTCCGTCCTCCCCGGTCGGGATACTGATGAGAAGCGTAGATCATCTTATGTCTCGACTTGTTTCACCGCACCAACGCCGACCCCGAAACCACGTACCACCGCCAACTCGTCAACGATGGCCTGGAGATCCTCTCGCACAGCGAATCCAATATGATTGCACGACGAGGGGTGCATCTCCTAGAAGCGCTGTTGGCACGAGAACGCGACCGAGGCTCTCCGAGACAGCTACCGTCACCGGAGCAGGAGACTGATCGGAACCTGGACCTGGTGGGGGTCATTAGGAGCTTTTATGAAAAAGGCCGGTGGCAGAGGGGCCGGACGGCCTCCCGAGATGGAAGTCAGGGATGGCCGCCTGTTGAGCGTGGAGGAAGTGATCGAACGGGCCAAGCACCGACGCCGGCGGGAGCCACGTCGCCCTCATTAGAAGGATTAGCCATGTCATACGGCTTGGAGTGTGCGGAGAGTTTAGAGGATATTCTAGTCTTGGCGGCCAATTATGCGGCCTGAGGGACTGCCGATGAGCCCTTAAATTTGTCGACTGTCGCGTCTTCCATACTAAACGACAGATGCATATGTAGGCAGTAACCGGTCAAGCATGCCTTGTCTTTGTACTTCGCAATAGTATTGCACCGAAACTTTAGACAAGCAGTTCTTCCATGATGCCATGGCCCAACCAAGCACTGCCTTGTACCTCCGCCCTGGTTCCCCTATTGCCTCCTTTTTTCCCCCTTCCTTCGATCTCCCCTCTTCCGCCTCTTTCTCTCCTACAGATACTTTGGATCTTCCTTCACACCATTCATAATCCTCGCTCTGTACATGCCACCCGCCGGGCTATGCACAATTGCATAAATAGCACAACCCATGCCCATACCCTACCAGCGAGAACAAACACACCAAGTTCCATCATACATCATAAGATAAATCTGGTATCCAGGCAGTCTGGACCGCACTAGACGAATTTATTTCCGTGATGTATACTGCGAGACGGAATCTCAATAAGTTCCCAAGTAGCTGATGAGGGCGAAGGTGTTGCAAGACTGGAACAGTCCAGACCGGCCATGGGGCAATATTGTATTCTGTCGTCGTCGGAGGGTTTATTTTCCATTGTGTATTCCACGACTTGATCTGGATTAACAGTTCACGAATACGAGAAGCAGGAATATAAGCTCCATAATACATGCCCTCGCAACGGAGGGACTAAACATGGCAAGACTCCGTAACCACTCCATACCACCCACCCACAACCACCAACTACCTAACCCCCGCACCATCAAAAAAAATTCCCCCTAACCTGCTGCACCCTCTTCAACTGCAAATCCCTCCACATAACAATCCCCACCACCGCCAACGGCAACACCCCCAACCCAACGACCAACATCCGTTCCTGCGCAACGCCATACGCCCTAATCACCGCCTCCCGCTCCGGCGTCCCCCTCGGAAACTCCAACACCTTCGCAAGCGACCCATACAACTCGCCCGCCATATCCCTCTTCTCCTCCGGAAGATACCGCTCCAGATACCCAGGCACCGTACTCGTCCAAATCGCGCCCGAGATAGCAGCGCCGATACCGCTGCCGATTTTCGAACCTAGGCCGACGAGCGCGAAACTCACGGCGACGGTTTCGTGGTTGCCTGTCGCGAGGGCCGCGATTTGGTGGCAGATCACGAGCGTGCCGCCGGCAATGGCTTTTAGGATTTCGCAGAGGATGACGGCGCTGATGTGGCTGGTGGGTGAGCGGAAGGGGATCATGAGGCCGGTGCCGAGGAACATGAGCGGCATCGCGGCGAGGGCGGGGGATTTGAAGCGGCCGAGGTTGCGGATTAGACTGGATGGTTAGTGGTTAGTGATTTGTTATTGAGGGGGTGTGTATAAGGTAGTGGGGGGAGAGGCATACATTCCAACAGGCAGGGAGACGATGCAGGTACCGATGGTGTAAATGTTACAGATGTAGCCCGTGTTGCGGATGTTGGTGTCGAAGACGACTTGGAGGTAAGATGAGAAATACAGGTCCCAGCAGCTGGATGGGATGTTAGTAATGAAATATGTATGGACGGGGTTTGGGCTGAACATACTAAAAGCTCATAAACAGAGCACAGGCGAGAATGCATGCACCCAGCAAGGTTGGATCTTTGAGACGGCTGTACGGAATCAAGCAGACTAGTGCACCATTGCGTTCCCAGTATACGAAGCACACCACGCAGATCACCCCGAGGATGATCATCGCGATGATATCCGGTGCCATCCAGCGCTCTGCCAGCGATGTACCCCACATGTTGTTGCCCGACGTGGCCAGTGTCAACGGGAGGAGGATGAGCACGAATCCGGCCGTGATGAGTATCATGCCAATTGCTGAGGTTGTTAGGGTGGGGTTGTAACAGGGGGGATGGAAAACGTACGATCGAATTCGATAGCGTAGTGGATGATAGAATGCATCCACGAGCGATTGGTGCGTCCACCCTTGATGAGGCCATCGGACTGCGCTTTGCGACGGGTGTTCCAGAGCAGAAGAAGCAGCGGCGCAGTCACCACTGGTGTCAGGATGGCAAAGGTGCCGAATCCCCACCAGAGAGCATCGTTTTGGTAGAAGACCTGTGCTGCAGCAGGTCCGGCAAAGGTGGTCGCCACGTAGGGAAAGGATGCCATGCCGTACACGAATCCTCGATTGAGGAGCTCAGTGGTATCGGAGAGGAAGACATGCAGGACGTAGTCCATGCCGTTGTATCCGACCCAATAGATGATCTGGTGTGGAGTTAGAAAAGGTCGACCGAGGGTACGGGGCACATGCCTGTGCGGCTATGTAGGTTTCGATGTTGCGACAGAGGGCCATGAGCACGAGTCCTGGACGATCAGCAAGGATGTTGATGGAGGATGAGAGATCCTACCCAGCGTGCAGAGTCCAACCATGACGCTGAACCCTTCCGGGCGCCCCCAAATATCAATCAGCTTGGCGATGGGGAGCTTTGACACTCCCCCGATGATGCTCGTGAGCACATTTGTGGTCGCGATTAGAGAGTGGTCGGTAAAAGCGGAGTAAACATAGGGGTTCAAGCTGCTGGTTGTCTGTTGCTGTAGGGAGTTGACGAAGAAGATCACAAACACCCTGAGAAGTTAGCAAGAGAACACCCCAACGCCGAGAATACTTACAAGACGTATCCAGTGTACAACGTGCGCGTGGACCAGGCGGTAGCCAAAGCTTCGATCTCGGCTACTCCATGCGAGGTATGTTCCGGCGACGTCAAGTCAGGAGATTCCGGGATGGGTTCATAGCCATCCTCTCGTGGGACAGGAACTGAATCTGCTGGGTGCGTGCGACGGACTTCATCCAGGATCTCCCGGGCTTCGTGATACTTGCTCCGCAAGAACCCGAGCATGGTGAACGTGGCCCGCGACGCGAAGCCTTTCAAAGTTCAAAGTCGAAGGAACAAACAGGTTCGAATGTGAGGCCGACCGACAGCGGCCAGCGCTTCAGCACTGAGCTACTACATGGAGGCGGTGGATGGGTGAGATGCAGGAGAACGGAGACGGTCAGGAAGTGAGCTGAGCCGGGAAGAGAGTGTGCGAGCGACGGGCATTGATCCTATCGGCGCTGTCCGAGCGGTGGACCCCTGCGTTAGTCGCACCGCGGCCGGTCGTCATTGGCGGGTCAACCGAGGCATCATATCTGATGGGCTCATCAGATAAGATCCTTCGGGCGACTTTATGTTTTATTATTAACAACCTCATTCCCAAACCAACACGTAAGATTCTAGCTTTTTGCTAGTAAATCAACCTCAACTGCGATACCGTAACTTCGAACAAACTTAGGCCACGTATTAGTGAGGACGAGATCTTTAATATTATCCTTAGCTCGGTCAAAGATTGTTATATTGAATATTTGGGGAATCTCGCCCCAGTATTGCACCTGGCCATTGTTGGTGAATAGCAAACCGGACTCAGCCTTTATGGAGGTAATTGGAGATGTTGAGGGTGTGGGAGCATACCTTGGCGCATCGAAGGGAACGGCGGGATTGGCCGGGCGCCCGTCTTTCCTAATAAGGCCCTCAAAGACGTTCTTCAGCTCCTTCCGGTCCTGCGAAGAGATGTTGATCGGTAACTGTGCATGGTGATCATTGATGAAGGTCGTGTAAATACATAGCGCGCAGTGAAACTACTCCCGAATAGTCGGTAAGATCTCCATAATCTGAGATCCTGCTATCCCAGACCGCATGGGGCAGTAAGCTCTTCCATTCTGCCACTCGGGTCAGGAAAAGTGTTGTAATATGAGGCTGGTGCAGATCAGGAACCAAGCCAAACCATCGGAATTAATCCCGAAGTATGTATACGAAGAATCAACTTGATTTCTAATCAAGTTGATCTTCTCGTTGTATATATAGCCTCATGTTTCCCTCTGAATAATAATAATCAAGCTTCCTTTGAATTACAACAGGTGATCTTGATTTTCTACCCACTCCTCGCCCCTCACACTGACAATATACGAAAATACCCCCGTGCCGAGACAGCCTTACTGCAGCCCACACATGTACTAGATCATCTGCCATCAACCAAATCCGCTAGATTGTAATTGACGGATAATTGACGATCTGATTCGAGATATCGGCATTCATCAAGAACTGAGTTGCCAGTATCTATGCCATCAAGTCTCATTCTACGGCCGAACTTAGGGGACTGTGTTCGCTGATCGATGTAGTTGGTTATATAACTTGCAGCTATTTTGATGTAAATCCATTCACAGCGTTATCATTATCCCGTTCACAGGGTATCTAGCAAATACTTTCAGAAACCTTTTCATCAATATTGCATTTCTCAAGTGGAACGGAACGATTAATATTTTCCCTTCTTCCCGGAGAAACTTCAGTCTCGGAGGCTGAAAGATGGGACAAATGAAGCCCTAGCCACTAGATACTTAGATGGTTGGTAATAGGATGGAGTGTTTTACTATACTCGGTAAGAACACCGGTACCAAGTCTAGCAAGACCGCTCGGAATCTACAAAGTAGTACAATTCAGCCATACTCGTTGGGGAGATCTTGGGCTAAGCTACCCCCACCTTCCCATGCACTAGTTTTTATAGTGTGTACGGTTAAACTGAGATCAAATCCCGCACGGTTATATTATTCTTCGATATTCATACAATCATCACCATTACACATGGGCCGCTTATCTTATTGGGTAAAAGCGGAAATGTTAATATAACTGCACTTTGTACCTGTCGCACTCGTTTTCCTTCTTTGGTTTCTGTACCCAACCGTTGACCTCTTATTATACCCTTCCCATGATTTTATCCGATCTTCCCACTCTTCTATCGAGGATAGCTGCGGATTACTTTCCGTTACAAGTCCCATTGCTAGCCTGTCCACTAGACCAATGCTGAGTAATAACAACATAGGTATGTCCTGTATGAAATCGAAATCAAACATACCAATGGTGAAAAGTCCGGTCTTTAGCTATTATCTGGAGGCACAGCAAGTGCCAGTCTTCACAAAGGCAATGCCTACCATTCTAGTGGTATTGAGGAGAACTATACAGTGTGTCTTGTACCTGGCATGATACTCATTGGACGATTGAGGAAAGAGTGCGGACAAAGGAAAACCTCCCAACTGGCGATATCGCGCAGTTACGGTGGGCCCAAAGAACACCAACCAGATCCGAATTGCTTGCCGAAATGAAGCCGAACACCAGCTGGTTAGGAACATTGCAGAAGTAATGGTTAGCGCAGGAATCTAGATGCTCTAGAATGATACTTATCCACTCAAAGTCAATAGCGTCAAGAAAGCAGCAGTACTAAATGAAGATAATAAGATTAGAGAAGGGACTGCAGCAATAATTTTCTATGAGGAAAAAATAGATCACATGGCTTAGTACTTACGGAGTACAGACAACAACAGTATCCGGAAGGCCGCCAAATACCTAAAGACTGTAATACTCTTCTGCTAGCAAACAGAGGCAGAGACAGGCTTCAGAGTGGAATTAGAGAAAGGGGGCCGATTGAATGGAAAGATTGTGATGTAATTCAACTATGAGTTGACACTTGCTATGGGGGCTACATGCAATCTTTGAGGCACGAACAGCCTTCGAGATATAAGAACAATAGTGATAGTAGCAGATAGCTATCGAAAAGAAAGAGCGGATCTCAAATTCGAACGCCCGGTGGGTACAACATCACTTATGTCTCAAATAGCGCGGCCACCCCCCTACTGCATGTTGAATGCACGTACCAAGCTAGGCGTCAGACTGTTGAAGTAAGATTCGTTGTTATCAGCAGCCCAGTTGGACTAAAATTTTCACGGTCTGTGGCGGGCAGCGTTGATAATGGAATCTTATCGTGCTTGTCAGCCTGGCGCTATCAGTCAAACTTATGCTGTACTCACTATCACTAGCCTTCCACGACCTTCACCGACAGAATATAAGGATCGTCGGAGTTGTAGCTGACTGTATGCACGCCAGGAAGGAAAACAGTAAGAGAGTATCGGTCGGTGGCATCGATGAAGTAATATGTACTCCCAAAAGTTCCTTGCACTTCGCTCACAACAATATCGAGTTGGTACTTGTAGATCAAGCCATCAACTTCAAAGAGTTTGTATTGGCTGATACCTGTTTCCTTCTCGAAGTCCGAATCAGTTTGCTTCCACGTAGCATCGCCCACCGGCCAGCCAGCATCATATGTGCCCGATCGGGCAGCACATGCCAGTTGGAAGAGCCCGAGAAAGAGGAAGAAAAGATAATTCATTGTTTTGATTGCGGGGGGGTACACTCAATGGGGAGATGAGATTGTGAGGGTGGAAGGAAGAACGAGCACACCTTCTATCCTTAAATACGCCAGCACTTGCATACTTCGGTGCCATGGTATATTGCAGCACGGGCGGTTTACTGGTCACAGAAGGCTCAGATGTACATACATAGTCTGTATGTATACGGTCTGGATTTGCTTCTCTCATGATCGCGATACAACAGAGTATTGTCTCTGCTCCCTGGACCTATCGCCCTACGCGCCAAGAGATGTTGCGTGATTCGGCTGAAGGGTGGAAACCCGCGTACGGCTGAGCCGTCGAGGTCGACTTCAAGTAGAGGCGGGGTTTCGGAAGATGCTTGAATGCATGACAGGGAATAGAAGGGAGTGTGATATTGGTTGCTTTCAGCTTCCCAGCTTTGATCGGCGATTGCTGATGCATCTCACTACCAGTTGATGAATCAATGGAGCTGGGAACATTCCTTCAGAGCCATATAATCCTATTGGCTATGATTGAGTGGGACTAGGTTACATTGCATGCTAGCGGTGGTCTTGCTACATAAATATACATACTAAGGACTGCCGATATTGCTCTCTGTTCCAACCAAATTTCGAATGTCATCTGATTGGATTGCTCTGCCGGAGACTTTCTAAGCCAGATAGATCTGATGGTCAACAAATCAGAGCATGTAACCCATGAATTTGAGGATGTCTGTGCCCTGAACAGGGAAGATAATGACTGACTGATTAATATAATGACTAGCCAGACTATTACACAAAGCATTGTTCCAGTTGCACATGGATTAATTCTTTCCCTGCCATGACTACTACTAGCCACCGTACTGCATCGGAAGGAGAAAGGCATCGGCACTGAAGTAGCCTATATGATGGAAAATATTCCTAAGGATCGTGCGTGAAGCTGACGGACGTAACCCGCGGTTAGTTTCTCATACAAAGCAGTCAGTCCCAAGACGGTGACGGAAAATAGATCGGATTGGTGGATTTCAATGCGCAGGTCACTAATATGTCTATACCCACAATTGCAATGAAGCGCACATCGAGCTGAAGGCTGCAGTCCATTTTAAGTGTAAACTCATATGCCCTTGGAAGAGCTAATTCGTCGAAGATGGGACTTACTATAGCTAGCACCATGCGGAGGTTACCGATAGTCCAAGTATTTAAGTGATGAGCTCAGCTGAATCACCAACCGAGATAATATCAGAGAGCCACGGGCAGAAGACAAAGGAGTAACCGAATATCGCGCAGAACGCTCTCGTAGCAATCAGTGCTATGGAGCTGCTGAATTAATTATATACGAGGTCTTGTTATGGTTACCGCACAGGGCTTACCTCTGTAATGTAGTTTTGTCTGAACTCATTTGTTCAGCTGCGGATGAGCTGAGGATAATTTACTATGTAGTCAGTCATCGATGTCTCTGTTCACCATACATAGAGGGTTGTCCGACAAAGATGGTGGGATTTTTCCCTAAAACTGAATGAAGTGCCCGACATCCTGGACTGACATAGGAAATATCCCCGTCCTCAAGAAGTTGACCGATTACCCGAGACCGGTTAAAGTCAACGAACTATTCAGAATGGAAGTAAATCGTTTCCTATAACAGCTGCACCTATTTATCTTATAAATAATACATCTGCTATCTATGTATATGTGCAGCGCCCGGGATCATCGACCAGCGAGATAACTGATTACAGTACGAGGACACTGTCCACACATTACGAGAAAATTCTTTTTCAGATTCTTTGGCTTCACCTGAATGACGCCATTGCTGAATGCTCAACCTAACAAGCGCTTAACCGGTCTCTTAGTTCTGGGATCGTTAACTCTGCAACCTCATTTTCAGTGGACCAGTAGGCTCCTCGAGGTTCACCAAATATATTCAGGAATAACTAGCTGACCTACCATTTGACCCACCATTACCTCGCCCCTCATCGATCCAATTCAGCTTGGTGGTCGAGGCAGCTTCAATACCTCGGCCCATGGGAAGAACGCCATCGCATGCCCCCATCCCTGGTTATTACGGTCATAAACGCACGCCATCCGTGTTTAGCATCTTGTCGGACCATGTACGTGAGGGGTGTTTTTTCCCTTATACGAATATCTATCTGATCAACTAGATTTTCAAGATGATGAACTAGTCACCTGGAGGATGAACAGCTGACAATCTCCAGGCTGCCTTATCTATCTGATTGAATGGAAGGTGACTCTGCCGTATGAACATGAAAATATACTATAGCCTACAAATACGATAGAATATACTAATGAATCAAGATATCTTTACATTAGCATTATATCCGGTAGTTTGAGATATGTTTAACTGATAGTATTAATACAAACAAAATGTGAAATAGCTATACTAACCTGTTAATTTCTGGTTTAAAAAACACCTTTAGTGCTTGACATATAAATATATCTTAGTGCACTAAACACTAGACCAGAAACGATGTATCGCGTCTAGTCAAACCAGGCGACGGAGAGATATGTGTCCCAACATAAAATAATAGAAATATATGATAACCTGTATTGTTTGATGTTTCCGACTCTAACACTAGTCAGAAAATATTAAGTTTTCAAATAATAAAGTAAACTTAATGTCTTCCTAATCAATATAGTAGACAGCACGTACGTAGAGATATATAGAGATAAAAAAACTAGAAGTCAATCCAAATAAACGCTTAGATATATACCATTGAACAACATTCCGCCGGTGACAACATTATGTAAGGATTGATTTTACTTATGGATTTCGGTCAAAATGCATTGGATAATTCCTTATTGCCTATACTTCTTGCTTGATATTGACACCGGGGACGGGTTGAGTTCCTGGAAAAGTGATTTGGCTCTTAGGCCGCGACAGCTGCAACAAGCTCCAGATTGAACTCTCAATGATCTTCCTGGATAGAGAAAATGTGACCCAACTTTGACATCCTTTTTGTTGCAAATAGTGCTTTCTCGCATTTGGAGAGTCCACATCGTCCATAATTTACCGTCGTCTATGACTCATCGTATGGCATTTGGAAGTTGCGACATACTTGACAAGATACCAGGCCCGACACAAATGATAATGATTCGAGAGATAAAATTACTATTGACAGCTCGGGATGCCCAATTTTCAATTCCATATCATTACATCAAGGCTGCGAAAGTCGATCTATGCTACACAGTACATAGACGTGCATTATGACTTGTTGGTAACAGCAAATAGCAATATTCGTAGATATTTCATCAGGAATATATAGGAATACGTTCCGGTTATATTGAGCTCATAGTAAATCATGGCGGAGTGAACCAACCATTAGTTACTCAGTCAACATTGAGGCCATATATAGAGCTATTTCTTCACAACCATTGCACCTCCCCATAGCGAGCCGACATTCAATCGAGTAGGATGCAGTTCCAACATTCGGGAATACAATTCCTCGGGAGAGGACGTTTGTCCATCCAGTCGCGTGAAGTCATTCAGGTAATCCTTGGTCGCTTGGACGGCATCGGGAGAATATCCCTTGGTTGGATCACTATGACCACCAACCACAATTTTTGGTCCAAGGGTCAAGATCTTGTCGAGCGCTGCCACCCATCGCGATCTGGCCTCCTGGGACTTTGATTCTCCAAGGAACGGGTGCGTGTTGTTGTAGACCGCGTCTCCCGCGACTACCAAGCCAATTGTAGGCACCCAGAGAGCCGTTGTATCATCGGTGTCTGTATGGCCCAGTCTAACTACTTCCAATCGCTCGTTTTCCAACATGATGTGGTCTTTCTCAAGAGGTGTAGCCATCACGAGCTTTTCTGGGATCTCCCCAGGAAAGAGCTTTCTCCAAAAGCCGTCCATGCCTTCTGGGTTTATGGCTTCGACCATCCGAGAAACAGTCTCGCGCGTAGCCAAGACTTTTGCCTCTGGAAATTTCTCGAGGAGGGCACCGGTGCCATAGAAATGATCGCCGTGGGCATGGGAGATATAAATAGTCGTGAGGTTTTTTCCCGTACCTACCACCCAGTCCACCAAGTCCTTCGCAGCAGCCTTGGTTAACTGGGTATCGACCAGCACTGCGTCCCTTTGACCAAATATTAAGGTCGAAGTGGTCGGCACCCACTTGAGATGATCGCGACCGGCTGGTGTGGACCGGTTCACGCCGGGACGTGTGCTGCTGAAGACTTTGTAGTTGAGACTCATATTGTCAACGATCGATGAAGTCAACTTGAATAGATTCAACTTGAATAGATGGATGAAATAAAATATGGCACATATAATCCATTGATGTATCCTTAACTCTTTATATCAATGCTGGGTATAGTTCAATAGAACTGTGACCCAAACATTGGTAAGCAACAGAGGTGGCGAAGGATTACTGATCATTGGCCTCGGCAACTCAACAGTCCGTTTCTTGACCGATCGTAATTTGCGTTGTTAACAAATCAAAGAGATGCTCGGCTTTATAATAGTTATAATCGATAAATAGGTAAGATTCCAACTTGCATCTCGGCAGTAGTACAATCAATGAGCTCCGGCTGCTATATACAAGTAGACCCGCAACATCTTGGTGGCTGGAAATAATACCGAAGAGCCCACTGTTAGCATTCGGCTCAGTTGGGTCTGCTATCAATACGCCGAGATCTGGAAGGATGAACCAAGAAAAACTAAGACGATTATATTGAGAGTCTTATGCTCCCAAACAAAAAAGAAAAAATACATACAACAGAAGGGATTCGCTGGTGGTCACCCACCCAACTACTAACCTCCCGGCGTGTGGCTTGAGTACGGCTGAGCGGACGGGAAGCCCTATTTTCCACACCCTGTGGTCGTATGTACTCAATCTTTGTAACCATGGGCTCATATAGCATGTATACTAGCCAAAGCATTCAAGGGGACGGAGTGTATGTAGTAGAGTGCTCTTTTCACCTCTTTCCATCTTGGAGAAATGTTGACCTTTTGCACTGTCACCTTTAAGGACCCGCCTCTCGCCTCCACCATCCCAGTTATACTAACATCATTGTAGATGTCTTTGTTAATCACCGTACAATTTCAAACTAAGCCATTATGATAAAGCGAAAATGCAGCACTTACTACTTCGATCATTCTGATGCGGCATTGTTTCGGCGGTTTTCTGATATAGCACGTACAAAATGTCCCACCGGAGACTTCTATATAACGAGGCAGGTTGGTTGACTGAATCTTATCACCACATCCTCCTGAACGCAAGGAATGAGAAATAGAGAGAAACAAAGGAAGCTATGTACAGCTGGTCAAGTGCACAAAGATGTGGAAGATATGAGCTAATTCCCGACTAACTATGTAATAGCCTTTGAGGAACATACGAGCTAGGCTAGGAAGTGCGGCTAAATTGTTGAAAGTCCTAGGTACCTCTAACAGCTCCTAGATTGGCAACCATCCGAACAATCGAAACATGAATTCATTCCTCATCAGTTGTATGCTCCCACACCTCTTCCTCCTTGACAGGTTTCTTCTCTGGATCTCGCCACTGGTAGCAAACGATTTTCTTGAAATCAGGCTGGCAATGATCCCATATAGCTGCATGACCTCGCGTACGCATAGAAATGCTGTGCCCTGAGAAATTGATGTAGTCAACTCCATGAATATCATAGTAGAGATAATGGAGATAGTCGGTTAGTTCTTGAGAGAGTTCGCATCGTTTCTCATCAGCAAAGGAAGATACCAATTCATCGCCAATTAGCTGGTTCAGATCAACCATTTCATATACCATGTATAGGTGCTTGAGCAACATCCTCTGATATCGCTGTTGTCGAGATGGTCGATCGAGAAGTAAAAGACTCCAAAATTGGTAGTAGCTTCGAGTGAACCGATGACGTTCTGATGGAAGTAAATGCAACGGACGTGGTTTTCCTCCGTAGAATTCGTCATCGATGCTCGTGAGAGGGACTGTATAATATATAATTTAGCAAATATCTATTTATATGACTGCTTATTGATCTGTCTACTCACTCCGAATATTTGGGGTAATATCACGATCAAACAGCTCGATTGCTTTCTCCACCATACGAGAGTTGCGTCTCAATCGTAAAAGATCCCGAATAGTCACTGAAGAAGAATAAAGTGCCAGGCCTCCTTGATCTGCTAGTAGGACTCTTGCGTAGCGCTCACATGGGATCTTTCTGCGTAGGCGTTTGTAAATGGTAGGCGTATGTTCACTCAAGACCTGGCGCAGCCGACGGCAAGTCGCGGCCAAGTGGAGCGCATCCGGGAGAGAAAGTTCCCCGAATATGTTGATGATGACCTCGGTAGGAATGGGGTTTGGTCCTGAGAATGTATGCATGATGAGCGTGGTGAGCGATTTCTCAAATATGGTGACTCGCCGAGGAATGAATCATGCACTTATCTTGCGTCTGTTTGCTTCTTAGACAGTCTGAGATCATGTGATCGGACTGATGTAAACCTGCGACAACTGCTTCAGGCTGCAACAATTTGGTCTTTCACAACGCTTTCCCATATTCAGACTTGAGCCAAGGCCTTTGTCGCACTAGTTTCAAGGCAGATTTGGGGGCTAACTAATAGGACTCCTGCCAGGGCGGGGTCTCAGTTGCGACGGGGGAGGTGACTATGTGGCTAGGTCCGAGATCACGTGATCTCCTTTCACAGTGAGAGCTTCATTGTCTCTCCAGACACTATTGGTGAGCTCCATTTCTCAAGTTGTATCTCTTACATCTTCCCTAGCGTACCACTCTTTCACCCGTGCCGCTGTGGTTCTCCCCATCACTTCACCGGCGATCGGGTGATTCCATGGAAATGACAGGCTAGTCGGGCTCCACATGGCACAAAAGGGGTAGTGGGAAATTGTATGTTCCGCCGATACCGCCATATATCTCGGGATTAAGCCATGGGCTCCATCCTGATTAGACCCAGGCCATTCGACCAATTTGGTTAGTGGGTTGAGAGTACGGGGTGCTTAAGAATCAGTTCTTTTCGTCCATTGCAGGTTGTTCAAGGCTAAAGCATCAATTACTATCTACCACTGACTATCTAAAATGCGGGCGAAGTCCACTGACGATAGTTTGATCTCCGTCCACAAACGTATTTCTTCGGCATTCCGATGTACTTCATGTCCCCATTGATAACCGAATTGCTTGCATTGTAAGAATCATAAACCCGTGCGGTCATTCCGGCCGCTAAATCACCATGCTCCAGGGAGGACTTGCCAGCCCCAGGCTTGGAAAAAGACGACGCTCAAGTATCACTTGAGATGATCTTACTCTCAATGCCGTCGTTGTTAAAGAAAACCACCTGCACAGCCATATCGTCTAGTACACGCCGCGAGGATGGGTGGTCGAAGGCAAGACGGCCTGCTATCATCTCGTGGTGATTTCCTCCAAGAGCATTACGCAGTAGATGCACGGCGGCATTGTCATCCTGGACTGTTTCTCTCTCCTCCACAAACTTCCAATCCATGTCCTTCCAGAATGGACCAAAGTCGAACGGTTCATAGGTTGGCTCGGGGTCAGTGCCCTTCCCGGGTGCTCCCGATTCCAACCATCGCCCTACCAGGTTGACTGCCTGCTCACTGGAGACCAAACCCCATAAGCCGTCCGTTGCCATGATAAGGAAGGAAGGGCTTTCGGGGTCAATCTTGGTGCTTGTGACAATAGGCTCAGCCGTCAGATACGGGGGTGTTTGAACAGCCCGAGTAGGTACTGGGCCATAAAACCGCTGTTGCACTTCCTTCTGGAAGTCGATAGGCCACTTCCATTGACAATCACCAAAAGCCCGTGACACTCCAAGACCTAATACACGTCCATTGCCAACGATGTATTCTTCACCGGGATGCTCATTGAGTATCCTAGCAACCTCACTGCCGTTGTAACAGGTCTGGTCACTGATAAAGGTGTTGCCACCCACTGGCCGTCCACCTTCTGCCCCAATACTGCCCTGGAATCACCGGTACATGCCACATGCAATGTGCTTGCAATAGGATCATACAGATAGCAATGCACATGAACCACTGAATGCGGGAGCCAATTTCTTCACCTTCACTGGCAACGTCTCTTCCCTCTGGCACATATAGTAGGCTTCTTTGATAATCGAATCGTCGAGCTTCACGAATCCTTGCATGATTGCGTCTTGAACCAGTTCCTCAGGTACTATTTCCTCGCCTGAACGGGGCCTCAGCTGACACAAGCTGTGCCGAACAAAAGGCAATAGGATTTCCCTCAGAAACACGACTGTTTGGCAGCCCATGTGACCGTCAAAGATACCCCAGGTCATCCAGTAGTTGCCATCATTCCACGGTGATGGAAACTTGTCATGAATGAACTGGTCTTCACATGGGATGTTGGAGGCTACCTGTGCCCCATCATACCTCACAACACCCGTGACATGTCTGACCGGAAACGAATATGCTGCCTCGGATAAAATGCTTGCTACTTGGTCTCTGGAGATTTCTGGCCCAACTTCCCAGCGATTGGATGGCAAGCCTCGAAAATACGGCGCATCGTACTGGGTTGCGTCGTCATGAGTAACATCATCGTAGGTCGCACCACCGAGGGTCACATCATCGTCGGCCACATCATCATCGGCCACATCATCATGGACCATGTCAGTGCGACGTTTCATCAGATACCAAATTCCCGGCGTGACAATACCACATCCGACTGCAATCTTTCTTGCCCGGCTCCATGATGAAGCTGGACGCTGTCTTGAGTACAGATTTCGAGCCGATTTTCGTAAAATTGGGGCAGCTGCCACGCGTAGGCCTGTTCGAGACACAGCGACTGGAAACATTGTGGTGAGATGTAAACGAATGAACGAATAAAGCAGAGCAATATCAATAGCTGGCTCTCCTCAATTGGAATCAGCTGAAGACATGAGTATCCTTTCGGCGGAATATTAGGTAGTGGAAAGGGGTTGCTGGCAGTTTCTCCTACTGCGCGGCAGGAAGAGCTGCATGGAAACAGGAAGCCACGACCGCATGGTGGCAGAGGGTCACGAGACCAAGGCCCCCTGGGTGCGCACTTGAATCCACACATACTGCCTATCTAGGTAGGAATCTATCATATGAGCAGATATGAGTATGAAGATCAGGCTTATCGGGGTAGTAAGCAAGATGCGCAAAGGACGATGTCATTCAAAGTTTCCCATGATAGCAATAACGGAGGTGAATACGCTTCAAAGATTCAACTAACAAGTCTTCAACGGGTCTTTTATCAAGATATGCTTGTGCACTGATCCATCATGCTGGGAGGCGATACTGACGTGGAATGAATTGGATTGGGGACAAGGATTGATGGTTATGATATACGGCTGGTGAGAGCGCCGCACATAGGCGCCTAAGTGGAGTTCTTTTCGCATTCGACTCAGGCTCTACGCAAGTCCAGCAAACCGTGCTATATTCGATTCAAAGCTTACATGGGAGTCTATATGAAGTCCAGCAGAGAGGTCTCCTTAATCTAGAATCGAAAAGGAATCTCTTTTCTTTTGTATATAACGCACCATCACAATGCTGGTACAGAATTCGCTATCAAAGTGGGCTGTCAAACCCGTCATCCTTGAATAATGTATCATGGATCGAATTGACATAATTCATACTGTGAGTTCCCCGTATAACTAGAGCTAAATTACCATCTTGCGCAGGGCTTGCCCATCGTATTATTCTGCATCTTCGTATGAACCATGACCTTTGGACACTCAAGCAACGCATTAGCTCAAAATCAAAGGGTATCCCATCCGGTTCGCCTGCACATTCCACCCCTCACACCATACCTAATACTGCTATTCGGCTCACGCTGTCTCCTCCTGGGCTTTGTGGACAGTCTCAGATGTCTCCGCGTGGCGCGTTTCAATCTTTGCCTCCACGTCCACATGACCATGTTCCAACTGCTCGAGCTGCCTGGTCTTGATTCCCGTCTTCCATGCAGGGGTACCAATGTACTTGATGCCGTTGGGATCCTCAAACATCGCCTCAGTCTCTTCAAGTGTCTTGCCTGCCGTCTCGGGGAACAAAAACAACACATGCAGGAACATTACCGTGTTGAACACTCCAAACATGATATACGTCTTCCAACGGATGTTGGAAAAGGCCGTGGGAGTAAACAGTCCCAAGGCCATGTTAAAGGCCCAGTTGCCCGAGGTCGAAAGAGCAACTCCCTTACCACGTAGGCGCAATGGGTACAGCTCGGGAGGGTATGTCCATGACACAGGACCCCATGTAGGCGCATAGGATGCGACGAACAGGTATGTGCAAGCGATCAAACCCTTGGCTGGAGCGCCATGGAGCCGCATGGACTCGGCTGCAACACCATTAATGCCGCCAGGAACAACAACACCGTGTACTGCCATGATGGCACCGTTCGCATACATGAGAATGGCCATTAAGGCTGCGCCAACGAGCAGAGGATAACGACGTCCCCATCGGTCCATCCAGATCAAAGCCGGAAGTGTCATGAACACATTGATAATATACTGGATGGAGGAAGCAAGCAATGTAGCATTGCCGGTGTATCCAGCCATAGCGAATAGATAGGTGATGTAGTACACTAATATTGGTGTCAGTGGATTATGTCCTTGCCTTCATGATCGAGAGGCTGAGAATTGGAGACGGGGTACACGTACTCATCACGTTCATGCCGGTCAGCTGCGACCAAATTTGCATAAACAGACCAATCATGGTGCGATTGATCATCTTGGGCTTGAACAGATCAAAGTAGGTCACATCTTTATACTGGCGTTCAAGCTCGCACATATCCCGGATATCCTGCATCTCAAGCGCAACAAAGGGGTGGCCCATGTCACCTTTGGCGTGAACCAGAGCCAAGACCCTATGACAGTCCTCCCAGCGGTCCTTCCGTGCTAACCAGCGCGGAGACTCGGGAAGCAGCATCATGGCGAAAAAGAGGAAGACGGCGGGAAGCATTTGCAGACCCCAGGGAACTCTCCAGGATGCCGTGCTGTAGTTGTAAGACTTCTGGCCCCCAATGAATGAGCAGCCATATGAGATGCTGGGAGACCAATTAGCTGGGCGTTTCATAGGCGTCACATGTCTTTCACTTACTAAAACATGATGAGAATACCCCATGTAATCGCCCACTGCTGCATACCGACGAAGCGGCCACGTTTGGAAGGAGGCGAGAGCTCACTAATGTAGACGGGGACCTGCGCAGACTCAATTCCCACCGAGAGCCCGTTAATAATCCGACCTACGACAAGCATGCCAATGTTCTGGGAGGCGCAAATAAGCGTTGAGCCGATGAGCCTAAACCATACCAGCGGTCAGCAGTGTAACTGGCGAACGCTCAAGCGATCAACCTACCAGATCACACAACCAGTCATGATGGACGCCTTACGCCCAATACGATCCGAAAGAGGACCAGAAATTAAGGCGCCCAGCCAAGAGCCGGCTGCCATGGCCGCGGTGATACCACCTTGGTTGAGGGAGGTGGGGCCAGAGCAATTCTCACTGTCGTTGAAGGGGGGTCCTTCAGGACCCTGGTTGAAGTAGCATAGGTAGGAGTTCTCATTGAGCTGGGCGGACATCGAAGAGATGTCGAAGCCAAACAGGCCGCCGCCGACTACGGCGACGCCCGCAATCACGTAGATGTTACCAATCAACATGATTGTTGTCGGGTGCTAAACACTGATCCAGGCTTCCCCGCGGGAGAAAACGAAAGAATAAGCCGAGGGGTAAATAGATGTAGGCGGTTGTCACCTAATATATACCTTCCGAGAAAGTGCGTCAGCCAGGAGTCATACTCGGGGGGAAAGGGCGAACCCCGCATTATGGGACAAAAACTTCTGGAGTTGCAAATTGGACCAGTCGTGCCACTGTCCAGGACCAGGAACTTACCGTTGTATGTGGTCGGGCCACCCAGCGATCTTCGCCAGTGCATCGACGCGTCTCGTGGCGGAGGTACCCAATCGCTGATTGGGCGATGAGGTCAAGTGATGATACGATGAACCTGGCTCCGGATGTGAGAGGGATCGGGATCCTGGTCCGAGCACGGCCTGAAACCCTCTGGGGACGCAGTAAAGTTTGGTGGCAGTTCAGGTTGGTTAGGGTGACTGTGAGGACCAACCCACCAGAGGGATCGAGGGATCAATGTCACCTGGGTTCGATGAAGAAAGGATCAGCGAGGATGGATGGTAAGCTAGACGGATGACTGACCGCGGTTTCTTTTGTTCTTCCCCGGATGCTCCTCCCCCAGCTCCACCTGTATAACGCCCTGGAGACTTCATACTCGTGGGATGTACTGGAGAGCCACATGGGAGAAGCTTGTTGGGCTCCATACGGGAGGAGGCGCAAGGACCCAGAAACAACGGGGATAAGAACCAAGCGTTGATAAGGCTTATGTGTGCTTGTCATAGGAGTTAGCGAAGAAGACCGGGCGTGGATCCACGGGATTGGGGAACGGAGCAAGGCTGGTCATGTAGCAGTGCAGTTGGAAGGGAAAGCTGACGGACCAGCCCGACGCCGTGGTCTTGTCGTTTCCTGCTTCCCCGCATCACCCCGGAATGAGGTCGGGGTCCATAAGGCGGGATATAGTGATCGAGACCGTATTAAACAGTATTTTACACCCGAATCGCTCAGGGCTGTGTACAGTATGGTCACAAACAATACTCGTGGCACCTCCATGCCCCGCAGGTAGGGCAGAGTCCCCCTACTGTGTAGCCAGCTAGCTGAGGCTCCACGCTGGGATAATGTGCAACCCACATCAGATGCTGAACAACGAGCCGCCAGAATGGGAAGAGGCCTTTTGTCCCGCAATTATGATGATACTAGCACAGGTCTCTTCTGCCAAGCGAAGCCAGAAAGCTCGTCGGAAATGCTGAGTCCGAAACGCGCGAATCTGAAAGATATCGTCACGAGACCGGTCTACCAATTAGAGTCACTAACATACTCCGTACACCAAGCTGAAGGCTCGCTCTAGGTTGTTAGTTGGGATCTCATTAGCCAACATTGGTATCCGTACTATGACCTGCCTTAGTGAGCCGCTAAATCACTTTGTATCCCGATACCGGGGAATTACGCCTTCCACGTCATCATACAGTCTATGACTGACATACTATACCACGTAAGATTTCTAGCTGCTTAGCAGCTCGACTACCCCGGAAATTAGGATGCTCGTCTCAATATAAGCGAAAGATAGGATTGGCACGAGTCATGTACTAGCGTCAAGCTACGAGGTTGCGTCCTCAACCAAAGAAACAACCACAGCGTAGCACAAGCCCATTGCGCGCGGATGTCTCGGTCTCTCATAATCCCGTCCAACCGACCCCGCGCATCGCATGAGGTTGAATATAGGCACTCATTAGCCCATCAAAGGATCTAATGCATCGATAAATGCCCGATATTGGTCCTATCCTTGGATGCAGATCACGCCACTTGACGCCCAGGGTATATCGTTGTCAATGCAACCTCCCAGGTCGGAGAATTCTCCGATGTCACCCGCCGCTTCCACATGTCAATCACAGGTTTGTTGGTCGGAAAGTGTTCCGACGCCTTGTTGGTTCCTCTTGTGCCCTGTTCGTATTTCCCTATATGGTCCACAGAGCTGCAAACAATGTCTGGCTTCCTTAATATATTGTGCTATACCCAAGACTAATCATTAGTAATCGGAAATAGAGATCCCCATTCATTGTCCTTGATTTCGCTAGCTCGATCCTTCATGCACCATAATATGTTCATTATATTTATGAACATGGTGAAAGCATAGCATACTCAGCTGGTAGCGTGTTATTAGTCCCTGCAGCAAGTGAATAACACCGTTGCCCCGAGAAAGCAAACAACAGTTGTGTGACTTCGTCTTACCATACTCCGTACTGTGTTACGTCTAGGTCGGGGTCACGGGACCAGGCAGACTACGCGACTTCCTCTACTCGAACTTCTCTCAAGATCAAATCAGTTGCAGTCATCAATGGCTAAATTGGGTCTATCAAACGCTTCAAACTGGAAAAGAAAAGGATATCACAAAAAGTACCCCAAACATGCTAATCTTGCACAAAAATCATCAGTTCTTCGACGATGAAGAATTGGTCCGGTTGGACGCCGCATCATACAGGCCTTGGATGTCAGCCTTCCACTGGCTCTCATCCACGCGCTTGACTCTCCGATCGTACGTCATCAGCCCGTTCACCTCGCCCTCAACGTCCGCGGTCTGAGTCCACACACCCGCACTGCAGGCATACAGACGGACCTGATCTTGGAGCTCGGAAAGCAGAAGGTGGCTGCGATAGTTCCAAGCGTCGAGATCCAGATCAACCTCATAGGTCTGGTTGATGCTGTTGATGGCTTCTTGGTTGTTCCAGAGACTGTGGCTGATTAGTGTGGTCCTTTTTGTCTAGGTGCTCGCAAACTTACTGGTCGATCGAGACGTTGTGACCGAGACCTCCGAATTCTCCTTGGATGCCAATCCGGTTCGAATCATACGGGGTCGAGTCGATGGAATAGAAAGGAGTGCCACACTGAGGGTTCGCATAATGATGGTTGTCCTGGGAAGCGTTAGTCAAGAATGATTTGGAGCTGAACGGGTTGTGGCGTACACTGAAGTCACCCGCACCATGGTCATGCCAGCCGGATGTCGCGTCAACCAGTCTGGTGGGGTCAAGCTGCTTCACAATCGACGTCAGGTTAAATTCGGGATAGTAGCTGGTGATTTGGCCCCAGCCCTCGTTGTAAATCACCTATAAAGATGGAAACAGTCAGACACGGTAAGTAAAGCAGCCAGTGATGCAGTTGACTTACCCAGGTGAAGATGCTAGGATAGCTTTTAAGCTGGTTGACGAGAAGCTCAAGCTGCCGACCGAATTCGTTTTGCTGGTCAGCGTTCGGCAGCACCGTTTGAGTCACCCCGTTAGCGTCCGTCTCGGTCTCCAGCGGCCGAAGAGATGGCATGTCCTGGATCACCAGGAGACCCATTTCATCACAGGCGCGATACCAGAGCGCGGGCTCAACTTTTATCTGCAACACTGTCAGTACTGCTCTTTAATTTGGCGTCGGAATACTCACATGCTTCCGGACCATGTTGAAGCCCAGGTCCTTGAGGAACTGGAGATCATAAACCATAGCCTCACGATTCGGGGGTGTATAGATTCCATCTGGCCAGTAGCCCTGATCCAGCGTTCCGAAGATGAAGGTGAAGTTCCCGTTCACCAGGGGCCGGACGACACCATCTACAGTTCCCTTCGAAAAGGTACGAAATCCGGTGTAGCTTGAGATCTTATCCTGCCCCATAGTGACTGACACGTTGTACAGGTTGGGGGAATCTGGGGACCAGAGCTTCGGATCGGACACATTGAATAGTAGGGGCTGATCCGAAATGCCGCTGGCCGATCCAACCACATCGTCTCCATCAAGAACGGAGATATTGACTGCTGTGCCGTTACCGGAGGAGCTATGGACAGTGACATTGACTAATGTTCCGTTAGCAGCAGGAAAGCTGAATCAGATGTTCACTACCCACCTTGGCCGTGCATATCAGCACTGAGATCCAGTTGTGTAACATAGTTCGCCGGAGCAGTCTCAATCCATACACTCTGCCAGATACCGCTGCATGGAGTGTAGAAGATATGCGAAGGGATGAGATGCTGCTTGCCGATGGGGATGACATAACCGTCACTGTCGGTGGGATCATGCACGAAAACAATCCTATCTTTGTCAGTGGGATCCTTGGCATACAATGGGACCAAATACTAACATCTCATTAGACGTCGATAGGTCGACATACTGTGTAATGTCAACTGTGAACTGGAAGTAACCGCCACGATGGAAGCCCGCTTGCTGTCCGTTGATGAACACAGTGGCTTCATAGTCCACGGCTCCGAAGTTGAGCAGCACGTTCTCCCCATCCCACGTGCTAGGAACGGTGAAGTTGGTCCGGAACCACGAGTATAGTGTGTTGGTCCCTTGAATACCTGCTGGGGGTTAGCACGGTCCTGGCTAATATCAGCCGAGGATAGAACACCGACCAGAAAGGCCACTTTCAAGGCATGACGGGATCAGGACTTCTTGGGCGAGATCTTGGCCGAATGGCGCATTTTGGCTGTCATTCAGGCTGGATGCGCTTTGATACTGCCAGATGCCGTTCAGGTTCTTCCATTGAGTTCGTTCCATCTGAGGACGAGGGTACTCGGGCCACGGATTCGTTCCGACATCATCGGTCCAAGGTGTGGTCAATGGCGGCTGCTTCTGAGCATATTGAACGGTCGTCCGGGCAGTGTTTTGGTGTGGTTTCCCAACACTTCTCGCGAAGGAGCAGGTCAGGAAGAGGGCGAGGTAGGCGAAGGTCCCATGCATGTCGACTAGGAAAATTTATGAGGACGATGCTATCGACTCCAGCAAGGGAGAAAAGACAATGGCGCCTGGTACTTATATCTCCGACCTGCTCACGGCACACCAATTGCCGGAGGCAAAGACGGCGATGCATGCAGTTCCGGGTCAGCCTGATCCAAATGTCGAAGATCATTATTGTATGGCCCCCCGCATATTGCCATGGCTCGTTGGCCCACTATTGCGGACACAAGGGCCATGGCAGCCATGCGGGTTGGGTTGGGCTGGCCGTTGCTCGCGGAAACACATGAGACGTTTCTAATCCATTGGGGTATCCTTGGCGCATGAGCGACTCCAATTGGCGAGAGAGAAGTTTTTCATCGGCGCTATTGGATTGCCACTTGCCAAATTTGCGCTTGGGGCGTGGATCACATCTCCACGCTATGCCCACGGTTAAGATTAGGTACTCGTGACTTCTACGGTTCCCCCTGGGGACGTTCCTGAGGCAAAACAAATCCTGCGTTGAAAGAGGCAAACCCCTGTTTCTGACTCAGCGCAGGACCCAATCACAACAGCGCCCTGACAAGCATCCGCTGGAACAAACGGAGAAGGGGAAGTTTTTTTGCTAATCAGAAAGCCAATGGGAATAGCAGGGTTTAGGAATCCAAGATTCGGCGCTGAATCAAACTTTAATTCGCCATCTTCCCCTTTTTGAGACCTTGGTCCGATGTTCTGTGCCCTGGAACCATTGGTAGCAATCCATAGCCCGGAGGCATATCTGCCGAGCCTTGGCACTGGTCACGAGCGATGCGACTGCATTGTTGTTATCTTGTATCTTCTCCGATTCAAGGCTATTATCGACCCCGCATGTATTTTTTCATGCTGCCTAACTGGATGCACTCGGCGATTAACTCACCGACAAATCAAGGAAGGACATAGTATGCAGGGTTGCGTCAGCCAAGTCATGGGCAATCTATTGTAGCGCTTATCCGGCTTGGTGATTTGACAGGCCCTGTGCTGCTGTCAGCCCTGCCAAGGGGATTAGATAGAGCCCTTTCCTGGCTGGATACCCAGCGCATCCATGGATAGGGCGTGTAGATCGCATTGAGCGTCTGGGGTGACAGTTGTCATGAAGCTCTTACCACGGAACGAGAGGCTGCCAGGCGAGTGCCTAGGCCAAATCCAACTTTAGGCGCTGTCTCCACTATCAATATGCCAATCGGAGCGGCATTCAGGTTGACAGTCGGATTTTCAGAACGTGGCCAAGGCTGGCCGGATGGCTCGGATCTGCAAGACCTCTTCCACCAGGCATGTTCCCCTGTACATCGGGTGAGGCACTGTTGCAGCCACAAGGCTACTCCCAGCACTCGGCATTGTGTTACTTACCTGGTCCCATACGACTGTGTGGCCAAGGAGTGTGCTGTAACTGAACCGTTTGTAGCTCTATAACCCGAAGCAAATTTATATGGGCGCTGTACACCACTAAACGACTACCCATCCTGCAGGATCATCAACAGCTGTTCACTCCCATGTACTCCAGCAAGTGGGTCTCAGCTTCTGTGGCTGATATCTCTCTATCCTCTTATCAGGCTCAACGTGCTCAGCCTACCTCTCGGGAACGTTTCTGGTGCCTCATCAGGACCCAAGGAAATGTTTTCCTGATCGAATAGTCACTAGCCGAAGTGTTTCATATAGTCGCCTTGTAGATTCTCCAATGAGATTATGAATATGAATCCTTTCCTACAAGAGAGGATTGCACTAGCCATAGTTGAGTTCTAGGCTTATGATACATCCTTTACATACCACACACCCACATCTTCGCCAAGGACGACATGTGACGAATTCTATGTTACTTGAAGTGTACTAAGAGCATATAGGATGCTATCCAATGCAGAGACACATCATAATACCGTTCCATGAGTACAGATCAAGGTACCATAATTCAGATACAGCAAGAATTGTATTATTCTTTCTACACAATCGTTATCAGGTTTGGTGCCTTGTCTCAAATCATCCTATACAATACCCCGTGGTCTTTCAACTTTCAATTCCTGATCGTAGACTTTTGAGGTCCCAGCGGCAACCCACCCATCATGGGTTATATACTCATGGGTATGAGAGAAAAGATAGGCGCTCACGACGTAGAGGTGCTCCTGCTCAACCGAAGTAGAAAGAAACATCACGCACACGCGTTCCAACTATAATCCCGCTTAGCCAAAGTGAGACAGCCATTCAAGTCATCGCAATGATTACCATTCATGATTGTACGTCGTCAAAGTAAATGAAGGTAAATAGCGCGCCATTCGAGTCCACTCGTCCTGGGATAGAGGGGTACAACTGTACAAGTCGCTGTTTTTTCCAAAACTCTCATGCTACGTATGCAGTGCTAGAGTGCTGTAGTGATTGATAAAAGCAGATAGCTCCTCGTGATGGTGTGGTGTTTCTTGCATCTGGGACCGGCTTCCACTCCGTCTGAAGTTGGGACATGGTACGGCGTCGAGCAGCAGGAGACGCTCCCCGAGAATCTCCTTATGGTGCCAATAGCATCGATCAAGCTCCAAGTTTGTAATTAGGACATCAGCTGTGGTGTGATAGTATCCTAAAGAAATGATCTTAACATGCGTGTTCCTTGCCCTTGAAAGCATCATAGAGAGATCGGGATGACAGAAATACCGACATCAGGAATTTGTTGTCTAGGGATATGAGAATGATCTGTCAAATCTTAAGCGGCAGGAATTGCAGGGATGGCGTCCTCATCTTGTCAGTTGGTCTCGTGTTGCAAGTTGTAGTTGTGATAAGCAGTACTATATATGGCAGCAAGCTATTGATTGAAATTAAAGACAAGGATGGGTAAAACTCTGGCCAGGACTTTCTATAGCCTCTTCTGCTTACCATTTTGGCACCCTGGATGGTAACGGAAATACCCATGAGCAAGTCTTTAATTATTCATGGTCTCGTGTAGGAAGCACACAACAAGAATTATGGGCGTTAGTAGACTTCCAACAAATATCGATCAGGTTATCGGTCTCGAGGTATGAAGTTACCTTGGAGAAGAGACGTTCGAACCTCATGGTTGGACCATATCTGTCTAAGTGTTATGGAGACAGCTGTACTACAGTGGTCCAGTTGCTGTAGAAAATTACTAAAAGTTCTGTTCAGTACGGAGTATATCGGAGAGCTACAGAGAGGGATCAAGTCAAGTGAAACCTTGGTACTACGATGGCATTTGTCCTGGGTGAAGATTTCCGGCTAATCTATTTGCCGTGATTTTTCATGGTTGGTCATGCGACCACCACAATTCGTTCCTTCTGAATCATCATAGTAACATTAAGAACGCGATGTTCCTGGAATTTGCTCTTCCCAGTGATAGTACTTGCTGGATGAACCTTCCGCCATACGTCTGGGTTGCCATCTTCAAGAGGCGACAATATATATCCGGGGAATACTTGGCATTATTAGATCGCAGTTTCCAGCAAGCCCCACAATTGCCTGGAAATGTTCGATCACTCCAACATCTTACTACGGCGTACTTATAGCACTATGTAGCACCACTAGTATGTGCTATTGTGGTACCCATAAACTGGCTATTGCCCCTGCTCATCTAACTTACGTCCACGTGACAGATTTCGGTCGGACATGGGACAAATCCATACATGCGCAATACGAGTACGACCATTAATTAACAAATCAACAACCGATGCTAGTCCAGACTCCAGCAGTCTAGCAGATAAGAGCCGAAATGTCGTTGCGGGTGGGTTCGCATCAGCCCACCTGGTCAAGACCCTACATCGGAACCCTGCCCCCGCTAGACCTGAAGAAGGAACCGCCTGACTGGCCATTGGCTAGATCCGTCCCCGAAGGCGGTCGATTATTAGCCGATTGGGCTTAGTGCCTGAGCCCTGCCCAGACCCCGTCCCACTTTGTGCTGCTTGATGAACCAATGGAATCCTGCGCCAACATGCTGTCAGCTGCTGATTGGGAGGACAGGCCTGCAGCCTCCTCGGCGATGGGCCAATGGGTGGAGAGCAGCCGGCCTAAACGGGAAAAAAGGCAAACAACCCCCTGGCGCCCGTGACCCCCACCGACTACGCAAATCAAGAATTGCCGGCAAGATTCAACCGTCGATCGTCATCCTCGCTCCGCTCGCCTCTCACTTCACTCCGTCTTTGCTTCTCTCGCCTCTCTTCACCTGCCTCGCGCTCGTTCCGTCGCCGAGGAGGTTGTGGGCAGCCTCCGTCATGTCCATCCCGTTTCTCCGCCACTCCCTCCATCTTCAGAGATGATCGTGACTGTTGGCGCCGTCGACACCCGTCCATGAACCATCCCTTGGGCGATGACACTGCATCCGGCCCCCGTCCGACACCGCCGTTTGTCCCCAACGGAGCATGCCCCTCAAGCATGTCCGGGGGCCTGGAAAAGACTCTCTCCGATGTCCGGCTGTATATCTCCGGTGCGTTCTCCTGGCTTTTCCCCCGGTGGTGCTGGCCTTCAGGTTACAGCGGGACTGACATTGCATGCGTTTAGAGCGTTTGGGCCTCAGCCGCCCCAGCCCGCACAATGGACAGTCGATTCCCTCGGGAGGATGGCGGCCTGTTGCCCTGCGTCCCGTATACCTTTGTTTGATCGCGGCGGTCATGTTTGCGATGCTGCTCACACTTGACGTTCTTCGGCGATATAGCGAACAGAAGGGGGGTTTATACTTTTTCCCGGATACTGATACTGTTTCCGACGCCCAGTCGTTCGCCTACAATTACCTTCCCATCATCGCTGCTCTCGTCCTAGTCACCCTGTGGTCCTTCATCGACTACGATGTACTCCGCCTCGAGCCGTATTTTCAGATCTCCCGACCGGAGGGGTCGCCGGCGTCGGTCCTCTTCATCAACTACAACTTTGGCCAGTCGTTTCTCACGCCGCTCACCTCGGCCAAGCGCGGTCACTGGGTCGTATTGCTCGTGTCGATCGCCACGCTACTGATCCGACTGTTTCTTCCGGCCCTGCAGAGCACTCTTCTCGAGCTTCGGGAACTGAATGTCGTGGATGACGGGGAGATCAAGACCTGGCCCCAGCTGCTGGACCTACATACCCAGGCTGTATGGATCATGGCGCAGAAAAGCAATGAGACCCTGGCCTTGGACTCCGTTCTTACCGCCCGTGACAACCTGCGCAGCACTCGTTCCTCCAGCTACGCCGTTGCGCCCGTCGAAATCAGCATGGAAGACCGCCGTGAAAGCACCGTATGGACATTGAATCAGACAATTTACTGGGCTCAGCTGGCGTGTCGCGACGTTTTAGCAGACGACCACCTCTCAGTCTCCATCAATGATACGTCAAGCGATCCTCCGGTACTCTCATGGAACGTGACGGGCGTTCAGCTGCAGGATATCAACGGGGCGGAACAGTCGTGTAGCTTGGACTTTCACTACAAAAATATCTTCTTCCCGACTACCGATTACCTGCAGGTCCGGTATTGGGAGCCTGCTTGGACGAACCGGACGAACCGGACGAAATCCGCCCGTACCCAGGGAAAGGCATTTACCGCCCAGGGCTGTGATGACCCCTATGACTTGTATGGGATTGTGATCTCGGTCAACGCAACGGTCGGCGGGGCGAACAGTATCAGCCAGTTGGGGTCTGAGTTCACCTCCTCAGCGGGGATCTTCGGCTGCAAGGTTAGCTATCGCCAGGCGGAGGCCAAGGTCTCCATGCACGCCAACAGCTCAATCACCAGCATCTATGGATATTCGGATACGGAACGGGCCCTGGCCACCGACGAGTTCAACATTGACGCTTTCCAGGACCTCCTGGCTCAGCGAGCACCGTACACAGGCGACATGTTATTCATCGAACTGAACGAGACCACGGGCGACACCACGGTTACGGAGTTGCCCGTTATCAGTCAGGACCTGGGTGACCTCGAGCCGCTCCTGGTTCTAGATGCATCCACAGTCATGACGCCTGGGGAGTTTGAATCCAAGGTTACCCGAAGCGTTGTCGAGACGTTTGTGCTCACGATGGGTCGTCTGTTCAATCCGGACCAGGATCCGACCAGCGTGCCGGCTCAACGGCAGTCGACACAAGTCGCTATCTCCGTGGTCTCCTTCGCTTCCTGGTGGTCCGAGGTAATTCTGGGCATTGCCATCATTCTCACCGTTTGTCTCATTTACTTCTATGGAAGGCGCCCCAACATCCTCCGAAACGACCCGAGTTCCATTGGGGCCATGTGTAGCATGCTGACCGATCTTTTCGGGCCCTCCAACGTCCTCGGGGATCCCCGGTCCGAATTTCATCAATTCTCAACGCGTCAGCTACGCCAGATCCTGCGAAACTGCCGGCTCCAGTGGCAGCAAGGGCCGATGGGGCCCCGACTTGAGATTATAACTGCAGATGGTCAGTAAATAGCGGGAGATTTTGGATTGCCAGCTAACTCGAGCAGGATCACCGGTCACCCTTGGTGAGCAGATTCGGACACGGGTGGACCCTATGCCTCACTTTTTAGTGATTCCAATTTTCATCATCGAATTTCTTCTCCTCGCCGCTGTCATTTCTGTCATGGGAGTGACGGCCGCCACTCTCGCTCACGACGGGAGTTTTCAGCACCTCTCCCAGTCAGCCTCCAGCTTCCTGCAGGTGGTGACATCATTTTTGCCGTCCATTGTCGCATCTGCTGTGGCGGCTTTGTGCAACTCCATTCTTCGCAACATCAGCATTCTGGAACCGTGGGTCCATCTCCAGCGCGGGATGGCGGCCGCTCGGACGTCGCTGTCCATGAATTATGCGTCACAGAATCCGTGGTCGATCCTGAAGAAGGCGGTTCAGAACCGCCATACGCTTCTCAGCCTCGTCTCGTTCGCCTGCGTCGCTAATATTCTGCTCACGGTCGTGGCCGGTGGGCTGTTTACTCAGAAACTGACACCGTCATACCTGCCGTCTACCTCATTGTACATGAACTACAGCAACGCCCAGTTTCAGCGGCCCGAGTTTGCTGCTGACTTTACCGAGTTCGACCTGATCCAGACCAGCATCACGAGTGGTGTGCCGATGCTGCCATGGATGGCCTCGAACTACTCGTTTGTCCCCATCAAGAATACGGACTCAGACCCCGACTTGATGTACGGTGCGACGACACTGGGAATCGGAAGCGATCTGGAGTGCAAAGCGCTGACAATATCGCAAAATCTGGTGGAAGAAGGCCAAAGCACGTACTGGGTGTATCGCCCATCCCGCGACGTCAGCCGACAGTGTAAGGTGAACATGACGGCACTCGTGCGGCCCAGCGAAGCCATTGCCCTCTCCATCCACTTCCTCTCTCCTATCGCGGAATTGGACATGGATCTGTGTCAGATGTCGACGGTGCTGGTGGTTGGACGATGGAACTACACGGCGGAGTCCTCTTTCACCAATGACAACACGATCGCGCTTCAATGTGAACCACGGATGCGACTGCAGAATTTCTCCGTGACCTTTGACCGACGGGGTCAGATTTCCGACATTGACCCGGTTGCGGGCACGGAGATTACGTCAGGCACGATGTACGAGAACGCGACGATGGCGCTCGGGCAGTTCAACAAGGTCTTTGCGGCGATTCCTCAGAGCTTCGTTGGGGAGGAACCGGGCCGGAACCGGTCCTACGTTTCGTCGTATGACTGGGCGGGCTTCTTGGTGGCCCGTCTCTATCGACAGCACGAGAAGATTGTGCCCCTGAAAGCCTCAACCCTGATGACGGAGTCGCAGGTTGTGTATCAGTGGGTGTATAGCACGTACTTTACCCTCTGGCGAAACATGTACCTGGTCCCACTGGCGGACGTGGTGTCCGCCGGCAACGCGACGGTGATCTCCAACACATGGACAATGGTCCCGTCCGTTCCGTCCCTGGTGATGGCGTTGGTGATCATTGCGCTGGACACATTGGTGGTGCTGGTGGTGTTTGGAACCCGTCGAGGGCGGTTCCGAGGGCCGCGTATGCCACGATCGATTGGGGCGATTATTCCGTGGATCGCGCACAGTCGCATGCTGGACGACTTTCGCAACACGTACTCGTGGACGAACGCACAGCGGCGGGAGCACCTGGCGCGGCTGGACAAACGGTATGGGTTTCGGATGTTTCTGCAGGCGGACGGACGGTGGCGGTTCGCGGTGGACGAGGAGGCCGTGGGACTTGACGGCAAGCCGGCGGAGGGAGCGATGGATGCGACCAAGGGGGCTGATGTGATAGAGCTGCAGTCCATGGGGGAGGCTGGGACTCCGCCTGGAACTCCGTCTGAGACTATTCCTGGGACCCTACCTGAGACGTTCCCTGAGACTTTGCCTAGGACTTTGCCTGGGACTCCGCCGGGGACTCCGCGGGACCGCCCGGGAAATCATGATTGATGTGATATGAGCTGGATGTACTATAGAAATAGAGGTCTGAGTGTAGCTTTGTACATAGATAGGCAATTCGCCATGCATTTACTTCATTCATTCCACAGCCGAGCGCCGTCGGACTTGATCCGAGGCGGATCGTATAAAATGGGCGAGGCCCGGCTGTGTTGCCGGCATCGCAACCCCGCATTTTCATCTCCCCATGGCTGACCAGGTAGACGTTCTCCTCTATGGACTGGGAGCGTACGTTTATCTCTTGTTCTTCCTTTCGAGGCTCTGAAGTATGAACTCACCGAATCTGCAGCATTGGCTCCTTTTACGCCTTCATCCTACATCGCAGCCAGCGGGTCCGCCTCACCGTTGTGGCCCGGTCCAACTATACGGCTGTCAAGGAGAATGTATCCCCTTCTCCCTCCTACTCCTCGGTTCAACATTATCACCACCACTTACTGACGACCGCAGGGTATTCTTCTGAAAAGCGCCAACCATGGCGCGCATCGCTTCCATCCCGACCGAGGTAATCTTCTCCAGCATCCGCAACCAAAAGTACACATAGCCAGCACTAACCCACCACAGTCATCCGCTCGCCCTCAGAACTCACCCAACCAGCCGACTACATCGTCTGCACCAACAAGGCCATTGACCCGGACAGCGTGGTCCAATCCTTAGCTCCCGCAGTAGGCAAAGACACCACCATCGTGATCATCCAGAACGGCGTCGGAAACGAAGACCCATTCCGCGCCGCCTACCCAAGTTGCACAATCATCTCCTGCGTCGTACGCACCCCTCCCCCTCCCCCTTAGCCACCCACCCCATCTAAAAAATCCCATCCAGACATGGGTCGGAGCCTCCCAACCCACCCCCGGGCACGTCATCCACACCACATCCGAAGATACCGAACTCGGCCTCTACCCCAACCCGACCCTCCCCTACGACATCGAATCCACGCGTCTCACCACCTTCACGACCCTCCTCACACAGGGTCAAACCCCGTTCACCATCCACGCCAACATCCAACCCACCCGCTGGTCCAAAGTCATCTGGAACTGCGCCTGGAATACCCTCACCACGCTGACCGCCCAAGACACGCAATCCTTCCTCCAGTCCTCCCCCGACGCTATTCCCTTTACACGTCGTCTCATGAGCGAGGTCATTGCCGTGGCGCAGGCGAGTGGGGTCTCTCTCCCGTCGGATCTGATTGATACGCAACTCGCTCGGATAAAGGGTCTCGGGGCGGTGCGGACGAGTATGCAGATTGATCGGGAGAATGGGCGGCCGATGGAGATTGAGGTGATTGTGGGGACGCCGGTACGGAAGGCGAGGGAGTTGGGGGTTGATACGCCGGTTTTGGAAGCGTTGTATGTTTTGTTACGCGCGGTGGATGGGGAGGGGAGGAGGGGGCAGAAGATATAGGTCCCTGCTATACACCGTACACACGCATGTATCCGGTATGGGATGTAGGGTTGGTGCGGTAGAGTTGATAGCAAGTCATGAATGATGCAGTCTACATAAGGAAGTCATAAGAAACAATAACACGTATCATTCCAGAAGAATTGAACTAAACAGGGAGGTTTTAGTTATCAACAACTGTTTATATAGATTCAGAAATGGAAGATAACTGCTGAACTGTCAATAAGTCAGTGATCAAGCACAGACAGCATGATAGGTATACTAGCAAGATCACTTTAGAAGCATACCTATCACCCAAGCTAGAGTAACTCAATCGAACAAATCAGACCAGCAACAGGCAAACGGGTCAAGGGTCCGTCGTGTACACTCGGACTCCAGGCAGACCGTTATCCGAGTCCTTTAATTTCCGTTTCAGGAACCTTGAATTCTTTCGCTGTCGGATCTGCGCCACCGACAGAGGGGTGGAGATATCCTCCGGAGCATCTCCCTCAGCATTGCTACGCGTTCCCTCTTCTGTTGCCGGCAGCAAAACTACCGCCTTATCCACAATAGTCGTGAGGGACTCATACTCCGAATCAAGATCAGGCATATTATGCGAGTAGATAACAGCCGGTTTAACAACAAGAAGGATCTGACATCCCTCCCAGGCCGACTCATCCCGCCTCCGGTTATACTAGTGAAAGACCATTTCGTCAGTCTCGCAGCGGTACGATTCCCCCAATTCAGGCAGACGTCGGAGGTCCAGATGCCCCCCCCCCCCATGTATGATTCGCAGTACTGCATGGCAGTGATAGCGGATTCAAAGATCCGGATCAGTCGGTCTTGTCGCTTGGGGACCTCCGCGGCATCCAAGGCTAGACCAGATCAACTTCGGACTGAGGTATTTGGTGGTTGGGGCTGGACGTGGTATGGGTATAGGGGATTCAGTATGTACTTTCGCAAAACCGCTCATAAAGATACTGGAGTTTCAATGAAAATTGCTCATCTTCACCAGGATCTGTAAGACCCGTCTTCCCATCCAGATTACCAGAAGGAATTCTCAAAGACCTGGTTCATTATTGTCTTATAAATGAGCGACTCAGCCAAGAGTTCTCCGATAAATTGGCGGGCATTATATGGAAGTAGGTTTGTCAGGGTCGCCCAGTCCTCCTGGACGCAGTAGCCTTCTAAGCTCTGGATGATGGTGCCTGTCTGCTCGGTGGAGAGGTGCGTGAGACGGTCGAGCACGTAATCCATGATCCAAGAACGTAATCGCTGGTCGATGGCGCGGTACACTCGTCCAACGTGATTGTGGGTTGTTGCCCACCCTTCGCTGCCTGTGTTGAGGAGGCGATCGACGCCTCGGATGGTGGCTACGTATTCATTTCTGTTTAAAAGGGCCATTCGGTTGTATGGGTTAGATTCGGTCTTCGTCGTTGAGGTTTGTCGGTCTCGTGTTTATCATGTCACCCTTGTTTGGAGTTTTGAGCTGTCTGAATTGAGAGCTGGGCTGAATCTGCTTGGGGTGGTCAAGTTGTTTCGATGGAGAAGTGGATTGAGGGGACTTCTGCTTGGGGGGCCTATTCTTTCTCGATGGAGGGCTCGCTTGGGGAGGTGTCTGCTCGTCAGAGGACACAGAATGTGTCTTCGTTTCTTTTTCGCGCCATGGATTGAAACCTTGTAATCATCACCATCTTGATAAAAACCCGAGATATGCGTAAGCTGGCAAGGAAGACGAGTGGGCTGCAGTTGTGTATTAGCAGCCTACAGTAGACAAAGGATTGATACCCCGCTGCCTACATCTCACTCCTCTTCTCTTTGTGCACCGCCTTTGGGGTCCTTCCATTAGACTAGCCGAATCACAAAGAAAAAAACAGGCAGTTTCATTTAGCTATCCAAATCTGATCATCGGCATTGAGTTTGGCCGTCTGAAGAGAGTATTTGGTCTACCATAGCAGAGGAGGATCTACTAAGAATGACATACCCTCATGGTATGCTCTAGGCCTTTATTCTCAAATGAGTTAGGTACTGTACGCGCTGCACGACAAAGTCCAAATCCAAAGGATATCACAAATAGTGACTCGAAATTCTGATCTACTGGGCTATGAGCCAGTCTTATCAATGATTCCAGTTTGTTCCTGTCAAGGGGAAGGATCTGACATATGACATATCAAGTGGTTTTTTGCTTATTTGCCGCGTCATGGTGTATCATGAGTGAAGGTTTGCCGGGAATAATAGAATGGTTACAGTGTGGCTAATGGTGGTCTGATCATACTAGAACCGAACATGGTTGGTGTAGGGGTTATCTCTACATCGTAGAATAGGTCTCTGGAGGGATATGGAAGGGGGAAACTGCTTGAATAGCTACGTGCAGAGTTGGATTACCGAAATATACGGAGTAGGGCTGGGAAAATCAAAGCCAGGAATAGACAGATGGATCAAAAAATGCTGGGCAGAACGATCAATCATGACAAACCGTCCAACATCACAAGAGGTTCACCCCGGCCCATTCGTTGTCGGGAAGTGGCGCAAAATCATCCCGGTCTGTGTTCTTCCTCCGCCGGATCTCCGCCCCCGCGAGGCCCGAGATATCCATGTCGTGGTCGTCCTCACTGCTCCCCGCATCCTGGTCTTTCTTTTCCAATACCACTGAAGCTTTGCTAATGATCGTGGCGGTGGATTGGTGATTGGGCCCCGGGGCCACATTATGATGATGGTAGATTACTGTCGGCTGAGTGACGAGCAGGATCCGACGCCCCTCCAGAGTCGAGCCCTGGCTGGTGGTTCCGTGGCAGAAATGGTGAACCATATTTTCCGTCCCAGGCTGGTATGTTTCGTTCAGTTTGGACAGGCTCCGTAGTTCGATGTGGCCGCCCAGAAATGCTTCGCACCTTTCCATCGCAGCCACGGCTTTTTGGAAAATGAGGAGGAGATCGTCCCGCCGTTGAGCCAGGTCTTTCCGCGTCAGTCGCGAAATGAGCAGCAGACCAAACGTCTCACTGGCCAGTAACTCGTCGGCCCAGGTTTGGATCGCATCTTCCTGACGTTGCTGGTTGTATTTGCCAAAGTCCAGGTCCCGAGCTTGCCCGGGACGTGTCGCTTTAGCCAGACGATGGGTCGCTCGCTTCCACACGACCGCAGCTTTGGGGTTTGCTGAGAAACTAGAGAATAGTCAGCTTTCACTCTATCTCCCGGGCAGACAGCAAGGCAACATACTCTGAAAGAATCGCTCATAAAGATACTGAAGCTTTGGTGCAAACCCTTGATCGTCCCTTTGGTCCTCGTTCGAATGTCCATCGAGATACCAGAACGATTGCTGGAAGATCTTCGTTAGAATGGTTTTGTAAAGAAAAGCGCCCGCCAAAGTCTCCGCGCAGTATTTCCGGACCATCCGGGGAAACCTCGCCCTCAGTGTTTCCCAGTCCTCTTGAACGCAGGATCCCTCCAAGCTCCGAATCACCTGATTTCTGTGGTCGTGGGAGAGACTCCCAAGATCCGCGAGGGCGTAGTCGACAACCCAGGATTCGAGGTTACTGCCAATGACTTGGTAGGCCAATTTCACATCCTTGGGCTCACAATTCCATCCCGGGTCTCCGATTTCGAGGAGATTCTGAATTGCATAAACATTTGACACGTAGTCGGACCGCTTCAGCATGTGCGCATGAGTTGCGGGATACATCCTGGCCATTTCCGCAACCTGGACGGGCGGTTGGGGCGGCTCAAACGGCGGCTTCTCCGGCATGAGGTCTGGAACGCTGGGGGATGGAGGGAGGGTCAGTTCGTCGACCGGTTCATCGGCCTGCTTCTGACCCTTACTCTTGCCTGGACACTTCGGCTTAGCCTTCGTCTTGGCTTTTGCCTTGGACTTTGGCCTGGGTTTGGGCGTGGGCTTAGTAGAGGCCATACTGATCGACACACTATCTGAGGTTGAAGATCGGTTGGAAGGGTGGAAGTGGGAGAGAGGGGGTGCAGCAAGAACAAATGTGGGACAGTGGATTGGCGTATGCAGTAGACTTCCCCGGGGCAGCAAACATAGGACCAGAGAATATCTTCACCAACTGCTTCTCTTCAGCCCATCTCTTTGTCCTTCAACACCTCGCATCCCTGCATCTCTCTATGTTCCTTCGACCTCTTACTCTTTGTTTCCCTTTTGTTCTCTATTTCTTCATCCTCCAGTTCATGGCTCCTGATATCAATGATCGTGTCGCATGAGGTTTGACCCGAGTGGCTATGGGATGGTGCCCTTCTAATGATTACTAGCAAGAGGGCTACATTCATTAGTTGAACAGATCCTCTGAAAAAATCGAATTAGTCAAGGGGGCTGGCCGTGGAAAGCTGCAGTTAGGCAGATGGCATAGCCTTTCCAGGGGGAGTGAGCCAGATATTCACACTTGAGGTCTCCATAGCCTACTTTCACTTAGAAGCCTGATATTAGCTCTAGGAGCAAAGCTCGAGATCATTCTGATAGTAGGCTATTGTGTCCTGTTCTGGAATATACTATAACCGACATACCCTCTGTGCAGACACGGTAGTAAGGCGATGTGGCATAGCTATCACCCCCACGATTCACTGCCATCGCTTTTGGAGGATCATGTGATTCGGTCTCGTTCTCTCTCCACCTTCGGTGCCCCCCATCCACTTTCTGAATTAATCGAGCCATCTCCTCTCATTCAACAGGCAGTACTTATCACATTATTATCCCTCCATATCTGACTATCCGCTCTGTCTCTCAACCTGGAATTCTTACTCATTTTTGCTTGATCACGACCCCGATCATGGTCTGAGAGTCGATCTGAAGACCCGGTACCTAGAGACACGACATTCCCACCCTCTGGGACATTAAAGGCTCATAGATCGGTTGCATCGGCAAGCCTCGGTTCCCTCGTTCTCTCTCACACGCCCGCCGTGAGCCCTCTTCACGAAGCAAATGAGCAGGGTCATGGAGAAGTTCTTACTGAGGCTGATAACGAGTGGGGAGCTGAATCTCCGGTCTAGATCGAGTCTATGCCTCACTTGCTACATGAAAATGCAGGTCGGTTGATGTATCTGTTTCATGTGCTGCTGGTCTGTTGGATCCACCGATGACAGGCAAGGCTATCTAGTCAACTGGCGTTGGTCATCATGCCAGTACGGTCAGTTCATTCGCTGATTGATCTGGATAATAACAGGTTTTGGTCGCGTGGGATATAGACAAACTGGACGTGCAATTCGAGAGCCACCAAGGTTAAGAGTGAACATTGCTCATCGCTACCATCCTAACACAATCACAATGACTCTACCCACACTTGACCACCACATTCTAGACCTTGACGGCATCGACCCACTGCCACTCTAATCCTGACGTGAATTGCAGCGACAGCAAAATGCCGTGCGGGTAGGATCATACCCGGATGCCAGGCGGGCATGAAACCGCCGGGCAAGAATTTTCTGGCTCGGGAGAAGTCTAATCTCATGAATCGAGGCACTGAAAACTCAAGCCTTAATCTGCTGTCCCGGTTTCAGCCTGTAAGTGATGGACCGAAGTTTATCCTGAGTTGTGTTGTGATTGCTGCCTGATTTATGTTGGATCAATCACAACACCTACTAATCTGAGCACTATAGCGCCCAGCACAGCTCCGAGAATTATTCTATGAATAGACAGAACTGGACAGGATCCGGGTAATCAAGCCGGACTCGGACCATTTCCCAAACGGGTCAAGATGCCTCAAAAATGGGCAGCCCTAACGCAGACCAACGCTAGCGGCGGCCCCGGGCGCGATCCAGATTGATTAAACAATTTATCGGCGACAGACCCTGGAGTCGGGGCCTGGACATCCGGCTCAGCGGTCGGACCACCGACACATAACGGTTCGTGGGTGGTCGCAGCCTGAGACAGACGACCTACAACCATGGCCAGGTTCATGAGCGGGATGCTCAGCCGCACGGATTCAGGGTACTGCAGTGTTTCATCCCACTCCACTCGCTCAGGGTGTAGTATCAACCTGAACAGCCCTATTATACCCCTTGCAGCAGGATCTTCGCCGACCGGACAACCTCGGATCAGATGAAACGACCCACGCTGATCGCTCAGATCCCGTTCCTGTTCCTATCCGTTCCTGGCCCGTTGACCCAAAATTGTGCCACGGGATAGAGTATATAACCTGTTGACTCTCCGCGATGGTTCAACAGCAGCAGCAACAGCAAGTGCAGTGCACTCTTCATCTTTCTTTTACTTTTGTTAGTCATTCGTTAGAGCAGTGCTCCGTCATTCACTTGTATCACTCTTTATAACAATAAAAAAAATCACCATGAAGGCTTTTATCGCTCTATCTCTTCTCGGCACTACCCTCGCCGCACCCACCGCCACCCTTCAGGGCCGCGATTTTGATCTCTCCTCGCTGACCTCCGGACTGTCAGCCCTGACTTCAGGCTCCGCCGCTAGCTCGGGCTCATCCGAGTCCTCGGGCTCCAGCGGACTCAGTGCGCTGGCGTCACTCTTCCCGTCCAGTGGTAGCAGCAGCGGGAGCAGCACCGGTAGTAGTGACACCACCAGCAGCAGCAGCAGTGGCAGCGATGGACTGAGCAGTCTCCTCAGCTCTTTCACCAGTGGAAGTGGTATGCCTCCCCTCTCTCCACCACCCCCGGAGAAAAAAAGCTAACCACATAATAAAGGCTCCATGACCGAAAACGGCGTGACCCAACACTCGGGCTCCTGCAAGAAGCTCACCTTTATTTTCGCCCGCGGAACCACCGAAATGGGTAACATGGGCAGTGTGGTTGGACCCGAAGTGGCCAGCCAGTTGGCCTCCTTGACTGGAAACCAGGTTACCGTGCAGGGTGTGAACTACCCGGCTGATTGGGAGGTTAGTCCCCCCTCATCCCCTTTCTCCTTTATATCTCATCATAGACACAAATTACTAACGAGAAATAATAACAGGGCAACATGTCCCTCGGCTCCTCCGGCGGCCCCACCATGGCCTCCTACGTCAAAGAAGCCCTCCAACAATGCCCCAACACCAAGGTCGTGCTCGGCGGCTACTCCCAAGGCTCCATGGTCGTTCACAATGCCGCCAACTCTCTCAGCGCGGGCCAACTCTCCGGCGCCGTGCTGTTCGGTGATCCGTTGAAGATGACCAGCGTGGGCAAGCTGTCCTCGTCTAAGGTCAAGGAGTTCTGTGCCTCTGGTGACCCGGTCTGCGAGAACGGCATGAACGTTATGGCGCATTTGTCGTATGGTGCGGATGCGAAGGAGGCCGCGCAGTTTTTGGTTCAGGCTGCGGGGATTTCTTCTTAGTTTGGATCTGTGTGTCCTTCAGGAGAGGAGTGGGATTAGCATACTCCGTACACTCCTTGGTCTTCTAGATGTCTGTATGGATTTGGATCCTATGTGATGGGGCTTATGTTATGTCTCGGGTATAGGGTTACCCATGAATATGAAATTTTAGCTGGACTATATACTTTCTCTTCATTGTAGTTGATGCATAGACCTGATCAGTCAATCGGGTTGGCCGGGTTACAAATGTCCAAGAAGTAGTGATAGTAGTAATAGTAGTTTTTTACCTGGTATAGCCCGCTTATATCAATACCTCACTGTACAAGTGCTCGACAGATCAGAGAAGATACATAATCAAATCCATCTACTAATCTCGTGTACAAGTATCACTAATTCATACAATAATCCATGATATACTGGTATTAGTACTTGCCCATGCCACGTCCATTAATGTCAAATTCGAGCAGATTCTGCTCGGGAGTTGCTCTGAAAAGAAAATAGTGTAATATAATTTGGATTCTAGGTGGAGATCCAGTTTTCAGTATATTGTGAGAGAATAGAAAAGTTCTAGATACTGTCCTATTCTTAACCAATATCAAAGGACTAGGATATAATCTAGAGATTTGAGTCCCTACCTTGCGCAGCCTATCTGCAGGAGTCTTTGTTGTAGTTGATGCATGGGACCGGCTGCTCAGCTGGTCGGCCTAGCGGTGAGTCATTACTAGGTTCTCATGGGAATATATACTATGTCTATACTCATCATCCAGTCCCGGTCTATCATTACCATAAGCATTCCAATCATACCCCTGAGCTACCCCACATTACCCCTATCACATACTACTTCATATCTATTTCCCCAATTTCTAGAAAAGAGGACTTAAGGTCTAGTTAAAAACCTTAAACCCTCCTTTCATCAAACCATCCTTCTGCAGCACCCCATTGGGATCATACTCCTTCGCCACCGTCCTCAACCTCTCCAAATTCTTCTCCCCATACCCCCCGAAAATATCCTGCCACCCGGCAGCATCACCCATATAATTGAACGCATCAAACAGCCCCGCCTTCTTGGTGGCATTGTTAATCATCTCGGTGGTTTCCTGCAACCATGCGTCCACGATGTCATCATAGGCTTCGCCGATCCATTCCACCACTTCGGCGTAGCAGAGGTAGATCTGGTTCGAGTCGAGACCGAGAGCGTTTCCGCCGCGGGATTCCGAGGCGGTCAGCCAGCTGTGGCCGATGGGTTGCCAGTCGAGTTCGATGAGGGAGATGTTAGCGCTGGGGATTTGGGCGGTGAGTTTGGGGAGTTGGTTGAAGAAGGTGTTGTTGATGAGGGCGATGCCGTTGTAGAGAGAGGTGTAGTCGGTGGCTTTGATGGTGCCGGCGACGAAGATGTCACTTTGCAGTATTAGTATGTAGTTTCGTGGGAGGGAGGTATAGGGGGCGTACTTGATGTGTGGCGTAACAAGGGCACCCGTCTCCGTGGCAAACTCGGACAAGGTCTTGAAGCCCAAGGTGCTGCTGATGGCTGGGATATCGGTAAACGGCTTGAAGATCTCGGGGTAGCTCTCCGTGGCGCTGTCGTAGAAGAGAATCACCGATCCGACGGTCGTGTTGCCTTCGGGGACCACGGCGGGTACGATATGGGTTTTGGCGTCGGAGATGTTGGCGGCGTAGGTTGCTGCGGCCTGGTCTTGTCAGTTTTCGCTTCATCCAGACACTGCTTTGTTGATGATCTTGACGTTCATCTCAAGCCTCAGTCAGACGTGGGGGAGGAAAGGGAGCGTACCTTCAAAAACTGTTCCACATACTCCCCAGCCACAGTATACGTTCCCGCCCAGACCTTGGTCGACTCAATCGTCTCCATATCGAACCGGGTCACCAGGCCAAAGTTACTGCTGCCTCCCTTCAACGCCCAGAACAGATCCGAGTGGCTATTGCGGTTGGCCTCCACGACGGTGCCATTGGCCAGGACCACCTCGTAGTTCACCACGGTGTCACAACCGAAACCCACCTGATTGCCGTAAAAGTTGACTCCACCGGCCAGAAGCAGCCCAGGAACGCCAACAGGACCGAGTCGGCCACCGGCTGCAGCGAGGCCGTAGGATTCGAGGTAGGAGTAGACGTCGGCCCAGCTGTCTTCTTAGCTTATACTCTTATACACGATGCTTGTGTTGATGACGGGGTATACCGATAACCCGGTCCAACCGACACAATAGATTCATCCTCCGACAGCACGAGGGTCGTCAAGTTCGACATGACGATCAGCACTCCGTTATCGATATTATTCGAGCCCTATTACATCAGCCATGATTCTATACCAAATAAGAAAGGACAAGGGCCGAGGGGTGTATGTACCCGAATTCCCATATGACCACCACCGCGCACCGCAAACTGCGCATTCGCATCCACCAGCGCCTTCACGCCCTCCCCCAATTGCGCGGCCGATTGCGGGCGGAACACGCATCCCGGCGACATGATCTCCGTGTTGGACCAGAAGTCTTGCGCCTCATATTTGTAGACATCGGTGCTGGGAGCAAAGACTTCGTCGGACAAGGATTGCTGGAGAGTGGTGCAGCCGGAGGTGGCTGCCGTGGCTGCCGTGGCCGTGGCGGCCAGCGGGAGGAGTGAAGCAACGCGCATGGTGATGGATGGATGCGCGGATGAGAAAGAAAGAAGGGAGAAGGGCGGTTTTTGACTGCCGATCAAGGCGGAGTGGAGGTCAGGAGACGTGTGTGGTGGGTGGAGGCATGCTGGGCGGAGATACTATACAACCGTCAACACTCAACAGTCGCCCGAACAGCGCTGGCGGAGACGGTGAGCAAGATAACCGAGGTCACCAAGGAATTTCTGCGGAAATGTTCTGCACGGCAATTGAATGACCAGCAGCCGTCCCTGAAAATGGGCTCGGCCCAGCGACCAAGACCAGTTAGCCAGTCGTTAGTGAGTCTCTAGCGCGCTCCACCCTCTTACACACACACGGCTGCATTTCCGAGGATTGCTCTTCCATACTGACAATTAACATTACTAGCATCTTAACCATATAATCATGCTATCGATCCTCGCTCGCCACGCGTATCCACGTTAAATTCCACCGTCCGGACGATCCCCTCCTCAGTCCTCGCCGGCAAAATACGCTCGACGCTCGATCCCGGCCCCCCTTTCAGCCGCGTCGAATACTGGCTTCGGTTGCCAAAGTCGGGCTGATCGCGCGGGATTGAATTGAGCGGATGGCCGTATTTGCGGGAGCTCGATCCATATCCGTTGGAAGACAGGCCCAACAGCCGGGGGAAGTACCGTCGTACAAATGGTCGCATCGCCGTGATGCAGCCACCGGTGATGCCGAGGTTCAGCTCAACAGTACACCACAGCAGAGCATTTGTCGTGGCCCCTAGCTTGTCAGCTACATCCACCAGTGTGAGAAGGAACTTACAGGTCAGGTCCGTGCTCTTGAGCAGGACATACAAACTCGCCAGACGAATACAACTCACGATACCAACACTATCCAGTCAGAGAGATCTTCGGTCGGGTCACTTCACTTACAAGCAGCCCATCGCCAACATGAACCCAATGGCGATCTTCTGTCGCAGAGGCATCTGCAGTCGGCGTAACCACGGTCTACATGGTCAGCAACGCGATCTATATGGAATACGGCATACCTACATCGGAACCAACACTGTCGCGAAGTCCGTGAAAATACCCAGGCCCGCGTTGGCGAAATAAAACACCGGCCGGTTCATGCACGTCGCCTTGACATCCAAATCCCAGGCCCCTTCGATCGGGGTGCAGCTAAATATGTTGGCCAGCACGCTAGCCACGTTGTAGCCCACTGCGATGAACACGATCGTCCACACGGCCAAGTGGAACCCCCGGCTGGGGAAGATGCGCAGGTAGAAGACAAGGACGGACACCTTGGTGCAGCCGGTGCCGACGCAGTAGACGATGGCCGCAACGACATTATACTGATGAGTTAGCTTGTCCTGTCCGTAGCGGAGGGCACGTACCTTCATAAATGGGGGCGTGAAATCTTCCAATGGGACATCCCACATGTGCCTGCCCAGGCCGTAGTTGAGCACTGCTGGTCAGCGATGCTTGATATGATTGGGGCCGCACTTACTGTCCAGCGTCACACCAGAGAGAACCGCCGACAAGACCTATCTGGTTAGTCGAGAACAGACCAGGTTCGGACCACATACCACTGCCAAGATCATTAAGTCTACCCAGTCAGCCACCTTCTCATTTACCTATGCAGCCTCACTTACAATCATCCCACGACATGCTGCGCACCACAAACAACCGCGTCCACGTCCGCACCGCCAGCGCCAACACCGCCAACGGAAGAAAGACACAATTTACCACAATGAACTTCGTCCCGCAATGTGGGGGATCCACAAAATTCGACGTCACGCCAGGCGGCGGCGCCATGGCCGGGATAATGGTGCCATTCATGTTGCCAGCAGAGCTGCATCGCAGCTGACCCAACCTCTGTATCTGAGGCGGCGCAGCAGCCTCTAATAACTCCAATCACACGGGTGCAGCGCCGCAAGCAGAGACGCAGCAACTCAAATCTCGGACGGGGTAAAGATGTATCCCTCCGACGGTCGGAAACCTTAGCCCTGCGCCCGCGATTGGTGCGTGAGATTGACTTTCAGTGGCAGCCACAGACGGAGGAAGCCGAGCAAAGTCAAATGCGGAAATAGTAAGGAATAGTCACCAGATTCGATCGTCGACGTTCCACCATCTCGGTCGGTCTCCTGTCTTGGTAGCGATCGGTGTCGACTATCGAGTGGCCAGACACGATCGGAAGTGCTTCTTGAAAGGGTCGTGTCTTAGCTCACACTGTCATTTCGGGGACCACTACGGAGGACTCCGTATGTCGCAGAGCTACGGTGGAGTCGCGACGCTGAAGCAGTAGCTAGAGTATATTCCAGGGTGTGTTGATCACGGCAAGAAGGACGGCAGACAAGATCAACTGCCGCAGTGCTGACTGCTGACTGCTGGCTGCAGAATTATACACTCACTGCCATTTTTCGCAACACCCCTGTCACGCACGAGCATATGACCTGACCCGTGGCAATGACACCCTTTCTCGGCAAACACTAGAAGGCGCACGGAAGTCGAATACGAGAAGGCCCAGAAAACTCCATAGTCGTGGCGTCGATGATGCGACGAATTCTCGCGAGGCCACTAGCTTGGCGCTAGGGCTTGTTCGGCACCGGCAGGACACTGTGGAGTCTCCGTTCCTCGGTTCGCAGAAGTTTAAATCCTTTCCTCTGGCCAGGGGAGACGTATGCACCAGCACAGGCGGATTGTCGTCAATAGTCCGGGGTGATGTGAGAATCGGGATAAGAACGCACATCATCAAATAATTCTACCAATGTTGAGGATGACATCCATCCCAAAGCAGTCAATGCACAGGGGTCGATGTCGCACGCCCTTCATCTATTAGACTTTGGCTATTTCGCCGCGATGGGGCGCTGAAGTAATCGTGAGGTTTTTTGCTCCACAACTGCGACGCTGTGGTGGTCATTCGGATGACACCGGCCTCTGCCGTAGCTCAGTGTCATCCTCCTATTGGATCCTGCATAACTGATCGAAAATGCTGTCGCAGACTTATATCTGAGTATGTCCTGGCCCCTCCATACAAATAACCCAGCTGGCATGTCAGACCTTGTTCAGTGACTCAGTCACATTCATATAACCAAAGCTAATTAGCGAGATGATTCATATCTAAGACACCCCCGCAAAGCGCCTCATCGGCCCATATCGCGCCGTCAGTCCCCGCAGCTTCTCCCCCCAAACAAACAATGGCAGCGCCAGCAACACACTCACCCCCTGGATGGCTGTCATCTCGCCAAACACCTTGGCGGCGCCCTGTCGGCTGATCCAGTCCGCCGCATACAACGACAGCAACATGCCTATCGTGTTGCGAATCACGAAGATGATCACCAACGCCTCGCCCGTAATCTGCTCCATCAGCACAGTCCACTACTTGATCGCATCAGAACTCACCGGCTTATAACAATCCAGCGCATACGTCACCGCCACATTGGAAATCGCCGCCACTCCAAACGCCTGCATGGCGTATCCGACTGCCGCGCCCGCCCAGTGCGTCTGGTGCGCTACGCACAGCCCGAAGATGAGAATTCCTGCAGGTCCGATCGTGCCGGGGATGATCATCGCGGGTAATCGATACTCAGGGAGTCGTGGGCCGCCGCGACGGCGGGTGTACCGCGTGGATAGGATATCGATCAGACGGCCGCCGAGATAAAAGGCGAGGAGGGAGCCGATGAAGCCGGATATCGAGAGGAGGCCGATACTCCCGGCCGACCAGTTGTAGGGGGGTGCAGTGAAGGTGCGGGATGCGGTGAGTTGGACCACGATGTTCCTGGATCGTTAGCTGGATCATTGAGCCCTGTTCAATGAATGAGTACTCACCATCCCACTGAGATACCGATGGTAAGGGAACACCACAGGAGTTGAGGATATGCTGCGTTGCGAAGGATATCCCAGACGGTTCGGAGGAATGACGCGTCGGGGTTATACCCCCGTGTCAGCGACAGCCAGTCCCGATACTTTCTCCTCTGGGAGGTGACATGTCGCGGGAGGTACGTCGTTTCACGAATGGTGAAGATGGCGAGGATAAAGACAGCCCCGACCGCCACCGCGAGAAAGTAACACATCCAACGCCAGTCCTCGTCTTGCACCAGGTACGCATTGATCAACGGCCCGAGAAATAATCCACTAGTCAGGGCGAGATGAAAGATCATGAGGTAGTGCCCGCGCTCATGAGGGGCGACCATGTCGCTGACGACGGCGGGAACGGTGGCATCTGCAGCGGCGGCAGCAAACCCAGAGAGGATGCGTGCGGCGAGCAGCTCGCCGTAGCTAGTGGCGCGCGACGACCAGATATTCATGGTGGACAGTAACAGCATGGAGATCAAATAGACCGGCCGCTTACCAATGACGCGCATCAGCGGGACCCAGAAGATGTTACCGAGGCCGAAGAGAAAGACATTGAAACAGACGAGCTCGCCAGCCTGAGTCTGAGAGACATGAAACTCAGCGACGATGGCCTTGGTCGCGACGGTAAAGTTGCTACTATTGACATTGGCGAGAAAGGTGTAGAAGCAGATGGTCAAATAGGTAGTGAGTTTCGCAGCAGTAGACCAGTTCTACCACATCAGCGTTGATGTCGGCGTTAGGCAGGGATGTACCTACCTGCGGATCATTCGGATCAACATCAGCCGACCCCTTACCCATCGGAGCCTCCAGACCCTGTTCCTCTGCCGCGCGGTCAATATGACTCGAGGTACCTTTTTCGTCATCTATGGTGGTGAGAATAGGGTGTGGCACCCATGTGGTAGCAGGGTCGGGCAGTTATGTAGGTCGTAGCACAGCGATTGTGGAAGTCCCGATGTCGGATAATCCGAGATCTTTGAGGAGTGTACAAAGAGTCAGCTTCCCCGGACTCGGCAGGGATGTGGTTTACCCCGCTTTCTACCCCGGACAACCCTCCTGCAGGCGCTGCAGCTAGCTCGGGTTACCCGACGTCTGGATTGCAGGGATGAGTCTGGCGTCACGGCAGTCGGCAGTTGTTTGACGCCACTGCTGCAAGTGAGGGTGTTATTGGTTGTGTGACTGTTGTGTCATGGACGTATCCCTGTCTGTATCACGGTCACTGTCACTGTCTATTTCGCTGTGGCACATCACACGGCAGACAAGGAAATGAAAATGCAAAAGCACTGCCGCATACAGGGAGTTTCATGGAATTTGGAATGCAGCTTTCACGCTGCTATTTTTGTCCCCATCAACCACATACGGCTGCACACAATCCATCACGGTTCTCTGAGATGACGACAGGCGGTGATTGGCTGGGCCGGTTACTTGTCCCAAAGCAGCCTAGCGCTCCTCCACGACGATCTCGCGGATGAACTGAATAGTTTCATCCATCCTTTGCTCACCTTCCATCATCAGTCATAGTCGACCCTCAAGGCTAATCAGGCTTCACAGCCTTACAGTATCCCCGCATGTCCCCCACTCAGCCCCACCCCCAACGCCGCCGCGATGGCTGCTCCGAATGCCGAAGGAAGAAAGTCAAGGTACTTCGTCATCGTCCTAAGCTTATCTAGCTAACTTGCCAGTGCGATCTACGCAAGCCCGTCTGCTCCCGGTGCGCCCGGTACCCAAAAGGGTGTATCTATACCTTGAGCGTTAGCTTCGTCAGCCCGAAATCGAGACCCGCCAAGACTCCCGATCCCATCGACTTGTCCATCTTGGCCAACCAGCCATGCCTGACACTCTCCCCGTTTCTCTCCTCTACAGAATCCAAGTTCTTCATGCACGTTCTTGCCACCCAGACGGCTCCAGTTTTCTTTCCGGCTGCCCCGAAGCTATTCGTCGATAGACTAATCAGCGCAGCCCTCGACACGCCGCATCTCCTATATGCCCTGCTGGCCTCGGCCTGCAGCCACCATGGGCGCTTAATCGGTGACAGCACAGGCACGTCGAGAACTGCTTGTCTGAAGTTTACCAACCGAGCTATCTCCGGGCTCAATTCAGCCCTGAATGAGCCAACCCAGATGCTGCAGCCCGAGACCGCCATGACGGCCATGACGCTGTGCACCAACGACGTCTGCAACGGCAACATGCATGTCTGGCGGATGCACCTGGCCGGCGTTATGCGGCTTCTCACGGCCTTTCTGGAGCAGCCTTTTAACATGGCTGACTCTTTCACCCTCTGTCTGGTCAAGTGGTTCACCACGCTGGACGTGTTGGCCGGACTATCCAGTTCGTCTAGCATCACCCACGGGCTATTAGAGCATTTTGTCGAGGCTTTTCCAAGTGAAGTCGACGATATCTGCGGGTATTCGTTGGAACTGGTGCCTGTATTGACACGCATCGGCCAACTAGCTCACCAGACAGATATCCTCTCACATCAAAACGTGCAAGAAGCGGAAATGCTCGACCTCACCCTGCGCTTGCTATTGGACCGAACCGTCCCATCCAGCACACTCACCACACACGGCCCGGAACTCGTCCACGAGCTCCACCACACCCACCTAGCCTTTGTACACTGCGCTCTCCTCCACCTCCACCGCCGCGTCCAAGGATTACCCCGTGACCATCCGGCCGTGCGCGACGATATTCAGAACATTCTCACCGCAATCCAGCACATACGACCGTTCTCGCAAGCCAACATCCTCATTCTATGGCCCGTCTTTAGTGCCGGATGCGAGACCACTGTTACCGCGGAACGGGATCTTATCCACACGCGAATGACCAATATGCGCAGTTTGGGGATGGGTAATTTTACGCGCGCACGCGACATGCTCGAGGTGTTTTGGGCTTCTGAGAGTCCGCTGCCGTGGGATGCGTATTTTGCACAGCAGGGCCTTGAGCTGGTTTTGTTCTGAGGAATTTCGATTTCCTCCTTCCCGAATGATGGGGCGTAGGCCGCCCTCATCGCGGCCGATAGCTGGGAGGCGCTGCAGCTGTTACCTCCGCGGCATCGGTGGCCCCGCGGGAGGAATTCCCCGTGACGGCCCCCGACACAATCTTTATGGGCACCCCTGCCATCGGCTGGTTGATCCTCCTCCTGGGCGCTCCCCAGTGACAACCCGTTAGAGAACCCGGCAGGTTTTCTGCAGGGCTTTGCAGAGGCCGTCCTAGGGACCGGGGATGCGTTGGCCCCGAAGGACCCCGTGGCCGCTGAAGGGATCGATGTCCTGTTGGATGTGTGTGAGGGGCTCTAGATCGTCACCGCCCTGCTGGGGTACACCCCGATCTATGAAAAGTTGGCCGGGCCACGGCCGCCGTCCTCGACATGCTCCTCCTTGTCCCGAGCCTGATGGTGCCAGGCACTTTACCGAACTGGCGACCCAGGAGGCGAGTGCGCACCGAGGTCATCCTGGGAGAGGTGACGACCCTCTATGGCGCCGCCGCACCATCTCGTATGCCACGACAATGAACGAGGAGTCCCGAACGATTTCATCCTGGTTATGTCGGCCTGCAATGTTGCGAAATCTGGGTTACTCCTGGCCGAGGCGGCCATTCCCTAGTTTGACTAAATGCCTAAAGTTGGAGGTTGCTGGCGCCTAACTTTAGATTTCTTATCGATTTCCTAAATAGCATAGATACAGGCAGTATCGAATGATATTTTTCTCTTCCGCTCCATCAGCGTACTTTCATTTAGGATTTGCGCAGCCGAAAGCTGGGGTGCCACTTGTTTGCTATGTGATAGGATTAAGCCAATGCCAGACTAAACCCTCCAGCTGCCCTCTGGCCGTGAAGCAAATCCTACTCAAGAATGTATCTCGAAAGTATTATAACAATGTCCCAACGTCCACCTAGGAATAGTCTCCTCTCAGCCCCAGACCCCGTTTCACACGTGCGCGACCTAGCAAACTGCTCCAGTCAATTATCTCCCATCCCATCACGCCACGACATACACCTACGAGATGAATTTAGATACATACCCGATGCAGCCAATCATGATACTTCATCAGCAGATGATGAAAGTCACAAAATCGTGGCGATGAGTTTGGGATGCCGCAACAGTGGAGCCCCCCCATTATGGCAATCCAGCCGACGGGACCAATCACACGCCATGGCCTCCATCTCCCCGAAGTACTTATATCGACTCACTCTCCCCCATCTCCTCATCATCACAGCAATCTACAATTCCCCTCAAAATGCCTCAAATTAGTGAATTTGCCGTGGAAAGGGTATTCACCCCTCCCTAACCTCTATCACGTACAACACTAACAACCACCAGTGGATGGACCAGCACGAAACTACCGCCACCCACAACCTCGCCGAAACCTGCTGTGCCTCCATCTCACTCACCGACCTGGTTGCTCTCTCCGAGAACACCATCGCCCCCGAGGATCTCCTCAAGCCAGCTAAAAAGCTCACCTACGGTGCCATCCGCGGCTCCGAGACCCTCCGCGCCAACATCGCCAACCTCTACGCGCCCGCCCCCATCACCAAAGACAACATCCTCGTCACCAACGGCGGCATCGCAGCCAACTTCCTCGCCTTGTACGCCCTCGTCAACCTCGGTGACCACGTCATCGTACAGTATCCGACCTACCAGCAACTCTACACCCTGCCGCGATCCCTGGGCGCGGACGTCAGTCTATGGCGATCCGACGAGACGAAGAACTGGGAAGTCAACATCGATGAACTACGCAACTTAGTAACTGATAACACTAAGCTGATCATCATCAAGTAAGCCCCTTTCTTATACGCTCAAGATCATAAAACTAAACAAGCAAAGCACCCCCCAAAACCCAACCGGGGCCATCCTCCCCCCAACCCTCCTAGAACAAATCATCGCCATCGCCAAATCCCACGACCTCACTATCCTCAGCGACGAAGTCTACCGGCCTCTTTTCCACTCATCCCCATCCCCATCCCCACCCTCCCTGCTCAGTTACAACTACCCCAAAACCCTCACCACCAGCTCCGTCTCCAAAGCCTACAGTCTGGCCGGGATCCGGATCGGGTGGATCGCTTCCCCGGACCCCTCGCTGCTGGACCTTGTTGCTTCCGTCCGAGACTACACCACCATCTCGGTGAGCGGGGTCGATGATCATATTGCCGGTCTTGCGCTGTCGCAGCCTACGGTTTCGAATCTCCTGGAAAGAAATCTTTCCCTGGCACGGGGGAATCTAGAGATTTTGAGTGCTTTCGTGGAGAAGTTCAGTTGGGCTGTAAAATGGAATAAGCCGGTTTCTGGAACGACTGCGTTTTTGAAGTTCGTGAATCGCAGTGGTAAGGCACTAAACGACGAGGTATTCTGCAAAATGGTGATGGAGAAAACGGGGGTGTTGGTTGTACCCGGGGGGTTGTGTTTTGGGAATGGAGGGGGAGATGGAGTGGGGAAGGGGGATTTTGCGGGGTATGTACGGATGGGATATGTTTGTGAACGGGAGGTTTTGGTTGCTGGGTTAAAGGCGTTAGGCGAGTTTATTGGATGTAAAGAGTATGAGGCGTGTCCGGTTGTGGAGTGAGTATATACCTAGGCCGAAGGTTCGGGATATAGGATGAAGGTTGGTAATTTTTGTATTTGGGGCAGAATTGGTATTGTACTTGGTTTCCTTATCTAACCTTTGGGATGTGGAAAGGCGAAACCAATAGAGGTAGTCTGTTTGGCGTTTTCTGTATCCAGTTTCTCTGTACTTCATTCGTCTACACTTGCCAGATAAAACATTGTTCCGCCTCTCCAGATTATGCTATTACCACCCCGCAGGAATATCTACTAGCTGTTAGCAGACAAGCACTTGATTGTTGCCCTGCTGAGGGATCTATTTCCCGGCCTATTGAGTAAGATATAGAACTGCCTACTGATATGAGACTTGGAGGTATTGACTTGGTAGATCTAGATGATATTGGGTGACAAGCCTATGCTCGAAGGCTGGTTAGCCTCATGCTGGGAATGGCTCCTGGTACATTGTCTACTCGGCCTCATGGGGAGGGGTGAGTGGTTTCTGGGACTGACCTGCCTGGATACCTGGATACTAAGGCTTGGGATTCATAAACTGTCACGCATGAGATTATGTTGAGACATGCTATATTCTACCTTCTTCGCCCGGGGCTAGGAAGAGATATATTCCTTTTTGGTCTACGTGGTGTTGGACAGTTTATATACGGAATACTCTGATAGCAGAATCAAAACTTGGTTATACATCGCTAACTACTTCAACAGGTATACATCACAAATAACATATAAACAACATGTAGTTAATATCACCGCCGCAGTCGCCTCCGACTCCGTCTCTCATCCGGCTCCAGCTTCCAACTGTAATATTCACACAACGTGTGCCGTCGTCGATCCTGGTCATCTTCCGCTCCATTCTCAATCACCTTGTCGTGTCCTCCCTCCTTGTCGTGGATGGTATGCGCCCAGGTGGCAATCAACCCCTCTACATCCGACAGATCCCCCACTCCCAGATTCCACGGCCGATAGTCCGGGTCTCTGCGAAGGCGTTCAATCACGCTGAAATGCAGCTTCGCCCCATCGGGCAAAAGCCGTCGCTCCCCCCCAGCGTGCCATCGCGACATCTTCACCGTCCCGTCGGGTCCCATCTTGGGCCGCTTGATCGGCAACATCTCCATCACACGCCAGATCATCGTCTCCAGGGGTTCGCCTGAATCATACAACAGCGAGTTGTGGAGGAACGCTCGCTGCGCTTCATACAGAACATCTTTTTGGCATTGTTCCTGCGCCTTGAAGTTGAAACAGCCCAGTTTGTGCAGTTGTTCCGGCTCAAAGGTCAGTCCGGCATCTATAGCCTCTTCCACCATCCACATCAGCGGGATCTGGCTGGCCACCCAGTCCCGTCCGTACTCGCGTGGCCACCCGCCGCCCACGTCACTGTGGCTGCCGGCGAAGTATACCTCCTCGAATTCCGTGTCCGCGTGTCCGACGAAGCCGCTATTGCCCCAGTACTCGATATCCGCGCGTTCGACCCACGTGCTCGCCCGGGCGGACCGGGCATGAGCACGGAGCTTTTCGAAGAGCACGGGCTGGAACTTGCGGCGGCGTTCGTCGATACTCACGGCGTGACGCATGATGCGTGGCTTGGGATGCGTTCGCAGGTCCTTGTTTTCTTGGTTTAAGAACACGCTGTTGACCGTGTCGAATAGGCCGAGGAAATGGACTCGGCCTACCGATCGGCACATCGTGTCGCGGAAACTTCGCAGGATGAAGTCGGCTTCGTCGGCGGTTTTGCCGCTGTCGGCGAACTTCCACGAGACAAAGGCCTTCCAGACCAGCGGCATGATCTCTTCGTTGTCTGCCGAGATCAGCCCGATAAAGTCGAGCATCTCATTGAGGAACCGCGCCGTGTAGGCTCCACGCGAGAACCCGAAGAGGTAGATGTGGGAGCCTGGCTCCCAGCGGCGGGCGAGGAAGCGGTATCCGTTGATGACATGTTGGGCGAAGGAGGTGGCAAATGCCTGGTCGATGATTTTGTACAGGGGACGGTTGCTGAAAGGGAAGGCGATGTTGGCAACGGTCCCGGCTTCCATGTCCTCCGTTCCGATGCCCGCTATATCATGTTAATTGATATCATTCACCAAGACGGAGCACCTACGTTGATAGTAACAGACTAATCACGTCAGCTAGAGTCTATGACGGCATCTAGACGACTTACATCTCTTATCCTTTTTCCGGTCCAGCATGCGGAAGATTTTTAAAATGTTGCTCTCTCCACCATCCGCGCGAAAGGTATTCCCCGTCCCGTCGAAACAGAGAACCAGCTCCCGCGTGGGATGTTCTGGTGGACAGAGACAGTCACAAGGGTCGGGATTCATTGTGTTGAGTGTGTTCGACTATGTTGAGAGAGGCAGCGCCGGATCTGGGGATCCTCCATTTAAAAGGAGTCGGCCTGACAGCATCATCATCAGCTGAGGTGTCTGAGAGTTGGCAGTGTTGGGGCACTGTCGATCCTGTGGGGATATCAATAGCCTGGCAGAGTGGCAGTAGTGGCTTTGTTTCACCGCATATGCAGGGCTTAGTGCAAGCCATGAGTCAACTCGTGTATGACTTCAGTTGATCGCTCGATTCCTACAGGCAAATCAGTTAGTCCCTCGACGGCTGATCGATACAGCCCCATTCGATACGATCAGGGCTCACCATGCTGAGATAAGCATAATATCTCGCTGGTCAGCATCGTGGCGCAATTCGTGTCGGAGCCCGGTTGGTGATCTCAGGCGTCCAAGAAGCGGATGTGACCAATCACCGGATATGATGTGATGATGCATTTATAGACAATAGTATATGCATGCATTGCCGTCCAGTGCAGTGTGCCAATCGGCAGCTTTAGCGACTCTACCAGAAGGGCAATTCGTAGTCGTGCTACTTCTGACTCTGACCATTGGTCGATTCCCGGTTGCCTCAACTTGAACTTTGAGGCCTCCATCTTGACTCCGAGACTTTCAGCTGGTATCGAACTGGTACGCCACGGCCTGCTGCAGGGCGCGTCCGAGGCGTGAATAAGGCTATGTCTGCGCAGTGATATCATTACCGGCAAGTCCGCCTGAATGTAAGTCCTGATCGCTAAGGTGATGACATCGAACATAGGCTGTGTTGAGCTTCTTCACCTAAGTCTGACGGTAGCAAGCGAACCGTTGTCTAGGTGCATCTATCATAATGAATGCTCCGCACATGCTGTTTGCTCTGGAGCTGTATCTGCCAAATAGCGTCATGCCATCGTGACAGCTTAGGAAGTAGTCCATAGACAAGTAATATTCCTGACGGACGAGTTGACACCAGCTGTGCTTCCTACCGGCGATGGTTCGCTTCCCAGAACGTGGAGTTAACTGCCCAATGTTACTGATAAGCTCAGTTTGAGTTGGCGGTGCTCCACTTGAATGGACCAAAAAGATGGATGCCATGGCATCGGTGGGACGCGCCGTCGATCATGGTTCTGTTGTATCTCAGCACCATTAATGATAGATCTCTGGAATTCAGTAGATACCTTCCTCATCGCTGGATATGTTCTTCTCTCTCTCTGATAATCCTTATAGATCCTAGGTTGATGCCATCTAATAGAATCTTTCTGATGTTACAACCTCATAGGGATGAAGATAGGTGAGGGGAGGGAGAAGAGGCTTAGGCAGCAGTGGATCCGCCGGCGATCGCAGCCAACAAACCGAACCATCAACCATCAACACTCGTCACGTCACTTGCTTCAACGTAACATGCCCTCCCCCTCCTCCATCTCATTTTCGCTCTCCCTGCTAATAGCAGGCTATCTCGCCCGTTGGAGTCTCACGCCCCCGAATCTCCCCGCTGGCAAATCCAATGCGCCCGCCGACCGTGTCCGCCTGATCGCAGGCCCAATCAATACCGTCGTGACGCACTTCAACTCGGTCTGCATCATCTACCATGCTCTTCTGGCGCTATTTTACACAGAAGGCAGCAACTACGATGCTACTGGCAGGACGGCAGCCAGCGACACAGCCTACGAAGCGATCTGCCCGCACCCGACCAATCTCCCTCCGCATCTCTTCACCTGGACCACCACCACCACCCTCTGCCTGCTCTCCCTCGCCCTGGGTGCCTCCCTCCGTCTCTCCGCATTCAAGTTCCTCGGTCGGAACTTTACCTTTCAGCTGTCACAGCCAGACACCCTGATCACGGGGGGGATCTACCGATTCGTACAGCATCCGAGCTACACGGGTTTGTGGTTGGTCGCGGCAGGATACCTGGGGTTGATAATGCGGTGGGACGGAGCAGTTGCCTGCATGCTAGAGAACAGCGTACTGGAAAGACTGTCCGGCTGGGGAGGATGGATGGTGGGCGCGTTGGTGTCGGTTTTGATTTCATCCACGGCGATGCGGGTGCGCGACGAGGAGGGCATGTTACGGGCGCAGTTCGGGCAGAGATGGGAGGCATGGCATACGAGAACAGCAAGATTCATTCCGTATCTAATCTAGCTAGAACTGTACATACCTAACCCCCAAAATCAATCCTGTCAAAGAGCGTAGCATACCAACAGCCGTAGCCGCTCGGAACAACTCCGACCCGCGCGACTCCGCATCTCCGCCATCCGATGATCTCACCTCCTCCAACTCCGTTCAGCTCCAGCTCTCTTCCCTTCCACACCCATCCAATCCAGTCACACCCACATCAATTCACCATGGGTCTCCTCGGCCGTGTCACCAAAATCACCACCATCGGTGCCGGAGCCACCGTGGGGTTCTTCTTCGCGGCCGTCCGACACAACGAGTTCGTGCCCATGCCCACGACCGACCCTCTCTTCCAGCACCCTCTGTACCAGAAACTCAACCCATCGAACAACCCGCCCAGCTACGACCTGTGCGTGCGTCGCGTGCCCCTGAAAGACATCAAGCCCGCTCTGCTTGAAAAGCCCGGCCGGTTGACCGAAGCGTTCTGCGCCGGTGTGTGGAGTGGATTCGGTGCGTAACACCCACCCCCCACCCACTCATCCCCCGTTTCCTTCATCAATCTAACTGATGATTCAATGGTATAGGATACGCCTACCAACGCCGCTACCTCTCGAAGAAATACGAAGGACCCGAGACAGCATCCCACCTATGGACCCGGGCGGAGCTCCGCTCCTCCACCTACGACGTCGGCACCCTGATCACGGACCACTTCGAGGTGGTAGAGAAGACGCCGGAGCGGATTGTGGTGCGGTGCGGTGACTCGCCGCGGAAGCAGGATGTGCGGGACTCGGATGGCTTGTTTGAGATGTCGACGGAGGTGAAGCCGGAGCAGGGCGTGGCGGAGTTCCGACTCAAGAGTTTGTTTTTCCAGGGGAAGGGGAAGGCGGAGGGGGAGCCGATGCCGTCGCATGTGTTGTGGTTGCATAAGCAGTATACGAAGTTGTGGTTGGAGACGGCGTTGGGGAATATTTGGCGGTGATGGATGATGTCCACGCTCGGGTGGGAGGGATATCTGCTGCGGGTATGGCTTGGATATCTATGGACTTGTTAATGGTTGGATAGTGATATATTTGAATGGCCCGATACTTCCTTATACTATGTGGCTGATCACGAGAAACACCAATATATTATCATACCGTACTTGCATTCAGACAAAAGCCAGAATACCACCGACAATCTCATATACAATCCCTCCAGGATAACATGAGCAAACCACCGATAACTCATTTACACATCAATCCTGAAGAACAAAAAAATACAACATCCAACTCTCCCTGCCTCATCCCAACCCCAAACTACTATAATACCTACCCCAAAAAGAGCCCAACCCAGGAACACGCCTAACCCTCTAACTAAGCCTTAGCAAAACCCACCTACTACTCTTCTCGAACCCCCACCGAAACCACCACCCCACCCCAGCCCTACAACCAACAATAGAGTTAACCACAAGCTTAAGCCCCATCCAAACCAGCCATCATCTCGCTTTCACAAACCCACCTCTCACAACCCCATCATGTCACATAACCCATGACATCGTTTCAGCAATGACATCAATCCCAACCCTCAGGCACTTAAACGTCAAAGAAAGGCTCTATTCGGTCATACCAAACCCAAGATCAGGTATCTAGATAAGGAGGGAAAAACAAGGCGAAGGGGGAAGATAGCTAGGGGACTGACGCACGTCAAACGGTAACGTACCGTGGTTCGATTAGACCCGTTCCATCCATCCATCCATCCATCCATCCATCCATCCTCTGAAGTGGAGTGGCTTTGGGGTGGGGGTTACTATAAGCAGCATGAGATTTCCTGTCAATAGTTAGTTACTCAGGTAAGATTAGTAAGTATCTCAGCTCAGGACTAACCACCAATGTACTTTGGGACAAACCATACCTATCCCTATGTGTTGGGAGTTATCGGTAGGTAGGTGGCTATGCGGTGATGGTTCGTGTCTGTTCAAAAAGCTTGGGGCAGGAAAATCCTGCTCAGTCCCATGGAATCGGGAGCAGAGGGTTTACCTTGTGGGATTGGGTCGTAGGTCTTGGTAAGTGTTCTATTTCTATTTCTAGAAGGGAGGTCATGGGTAGGGCTGGGTAGTACCTTATTTGGGAATAGGGGTAAACTGGTACAGTTACGTGGGTTGTTTGGGATGGGAGAAGAGTATAGATTCATAACGAATGAGATTATGATACTATATATCGATATAGTTAACTGTGATTTCAGTAGGAGAATTTGAAGGAAGAAGAGAAGGAAGAGGAAGAATGACCGGTGAAGACAGATGAAAGACCTACTCCCAATACTCTAGACCAAAATAACCGAACTCAAACAGAAGCGCTCCTTACCCATCTATCCTGTCCTCATATCCTATTCTCAGTAATTAAATCAACACTCTCCAACACCAAACTCTCAAGTAACCCCTCACTATACATAGATACTCCACCCTCGAATAATAGCGGTGAAACCCCACAATATGACACACCACCTCGAACCCCCCAAACGACGCCCATGCATAAATTCTACCAAAAACAACCCTGAAACGGCAATCGAACAGGATATATATGCACGATGGGCCGTCTCTCTTACGCAACCCCATTCATACTATGCACTATGCAGAGGCGATAAACTTTCGCTTAGACATAGTGGGGTGGGGGGTGAACGGTTTTCTTCACACCTGCGGAAAGTATAGATTGACGGTCAGGAATATGGCTTGGCAGATACATTGCAGATTAGATCAACGCTACGCTGAAGGATACGCAAGGGGTGGTTATTGCATGGCAGGTCGGAGGTTTATCACCAGGAGCATCAATTTGGTCATGACTTCAATACAGCTGTGGTCAGCAAGGGATCGTTCTATCAATAGTATGTAGTCAATAGCATTCATTAGACTCAGCAGTACTCCGTAAGTATATCAATAAAGGTAACATCGCAGATTCAATATGACATATCCACCCAACGCCAAACCATAAGGTATCATTGCTAAACCAGATTCACAACATGGAGGGTTCTTCCTTTCGCACGGCCTCAATCACCGACTCCATCCCGGGATTCCCCTTCCAGATGCCGGTGATCTCCAATCCCGCCTCGTCCAGCAACTCCCGCCACTGCCGCTCGGAGCGCTCCACGCCAGACCCGATGCTCATCATCTGAATGTCCAACGACGCTTGCAGGAGCTGGGCGTCCGTGTCCGGCAACACAAAGTCGGAGATGATGATCCGCGAGTACCCGGGGTCCATGGCCGAGATCGTGTTGACGAGAATCTTGCGGCAGATGTGGTCCGGCCAGTCGTGGAAAATGGCGCGGAAGTAGTATGCTCTTGCACCTGTTCCAATTATTAGCTGCTATCCAATTAATAATGAAGCGGGAATCGTTGCATACCCTTGATGGGTTGTGGGTCCAAAAAGCTATACCCCATACCCTGAATCCCCTCACCCGGACAGCGAGATACCACCTTGGGCAGATCTTGCAGGATCAAGCGTCCCGGCACCTCGGGGTGCTTGTCATGGAACTTCACCAGGTCGTGTCCCTGGTTCCCACCTACATCAACCAGGAAGACGGCCTCCGGGTGGTCCATGACACCACTCGTCAAGCGCTCGACGGGATACACATCAAACCAGCTGGGCTTGCCGTGGCGACGACTAGACATGTACGAGTTAAAGAGACCTTGCCGATGCTTGCTCTGCGCAAGCCACTCGAATTGACTTTGCCCGACAGCCCATTGCATAGGAGAACGAGAGTACTCTTTGGGGGAGATGTAGTGATGTTCCCGAAAATAGTCAGGAAGTTTAGCCAGGGTAGGCATCGTAAGGTCATATCTGGGCCGGTTAATATTGCATCCCACAGTGCAGATATTCAATAAGACCTACATGCAGGGAATCCCATCTCTCCCGATCGGCTGGGTCATGACGGCCGTCTTCTCGGTCGCAATGTATACTTCGGACTCATGGCTCGCACACAACCCAAGGGCGGTCATAACTCGCATCAGACGGACTATAGGGGTCAGCAAAAACTATAATAGGCTCGTGGATCTTCTCACCAATGAGGCCTCTCTCAGCCCCGGTGCGTCTCGCCAGTTCCGTGGCCGACAAGCCGCGCTTGTTCTGCTCGACCAACAAGGGGAAAATGCCCAGGTCCATAATGGTGCGGAGGGCTGCATTCTGCGGTGGCTGCATGCATGTTAGCCGACAGCGACATGAGAACAATGGCAAAAGCAAACCTACCTGGTAGATCAGACGCAGCACCGTCTCCGTCGGAGTCTCAACTGCCAGACGCAGCTTGTCGATCAGGCCAAGAAGCTGGAAATGCGATTCGGCAGAACGACCAGGGCTTTGGTCCTGCAACGCCGTCTGCTTGATGTCCTCCACCAGGGAAAGGATAGTTGGGTTTTCAACAGACGTCGTCATATTTACATGCACAGTCATGAGCAGAAGAATACACAGGAGAATCGATCAGGTAGGAGGAGATAGAAAGAAATGCAATGCTGGGGCAGCGGTGAAACAGCATGCAGGTCCAGGGATTATATAGGCCTCGCGCGGATCAGAAAACCGCCCAGGGCTGGGATGGATCAATAGCTCCCTCATCGATCCCCAGCACGGCCGTGCACTCATCCGGTCTCAACTGCCCGTGCCCGGACTTCTGAAAACGGTAACCCTGGTTGGACGGTCGCATCCGCAGGATTCCCGAGGGCCAGGATAGCTGCAGCATCCTTTGATCTTAGGACTTTGTGGTTTGGGCCAGATCCTGATCGTCGGAACAGGGCTCCCCGAATCACCATGACACCATGGTCATCAAAGCACCTCGCCGCATGAATCACGTCGCACGGTGGTCCAACCGTACAAAGTCCGACTATCCACCTAGAGAGCGGTTCCCCGGTCCAGCTGACGAATCTCTTCCCAGACGGGACATTCAATCTATCTGTGGCAATGGCTTTCAATAGCCTAGCGAAGATTCAATGAATCTGACGCAACTGCAGAACCTTGTCGTAAACCTGACTGCTCCGCCCATTGTCAAGACACGCTCTGCAAGTTCTGCAACAGATGGCGCCCGCTGGGTTGGGGCCTCCCGATTACCCTGTTCCTGGGCAACGCCACAGCGCCACCCGGAAAGTACTCCGTACTAAAAAGAAACTAAAGTACTAATTCTTCCGTTAGTTCTCCCAAAGTGAGATGGCCACCGCTCCGGCTGGCCCAAGCTCCTCCATTCCCGGTGCATCTGTATGTATATGTGTGATGTATGTATGAAGCTATGGCTCCCACTAGCCGTATGTCAGACCGGGAATCAAGAGGTAAGATCGCCCGGGTCCGGACCACACAGAGGCCTCCAACGCAGCAACTACGAGCAACCCCTCCTCGGGAATAGTTGCTAAAATCCGTCGTTTCACCAGAGGTATCCAGGACTTTGGGCACGGTCGGGGTAGCGGACCATGGGATCCCGTTCCAGGATGCTGGAAAAAGAGCTGCATGCGGGATCTAATTGGCTGCGCGGGTTGCTTGGGTTGGGACTAAATCGCAAAATAGACTTCCGGTCCGTGCTTATTGCCGTCGAGTGAGGCAAGCATATCAATATCCAATGCCATCTCCTATAGGAAATCCAGCCTGCAGTACGATCGACGAACCCATGATTCATTCGACACGTTTGCGATCGTAGTCGCGGGTCTAGTTGACATTGCTGCTAGTCCGGTGCTAGCCCTTTGCAAGTATGGAATGAGGCGGGCAACAGAATGGATAGCCGCAGGCCATGGCAACCGCCGGGATTCCGTCCCCTTTGGCCTGTGGTTTGGAGCTGGCCGAGACGCCAGGCCCCTCCCATATCCGCAACAGTACTCCGTAGGGTGCTTATCTTTTCCGACCCTCCCAATGATGCGAGCTACGTTGATTAGTTGGGCTAGAGCGCCGATCCCTCAACAAAGGCGCCTTACCTTAAACCCCCGGACGCAATTGGCAACACGAGCCAGCCAATCGTGGGGGGCGATCGGTCTATTTTCAGGAAAGTGGCGGGAGATTAGATAGATCATGCGCTGGGAGCCCAATAATGGTGTTTCTTTTTCAGCTCCGGCTTACAGTGGCGGATCGGATGTCCGGCATAGTCAAGGGGAGGGCTTGTGTAAGATTCGGTGAGCGGCTGAACGCAGTTGAGCCCGTCGATAGGCCAGCCGCCATGGATACTGGCAACATGGACACCGTCCAGATGTACCTCATGGAGACAATGTCCCAAATTCTGCACTATTACCGGAAGATCGTCCGGTCTTGTCCCTCCACTTCGGATGGAGATGGATACGTGCCTCATACCGTAGCGCCCGGGATTTAGCAGGCCGTACCGGCTAAGTTTCCAACAACCACAAAATCTCGACGGCCCCTTTCCGGCCAGTCATGGACTTTTGTCGCCGTCGGACAGGTCACATCGTAGAATATACGATCCACCGGATTCAGCTCGTGGCGTTCCGATCAGGAGGAATGTGGCCCTATCGGCGGAACAGCCTGGAGCATGGGCCAGGCGGCCGTATTGCAGAACCCCCTGGAATACATGGCGAGCATTGTATGTGAAACACAGACAAAACTCGACACAGCGTCAATAAATCTCATACTGGGGAAACAATAGTAGCAGTCAACCCAAGTGAGCAGGAGTGAGGCGGAGAATTTGTCAGTCGCACATCGCTCCGTGTTAGGGTTGTCGCACGGTCCGCCCTGGCTAAGTACCATGCTTTGATGGATGCAGAGGAAAGTACTACCAACTGCACCAGTTGGCTGCACAGACCAGTTCATCTGGGTGACTACTCCGTATGGCTGATGACACTGACTCGAACTAACGAATCCAATCCAAGCCATCCGAGGTGGCGGTGCAGTCCATGAGATCAGTCGCCGTCCGCCGTACTTCCATTCCAGCCGGAGGAGCCCTGTCGCAGAATGGGAGCAGCCCATTTTCCAGACCCACCAACTCGACAGGTCAGAAACAGACGGCGAGGAAGGTTGAACACGAGCCCTCGGACATGGCCTTCTGCACGGGTACGTCGTCGTGGGCGTGGGCCCAGCATCCTCTGCAGTTCGTTGCGACACTCGTTTGCGGGCATTTTATTTGTCGGCCTCCAAACATCGGGCCTCAATTTCCGCCCGCACAAAAAGAAGTCCCAACAAAATCAGGAAGCGAACAAAGCCGAAAAACCAAACATGGGAAAAAGCAATAACACAAAGAGCGCTCCCTAGCCAGGAATCCCTGTAGGTGAGACACCGATCAGCGATCGATCTACCATTCCCGATGGAGCGATCCAGGTTCCTGGGCCGGGAACCCGGTTACGGGGGCGGGTTCCGCCGTAGCCCTGGACGCTATGGAGGGTCCGTAATGCACCCAGCCCATCATCCTGCGAACTCTGCTTCCGCTCGTGCATCATCTGCTGCAGTGTGACTGACAAATTGCGTCGTGCGCGCTGTCAACCCAGTCCGCGTAAGGGATCGTACACACGGACGGGAACTCTGGTGTCATATGAGGTCGATCAGGCCGTCCCAGAGCCTTGATTCGATAGACGCCGGATCGCGATCGTGCACCATGGGCCGGCCAGATTCGGGCCCGTGCGATGTTTAGGTTCTGATGGACTTGCCACAAGTTCGCATACGTAGTGTAGTGGCCCCTGTAATCAACTTTCCTCCCGGTTTTAGTGCCGGGGAACGTCATCCCCAGTGGAGGTCTTTCAGCCTGACATTTGTGTCTCCTGGCCATACACCGCTACGTTTCGTGCAGGGATCCGTCTATTCCTTAATCCGGAATCATAGATCCCCCACCGAACGCAGACAATGGACTCAGCCCTCCCCTGCCCGCGTCTGGGACTTAAATACGCCCCGGCCTCCCATTGTCAACCCTCCAGGTTTTATCAGATGTTCAGCTTCATCGCCTTTCATCATGGGAATTCCTCAATACTATGACGGGGTCCCAGACGAGGCCCCCAAGCCAACAACACAATCCACAGGCGACGTGGTTGCACGCTTCGGTCGTCTGCATCTCTTGGACGACTTGATTCGCCTGCGAGCAGCAGATGCTGTTCAACATCCTATCCTTGCCTATCCTAAGCCGACACAAGATGGCTCCGTTTCATATGAATACTTCACTGGCCACGATCTAGATTGCATGGTGGACCATGCGGTATACACCCTGATGGACTTTGGCTTCCAGCCGGTAAGTAAAAGACGATCCAATCATCAGCACGATGCTCATTTCGCTAGCCCCGGAAAGATAGAGCAACGGTTGCTCTCTTCACGCTCTCAGACCTCAACATGGTGATCACATTCTTCGCTCTCAGCAGACTTGGTTACACAGTCATGATGCTGTCGCCACGTCTATCCGCCACAGCTTGCGTGTCGCTCTTAGACACGGTCGGATGCGACACGATCTTGTACGGTCAATCGCCCAACATTCGTGCCACAATGGGTGAGATCCTGCGTCTCAAACTGATCGCCTGTCGGCCGATAATCGAAAGACCCTCTGTAGAAGAGGTGTCTCAAGACGCAGATGTCTTTATGATTCGCCGGAACCGTCGTCCCGAGCTCCTGGTTGACCGGGTTGCCCTAATCCTCCATTCTTCGGGGTCAACAGGTATTCCAAAGCCTCTCTATTTGAGCCACAAAGCCTTGATGACCCATCCAATGCGGGGTCCTGGGTTCACTTCGTTCAACTCATTGCCCTGGTACCATCTACACGGGCTCTCCACAGCTTTGCAAGCCATGTATATGCGGCGAACGGCATACATGTGGGACGCCTCTCTACCATTGACTGCGAGCACGGCGGTCGCTGTCCTGGAGGCAGCCCGGCCAGAATCCGTCCAAGGCGTACCCTACCTCCTTCAGCTTCTTGTCGACAACCCACGCGGTCTGAAAGCGCTAAGAGCTTGCAAGTCCGTCACATACGGTGGTGCCCCATGCCCTGATGAGCTGGGCGATAAGCTCGTGGAGGAGGGTGTGAGATTCGGGGGCTCATTTGGCCTGTAGGTGTCAATTTCCCCGATCAATGAGTGACTGCTAATTCACTCTAGAACGGAAGCCGGCCTGGTAGCAGAGTCAATCTCGAGACCCGCAGGAGATCCTTTCTGGAACTATATGCGCTTTTTCGACAATATCAAGCCGTTCATCTGGATGAAGCCCATCAGCGATGCACTTTATGAGGTCGTTTACCTAAAAGGCCATCCAGCATTGACAGTATCCAACTCGAACGATCCCCCTGGTTCCTTCCATTCTCGCGATGTCTTTACTCCCCACCCAACTATCGCCGACCGCTGGAAGTACGTTTCCCGCCTGGATGATCGGATCACGCTAGTCAATGGTGAGAAGGTGCTTCCTCTTCCTATCGAGGGCTGCATCAAGCAAAACCCTCTTATCCAGGAGGCGGTTGTCGTTGGCGTCGAGAAGGCCGTTCCGGGGTTGTTGGTCTTCCGGACAGAAAACTCCCAGATGTTCTCTGACGAGGACTTTCTGGACCTCATTTGGCCAACAGTGGAAGATGCCAACTCGCGGGCAGAACAGTTCTCCCAGATCGCCCGCGATATGATCCTTGTCTTACCTGCCAATAGTGTCTGCCCTCGGACAGATAAAGGCTCGATGATCAGAGCCCAGGTGTACAAGAAATATGCCGATGTCATTGAAGACATGTATGCGAAGGCTGAACAGACTGTAGATGGTACTCTTAAACTGGACCTTCCCGCAACAGAAAAGCACTTGATCAAGCTCTGCCATGAGGAGCTTGGATTCCCAATCTCTGGCCTCGGCTCTGACTTTTTCGCGGAGGGGTTGGACAGTCTGAAGGCCATTCAATTCCGTCGTCTGATACTGAAGGACTTCAAAGTGCAAGACTCCAAGAGCATCAGCCCGAACATTGTCTTTGAGACCGGAAACATTACCCGTTTGGCAAAACATATCCACGCAATCCAATCTGGCCAGGAGGAAGAGACCCGAGATGAGGTCTCCATGATGCCAGGACTCATCGAGAAGTACTCTGTTTTCCAGAGGCACACACCAAGCCCCAGTTTGGTTGCCAACAAGAGCGTCGTAAGTTCTCTTCAGCAGGTGCACCAGTTCATGTACTAACAAGCACAGGTCCTCACTGGCGCAACCGGATCCATCGGCGCGCACACGCTATACAAGTTGCTGAATGATGATTCCGTCTCAGTCGTCTACTGCCTGACGCGGAGATCTCAACCCGAAGAGGCGATTATTAACACCCTCACACAGAAAGGCCTCTCGGTTCTTTCCTGCCGCCTGCAGAAGATTGTTGCACTCACAAGCTCACTTGAGGAGCCCGACCTCGGAGTAGGCGAGAACATGATGGCACAGATGCGACAGTCCGTATCTCTAATCATTCACACCGCATGGCCCGTCAACTTCAACCTGCCACTCATGAGCTTCGAGTCTCACATCAAAGGCCTGCACAACCTCATCAACTTCTCCCTATCCGTGAATCTTCCCGACCCAGCCGTCCTCCTATTTTGCTCTTCAATCTCCACAGCCCTTGGCTCCACCACCTCCGTCGACGAAACCCCGATCACGGACCTCAGCAGCGCTCTGGAGATGGGCTACGGGCGCTCAAAACTAATTGGCGAGAAAATCATCAGCAACGCCCGCAAATCAGGAGCCCGGACATACTCACTTCGCATCGGCCAAGTCTCGGGCCACTCAAAGAAAGGCCTGTGGAACGACTCGGAAGCCATTCCCCTCATGATCCGCTCAGCCTTGACCCTCAAAGCCCTCCCCGCTCTTGACATCACCTGCTCGTGGCTCCCCGTCGACAAGCTCGCCTGTTCCATCCTCGAACTAGCAAAGGCCTGCTCTCTAAATTCCCTCGAGTCACACGGGGATGACGCAGAACCTGGCGAGTGGGTCGACGACACCATTTACAACCTCTGCAACTCCCGCACCTTCACTTGGTCCTCACTCCTCGATACCCTCCGCCGCAGCGGATTCTCATTCAAGACCGTTTCAATCGAGAAGTGGTTGCAAATGCTCCGAGAGAGCGAATCCCGAGGTGAAGAAGCGACCAACCCCGCCGTGAAACTCACCTCTCACTACGAGGCCATGTACAGCGGAGGCGCCCCTCAACCAGCCAAATTCCTCACCGAAAAAGCAGAACGAGACAGTATGACCTTGAGGAACGGTCGGTTGAGAATTATTCAGGATGGAATTTTAGCTCGGTACGCGCAAGATTGGTTGAAAAGATGGAAGACTGCTTAGACGCGATGACTTGGGATGAGATGTGACGATGATGATGAAGATAACTTCTTGTCGATATTGTTTGTCAGTATTGTTTTGTAAATAGCTCATGATGCTCTAGATACCACTTTTGTTTTTAGATTAGCAAGAATTCAAGTTATTCATGATGTTTTCAGGTGCTTCAAAGATTAGAAATAGTGATGGTAGTCTTTCAAATCCTACTACTCCGTACTCCAGACTCACAATAAACCCTTCAGCCAAAGGTAAGATGTACATATCCTCGGCCAATTCATCCTCTTCCGGAAAGAATGATCTGAAGTACTGATTGCAATTAATAGAGTAAAAGACTATAGTTCAATAAGCGATATCGACGTGTTGTTGTTGGTGGGAGAGTGACACCGCTTTCGATCACCGGCGTCACATGATCTAGACTGGCGAAACTATGCACAGTAAATCATCAGCAGACCTACAAAGATGACAAATATTCCTGGATGTAACATGGAAGGATGATATACGATGTTTCATTGATTAACTATCTAAGTCACGGTGACGATTTCCAAACGAGGCCCGAAAGGAAGCGGATATCTAAAACGACTGGGTGTGTGAACCTGGGGCGGTATAGCCTGCGTCAAGCAAGGTATGGCCTATAGTACAAAAGACAGTGAATAACAGGCAATTCGGGAGATATAAGATGGAAAATGGGGAGAAAAAGATGGAGATAACTGCGCGTCTAAGCCAAAACAGCAAGAACAAAAGCACCAATGAGACTGGATGCACCGAGGCTCAATTTATTTGCGCCACCGGTGAAGACAGGAGTCGAGGGTGTGGTGGCGGATACAGAGCCAGAGGAGCCGGAGTCTGAACCAGAGACCGAAGAGCTGCCCTGGGTGGTAGTGGAGGCACTATTGGCAGTGGAAGCAGAGGAAGTCGAGTGGTGTGCACTGCTAGGTGTGGGTACGGTGCTGAACACAGACACAGACGAGCTCGAGGCAGGTCTGCCATATGCAGCAGCATTGGAAGGAACGGAGCCGGATTCCGATCCGGAGGACTGGCTGGAGCTATCACCACCGTTGGCTTCAGCGCTTACACCGCTAACGGTGGAAGGGGTGGCGGCGGCGGAACCACCTTCGCTAGCGTTGGCCTCGGCACTTGCGCCACTGACACTGCTGGAGACAGCAGGGACAGAGCCTCCTTCACTGCCGTTTGCTTCGGCACTTGCACCACTGACAGTGGAAGGGGTGGCCGAAGAATCAGCATTAGCAACGACAGATGCAGAAACTCTCTCACTGCCATTAGCTTCAGCACTTGCGCCGCTCACACTGGACGGAGTGGCGGCGGCGGATGCGCCCTCGCTACCATTAGCTTCGGCGCTTGCCCCAGTGACGCTAGTAGGTGTAGCAGAGGCAGAAGCGCCAGTGCTGTCACTTTCTGCACTTGCACCGTTGGCACTGAGGGCAGAAGCACCGGTGTTGGTCTCAGCAGGAGCAGAGGCAGTCTCACTATCATTAGCTTCAGCGCTTGCACCAGTGACAGTGGAAGGGGTAGCGGAAGCAGCAGTCTTGGCCTCAACGGAAGATCCCTCGCTACCATTGGCCTCGGCGCTTGCACCAGTGACGCTAGAAGGAGTGGCAGCAGCGGCAGAAGCGCCCTCGCCACCGTTGGATTCAACACTAGCGCCCGTTGCAGCAGCGGAGCCACCACTGTAGCTGGCCTCGGAAGCAGTGTTTCCTCCAGCGAGAGCAGCCGCAGCAGAGCTCTGAGCAATAGGGCAAATCGTAGTGGTGATGGTGACATATTCGGTGGACTGCGACACAGATGATCCTTCATTTGCAGCCGAAACATCGGCGGTAGAAGCAGCGGCGGTGGTAGCTTCGGGGAGAGCCGTGGTTTCGGAATCAATGGCACCAGACACACCATTGGTAGCAACAGTCGTAGCGGCGGTCGTGGCAATAGTCGCAGCAGCAGTGGTCGTAACAACCGAGTTGGTGATTTCTGTAGCGGCGGCAGCAGTCTCAGAAACCTTGGTTGCGCTGGAGACAGAAGTAGCTGCAGAAGCATTTGCTGCAAGACCGGTCTGGTAGATCTTGATAGAGTTGATTTCCCAGTAGGACTCCTCGAATGCCGTCGGGTTCTCAGCGACGTAAGCAACGCAGCTCTTGAAGGAACTGCTGCTATCGCTCACGGGGCAGCCAGAGGTACTGTACACGCCACCCGCCCAGTCACCGCAGAAAGTGGTATCAAAGATGAACTTCTGAGCCTTGAAATGTTCGGTGATGCTGCAAGAGCCTTGCATGTGGGCCATGGGTGTGCCAAACGCGGTGACATTAGGGGCGCCATCTGTAATAGAGCTGGGAATCGAGCCACGGGCAAAGAACCAGAACTTGATGAATTCGTCTGTCCACTGCATAGCGTATACACCACCGCCATTCTCGTTGAATGGCGTGCCAGAAGAGCCCTCGGTGCCCTTGACAACACACCCAGTAGTGCCGGCATCTTCGCCACATTGAGTAGACGAGATAGTACCGGTCATGGCCTGGCTGGATATATCACAGGTACCACTTGTATGCAACACAATCTCGTTTGCCTCGTTCTTGTTGACGCCCTCAATGATATCAATCTCACCGTCACCCGGCCAATCCTTGCCCACGGACCAGAATGCAGGCCAGGTACCGCACACACTTCCTGGCATGTGCTGGAGATCGATGATAAACAGACCCTCGTCGTAAAATTTGTTGCTCTCAATACGGACCGACTCCCGGCCGGGTCCAGTGGTGCTCAATTTTGTGGTATGGTCGACACCCATGTAGAAGGTACCGTTTGAGTTGACTTTAACCAAGCCGGAGCTTTCGGCGTAGCTCTGGTTCGCATATGTGACAAATCCATTGGTCGGGTCAGAACCGGTGTAAAAGTCGAATAATGTAAGGAAATCGTCGCCTTTCCAGGTCTCGACAAGTTCGTAACTGCTAGCCGCAGCAGGCAAGATCATCGACGAAAGAGCGAGCGATCCTACGCTCCATAGTAAAGATGAGGCAGGCATTGTCGCTGAAAACCGTTCAGGGACACCCAGCTTGGAAGATGAAGGTAAGTCTCGAGGACTGCAGGGACGAAGAGGCCCAGGGGATCTCAAGGCGCTTATCAGAAACGATCGACGTTCGAGCGAAAGGAATGGAAACAGCCCTCTAGGCTATGTGTAGAAAGGAAGGTCGCACAAAAGGCAGAGATCAATCTGCAGAGTATAATAACGAGATAAAGAACGTAAATAGAAAAGGTTGGGGGGGGGGGAGAAAATATGAAGAGAATGTAGACAACAATGTGACGCACGCCGGGGGTAGACCAGGCGATATACAAATAACAGCAACACGCCGGACATTTTGACTGGCGCGGCTTCCGTCCAAGCGTCCGCAGTCCACTGTTAGCATTATTGTCGATTTCCATAGCAAAACCGCTGATTATTGTCGCCTGGCGCATTCACGGGCGGCAGCGAGCCGCCCATTGGAAGGACGGGGTTCGTGCCTTGTGCGGGCCACCAGGTACAGGACGAATCAGAGCCTAGAGAACGACGGCGGCAGTGCGTATTGACGAGTCCACAGCCTTCATTCTTCGGCCAGGCATGTCGGGTGGACCGGCGACAAAGAGCAGCAGCGTGGTGGTGGAACCTGAAACGCGACCAGACAGCCCAGCGGGATAGATGAAACAGGAGAACCCCAAAGATTCGACTAACACCAGTTTTCCTTATTCCCTGCAGGGTGAATGAGCCAGGTCAGATCCATGAGCGGGCTACGAAGTACCTGCAGGTTGGTTTTTTGGTGCACTTGTGGGCCACCCCGATTTGACGATCAAGCAAAAGTCCTGTGGGTGTACTCCGTACCTGACGCTATCCCGGCAACCGTCACATTCCTAACCCACCAGGTGACAGATCACAATCGCTGAGCAACCGGACCAGATTGCCGATCCGGGGCAACAATCCGCGCTCTGGCCGATGACCATGTAATTATTTTAGGAACATCCTTCTTTGCCAGCAGCTCATGTCCCGGCATCGTGGGCTAGTCGAGTCTAGACACTCGGTGGAGAAGGGGTGACACGCCGTTGTTTCTTGGGGTGGGCATGGCGGAAGCCCGAGTCAGGAAAATAGTGGAGGAACACCATGACGGATGGATTAGTGGCCACCACCGCGTGCGTAGACCATTCGTGTTCCCTGCTCTAGAATTCAGCCGGATGGCAAGTATTGAAAGACCGCATGGTCATGAACCCGATTCTCGAAGGTGATGATGATGGGGAGACGCAAAGAATGAAAACTGGAACCGGGAAGAATGCAGGCGCAGCCCAAGCCGGTTTAGCCCGCCAGCCACGGCAGCCACGGGACTGCGCCCCTCCTTGTGGCTGGAATGACACTCCCTTGGCGCCGCCCTTAATTCTCCTCCCTCCATCTATCTATCTGCTACTCCGTACTGGCTGGCCGGATCGATAATCTCCAGTTGCTCGGCCTCTGCTTTCGCCCTATCGAGTTATCCGATATTAATCCATGCCTAGGAGGATAGGAATGGAAATGGGGAAAGCTGTGGCCTCCCGGCGACCCGCGGCACTTCCATGGGTCCGTCTGTCCAGGGCGAAAGACACAATTGGGTCTTTAAATCTAGGTTTTTTCAACCTACCAGCCCCGTTCTCGATTCCGTTTGAACATACAAATCCCGTGTGACGAACTCTAAGCTTACGTATATGTGAGTTCGACGAGCCAAGTCAGCCTGACAACCCCTTGCATGGATGGCCTCAGTTGCAATCTTGCCCGGCCATTGTCATACACTGAGGCTTGAATGCTTCTACTGCCGGGAACTTGGCCAAAGTACGCAGTAAGGGGATGGAGTCTCGTGAATATGACTGCAGAGTCAGACGCAGGTCCCATGGGTTGCTAGCCCGGATGAAGCATCGCTAACACCATGCCGGGCCTCTGATTTTGGTTAACCTTGAGATCCGTGCTCCCGCTTCTCAGCCGGCAGTCAACCAGGCCCGTCTTGTTGGGCGGACAGCGCAATAGCCCGTGACCTCGTCGACTAATACTCAGTAGATAACAGCATACGCCTGAGAAAATTTCGCGCATTGTAAGGTTGTGTAGAATGCATCTCCAGGAAGGATCAACAGAGGGCATATGGCCCCCAATTGTTTAGATCTGACCTGTTGGCGGACTATGTGTAGGACTTGGCATGAGAAGGATCTCAACTTAACAGCCACACATCGAGGAATTTTATTTGTCATTTGTCACATCTCCATAGCTTAGTGCCGTTCCACAATTGCTAGACAGCCCAAATCTGACACCTGTACCCACCACATTGCGTTCTTCTGTGGGGGACTGTAGCTAAGCCGGAAGAAGGCTTGTCCAGGCGAATGGGCTCCCGTTGGTAATTTAGTCGACCGTCAGGTTCAAGATGTGTCGCGGGAACTGGTTGGGTCTTTCATGGCACCACGGACACAGCACCCTTGCTGGGCGGAGGAACATACATGCTTCCGGCGCAAATTTCCGAGCACTACTGGTGCGCAGTAAGTACATCATGCGACAATCGCTTCGGTCAGCGCAGGCCGATTCTAATCATATCACCCCCTAGTCGTACCAGTATCCACTCACGCTGCGTGATCACTTTCGGCATGGCTGGAGTAGCACGATGTCTTTCGAAGCTCCGGCGCTAGATAGAATAATGATCCGCAGGCTGGTCTGGCATGACTGCACCCCTAAAGCCCTGTCACACCAATTGGTGGCAGTAGATGAACCCCCTGCTGGTGAAGACAATGAGAGTTCCAGAACATGAATGCGACATGCTTTAGATCACTAGATGGCTTCGCTTTATCGCATTGGGCCAAGGCAAACTGATCGAAAATGGCCTGCCTAGGGGGTACCCACAGTAGGCTGGAAAGGCAAAGTAGTGGCCACCTACCCTTCGCACCCGACTCATGGGTCTTTATTCCATCCATCCATTTGGAATTCCAAAATTCTTGCTATAGCAGTGGCTCAATGTTTCCGTAAGACTCTGCCTGTGTATTGGACAGGATTTTCTTCTGTCGGTACCCTGCGAGCGAGTATTGCATCCCTCTTGCTGTGCTTTAGCGTGGTTTCTAGTAGAGCAATGATATGTGTTTGCATGAGAAATCACACGCCATTGGACTATGCCACATTACACCTTGGTCACAAGCAAGGCTATAAAACGCATTAAGTGCATCGGGGACCGTACAATCGGCATTGCGGCCTAAAAGAAAGTGACCGGGGCAGCTTCTAAGCTGGCTGTTATAGGTGGTTCAGTGGTCTGTTTCGCAGATCAGTCGCTGATTCTCGTGAAAAGAACTCTATAGCCAAAGGTATGCTTCGATGTGTAATTGTGTAATTTATCGAGCTCGCTCGTTCGGCAGCTTGACTCGGATGTCATTCCCTAGGATGGCCGTTGCCTCATTTCCATATACAGCTTTGCAGGGCATTCTCCACGTCGCGGCGACGGAAACCCGGTGTCCAGCCAAGGCAGATCGCATTTGCGGACAGTGCTATTGAGGGTTAGTATTATGTCTCCAGTATCAGTTTGTAGTGCACATTGCAGAGTTGGGAGACGCTACCTTGTATGAAACGTGCTGCATTAATCGCTCTCCCCTTGGAGGTATATTGCTCATTTTCCATTGGAGGATATGTCAAAAGACGTACATTCTGCTCGCGCAGGTAGCCCTCCAAGTCGCCCATATCGAACCAGTCCCCTTCAAGCTGTTTCTGTATTTGTGGCGGGAAATGTGTTAAAGATCGTACGGAAACCCACCGCACTCCAGGCCGAAATGGCCGATTAGCAGCTTTGCATTTCAATGAAGATCGAGAGTAATGGGTTCCTGCACCACCCAGACTGAAAAACGGGACCTCTCCCCACTCCTCGAAACGTCTTCGGCTCTCTCGCTCGTTTAGCGCCGCTTGAAAATATGAGGCAATACGTTTCCTGTCCATTATTTGGAGAAGCAGACAGAAATGTTTTTGTATCCTGTCTATATCGATGGATTCGTCACAAAGGGCAAAACACCCCTGGTAAACACACGACATGTGGAGGCGGTCAGTGAAAACGGGCAAATCCATTTCAGATGTCTCCAACGACTCGAAGAAACGAGGGCTCTTTCTACTGCCTGGCTTTTGTGATCCTGGCAGACCCGGATGTAAGTTAAAGTTAGGATCGAAGCTGGGAGGTAAACTTTCGTTCAACCCCACGATTGGTATTGGTTGGCTTTGCTGCTCATGAAGCAAAAATTCTGGTGAGCCTTGTTCCGTCTGCGGCGGCGAAATAATCGTGGTTTCCTGTTCGCCATCATTGCTAGCCTCCCTGGCTAAAGTGAGGCATGTTTGTACCGTATCGCGCAGATGCTCTGTCAGACTAGCATTGGCTGCCAACACCCCTGACTGCACCAGCTCATCACTGAAAGAAAGAACCGCCGTGCTCATTTTCTCAACCACTCCCTCGAGTTCAGAGATGCGGCTTTTGAGTGAAGTAATGTTGGCTTCTTTTCGCGAGCGATAAGCACGTTGCGCAAGACGGATTTGTCTCCGTCGTCTCTGCTTAAGGTCATCAATGTTCCGATGGCGGCGCAAACAATAACTCCTCGCGTACCTCTTCTGGATCCTCATCCACACCGCCCTCTACTACTTTTCGCGGTCGACCTCGCTTGTTGAGCGACGGTCCCGGTGGATTTACGTCGCCGCGGGGGCGTTTGGAAGACTTCGCCGCGGGCTGAGAGGCCTGCAAGTCGTGATTGTCATAATGTAGTTGGCTTTCTGGTACATATCCGAGTAGCGGTGCATGGGTGTACCCTGACACTCTTTGTGATTGCCTAATTTGTTGGGGGACGGGATATGAGCAAGCTGAGAGCAAGGAAGTGATCTGCGGCGTGGCTGTAGACTCTAATCGCACGAGTTGAGATCCAAAGAGCTGCTCGTTGATGTTCTCCCAAGGAACTAGAGCAGTTTCTGAGTCGGCCATATTTCCTTTTGACGATGGAAGCGACATTTCATCGTTCACGGAGATGGCTGGTGAGTACAGAAGAGTCGTCGGGGAGTTTGAAGAGGACGGAGTCAAGGGAAGCGCGGCTGACATATCGCTCCCTCCCGCCCAGTTGCCACTTGTCATGGCCTCCATCTGATCCAGACTAAGCCCAGTATTTCTTTGTTAGCGTGGGTGAGATAAAGTAGGTAAGGTTCTAGACAGCTGAAGATTCTACTTTTTATGCATGTCCATGTTCATATCTCTGAGAATAATACAAGATGTGTGTGCCTTGGTCGGCAGAGACGGGAAAGGAGATGCCTCGGCTCGGACTGTTCACTAATCAAAATTTGATTGTCTTTTCATCCGCATCGCACAATATGCATACGAGGTGCCAAATATGTAACAATGATCTCCATCCGCATATCTCTATAATGTTAATGCGCTCATGATACATCAATATTTATTTTTCTCGAACCCCATTCCATGACACATCTTGATTTCGCTGCAGTATACCGCTTACGCTTTTCACCCTGGTCGCCAATTGAATCTATTTGTCCTTACTATGCTATGCGGGACAGTATCAAGCAAAATTAAATAAATAGATGAGGTTGGTCGTTGAGCCAGCCATCTAAAATAGGTTGAACCTCCCGAAAGCTGGGTCCGTTCGCCCTGTATATAACCTGCAGCGCCTGGTCATATGATGAATACAATACTTTTCTTGCAGGTGCAAATTTCACTTTTAGCTAGCTATCTTGTTTACGCCGTGGCAAACTCCTTGAGGTAAGCTGCCAGCTTTTCGATGCCGGATTCCGGGACGGCATTGTAGTTGGATGCACGAATTCCTTTATACTCAATCAGTCATGGTAACCGACCACAGCTATTGTCACTTACCTCCAACGCTTCTGTGGCCCTTCAACCCGGTGAGTCCACGCTCGACAGCACCCTTCAGGAAGGCCTTCTCGGTGTCATCGACATTTCCACCCTACAAAGATTAGCCTTGGCCTCGATCATCAACAAGAGCGTTGAGAACATACCTTAATCACACGGAAGCAGGCGTTCATCCTTGAGCGCACGTTTTTGTCCGGGACAACCTTGTACACCTCCGGGTAGGCATCAAGAGTCTCATAGAGGAGTTTTGCCTTTCTATCAGCCACAGCCTGCTGTCCATCCACCTTGTCAGGGAACGTGGCAAGGAGCTTCTTGAGGACTTGGCCAGCGATGTAGACACTGGAGGCTTTTAGCGAGGACAAGCTGGTGACATGGTGTATCACTTACTCGAAGATAGGAAGCGTGTTGTAGAGAGAGTTGTTCTTGGCCGCAACGGCATAGTCGAGGATGGTGGGGGCAATCGGCAATCCCAGCTTGCGCAGGATGGCAGGAGAGCATGAGGGGGTAACAGGGGGTAGAAAGTCCTTCTTAATGATCACTCCCGTGATTCCCGCAACACCCAGGTTCTTCTGTCTTTGGGGGGTCAGCACAATGGTTCCGGGCGCAGGCATTCGCAATCTTACGCTCCAAAGAAGATGATGGAGTAGTTCTGAAAATCAGTTAACGCGGTCCTATTTAGGATGGAAAATGTTCATACCTTCACGGGGATCCGTCTAGACAGAATGGTCGATGAAAAATCTCCGATAACAATGGGGTCCTCATCGGTTCCCTTGGGCTCCAGAACCTTGGGGAAGCTGGGGTATTCAACGCCATCGACAGTCTAGTGGGAAAGAAGCATCAGCGACTGTTTATGAGAACCTAAAGGCATATACACACCTCGTTCTCGCACATGTAGACCATGGCAGCTTTGCGGCTCAACTTCCAGGTCGATTCATCCGCGATCTTTCCAAACTTGCCGTCATTGACGGTCCTGGCGTCGCTGGCGACGTTGACATATTCGGAGCCAAGAAGGCGAACGGCTTCCTGGCTGGCCTTCAGCGACCAACTGTAGAGACAGTTAGTACGGGTTTTCGTCCTCAACGGCCAGGGTAACTTTCGATCCAGTAACCAGGTAGTCCAGTCGCAGCTCCGATTCGACCTTCTTGCGCAGCTCGCTCAGCACTTCCTCCTCGCTAATATCGCCGCGTTGCTGGACAATCTGCTGTCTCTGTCTCTCGACCCAGACAGCGACGAGGTTGTAAACGGTCGCATCGAATTGACCGGATCCACCGCCTTCAAGCCATCAGCGATTGCGGTCGCGAATAGAATGGGAGCAGCGATGTACCTTGCAGGAAGAGGATTTCGTAGTTGGAGGGGATATCGAGGAAGTTGGCAAGATCGGCCTTTGCGTTGTTCAGGATGTTCGCCGCGATTTCGCTGCGGTGGCTGTGTTCGGCCACACCCCTAGAGATGAAGTCAGGTACGGTTGCAGATAAGATCGCACAGATCAGTGCCCCTCACAGGCCAGTGTCTTGGTAGTTTTGCAGAGCCTGGGCTGCTGTGGCAAGGACATCGGTCGGAAGACTGGCAGGACCAGCTCCCAGGTAGGTAATATCTTCTCTCTTCATTGTGAGTGCAATTGCGGCTTGTTTGTGACAGACAATGTGAATTGCGGAGGATAAGAGGAATTTTATCTTAATGACGTGCTCGGCGGGGAGGACTGATCGTGAGTCACTAAATCCGGGACTAACGCGTTTCCCCAGGCATCCCGGGCATGCGTTTCCCCGGGCCGTGACATAACACTCAGCCGGTAAAGAGTATCAGATGAGCATATCCGATGATACAGGGAATGTTGCGATGGCAATGTGTGGGTTACACATCATACTTGAGTAGATGGCAATCGGAACAGCAAGTCAAGGAAGAAGCAAGGAGAGTCAACAGGTAAAAATGTATGAACAAAAAAGAAGTCTCCCCGACTGGGAGTCGAACCCAGGTCTCCCGCGCTTGTTCCCAACTGGGATTGACAAGCGGAAATCATGACCGTTAGACCATCGAGGACTTGTTATGGAAGATTTTATTTCTTTAGCTTTATAAGCCATTTGCTTTGGATGAAAGTTTCACTACCTATTCATCACGAATTGGGCTATATTTAAATAAACCTGGCCACAGTGATTCTCCTTTTTATGATTCTGGTCGCTCGACTTCTTTCCTGCTTCCATATAAGCCTCTTTTGAAGAGTCATTGGTTGCTCATCTCTTTGTCGGCCCTTGCTCTGCTGATATATATTTTGAGTCATCTTCCAGTGAATTCCGATGCAACTTTCTGATGCAGGTCTCATTGCATCTAAAATATACAACTGCAGGCAATAGCTGTCGAGATTAAATGGACGAGAACAGAGATAGTATGTAATTCTCACATTCTGAAGCTGATAACGAGCAAATTTCCATTGATCGCCCCCACTGCTCTACATGCCTCAAACGACTCTGCTTCCAACCCAACCACGCACGTTATCTTATCATACTAATAGAGTGCGCTTTAGGGGTTCGAAACGCATCACAAAAAGAGTCTTTTCGTTGAGCAGCAGCATACAAACGGTATCAAGAATCAGCAACAGAGCACTCAGGGACGAGGTACTGAGAAGGCATGACCCACTGAGCAAGTGGGGCAGCCAAGCCACGGGGTCCCGACCAAGCCGGATGTCAACGCAGGCCACTGCTTCATGTCAGAAACCGTGGAATTCCCAACACAACTGGCATCCAAATGACTACGATCGCAGTGGCCGGTGGTACCGGCGGGGTGGGGAAGACAATAGTCGAGACACTGTTGCAGGAACCCAAGTTTCGGGTCGTTGTTCTAACTCGCGGGGTACGACCCCTCCACAGCCATGCCCAGCGCTTACTTACCCGTTGAACAATAGAGCCCCAAAGAGAATCTGGTCCTTAGTAGGACACAGCAGATGCAGATCAACTATGATGATATCGATTCTGTTGCCCAAACGCTGGAGAAGCACGAGATACATACGATCATCTCCGCCATTGGTATCTACTCGGATGAAACCAGCCAATGCCAGCTGAACCTGATCCACGCTGCTGAAAAGTCCAGCGCAACCAGGCGATTTGTCCCAAGTGAATACTCATTTATCCAGACCCAGGAGTATGTCCGCCTTGCTCGAGCTGAAGTCAAGATAACTGATAATGTAGTCTCCTGTCTGCGGATCCCAGCGTCAAATACTGGCTTGATGCAGCCGAACTGCTGCAGAAAAGTGGTCTGAAATATACCCGGGTCACCCCTGGTATATTCATGGATTACTGGGGAATGCCCCGGGCGCACACCAACCTTCAGCCCTACGTGATCGGGATCGATGTAGCAAATTGCTGGGCCGGTATTCCCGGTGATGGTAATGATAAGCTGAGCGTGACATATTCGTATGATATGGCAGCGTTCATCGTGAAGCTCCTAGATCTCGAGGAGTGGCCCGAGTTTAGCGTTTTCGTAGGTGACGAAGTCACATACAACCAGCTCCTCAAGCTTGCTGAGCAGATCCGAGGTATGGGGACTCCGGTACACCCAACAGGCGAAGCTAACAAAAACAGGCAAAAGCTTCGAGGTAGTATATGACAGCGCCGAGAAAATTAAGGAAGGGCAGGTAACAGTCCCGCCTTTTCACCCCGGGATGTCTGAGGAAGAGGTCCGGGAGACGACCGTCTTAGTGAGCCGACTCACTATTGCCGGAGCTTTTGACTTGCCTAAAGAACGCATGAATACGAAGTTTCCCGACCTGAAACCAGTCAAGCTGAAGGAATTTCTTATTGACGCCTGGAGGGACCAAGCATAACCATATACAATGCTGGTCAACATTACATGACTGTTTATACAACAGTTAATCTACATAGTCTTGGTCAACGTTAAAATATGGTATATTCCACCCCGTCCGATCCCAATGATGCCGGGGCACCCTTTCATCCCATAGCGGAAAACTCAGACAACCAATTAGATATCATCCTCATCATCTCCATCCATACTACCTGCAAAAGGATTGTCAAATATCAATGCGTGGTCATCATCTAAAACATAATTAGCTTCCAAACATTACATGCTGACAACACTACATACCATCAGGGGTATGACTATCATCTTCTGCATCTGCGACACTAGTACACCCAAGCTCCTGAGTTACGATTCGCGAGGCCGCGGTACTGAAGTTCAAAACATCCATCAGGGCTACCTTGACACCAGTAGGTTGGTTGAGGGTGGATGTCGGGATCGGGTTTTCAGGTTCGGACATTGTGCGAAGTGTCTAGTCTTAGACTTAATAGGAGAAACGGCTTATGTAGACGAATAACTCTCGTTTAGTGTTACAATTAGACCTGCACGAGCTCGTGACTTATAACTGTCGGGTCTGCCAGTGGTCGCCACCAATTACCTGAACTAGTCTGACATCAGAGGTAGCCAAACCCTGTTGTCTCGAATGTGAAACTGGACATTATTCAGCTATAGTCGATTACGGTAAGAGACTACTGTGTGACAATATTGGTGCTCCGCTGCCTTGAATGGAAAGTCGTCATATGAGCATCACAATCTATTCAGTGCATTAAAGTAGCAACAGCCAACGCCGGTCCATTAAACTCCAGCTCCAGATCACAGCAATCGATGATCACCGCAATAATTCCCAAAATGAAGTTCACACACACCATGACCCGAAAGGTAACATCTCAATCAAAATCATCCACATCCCATGTTGAGTCTGGCGGCCCATCTGCCATACAATTAGCCATTCATTCATTCCCCAAAACACCTGATCGACAGTGTACATACAACCATCTTGAATAGAAAGCAAGTACCCAATTGTTTCAATCAAACTCGGCGAATCCTCCATTTCAGGAACCTCTTCGACAAGCTCCTCCGCCTTGGGAGAAGGATCATCATGGTCCGGGCCAGTCTGCTCGACTCCAACAGTAATGCGCATCTTTTCTTTTTCTGACGTGGACATGATAGCTCGATGGCAAAATGCCTATTGATAAGGAGGAGTCAAGAGAGCCGAACGTGTAGCTTCTCGAGAGAACTGCAACAGAGAGTACATCTACATCCTCTACTAACGATATTCGCCATCCCACAAGTATAAATATCCCGTACTACCAGTTGATACCCCTAGTCTTGACATCAGCTAAATGCCCAACCCGAGGGAATGGCGCGGGGTATACGAGACGAGCGACAGACTCATTGGATCAGACGTGAACTCAAGCCCAGTCGCCGGGGGACGTGCCCATTACCGTCGAGCTTTAGTCGAAAGCTTGTTGATCACCTTGGATGAGGAGGTCCGTTGGTTGATACAACAGGATTCATGGCGCGGGTGACCGGATAAGGTACCGCCAAACCTAGTTTCTCTCCCATGGTGAGACATTTAGGGAACCTGGAAACTATGCCAGGGCAGCGGAGGCAAATTTCTTAGATTGGGAGGAGCCCATTGACTCTGGGTAAGGTTGTGCGCTAGCTGATGAAGAAAGAGCTATTGCTGATCTGGCTTTGAGTACGTAAGGAACCACTTGTGTGATGGCACATGATCGATCCATCCAGTGCTACATACGGACGACAGCCTGCACACCTATGTGGTTAGAAACAACCAACTGCCAACCCCCCAAAATAGTAATGATGAGCGAGAGAGTCTGAGTGAGTATATTGATCTATTTATTCAATGAAGGATGTTTCGTACTCCATATTTTGTTCCGGGTCACTGACCCCTTTATATAAGCGCCAGATGTAGAATGGCACTAACAGAATTGGAGGTCCCAGTTGCGACAGGGTCAGAAATAAGTACAGCAGTATTAAAGAATTACTAATAATGAATAAGCTCTCGCACGTAATAAAAACATCTATTTTAAGTAGCAATTAAATATTGATATTTCGGGTGGTTTCAGGGATTATTTCAAGGTATTTAATGTCTTAGGGATTATTAAAGGTTTTCTTTATATTTTTTCTAGTGTATTTTGGTTATATGTATGAGCTCATTCAGTGTCAGGATTTCTCTGAACTCGACTGAGCTGTTTTTCCAGCTCTGGTCTGACACTGTCACGTTTATTTCTGACCCCGTCGCAGCTATATCCCCCAGTCATCCACAGCTCAAGGCACTGCGAAGTATCTTGGTAAACATCTTAGAACGCTTTCTTTAAAGTATATAGTCAAAGACATTCTTAAAGGGTAAAAGGGATCCCAAAGTGCTCCGTCAAGCACCTATAAACGTAGTACTTGATCCAGACCTACAGCTTAAACTGAGAGGCAGAACGGGTGAGTAATAGTATTACATAACTAATAACATAACAGCAAATTAGAAGAACAGATGAGAAGGCCAGATTCGTTATTCTTATAGACCGATCAAATGCCTTGGAGCTGGGAACTTCCCTTACCAGGACCTGACCTAAAGTTGCTCACTAAGCTGCTACCAGCTAGGCTATCTGGCAAAACACCAGACTTCTAAGCCACCTGGCTCAGTCACTTACAAGATTAGATTCACTGGAGGAAGTCATGTGAGAAGCTTGATCCTCACGGCGCTCCTCACCAAAAAGCACGCTTTTCCAACGCTAGTATAGAAAATTATAATAACACTATATTAAAGCTTCACATGCCAGTCGGTTTCCTAACGGCCTAATCGGATCTTTCTTGATATTATCTTGAACTTGACCTTCACAGATTCTTCGAGCTTGATCCCGGCGCCTCCATGCCTTGAATCAAGACCTGCAGACAGAGGGGGATTAATTAGATAGAGAGTCAGTTCCCCCGTCCAACCCGATCAGAAAAGTAGTAAAATCAATAAATGAAAGAGGTGCTGATACCCTGTTTAGGCATAGCAGGAAGGGATGGGCCATTTGGCCACGCTAGGCCCTTCTAAGCGGTGGGGAGTCGGTGACCCGGAATAAATTGTGGGTTGGTGGGGTGGTGGGTGGGGTGAGTGAACGCGAGCCTTCCTTACTCAAAGGGACAAAAATCGAGCAAAAATTATGTGTCAAGGCCCGAGCCGCGGATCGAACGCGGGACCTCTCGCAAATATGCTTGGGGTTATATAGGCAGAAGCCTTCCCTAAGCGAGAATCATACCACTAGACCACCCGGGCTTGATATAATGTGACATCAAGTTTTATGTATAAATCAACACTATGACTCAATGGTTTCCTGGTCCGCATGTGCTCATAGTTTGTTCTCAAACAGAACTATCTAGACCAGAATCCCAAGTGTGTACTGAGCCCTACCCGCTTTATTGCATGTACACCATTCTCAAACTTTGCACGACGCAGTGTGACGTCAGAACCTTCAAAGCCAGATGACCATTATCTCTCGTTGTTCTCTTCATCTAACTAGCCAACATAACTATCTACCTACAATGATTTATCATCAAACAATGTCAAAATATCGCTGCATCGGTGCAGGGTTCTGCGGCACAGTCTGGGCCCTGTCAGAAGATGATGGCTTAGCCCTCAAGCGAGAAGATGGTGGGCCAGACAGATCACTGGCAAACGACTACACCATGCACCAACGAGTTTTGCACTGCTTCTCCAAGCTATCGGACCTCAAACGCCAGAACATCACCGAGTCTCTGAAAACTGATACTCGAGTGAAGAAATCACCCCAAGTGCAAGTTCCAAAATGTTATCGATACCTGACAACAGAGGATGCATGGTGGAACGATAATCTCCCTATGTTTCCTGCGAAATATTCTCCCTGCAACGTCATAGTCTCACAACGTATCCCGCCGTTTCCCCAAGAAGTCAGACAGCTTCTAGTCGAGAGATATTGTCATCCAAAGATACAAGCGGAGATATCAAGGAGTGAGGCCAACACTGACTGCCTTATAAGACCGTACCTGGGTAGGAGACGGACGCAGAAAACCGAGGTCAAGCGTCCACCCAGGTTTACCGCGTTCTCGCTACGAAATTATCCATTGCATGAAGATCAAATGGAGGATCTCGGTATTTCCCGTTGTAATATGGAGTGGTACGCTAGGATGATGGGAGAAGCACTCGCTACTCTACACTGGCTTGGGGAGATGGACGGAAACGATATCGAGTTTGTTCTGGCACCTTCACCTTGCCGCGAGGGACAGCACCAGAACTCAATCACAAATGTTCTTGGCGAACATACCTTATGGATACTGGATTTTGACCTATGCCGGCCTATGCCCATGAGCCTTGGCGGGGTCCGACAGGCCGTTACTGCCTACTGGCGAAATGATCCATTCTATCCCCGACCACGGTCAAGCTTGTGGGACGACTTTCGAAGACAATATCTGCAAGCGAGTGAAGACATAATAGCTGCGAATTGCCCCACAGGCTTTAAAGAGCGGCTTGATCTGGCTCATTTATTTGTTCAAACGATCGAGGAGGGAAAGTAGAATCTCGGACATTGACTCCTCGCTTCTACAGTGAATGTCCCGGGTGTACGATTCACTGCACCTTTTTAATGATTGCTTTGTTTAGCCAGTACTCAACAAGAATTTTCCCGTGTTACCTTTCTCCAAGCTCTTCTCTCCACACACACATGAATCTCTCGCATAAATTCCTCATACTATCTCTAGCTATTGATAACAAAAACAAGAATCTTGCAAGCCCTACTACCACAGTATACAGAATGTCTAATCGTCGGGAGCTTCAAGGGACTGACAGTTCCTGGACAAGTTCGCTTGCCGACGCCCTACAACAAAACCTCCAGCTGGAAGACAAGCTTCGGAGAGACGAAAACGAAACACCACAAGCGAGGCTCCAGCGAATGCTTTCGACCAGGTCGGTCATATCAACCTCTTCCTCCTTTGCTGAGCGCCAGCAAGCGGCTATCGGGTCCAGAAACCCTTTCCGGGAAATTGGTGTGGGCTCGATCGGAAAAGTATTTGAGCAACCGGGAACACCTTGGGCTTTCAAAGTCCTTCTAATCGACCGGACGGAGAAGCTTTGGAACAACTATGTGATGCACCTCCGAATCCAGCAGAGTTTCGATAAATTGGGCGAAATCCCGGGCCTTGTGGAAATCCCCCGAGTGGCATGGTTCGCTGACAAGGATTCGGAGTTCTGGCCAGAGAACCTTCACCTATTCCCCAACGAAACCGGCTTCCCAAGGCAAGCCCGGGAGGTCATGTGCATGGAGAGAGTCTTCCCTTTGCCCCAGCCAGTAAGAAACGCTCTTATAGAGCTATTTTGTAACCCGATCAACGCGCCAGCGGCCAAGAACGACCCACTCAACAAAGACTGCCTTATTCGTCTTTTTTTAGGTCGAAAGCGCGTTGGGACTTCGCGACCCGGTGGCAGTATGTTCTTTTCTCTGCGAAACTACAAGCTGCACGCCGATCAGATCCAAGAGCTTCAGCTTGACGCAGATGAGTACGCCAGAAACATGGCTGATGCGCTCGCAGTGCTCCACTGGCATACAAATATTGATACCATGGATCTTGAATTTGTCCTTGGGAGTTCGCCTTTTGATCAAAATGCTGTCCGACGACAGATGCGTCTTCCAGACATTGAACGGCTGCGCCCGGGAACCAGCACTTTTGAACACACAACGAACGCCTCCCTGAACTTCAAGAAACGCATTGTTAGCCTCTGGCTTATTGACTTCGATGCTTGTGCCCCAATTACGATGAATGCGGCGGGTGTGCAGCAAGCTGCCAAGGCATTCATGGAAAACGACCCTTATTACCCACGGCCATTCTCAAACGATACCTACATGGAAAACCTGTCGCGAATTTTTTCGCAGAGGTATGTCGAGACAGGGAAGAAGATTACCATTGGATCATCTCAAGGACTACCCGCGCAGTTTGTCCAAGAAGTGGTTAAGAGGTTCTCGCAACGGTCCCAGTCCTCTCGATCCGGGGACCTTCAGGCGGCTGCTACTTCTAGTGCGTCGGCCGGAAGAGGACAGCAACCTTCGTATCAAAGAGGAGGACCCGTCGGTGGGCAATCTAGACGTGGGCATGGAGGGCAGCGAGGTACGACTGGAGGCACTGGCCAAAGTGCTAGAGGCAGAACTCCCACCCCCCAGAACAGAGGAACCAGAGATCAAGGACCAACCGCTGATGAACCTGCCTCACCTCGTACACCCAGGGGTCGGGGCCATGGACGTCGCTGAGCTGGGTGGCACCATGGAAAGATGAGATGAAAGCAGATAACATGGTGTAAATAATTACCAGAAAGTATCAGCTCCGAATCGAGCCCGACAATGGATTTCATGATTACGTAATGATACAAAGTCCTTAAAATGCTTACAGTATTTTGAGTTGCAGTGTGCACACAATCTACACAAGATACAGGTCTGATTCCATATCATAGTCTGCACCTACTTCTGCATGGCTTATGATTTTGTTGGGGCCGGGGGCTAGGGAAAAAGGCCTGGGCCTAATGCAAGGGAGACCGATCGTACAGCTGTCCCTGCGGATGTCAGTCGGTCAGCCGTTGACTCAATGGATGTACCTGGATGACAGTGGAGTTAATCACCGACCTCGTTGCCTGACAATCGCGTGATGACATCCGGCTATCTTCTGACACTTCAGTGAAAGTCGAATGAAATCTTGGCGGAGACGCCGACCGTACCCACAACGCGGACAATAGTTGTTTCTTGGAGGTAACCTGGCAGGTTCCCCCCATAGCGGAGACCAATTATTGCGCCATGACAAGGAAGGGCTCAAGCCAAGTGGGAACTGCGAACAACAAAGCGACGAAACCGTGTCACCACCCAGGTGACGTAATGTCGATCCATGCGACTTGGATGCCACAGGTCCAATGACAGGGGCGCGACACCAAGTCTGGCCCCGTGTCATGGAGGACCGTGTGTTGGCATTCCGATGGGCGGGGTTTTATAACACTGTCGGATCCCTTCTCCTGGTGTTCTTCTCCTCGTGTTATGTTCTTTCTTTCTCCACGGACTCCTGCAGCTGTCGAGTCTCCAACTTTCTTTCTTCCTTCTTGTCTTTCACCCTATGGAAAGATTTCGTCGGTAGCGGATCGCGCGGGTACGCTTTCTTTGCGGTGCCAGAGCGCTTCGCCTGTGGTCGTCTCAAGGATTCCTGTCGATAGGGAATGACAGCCGAGTGAGTGCAAGTTATTGTCCCTCAGTACAAGGGATGCTCTGAGGTTTGCACCCAACCGTGACGTCATGATTCTATTGGACGAGGCTAACGATTCTCTAAATTAGATCAATATCCCACCTAGCAACTAGTCGAAAGGGCATCATCAGCGAACGACAGACGGACGCCATGTCGGACACAGTAGCACGGCCGGTTGAGAATTCAGTGAGTTGCGGGTTTACTCGGAAAAACATGGGAGGAGACTGCTTTCTGAAGCGTTTTTCGCAATGGTTCTGGTCGGCGTGGATGATCGCCGGCTCGGAGACCCACGAGGCCCTTGCGGATCCCGCGAATCGCCCTGGAGCCACAAATGGTGCCTCAACCAGCGGTGCTGGCACTGCAAGAGCTTCCTCTACTGGATATGAGAATGATATAAGACTGCCGGAACAGTCTGAGAACAAGCACAGTCATCCCTGCAAGGCTTGCCAAACCTGGGGAGTCACCTGCGATCAGCAGAAACCGCGATGTTCGCATTGCCTGGATCAGCAGATACTGTGCTTTTATGTGACGCCTCCTCGCAGGTCAATGAAACGGTCAACCAAGCCGCGTTCAGCCCACCTGGAGGTCGTAAATTCCCCACGTTTGCTGGCGAATTGATTGAAACGAATAATGATGAAGATATCTCCAATTTAATTTTTTTGCTCCTACCAACGATAGATAAACAGGCCGATAAGAGGTGCTTGGATAGCTTAATGTCTAGTTGCTCATACGCGATACACTCGACCAAGGTGACTGATCATTGGACATGAGTGCGGGTAAATGCAATCTGCTACATCTCATATACTATGTTCGGAGAAATGTGGTATGGCGGACATTCTTGACGCCATCAGACTGACATGCGGATATCCAACATGAAGACACATAAGCAGGAGAAGACTGCCAAATTCTGGAAATCTAAGCTAGTTCCTTTTGGCGCCGCATGGATCATACTTACCTCGGATATTTGTGTTCATCATGCGCCGTGGTTAACTGTCGGAGCACTGTCAGCCGGTACCCCCGCAACTTGATAGCACATATTTGAAGTGTAGCACCTGCTAAAACGTGCTGTTCTTTTATAGCATTTTCTAAGCTACATAGAGGGAGCAGAATTGCAGTCAAGGTAAGTGACCTACGCCTTACAATTCTGTCACTACTACGTCTCTGAGCTGACAGATGCCTCGAACAGATGAACGCAGAATACATCCGAATTGCGCATGCAATCCAGCAAAAAGCACAAAATCATGACAAGAAGCGACTTCTAGTTGCTATAGCTGGCATTCCAGGTTCTGGCAAAACAACAACGGCTTCAGCTGTTGCGCAACATCTTAGGAGCGAGTTTCATCCGAACCAGACGGCTCTCGTCTCCATGGACGGCTTTCATCTGTCACGGGCAACCTTGGACAGTCTCCCTAACCGGGAGGAGGCATATATTCGTCGCGGTGCACCCTGGACCTTTGATGCAGCACGCTTTGTTGCGTTCGTTCAACAACTCCGACAGTGGGCAGACGCTACCCCGCTGAGCTCAGAAGGGACCTCTGACCCGGCTGTCATCTATGCGCCATCCTTCGATCACGAAGCCAAAGACCCAGTCGAGAATGGAATTGCCATTACGAGTGAGGCCTCGATCATCATTCTCGAAGGCAACTATCTCCTCCTAAACGAAGAACATTGGCGCGACGTATCACAACTCGTCGACTATCGCATATTTGTCGACGCAGACGTACAGGAGGCCAGGGAGCGAGTCGCTCGACGACATGTTGTTGCAGGGATAGAAAAGACTTTGGAAGATGGGTTCCGTCGAGTCGATAGCAACGACTACTTGAATGCGCTTCATATTCAGGAAAAACTGATAACTCCTGATCTAGTGATCAAGAGTGTGACGGAAGTAGCATAGAGGATCTAGTATACAGGCGATCATTGAAACTTGTTTACAAGGATATATCAGATGGCGTGCTCAGGACGATTACTCTTTGATCTGTTTCTTATGAAAGACATCTACCAATAGATTAGCGGACAATCATCACAAGAAGAAGAATACCCACCCGGAATCTCAGGCATCCACCCAACCCGACTCTGGCAGAAGAACTCTCCCTTGGGTGGCAACACCTCCGGGTCATCCAAGGACCCTACACAAATGTACCGAAAGTCATTCTTGACAGCATCCTGCTAGAATCAGCAACCGATCAACCCAATAACAATCTGTAAATCCCATTGTAAAAACATACCCCATACTCGCAGATAAAGCTCCCGCAATCCCCACAAAACTCGCGATGAATCATACTCCCCGATCCGTTATCCCCCACATATTCCTTGGGCTGTCCGGAGGTGATGTGGAGAGAATCTTTGGGGACCTTGGCAGTTAGACCATAGTTTGTTCCGAAGGCTTTCTGTATGCGTGTCAACCAATTGGACATCTCCCAGGCAGATTAAGGTCGGTAGATCATGAAGAAGTCTAACCTTGCAGCTGCCACAGTGGCAGAGGGAGGTCCGAGCATCGTCCGGGGAAGAGAGAGAAAGGTTGTAGGTGATGTTGTGACAAAAGCAAGAACCTGGGTAAGATGGCATTTTGTCGATTTGATATTTTCAACGAGATTTGATTCCTGTGGGATACTGTTGAAATGTTGTCTTCTCCGGGTTTTGTATAGAGCGACGCCTGACGAATATTGACGTCATGGCTGTGCTACCCTTCGGGGGCAACCACCCCCGGCCATTCTTCTCGACACCGTCAAAGATTTCAATCCTTTGTCAAGAAACTACCGACGAGGCCGAGAGCAGACCATTGGCCATGAGTCAGCCCTATATCAGCGTCAATATCGGTCGTAAGATGTCGGCCGCGATGCAGCGATAGCGTGATGTGACCATGACAAAATCCCCTCATTTGTCGGCAGTCACCCGATCGCCTGACACATTACCACACTTATATCTTCGACTCCCTCCAGGCATCTTGACAAAGGTAGCGGTTGATCCGCGCATCTGTTATTTGCCGACAGACCGACAGACCTGTCTATATTCCTAGCACATCAGTGGCATATCCACGGCAAAAATGTCAACCCAAGAACAACCGCACCAATCACAGCTCGAGAAGCGCTCTGTCGTCTCCTCATTTATTTTCCACTTTCCTAACGGTCCCTGCGAGAAACCGGTGGTCGCGCTGTTTAAACGCAGCGAGAAAGTACGGACGTATAGGTTTGTTTGTCGTTGTACTGTTCTCTACTCCACTAACCGTGCGACAGTCACCACCTTGCCCCGATATCCGGTAGTGTGAGTCGTAGCGACTCCTCCGTGCTGGAAGCCGCCTGGCGCGAACTCTCCGAAGAAACCTCCCTTGATCAATCGTCCCTCACTCACTGGCGCACCGGGAAGCCATTCACCTTTGAAGACCCAGATGTCAATCGAGAATGGACCGTCCATCCGTTTGCGTTCAAGCTCAAGGATCCATCGGAAGGAGGACCGGGGGAAGGCGCTATAAAGACTGATTGGGAGCATGAAGGATGGGAATGGTATGATCCGTACACAGTACTCAACGACGACACGTTGGAAACGGTCCCACGGTTACAAGACTCGTTGCGACGAGTCTGGTTCGAAGGAAGCTTGGACGAGCGCGCCGGCAAAGCACTCGCGCTTGGGTTGGAGCGTATCCGTAACGACCATGAAAGCGGAGCACAAGAGTTGACTGCGATCGCGTTGATGGTCTTTCGCGACTTTATTGTCCACACCGAGGAAGGGATCAACTGTACAGAATGGTGGGAAACAACTCGCATGGCAGCATGGCACATCATTAAGAACGGCCGAGAAAGTATGGGCGCAGCCACTATGAATGCGCTGATTTCTGTCCTGGATGAGATGGAGGATATCCTCAAAGACGAGGAGACAAACTCACAGCACAAGTGGGAGCGAGTGCTTTCCATGCTCGATCACCATCTGGCGAGTCGGAAGAGCCGCGCGACGCAGGTGAAGGATGCGTTTGCCAATTATCTCCGATTCAGATTTCTGCACCACGGGGAAACATTGGACAAGCTTACGATACTGACTGTGTCGGCGAGCTCGACCATCCGGGATAGTATTCTGGATGCGTATGCTTCGCTGGATATTCGGAAGCTGGAACTTCGGATTCTGGAGTCACGACCACTGTTCGAAGGGACGAGCATCGGCTCATCATTGCTTTCCAACTACAAGTCGCGGTTCATCGACACCCCTGACAAAAACTTGAAAGTGAAGTTATATACCGATGCATCGGCTGCTTTAGCAGCTGCCGACGTGGATCTATTACTTCTGGGCGCGGATCGAATATCCGCTACGAAAGGCGTGAGCAACAAGACCGGGTCTCTACCCGCCGTGCTCTGCACCAAGCACGTCAGCCCCAAAGCCCAGATCGCCGTGCTGAGCGATCTCGAAAAGATCAACTGCGCGGGGAGCATGATCGACGATGACCACCACGAAGACAATGACCCAATGGAGGTGATCAGTGCCTGGCGCAATGATGGCGTCAAGGCGGTACGGGTGCTCGAAGACGGCATGAAAGGGGGGTCATCTACTGTTGAGGTGAAGAACATTTACTTTGAATGGGTACCGTTGTATTTTGTCGATGCGTTTGTCAGCGAAGAGGGTGTTATGGATGAAAGTCGGATTCGGGAGAAGTCGATGGAGTTGGGGGAGACGGTGAATAGATTTTTCCATGACTTGTAATTGACAACCTCTTGTTTTTGTATTAATTAGTTGATAGAATTGGACAGGATTGAGGTATATACCGTTCACCAGGAATCGAGCCAGAAGGAGCTAACTGTCAATCTTCAAACACCAAGTGATGCCATGATGCCATTCGAATCCATTGATACTATCTACCGCCATTCACAATCCATCGATATCACACAAGACACCAGGACGCCTAAGTGAGCCGGCTACCTATACAATTCCCATTCTCTCCGCCCACTCAGACCAAAAACTGAAAGAGAAAGATCCACGCCTTGAGCTACCCAGATCTGCCTAATGCAACCCATCTCTTTACAGCTACCAGCACGGGACTATGTACTGTTTTCGTGACACGGGAATCGGAGATCTGGAGGATGGGGAAGTGGTATGTATGTATCAAGTGTAGCGCTGCTTTTCTCTATAACTCTGCAGATATACTCCGTATGGAGTACCTCCTGTCCGTCATTTTTTCAAAAAAGCCAACGCAGCCAAACACAACGCATCCACCCCCACCCGCATCGTCGGCTGAATGACCGGCGCAAACAGCGCCGAATGATTCCCCGGAATCTCCTCCGTCCGCGCCTCCGCCTGCGCCGTATCCCACACCTCCGGATCCACCCCCCCAAACAGCCAAAAACAGCTCGGAATCCCCCGACACGTCGCCAGAGTCGAGAAATCCTCCGCCACATTCGTCCTGGGCACATCCCCATCAAAATCCTCCTCAAAATGCATCCGAAACATCTCCGCCACCCTCCCCGCCACATCCCCATCATTGACCGTCGGCGGAAACCGTCTCGTGGGGGTAAACACCGGCGGCTTCGGCGATCCACTGGCCACACACTCGGCCTCCACAATGCGCTTAATCCCCGCGATAATCTGCTCTCTCACCTCCAGCCTCACCGACCGAAAATCCACCCCAATCTCCGCCCGATCCGCAATAATATTCTCCGTCTGACCCGCCTGCAAACTCCCCACCGTCACCACCGCCAACTCACTCGGATTGACCTCCCGACTGACAATCCCCTGCAACCGAATCACAATATGCGCCGCCAACACCACCGGATCCACCGTCTGATGCGGCTGCGATCCGTGTCCCCCACGCCCAAACACCGTGATCTTCATACTATCCGCCGCGGCCATGATCGCCCCCGGCCGGGATCCTACACTCCCCGCTCGCATCCGCATCACATGCTGCCCCAGAACATAATCCGGCACCGGAATCCGATCATACAATCCATCATCGACCATCGCCTGCGCACCCCCGCCACGTTCCTCATCCGGCTGGAACAGCACAATCACCGTCCCACTCCACGCATCACGCATCCGAACGAGCGTCTCCGCCGCCGCTAACAAGCACGTAACATGCATATCATGGCCACAGGCATGCATGACGGGTTTCTCGACCCCGTCGGCATCCCGCATCATCACGGTACTTGCGTAGGGAAGGTTAGTGAGTTCCTGGACAGGGAGGGCGTCCATGTCGGCGCGGAGGAGGACCGTTTTGCCCGGGCCATTGCGGAAGATGCCGGCCAGGCCGTAGCCGCCGATGTGGGTGTGGAGGTCGTAGACTTGGAGGTAGGTGAGGTGGGCGGCGATGGTTTCGGAGGTGCGGCGCTCTTGGCGCGAGAGTTCGGGGTGTGTGTGGAGGTGCTTGTAGAGGGTTTCGTAGGGGGTTAGGTCTGGAAGGGAGGTTTTGAGGAGGGTGGTGAGGGGGGTGGTGAGGGGGGACTGGGTCATTTTGATGGGGTGAGGTGGTGTTGAGTATGGAGTGGTATGGGTTGGGAGGTGGTACGGGATATGGAGATGTCACGGTCTGACTCACGCCCTGTTGCAATTATCGAGTCGAATTAAGGCTGGTGTACGCTTGCCGGGATGGGTTAGGGTGGTCGGGTGGGCCGAGAATAAGCTTGCCTGTTGGCAGCTAAACATGATGTTGTTCGATAGTCATGACTGATTGCCATTAGAAGCTAAGGCATGTGTTACCGCGGGTAGTTGGTCTAGGTGAGACGAATATGTTGACTAAATACTTAGATGCTGCTGATAAAATCGATGGGATCTTTTTCTTCGCTACAGCAACCACACCATCCTCAAGCCCGTAGGTGAGCAGTCTGTCCCGTCTAAGTTCAAAGGATCCTTGATATGCGGAGCCAAGAAGGTCTCCATAAATAGAAAACAATAAATTCAAAGGCCACTTGGTAGAAGGGTTGCTGTAACCAACACTGTTACCTTTTGCCAGTGTCTACCAGTCCCAGCTTTACAGCCTGGCAGCTGGCCCAACTGACAAAAGGCAACTCTGGGATCAACCCCGCAGCTCGACGGCTCGGCTCGCCCCGCATTATGCGAACAGTGAGCATCCGTGTGCTGACTTGGTAGGCTGTCATCAGCAATGAAATCTAGAAGGTGATACATAACTAGGGGAGGACAGATACTCGAGGCAAATGATATTGACAGTTGACTTTGAAAATAGAAATTTCAAGTTATGCAACAGGATGACATTGGATTCCTAGGATTTTGGATGGGGTACCGATGCTAACGTTGGTATGCTGACTGTCATCATGTGTGATGACGGGTTTGCTGTTTAGGTGAACTGATTACCGTTCCTAGCATCGTCTGGGTATGGGAACTGGGTCAGGACCCAAACAGCTGAGTAGACTGCCAACTACTATTACACAACTCTTTTTTAAGAAACAACATGACTCGACTCTCACAGGACTCAACCACCACAGACTATGAAACCCGCAACCTCCTCTCCGACACGACCGAATCTCCCAAATCCCACTACCGACTATGGAAAACAGGCTCTATCATCTTGATAATCATATCCATAGTAGAAACAATCATCCTTTCAATATTACTGACCCAAAACACCTCATCAACACACACACTTCCCAAAAGTAAGCCTCACCCCACCCCACCAAACCCATAATATAGTTAACTAAACCCAACACTGAGGACATTAGTCAACTTAATCGAAACAACCTTCCCCCCCGACCCCCTTCCCCACAACCATACCCTCACCACATTAGAAGACGTAACCACCGCATGGGAAGTATACAATCTCCGTACGCACCCCACCCCACCATACCATAAAACTAACCACCTACCCATTCTAATCAACAAAACAGCCGGCTTCATAACCCTCCCCAACCCCACCCTCTACAACATCACCCCAAACAAGAACGTTATCCAAGGAAAAGAAAACGTGTATATGATCTCTGCGTTTCATCAGTTACATTGTTTGAAGGCGTTGCAGGGGATGTATATTTCTCTGCGGGATGAAAGTAGGAATGAGGATGGGCATGGGGTTATGGGGGAAGGGGAGAGAGAGAAGGAGGAGAGTGACATGCATGATGAGAAACATATGGGTCATTGTATCGATTATCTTCGACAGGGGGTGATGTGTGCGGGGGATATGACAGTAGAAGTATGGGATGAGGGAAATGGGAGGGGGAGGATGAAGACGAGGATGTGTAGGGATTGGGGGGCGATTGAGCGATGGCAGAGAGAACATTCAGTTGCATAGGATCAATTCCTTTCCTATTCCAAATATAATAATATGAATATTTATCATCTCTCTGATGATATCGTATCAATGACCAAAAGCTTCACGACATGATCCCAACCCATACCAGTTAAGGACCAGCAACTACCTCAATACAAAAACAGAGATTTTCATGGACCTACATACATATCAAGATATATCTAAGTACTGTTGAGCACTATGCTCATCCAGCCACCCAACTATCTCCTCCCACATGTTACATTCATGTACCTGACCCTTCCCAGTTAACCCTCTCTGCCCATCTCCACCCACTGGCTCCGGATCAGGGCCTTCCAGCGTCATGTCGCTAGCACACATGATCCCGTGACGGAGATAAGTAAAACAGTTTGTGATGTCACCATCTTCATCCCCACTGGGCTGAGAGATGCTGTTTTGGAGCCGATTCAGTGAGAGGTGGATTGTGCGTAGGCAGAGGAGCTGGTGGTAGGCGGAGAGGATGTAGGTCTGGTTATCTGGGTTCTGTGTTGTGGGGTTGGATAGGTTGATTAGACCGGCTATCATCAAGAATCATTAGTAGTGAGTTGGAGGGGATAGGGGGGGAACCGAACGCAGATTATAGATACTCCAAGCTGTAAGAATATCCTCTTGTGTCGTGAGGTTCTGGAATCGGGGATCAGGTTCGAATGTAACTTTGGTCGTGTGGACTGGTTGGTGATTAGATAGGTGATCATAGTATGGGATGAACGTACGATTTGTTAGGGAGGAATAGGGAGAGGGCTGTGTTCTGGTCGTTGCGTAGAAGAGCGCTGGGATTTGGAGGATGGTGATGATGAAAGTAATCCAGAAAGTTGTTTTCCAGGTGGAGGAGTTTTGGTTTGATTTGTGAGATAGGGTCTCGGCTGTGTCTGCGTTGTGGGTTAAGCAGTAGAGTTTGGAGTACCTGGGCATGATTGTGTTGTTGGATTGAGGTGAGAAGGAATGAGACATAATATGAGAGACTAAAGAATTAAGCCGAGTGCTTCAAAAAAGAGGGTGCAGTTAGATAAGTGTCATCGATCGAAAAATTGGATGTCAGCAGACGAATTAGCCCGACAACAGGGTTTTGACTATTTCTAAGACTACCACGGGCTGCACATGCTATGTCACCCTGTAAGGATGATAATATATCAATAATCGACCATGCAGATAAATTCAGAGATATAGGATGTCATATTGTCAATGAGTGTAGATAGTCCTAACTACAACCATGACACCCAATGTAATACCAATGCACAACTTGGCATCTGAGATTCCCAACATTATCACAGATGAGAACTTGACCGTTGCACATTCATCCAACACAACCCCCTAAACATCCTTCCACTTGCCACCGTAGAGAGCCTTGGAGATTTCGTCGACATTGGCCGGCACTTCTTCCTCGGGGTGCGCTGCAACTTGTTAGCTACTCTGATAATTGAGGACATCCCCAGTGCCACGGAAAGGGATTGGATATTCTTACCAACAGGAGCAGGAGTAGCAATGGAAAGAGCTGCCAAGAGGCCGAAGATAGCGATGAGCTTCATGTTGAAGATTGGAGTGTTGTTTGTGGGTTTGTTTTGAGGGATAATGTGGATAGCTTGTTTGCTTGCGATGATGAGCTGATGATGATGTGAAATGAACGATGTTGCACTCTTTTATATAGTTCGATTTCTAACCTGCTCAAGCACTCAGTGAGAATCAACCTGTCAGCAAGACATGACAGGATAAGATGACATGAAGCGATACTGACCGATGTCATACTACGCAAGAAAAGTCGAGTAGACGATCAAGTCTGCAGTGCACCGGTGCTTGTTCGTATCGATACAATGCTTGCATTCTTCAAGACACTTTCCAGAGTCTACAGACCTCCTTCTGAATATTCGCCCGTCGACACCGACGATGATGGCGAAAAGGAGCACAGCCGAATACCTGCCAATCAACATGGAAGAAACTTCTTCCTCTTTCGACTATCCGGAGTCGTCTGGATCAACATCTTCCTCGTCTGCATCTCAATATCATTCTTCATCGCTTCCCTCAACATCCGTCACACAACCGACCACGCCACCTCGCGAAACCACATCCTAAAGCAAATCTCAGAGCCCTGTAAGTCCCCTCTACCTTCCACCTCACCCGAGACTGAATCAAAAAACAGCCCCCATCCTCGACGAAATCGACATCCCCATCATCCCCCAAAAATGGGACACCAGCCTCATCGAAACCGACCCCCTCAGCATCTACCGCCAGGACCCCAGTCCCTTGGTCGACCAAGCCTGGCGCGACCTCGGCGACACCCGCCCCATCCCCCTAACCAAAGCCCAAGTCCTGGCAATGGGCAAAAACCCCTCCGAAGCCGTAAAACTCCCCACTAGCTGGGGACTCGGCCCCGAGCTCTACGCCGGACGTCTAGACGTCTTCCACCAAATCCACTGCCTGGATGCCCTCCGCCAAGAAGCCTACTGGGATTACTACTACGGTGATAAATACCCCGGCGGACTCAACACCACCGGCACGATCCATCGTCTACATCTCTCACACTGTATACATTACCTCTTGCAGAATATCCTCTGCAATGCAAATACAGCCGTGTATACGCATTTCTGGACGGATACGGTAGATCATCCGTTTCCAGATTTTGATATCACGCATCAGTGTCGGGATTTTGGGGCCGTGAAGGAGTGGCAGAGTGAGAGAGCGTTGGATGAGGAGCGGTTTGTGAATTTGGTCAGGCCGGAGGAGTATGGGCCGGGCAGGTTCATGTCGTATCGGTTTAAGCAGGTGCATGGGTATTTTAAGACCCATGAGGATTTGGGGGGGTATGAGGGGGGGGCGGTTGCCTAGGTGGGAGAGTTGTTTTGTTAGATTGGTGAGATTGTATGTGTGGTGGTGCTGGTAAGGGTATGCTTGCTTATTGCTTAGTTGTTGGGATGACTGCACGGTCAGCAATCACAAATGACAAAGTTATGCATAGACACTTACCTCTCTTCTCTCACAATTAACTGAACCAAACCCAGCACAGACAACACCCACAAATTAAACAGCATGCACACAAAACCAACACCCAAATATCCCAAGGCCACCGGCCTAGCAATCCTCATCTCAACCCTCCTTGCAATACTCTACCTCCTCATCCTAAGAAACATAACCTTCCCAAGAACAGCTCCAACGCCATGCATCTGCCCCTCCACCCCAACCAGCCCACCCTACACCCTACAAACATTCTTCCCACCCCACACCCAAACCCACCCCCAAAACCAAGGCATAGAATCTCTCCTCTCCCAATCCAAAACCATCCCCAACAACGGCTTCATCACCATAACAGAACAAAGCAGTGACAACCCCCAGCCCCAATACTTCGGTATATCCATGTTTCATCAATTACATTGTCTTGATATGATCCGCGATAGCATCACCACCAGCACCAACAATAATACCACACCAGCAGAAAGTAACGAACACCATCACACCCATCATACGAGATCTTATGAAGGGATGCATATCGGGCATTGTCTGGATTATTTAGCGCAGGTTCGGTATCCTCCCCCTTCCCTCCACTGTTCCATATATAGTGTTGGAAGGTGAAGTGATATAGTAATGGAGCTGATGATAGGCAGGCTATTATTTGCGCAGCGGATGATACGCTCGAGCGAGGGGAGGAAGAGATGATGGATGGGGAGAAGGTCAGGTTGATTGAGGGAGTGGGGGTGGTGCATCGGTGTAGGGAGTCGGGGTATGTTTGGGAGGGGGTGGCGAGGTCGGGGGTGAGGCCGATTGGGGTGAGGGAGGTGCGGGAGGGGGATACGGTGGGGGATTTGTTGGAAGAACTTATTTCAAGTTAGGGCTCAGAGATGAAGTCTTGGGTATTTAGGGATTAGGTATTCTAGTTGTATGTGGTTGATAGATATGGTGTTGATTGGGATAGTAGATGTCGGATGATATGACCTGTTACTGTAGCTATACAGGGATGAGCGAGGGTCATGCCGTGTTCAATATACAATTAAAACAAATAGCAGAGCAGCAGAAGACTGGAAAAACCAAGGAAGGCAGCCACAAACTGAACAAAGAAAATGATCCACTGGTTTTAATTGATGTCCTGCCAATGTTTGAAAAACTTATTCCCCGGGAATAGTTCCCATAGAAACTCAATATCCTCAAGCGGGCTCTGATCAAACCCAGCAGTCCGAACAATCTCATCCGCCTCTTCACGTGTCAGTGAAAAGTTCCAATTGCCTGCCTCGTGATGTCGTGCCCAGTCTTGAATCTTGGTGAAATTGCGACAGGTATGTGTAGTCGCCAGACGGGGAAAGATGCCCGTGTTCGCAGGAACATTGACGTGGAATGAAATTGGGGAGACATCTGCGTGGCACATGATAGCCTGCCTTAGGGAGTCGACGCAGTGGTCTGATGAATAAAAAGTCAATGTTGCTCTCTGTTGTGGTGGATGACTTACCCCAGTGTCGAAAGGCATCATTATCCCGTTGGATGGTCCCATTCTCATCTCTGAGATCATCAAGTCCTGGGTATCTTTCAGGATAGAGAAGCATCCGGAGATCATTCAAACAGTGTAATTGGTGCCACACGTCTAGTTCAATCAGATAGTCTTTTGTTCCGGGTATTGGCAGAGTTGGTATTGGCAGTTTCTTGGCTTCCGCCTCGGGAATTTTGGAGATACCGACTGGTAGGTGTCAGCAGGCTCATATCCACTGACATAGGGATAAGAACAGGAGAATCAGCCGTGGGTTAATACAGTTGTAGAGATCCGACCATAGCTTGTCCGTTTCGTCTGTAGGAAATCCCATATACGGCGTGTTGTTGAACAGTGCCGCTCGGAATGGTACTTCACTAATATACGCTACTGCCTCATTGGCAGGTGCTACCACAGATATTTAGTCAAATTAGCACTGCATATGTGGGGGACAGGAAAATGCACTTACAGTAAACTCCCTGCGACGGGTCAGACGTGTTTTGTCTAATCTGCACCAACAGCATCACAACGATAAACAGAAGCAACCCATTGGTTGTGTATAGAATATAGAAGTGATAAGTGGATGACTTCCACGATGTTTTCCTTTCAGTAGCAACATCGCCATCCAGAAGGAATTGTTTCTCCTGCTCAACGGATTCACGAGGTGTTGGGCTGCGGTATGGGTGGTTTCCTTGATCCATGGTTAGTGCATAGAACCTGGAGATTTGGAAAGAATAGTCTCACATCACATCGCCTACTAGGTCTTACCGAAGATCGGACCAAAAGCAAAGATCTGGTGTGATGAGGCTATGTTTGTGTGATGACGGATGTGACGATGCTGTGATGACAACCTATGCCTGTGTAACCTGGCAACCCTGCCCTGCCAACTCCGATGAACTGCCAAGATACTTCGTACCTCGAGGATATTGTAACAAACAAGATAACCAAGGAGCCATCCTGGTATCACCCGTCCACCTGATAACATTAATCTTTCGGATCAAATCAATCATTGTAGTCAATAATATGGTTCACTCACCACCAGTTATCGTATGGCCATTGCTTCTTCAGATTGACTGCTTGTCCATAATTGGCTGCTGCAGGATTGTGATGCTTGATGATTGATCAGGGTCCAGCCAGCAAAGCGGGGTAGGAAGCCTTACGCTCCATCACCGCCATCCCATAGGCCAAATGAGTGCCTCGCGGCTCCGATCATCCGCTAGGCAGTAGCAAAGCTTACTAGAAGATCCCCAGGCAAATAAGGCTGAGTAGAACCAGACTTTCTGCCGCTGAACTCTTGCTCGTATCCATCCAAGATGTCGACTCCCATAAGTGCTGAACAGATTTTGGCAAAGAGAAGATTGCAAAATCGTCTGGCGCAGCGAAAAAGACGTAAGCTGTAGTGCTAGTTGATTCTGTCCAGATTGCTGACAGCTTAGGCCAACGTCTACAAGCGAATGGTCGCCAGGGAAGCAGATCGTCCCATGGTTCAGCTGAGTTCGTGAACGCTATCCAGGCTGATCACCAATTGCCCGAGGGTCATGTCGAGAATACAGATTGGGACAGAAATCAGTCGGTGCTGGAGACCCAAGCAAACCATCCAGAGCACCCCGACAGTTCACCAAGAGGGGCCACACACAATAATCCGACGGAGCCAATGACCGAGAGCTGGGAAGCGCTCTTGTCCAATTTGGAGAGAAGCGAGAGTAGCACCCTGCTCGTGGATACAAATCAGGAAGGGAACAAGTCAACAGAGAGACCCTTGGGGGAGTCACCAGTGAGCATACTAACATTTATACCCTCAAAGATCTGTCTTAGGTGACCACTGACCCTGCTTAGAAAAATGCGTCCGCCCCTGGTACCTGCTGGAAGACGGTATCCCAAAAACCAAGCGACAAGAATCCATTCAAGGCGCAGAGCTCAGTTGATATACAGCTAGATCTAACTCCAAGTCTCTCCAGTCCAGGCACCGACATTTCAATTCCCGATCAGGACATACTGGATCTGGATAACGGGATGACGGCACTGCACTTATGTGCCTCGAAAGGTCATGTGCGGGCTGTCGAGATACTCCTCGAATACGGCATCGACGTCGACATAGTGGATTCTCAAAACCGCACTGCATTGCACATTGCCTGCTGCATGGGCAACACCGAGATCGTCGCTCTTCTACTGCAAGAAGCAGCAGGTACCGAGGCAATGGACTGTAACGGGTACACCCCCTTGCATATTGCTTGTCGCACAGGAAACTATGAGATTGTGAAATTATTACTCAGCAGTGGGACGGATTTGAATACACGAGTAGGTGGAAAGTAACGGGATTGCTACATGTCACTATGTTCTCCTTATTGATCAGGGACTAAGCTTACATTCCACCATCCATCGTGCATGTATACAGATTTCACACCGTTAGCAAGGGTCCACTGGCGAATATCTTCAAAGTTTCGACACCGGTGGTATGTATCAAGGTCGACTCCAATTGTGCCGTTGATTCTCTGTTTGATGTATACCCCTGGATCTGCCCAACACATGATTGCCCGTCGAAGGCGCTCAACACACTGATTAGCTCGTTCGGTCAGTCGTTCTGGAGAGGATGAGGCGAGGTTGGAGTAGTCGTATTCTTGTCGATGGCTGAACTGCCAGAGGAAATGAAGACAGTGGAGCTGGACAAACACCTCCGGTAGTGCGAGGATGTGATCCCCTGATTGAGCGAATGTTAAGTCCAAGGATTGATTGAGGTCTGTCATACGCCCACGAGGGATTGCTATCGGGTGATCTGTTGATATTAGTATTTACTAAGGTTCCAACAATCGATACTAACGTGGTAGAAAATCTGCCCATGCTTGTTCAAGATCGGCAGATAGCTCAAGTTTGAAGAACTCGTCTTCAGTGAAGAAAGGAGTATTGTTGAAGAAGGTCCAATGATAAGATATAACATCTTTAGCTGGCGACCAGGAGTAGAAATGATTATTGCAAGCCGTTCCATTCAATAATCGGGCAAAGGACAGGATGAGGAGACAGATGGCTCCAGAGCATAAAATAAAAGATGACAAGTAGTGAAACAAGACAGGTCTCGAGATCAAGGGCATCTTGACTGAAAATGAGACAATCCACAAGACTTGAATCGTATCATATTGACTGTGTTGGAGCCAAGATCCGGAACGAGTATAATCAATCCGAGTGCTGACTGCTCGGCTGTTTGCTGACCACTAGTCCTACCTACCAGTCAGTGGAAAAGCCAAGAACATCGCCATTCCCCATTTGATCATTGACCACGTTGCGACCATGGCTCTATCATGGAGGTCCATCAAAACCCATCTAACGGGAGTTTCAGCACCTTCTTACCATCCACTTCGCCCCGATGGCCTCGAGGCTACAGAAGATCAGGCCACTCAACAGGAAGCAGGGATTGAGAAACGCTATGCATATAGTTTACGGACCTTTCGCCTCAGCATATGCTTCTTTGTGGCCTCAATAATCCTGTACGCGGCCATGTTAGTTATTCCGCTATCGGATACTTATTGTGAGCGCAAGATGTGGGCATGGAGTGAGTCGCGAAAAAATTTGTCCCTTGGTGTTCTTCTAATCCTTGTAGGCCCTATACTTGGGGTATCACAGTACCAATGGCACCAAGTGGACTCCGACATCTTACCAGATTCTCTGTATGGAGGTCCTCCCACAGCTGAGCGACGGGATGCGTGGGAACACATCGTAGAAGGTTGGATCAGTCCTGCTGTTGCGTCGTTTCACTGACATTCTGTCCTAGATGGCTTTGTGGGCTTCCCTCGCGACCGAATGCTTGCCATTCGTAAGTCCATAGATGAGGACTGGTGGTCTCTACCCCCACCTCATGAAGACCAGGTCATCGCCGCTCCAGAATGTGAGAATTTGTACCAGACCATGATATAGATGAGAAGCTAATTATGTATTGCTTGCATAGATTACCACCAACTGCACTGTGTCCGGTTACTGTGGATGTTTGCTTTCCGTGATCAATGGGATTATACGGAGGGTGGAAATAGATCCTCACTTCGTTACGCAGTGCATACCAAACACTGCTATCTAGCGTTGAAGAGAATGCTCGAATGCCAGGCCGATATCACACCCGTACTTTTCAAAGAACAAGGCGATGAGTCCGGGGTTTGGGAGACTCGAAATGCCCCTCACAAGTGCAAGGATTTTCCCACCCTTCTCCAATGGCAGGCAGATCACACTGTCTGTGAACGCCCATGCATGTACAGCTAGCTAGCCAGTAATCAGTGGACCTGTCATCGTCTGAGTTGTCAAATAACCGGTGTGCTTACCTGACCGAAGTGATTGGCCTACCATTTCTTTGTACCCCGTAGCTTGTGACTGCTAAATGTCACATGACAGTTCAGCAGGGTCAAGGATATAAGAATAGGCTGCCGCGTTCTCATAATTGGTATCACAGCCCCGTGATATTTTACCCCTGTCCTTGATTTTCAGCCTATTCCAGCTCTCTGACTCGTCATAATGCAGTTCCGCTATTCCACCGGTACCAACGAACCGACCGACTTTCCCTGGGAGGCTGCCATCCCAGTGTCCCCCTTTTGGGACTCGTTTTCCTTCAAAGATGCCGCTGCTATCATCAAGACCATCCCGCTCGAGGAGCTCGAGAAATATGACCTCGATGCACGGTACGGATCCGCGACCCAAACCGAGAAGATAGCCGTGACGCTCGATATCCTGCGGGAAAAGCTTCAGCACGAGGAGTCCAAATACACACCCCCTGCTGAGTTTTACACGGCAGATCACGATGCTTGGAGTGATATCTGGCTATCAATTGCCTACATCAGTATGAAGCTGGATAGAATGGATGAAGCGGAAGAGGTGTACCGAATGCTGGTCACCAAACGACTCGATCCGAATGACTTGGTGCCGGCCAATAACCTTTGTGCCTTTTTGGTCAAAAACACCAGTAAGTATGAAGAGGTCAAGACATTGTCTGCACCGTGCATGGAATGGCTGGACAAGAAACTGGGCAGGGCTTCGCCCCAGGCAATCGGCGTGCGCAAGAACATTGCGGAGGCAGAGTGGAAACAAGGCAATCGCGAGCGCGCTCAGGAGATGATTGCTGAGATCTTTGAATGTATTGACGAGTTGAAGGGGAGCAGGTTTGCTGTGTATGAGGATGATGAGAGAGAGTATGCCCAAGGATGGGAGGAGGACCTGAAGAAGTGGCAGGGTTAATTTGCCGTACAGTCCACTTACTGACGGACAATGTATCCAGACATTGCTGATTGCATAGCTTAATGTAAGATTTATCCCTAGATATGATATCAAGCTACTTCTAGTCAACGAGAAAAGTATAACACGAATAAACTAGCGATGCCCATCGATGAGGTTAATCAAGAACCCACTTTCGTATGAAGAAGCGAGCCTACTCCTTGTGGGACTCTGAATCAGATGACCCACCCCGTGCCTCAGGCTTCCAGTAAATCCTGCCTGAACGATACAAAGGTGATGGTGGGGATAGGCGATATGTTGTTCATTTCTTTCAAAAAGTACCGTCTGATGCATTTCACCTTGAACGTAACTCTCGGGAAGATGTTATTCGAGAAGGTAGTATCTGCAGACTCTTTGTTTTTCAAGCTGTCTATAATTTTTGTTGTTTATAAGGATAATGGTCCACGGATTAGAGAAACAATGTGAAAATCGTCTCGTGTGGTAGGGAAGAAGTTTCCTGGAGTAGTAAATATAGGCTTGAGATCCATACCCGCCTTCTTCATAGTAATCTTCATCCACAGGTGTGTTGTTCCCGCCATTCACCGTCCACTTATATTTCAGCCTTCTAAATTTGGCTAGATATATCGACAACTTCATATATATTAATTATAGAAGTAACCATGGAAAGCAAGGTAGATGCCGCTAATCGAAGGGTGTTTGATATATATATCTCTTCTCTTTCTCTCTCGTCATCCTTTCATACACCCTCACCATCAACAAGTTACAATGTCTTCCAGCCCCGACCAAGTCCCCAAAGATCAACCGCTGTGCCACGAAAACCTATCGGTCCTTGCAAAATCGCTTTGTGATAGAATCAGGAATGATATTCTTCGTAATGGCCGCTACGGCTACCTTGACCTTCACTCCATTCCCGCTGGGGTTGGGTATCCACTGGCGAAAAGACTCTGCGACAGCCACGCTGAAATCACAACTTATAACTCTCTGAACTGCATGTTCTCTCTCAAGAGCCCTGGATGGGTTCACAAGGCTGCTTACTCCTGGCTGCTCAATGAGCACCATAAGGCTCGTGATAATGGCTTCCTCACGGAATCTGAGAACATGGAGAACCCCTTGTTTGATCGCCCCAGTGAGTTCCAAATTATCCAAACCCATTTCTTTATACGAAGCTCATGAATATATTAGCTTTTGATGGTTTTCCTGCCCCCTACGAAAAGACATACAAGCGGTCCGACTGCTGCATCAGGCCATCAAGTGGAGGGACCATGCCCAGCATTGTCATGGAAACTGGAGGATTTGGAACTTCTTACGAATGCCTCCTTAGCGACAAAAACCTATGATTCGATGGAGGGAGGGGCGCTGTCAATGTAGTGATCCTTATAAAATGGTCACTTGTTGGTGAAAATCAGGTTAAGGGTTTCCTTGTAATTTGGAGGAGCGGCGTGGCCACTCCAAAACATATAGTAAGTGTCAACTCCTCGATAAATCAACCATTTCTTATATGACCATAGGACATATTTACGGTCCCTCCACGAGAGAATCATCCACAAACAATCACATTCTACAGAAGAGACCTTTACGCCGGGGGTGAGGTACCTACAGGACACGACCCCAATGACACATGGGTGTGTGAGATGGATAATCTTCGGCGTTTCGCGAAACTTGCAATTGAACAGGCGGGTTATGTGCCTTTTATGGAGACTTCAGCTCCTCCTCAAATGGCAGAGTAATTCGTTGGATTGTCCTCTCCTTGATCTTTATCTGTGAAGATCAAAGATTTACGATGAGAAACATGATCTTTGCTGGTACGAATAAAGAAATTTCTCCATCACTAATATCCTCCACCGTCTCATTAATCTACACCAAGTCAATCTCATGATATTCTCGACAATCTCTGAATAGTACACACTACGTGGCGTTATGCGTGATCGGAGAATTGTATAAGTCTCCAGGAAAACACCTTCGGACACAATCAACCCGATCATCTCCCTTCACCCTTCCATTATGCCCTTCCATTATATAGGTCCCCGGTTTAGCCTCATCCCCGCCGAAGACGGACAAGCTTTCTCGTATGAAAGCCTATCATCTCAACTTGGAAATATAATGGCTATCAGAATCCTCCTGAGTCTTCATCGCGAAACAACCAAAGCTGTACCAATAGCAGAGGCTTTTCTTTGAAGATATCTTCAGTCGAAGAATCGTCCTGATTTCAGGCCTGTCTCTCACCCTCTGGGGTTATGCCGAAGCATTTCCCTTCCGTTGGGTTTCAGTATGGACATTAAATGGCCATAAGCTTGAAAGGGAGCTGGTTTTGATAATTAGGGATCCACGTCCAGGTTTTTAGATTCTACTGTATTACCAGTGAGCAGGCTGTCTCCTCTCTAGCCTTCCTTCCAGGTAGTAATCGTTCATCCAAATTCTCTACAGTGGGGGGGGACTACAAGACCTGATCACCCATTGTACCACCGGCAAGGTCCCTCTATCCCCCCGGTATTAGGAAACAACCTTACTCACCACCACTCTTGCGATCCAAAAACTCCACCACAATCCTCGCAATCTCCTCCGGCCGATCCTCCATCGCAAAATGCCCACAATCATCCACAATACTCAATTCCGACCCTGGAATGCTTCTCTGCAATTTATACCCCCACTCCACAACCTGCCACCTATCATCCCTCCCCCAAACCAACTTCACTGGAACCCTTCCCAACTCCCCAATCCTTCCCGCCACCTCCATCGTATGCTTCGAATCATAATGCCTAACCTGATGCTGAAAGAAACTTGCCTGTCCGACCGGTCCCGAAATATACCCCAAATACGCATCAAAACTGCCCTCCCTGCTCATCCTCTCCGGATCCTTCACCGCAGAAACCAACCACTCCCTGAAATGAGCACGATGCTCCTCGCCCTCCGCCTGAATCAACCCCTCTAATCCCAGCGCCATTTGCTGCTTCGTGCGCTCAGATGGATAACTATCGAAACTGACGACGTCGATCATGGTCAGAGAGCGAACTCGCTCGGGGTTAAAAATGGCGAAGCGTTGCGCGATGCCGCCGCCGATGTCGTGCGCGATTATGTGGGCGGTGTCGAGGTTCCAGTGAGTGAGGAGGGATTCGAGGATGGGGACTTGGCCGCTAATGGAGGTGTCGGTGGCTGGATCCCAAGGGCGTTCGGAGAGGCCGTAGCCGAGGAGATCGTAGACGTGGACTTTGTAGCCGGCGTTCGTGAGGTGAGGGATGATGTTTCGCCAGATAAGCGAGGAGGAGGGTGTACCGTGGATGAGGACCACGGGGGTGTTGTGCGAGGGGCCGTGGATGCCGTGGGCGATTCGGTGGTTGTTGATGAGGATGTTTTCTGTGACGACGGGGGTTAAGGGCATGGTGGTGGTTGTGGATGGTGGTTGTGGATGGTGGATGTTGGATATTGAAGAATGGGGAGAATGTTGGATTTCTGAGATCCTGGCGGGGAGGATGGATATGGATCGGATGCAGTCTGTGGTAGGCACTAGACAAGGATTATGCGGGGGGCTGATCTGCGAGGGAAGTGAATCATCGCTGCCTATTCCTGTTTCGCTTCAGTCATAGCCTTGGCTTTACATAGAATAGGTGGCAGATGAATATTATGTGAGATGTTTGGATACCTAGCGCGGATCAGCAGATGCTTATGTAGATTAAGAAATTTCTAGACACCCTGAAGTATGCACCGAAATAAGAGAGCACGACTGGAACGAAGCTACTAGTCTATCTTAATCGGAGGGATACACTTTAGTATGTCTCTAGAAGGGAAAAAAAGTATAAAAAATCCATGAGATCCGAACTGTCATAGAGACATAGGAAATGAAAAATGGAAGATGATAAACATCTCTTTGGCTGGTGATGACCCTCTAGATGTATAGATGACAGTCACTGTCAGAAACGCTAAACTACTAGTAGAAAGTAATAGAATTCCAAAATGATCCTGATTGGTCAGTTCGCGAATGCTTACACCCTTTGCTTTGTTTGCATATCCTCATGGGGTGATACTTGCCGTTTAGGGTAAGTCAACCCCCCTCATCCTGGGTCATAGCTCATCCGTACAATCACTACAAATATCTCGTCTGAATCCAAGGTAGCACTTGAATCAATCACTGCTTCTCGGACTACTCTGATACTTAAAGCTAGTTTCTCACAACACATCATGACTACCACAAACTATGCTATATCCCTCGGATCACGGGTCCTAGTGACCGGAGCCAACGGCTACATTGCCTCCCAAGTCATCAACGCTTTTCTCGCCAAAGGCTACAAGGTGCGAGGTACTGTGCGCTCAGAAAAGCCTTGGTTGGATGAGTATTTCCAGACCCAGTACGGTCCTGACAAGTTTGAAACCGTGATTGTCCCCAATCTCGCAGATGAAGGAGCTTTGGATGGGGTCGTGCAAGATGTGGCTGGAATCGTTCATGTGGTAAGCTTCATGCCATCTGAATATGGCTTTGAAGCATGAGGGCTGACAACTATTCATATAATAGGCTTCCGATATGTCCTATCGACCCGACCCGAATATCGTGATCTCCGGAGTGGTGGCACAAACAATGAATGTTTTATCTATTGCGGAGCGGACGTCTTCAATAAAGCGAGTGGTTCTATGCTCCTCTGTGACTGCTGCGTTCCCTGCAATTGACGACGCAGTAGGTCTAGAAGACAAGACAGTGGATCAGAGTGAGCAAAACCCCTCTGCTATTCCTTAGGGTAGTCGTTACTGACAGTCTCAAGATACTTGGAACGATGCTGCCGTAGCAGCTGCCTGGGATCCAAACACACCAGCCGAACAGAAACCAGGTATCGTGTATACGGCAGCTAAAGTTGGCGCCGAACGGGGCGCGTGGAAGTGGTATGAGGAGCACAAGCCGCATTTTGTCCTGAATACGGTGCTTCCTAATATTGATGTAAGACCTCGCCTTTCGTCAAAGGCCTACGAGATTACTAAGGCGCTGAATTATTTAGTTTGGTAAAATCCTACTCCCTGAACACCAGGGCTCTTCGATGAGGCTCACGCGCATGCTTCTGGACGGGAACGATCTGGCCTATGATGTTATGCCAGCACGTAAGTGGAACACCCCGCATTATGAGTCCGCAGGTTGCATTGTACTAATTGGGTTTCCAGAGTGGTATGTCGATGTCGAGGATACGGCACGCCTCCACGTTATCGGGCTGCTGGACCCCAACGTCCAGGCGGAACGGCTGTTTGCTTGTGCGGCCCCGTTCAGATGGGATGACGCCGTGCAGATTCTGCGGAAGCTTCAACCGCATAACTCTGTAATCCCTAATGCTGTAAAGGATAAAGTCAAAGAAAAATTCCAGATTGTGCCTTCGGGGCGGGCTGAGCAGTTACTGCGGGAATTCTATGGCCGGCCTGGCTGGACGCCGCTTGAAGAGTCCCTGAAGAGAGGACTTGATATTTGATTAGGTTTCACATAGCATAGGAGCCAGATACATTCTATGTCTGTGCCCGACATACAAAACTACCCCTTTCCGCGCTACTTCTCCTCCTGCCCTCCAATAGACAGCATCAGTGAGATGAATTTATCGCTATAGTTGTCTCGATATCAGCCTCCCTCTCGAGTACTAGCTTTCACTATCATGTAAGATACCATATAAAGTCTGGAGATAGTACCGTACTACCCACACACAGTTCTCTTCAAGACCACCAGTATCGAGTAAGGCCATAATAAATCTTGTGTCCCTAGACCGCCGGCAGCCATAGCAAGTTTATACTGAGCAAAAGCTTCCTTTGCACTAGATATGTCCTCAAATAAGTATACAAATCTCAACTGGAACCTGATAATTTCCAGTCCTCAAACAAGTACATATTTGGAGCAGCCCTGGTAGAGCTGGACGGCTGATAATGTGTAACCGGCAAGATTAGGGGCCAGTGGTCACTCATTGGGTGCCGGTTCCATCAAGGGTGTATGCTCTCTGACTACCTAGCCAGCAATCTCTGAACCAAGTCGAACATAGGGGTGACTTGGTATCACATATCTGCAGAGCTCGATGGGATACATTGAATTCGCAGCCTGACTCACGCAGGTAAAAAGACCAATGTTTTGTAGAACTAAGAAACAAATGTCGCCCTGAATAACTGTCCACCGGTTCATTTCTCTTCAAAGGTAGGGTCTCAGACTCGGAAACCGATAAGTGTCAGACGCATACCTCCATCAGAATACGGTGTGACACCTCGGACCTTTGAAAAGTATGTCATTAGATGCTCCTGGATGATTGGCTCTGTCGCCTAGCTTCTGCTGCAACAAGTTAAGATATTCTGATCAGATGCTATGAAGCCACATTCGAGTCTGCCTCGTTTGTGACTCGGCCAGGGTGGCGCGGATCCCAGGTCCAGGCCTTGGTAGGTTATCCATAGGCGTATCTTTGCAATTGAAGGGCTTAATTTACCCCATCGATTCTTCCAATCTGCCTATGTCGATAAAACATACCATAGACAAGTTTTCTCATTCTGTTGCCTCATCGCTCATCCAGATGTCATATCTTCGCCTTCGTGTTTGCTTTTCGAAAAGCAGGTTGTAAGCAATGCCACTTAGCGAGTAAATAGCTAAATCCATCGTTGTGTAGATATATTCAAGACTCAAAGTTCAGGGACTCTATTAGCATTGGTAAATCTTAATGATCTTGATAACTGATGGGGATGGCAAGATTGATTGAACGACCCTGTGTGTCAACGGTGGAAGGAGCAAGCAACCGGGGGGGCGGAGCATGACCTGGATCACCTGATAGTGTAGGAGCATGCCAACGGGAAGAAGAAACGTTTCAAGTAGAATGTCCTCAGCTCAGGGTGTCAATGCAGAACAGCACGAGTACAATTGGCTCTGCACTAACTAGGATCTTGCCGAATATGTCGACTCTGGAGGAGATTCATAACTCGCAGGCAGACAGATGACTCCCTGACAAGTATGAGTTCTACATGATACTCTTTCGAATATCTGCAAAAGCTAGAATTGTATGTACGGGCTAGATCCATAAGCACAACAGGTGCCTTGAGGACAATCACACAGTATATCTGGCATTACATTAAGCCAAGTTACCAAATCCATATGTATACCGAAACAGAAAAAGGCTAACATCTCACTCCCAAGAGAGGAAAAAAACTCCAAACACCCCTGCCAAGGCCTGGATCATGAAGGCCGCCCAGAAAGATCAAAAGGTATCATGATTTAGGAATCGCGAACGCGTGCCTGCCGCTTGGCGGTCCCAATATGCGTGTTATGTACCTTGGTCGCAAACTTGAGACTGGTCAAGGTCTCCGACAAATGCGCCTGCAACGGGCTGACCATGACAAACATGAGAGTTTTGGAGTTACCTCCCAAAGAGAATTGGAGGAGATATGTAAGCTGCATGCAAGTCAGTCACTTCCCTACTGGAATTTAAACGAGCGGACAAGACAAACCTTGCTGTTTCGATAGGGTATGTGTCCGCCCTCTTTACCCTGTCCGAGGGCAGCGATAACGTCACCCAGACAGCTCAAGCTGCGGTTAATGTTTTGCGTCTCTTTCAACCGTTCGCCGGTAGCACCGCTGTGGCTTAGACGCTCACTACCAGCCAGGTCCACCAGGTTGAGGGTTCCCTCACTACGTTCACCAGTAATATCGTTCTCCCCGATCAGCTTCAGAATGAAGACCGAGTGTGATCGGGAAGATCTCTCGTTGGCCTTGGTAGCTGCCACGGAGCGGTTAGAGGCGGCGCGCCTTAGAATCGTCTCGACCATCTGAGGAGACTCCAATCGAACAGTAGTGACATCCGTGATAATAGTCTTTCCTCTCTGCATATCGTGCCGAATTTCAAGCTTCTTCTTGTCGAGTTCTTCGGGGTTGCCCAGGAGGTCGTTCAGGTTCTCGTTGTACACTTCAACAAAGTTGCCCTCCATAGTATATCTCCAGCCCTTTTCTTCCAAGCCCTTGGCTGTCTCATAGATCTGGTGCACCGCGCGGGGAATCATACCGTCAAGAGAAGACATAGTGTAGGTCTTTCCACTACCAGTTTGGCCGTAACAGAAAATACAGACGTTATATCCATCCAGGGCGCTTTGGACAAGTTGGCTGATTTCATCGAAAACTTCCGCGTTTTGCGTGGTCGGTCCGAAAACACGATCGAATGAAAAGTTGCTGTTCTTTTTCGATATTGTGCCGAGGCTGCTCTTCTCTTCGGGGCCCAAGAGAGCAATCTCTTTGCTGTCCTCCATCTCATCGGGATACTGAATCTGAGCCACTCCAGTGGCAGGGTCCGAGGGAAGCGATGGACGGACTCGACAGAACACCCGAATATTTCCTTTGAGCTCTTGCACCTGGTTGTGAAGTTTTCTTCTCAAGGTCTCTTCCTTCCTTAACTTATCCTTGGTTGCGTTGGTTTCAGCTAACGCATCCATCATCTGCTGGTTCAGGCGTTCAAAGGCTTGGGACTGCTCCTCGCGTCCTGACTCGAGGAACTCGATTCTAGCTTTCAAAGCACGAACAGATGACTCCAATGTCACGCCGTTGGTACTAGCCATATCCAGGTTCTGCCGGAGAGCCCGGTTGTTCTTGCGCTCACGCTCAAGTTCTGCCCGCAGAGCCTGCACATCATCCCGAAGCGTGTTGATTTCCCGTTCTTTCCTGTCAAGCTCCATATTCGACCTTTGTGAGTCAATGGCGGTCTGTGAGGTAATCTGACTGATTTCTCGAAGCCGGGCGGCTCTTTCATCCTCAATCTCACGCTCGAACCGTCGTTTAAGTTCTTGGATTTGCTCTTGATGCCGGGAGTTTAATAATTCCAGCTCCTTCCTACCTTCTGACCGCGCGGTCTCCACCTCGATGCGTTGACGGGCGCTAAGGTCGTCAACTTCTATTTCATGGTCTCTCTGCGCATCCTTCAAGGCATCCTCCGCTGCAACTAGCCGGACTTTGAGTGACTCCATTTCCACACGGAGAGTAAGATTTGTGTCGGTAATTTCTTTTCGGGAAGCCTCCAACTCGCCCACTGCAAGATTATCATATCAGTGTCTGCCCGGGCATCCCTTCATGTATCGCTTACCTCTGGATTTGTACAGGTCAAGTGCTTCCTTGAGCCCATTGCTTTCTTGCCCGGCTTGGCTAACTCTCGTGACGAAGGTGTTCAAAAGGTCTTCCATTGTCCTTTCGCGACTTTCCTGGTCCCATTCGGCACCTGTAGAACTGTTAAATGACTCGATCGTTGAATCTTTGGTGAGAAATCGTGGCAAAGGGGCTGGCTTTTTTCTAGCAGAGTGCTTTGGTGGGGAACAAAACTTAGGTGGCGCAGGCTTGACTGGGGTAGTCATGACAGTGTGCATCGGAAAAAACGATCTCACTGGTTTACCATGCGAAGGCAAAGGGGTAGATTCCAATGTGCTAACGTAGGATGGGCCCAGTTCCAACTCTTTCATGGAAGTGCACAGTGAAGCCTGACGACTGGTCTCGGGCCGCTTCCATAAAGCACCATTGCTTGACGTATTCCATGGGGCACGGGGTTTTGCAACAGAAGAACGGACAAAGCAGGGGTCTAGCCTACCCTTTCGTTTCCCTAGTACACTAGCGGTAGAGTCCTCCTCATCATGGGTATCCATTGACGTTGCCGGGCGAGGGATGGCATGGCCATTCGGTCTTCGGGAGCTCGCGACGGAGTGGGTGCGAGACATGCTGGTGTGTGGCCGCGGGGGACCAGCGGTAGAGGCTTTCGTTCGCGTGGAGGTGGAAGCTGATCTGGTCAATGTAGAGGATGAGTGGGAATTGGCGCGGCTATGAAGTCTGGTGTTGTTGCTGTTGACACGCGACGATGCTGCTCCGGCTCCGGCTCTGCCAACCTCGGGTGCTTGCGTGGTACTTCTAGGACGAGACGGTTCTGCGACGGTCAGCTGGTTCTGGCTGCACTTCTTCCACAGCTCCTGACACATACGCGACAGGGTCGTTGACTTGCTGGTTATGGCGCCGGCGATGGTACCGGGTTGCATAAGACCGGAGCGGGCATTTGTCGAGGCTGGATTCATCTCTCTAAGACCGGGGATACGTGAGCGGGCGGACGGTCTCGACTGAATGTCACTGTATATCAGTACAGAGTTCTGCCCGTGCCTTGAAGTTCAGGTTACCGTGTGATCATTCTCCATGGCTTCCACAGGCGGGTCGACTCGGCCCCTGACAAGGCGAAAATTCGGGTCTCTCAGAAGCACGGCGGTGAACAAAAGCGTATGATGGGCGAAAAAGCAAAGGCGTGATCAATCAGAGTCCGGCTGCAATCTGTTAGGGGTGGGACTGCATTGTAAGTCTGGCCGTCGGCAAGTCGTGCAGGTCGAGGGTAGCGCAAGAGAGTTTATCAGGTCGTTTGGTGGCCGGCCTGCTTTGGTTGCAATCAACCCGACCGTTTCTGGAGTGACGGCGGGCGGTAAACAAACGTTGCTGATTCAGCTCGACCCGGCGGGGTGCGCCATTGCCCCATCGGGCTAGGCGTAATGCTGGTCATGCCGTTCCCGTCAGATTACGACAATACCATGCCTGCCCGCATGGCCCTCGACGGCCGTCGCGAGTTGTTTCAGTGAAGTGTGATCGTATAGATCTCTATATACATATTACAGAAAAATGTTCAGCGAGCGATCATTGTTGACTCTGCCTTTCTCTCTCCGCGGGACCTTCTGCTGAGCCACACGGTCTAATCGCTGGCCCGCCCGCGGGTGTTCCCACTTCCCACTTGCACTCCCACCCTGACTGGCTCCGTAACGGCGGCTGCTTTCAGACCGACAAGCTTTCCCCGTCCCCCGTTCAAGGCCATCGAGACCCTTTTGTCTCTCTCAATTGTCTCTATTCCCTTCATTGTTATTTGCTTTTTCGCCATTCCTTTCGCCCTGTGACTTGTCTGGCAACCATCGTCATGTCGGGTCGATTCGTGCGTTCCTCGAAATACCGTGAGCTTAATCTTCCCCTCCCCCGTCTGCCCGCAATCTGACAGGTAGCAGGACACGTTTTCGGACGGTCGACGAAGAAGGTGCGCAGCGAGCCCCCCGATCCATCGCATACCCGGCATCATCTCACAGTCTTCACAGGAGCAATGCTATGATAACCTTCGTGTCTCTCGGAATGCCTGGGATACCAACCTCGTCAAGGTCCGTCCCTCATCACCGCCCCTATCCACCTGCCAAATCCGTCTAACGCTACGACCAGGCCAACCCCAAGTACCTCTCCGTAAATTGGGAAGCGGGTGGTGGAGGTGCCTTTGCTGTCATTCCCCTCGAGGAGCGGGGAAAGCTGCCCGAGAGGATACCTCTGTTTCGGGGTCACACTGCCGTGGTCCTCGATACCGACTGGTAAGCAGTGGCCTGGACAATCCCTATCATGGCCACTAGCCAACATAGCCAGGAACCCTTTCAATGACGATCTGATTGCATCTGGTTCCGATGATGGCAAGGTATGATACCCATTGCTACGAGCGAAACCCGCTTTGTACCGACTAAATGGGTTGCATAACAGGTCATGCTTTGGCGTGTGCCCGAGAACTTTACTCTCCATCCTGATGTTGATGTCGATGATATCCAAGATGTGGCGCCCGTCGGCAAGCTTTCTGGCCACCCCAAGTGAGTAAACCGTCATACCCTAATCGGCTTCGCTCAGGGTACTAGTACTGACAGCCTCGTAGAAAGGTAGGCCACGTTCTCTTCAACCCCGCAGCCGAAAACATCCTGGCAACGGCGTCCGGCGATTACACGGTCAAGATCTGGGATATTGAGGCCGGGGCTCCGAAGTTGACCCTGAACCTGGGCGACATCGTGCAATCACAATCCTGGAGCGCAAATGGCTCCCTCCTGGTCACGACCTCGCGAGACAAGAAGCTGCGCATCTGGGATGTGCGTCAGGAGCGCCCCGCGCATGAGACACAAGGACACTCTGGGGCTAAGAACAGCCGCTCAGTCTGGCTGGGTGAGCGCGACAGGATCGCAACCACCGGTTTCTCGAAGATGAGTGACCGCCAGCTGGCCCTGTGGGATATCCGTGCTCCCCGCGAGCCGATCAACGGATTCAAGACGCTTGATTCGATCTCGGGTGTGTGCATGCCATTCTGGGACGAGGGTACTCAGTGTCTGTACCTTGCCGGAAGAGGGTAGGTTTGCAACGGTCAAGAAATGTGAGCCGTAACTGACACTTCCTAGTGACGGTAACATCCGGTACTTCGAACTGGAGAACGACAAGTTTGAATACCTTGCGGAGTATAAGTCCGCCGACCCTCAGCGTGGTATTGCTTTCATGCCCAAGCGCGGTGTCAACACCCACGACAATGAAGTCGCTCGTGCCTTCAAGACGGTCAACGACAGCTACATTGAGCCTATCTCTTTCATCGTGCCCCGCCGGGCGGAGACCTTCCAGGATGATATCTACCCCCCTACTGTTGGCCTCAAGCCTGCTATGGGCCCCGCCGAGTGGTTTGAGGGCAAGGAAGCCATTCCGCCCAAGATCTCCATGGCCAACCTTTACGAAGGTGAGGGTTTGAAGGAAGTCACCGGTGTGCAGGACATGCCCACTGCGACGATGGGCGCCTCGGAACCCGAGGTTGCGCCAGCACCCAAGGCCTCCGAGCCCAGTCCGGTGCGGAAAGCGGCCGAGCCCGCGCCTGAGCCGACGCCCGTGGCCAGGCCCGCCCCGTCCATGAAGGAGCAGGGTGCCTCTATGGCTGCTATGGTGTCCAAGTTCGCCGATGACGAAGAGACGGAGCCAGTGGAAGAAGAGTCTAGCTTTGACGAAGTGTCCAAGGCCGTGGAGCGCCCTGCACGCTCTCCCGAAGCCTCTTCGCCTTCTGTCAAGACGAGCCCGTGGCACCAGGAAGAGGCCAAGCCTCAGCCAAGCCCCTCCAAGGCAAGTCCCTTGCATCTTTCGATGGGGCCTTCCGAGCTAACCCACCTGCAGGCATCCCCCATCAGCAGTCCAGTTGACACGGCGGCCAACATCTCTACCGGCGCAGCCGTTGCGGCTGATGCTGTGACCCGGGAGATCGGCGCCATCAAGGAGCTGATCGCTGAGCAGACGAAGACGATCGCGTCTCAGGCGCAGCAGATGCAGAGCCTGACCGCGGAGATTGAATCCCTCAAGGCTAAGCTGGGCTAGCCTTTATGCTTTCCAAGACCCTGACCTAATGTATTGTATTGATTCCATGTGTTCACCTTCCTTAACCTCTGTTACTTCGTTTCGCTCAAAAGCCGCCCCTCTTTTCTCTGTCCATAGCCGTCATCGTTGTGTGTTATGTTCTTGATGACCTGCAGCATGACCGGAATGTCAATGTCAATACGAAACCAGTCTCTGTTTATCATTGTTATGTGTCGATTCAGCGGCGACCGCACCGGGGATGGCGATTGGATAGATGGTGTCTTGTGGTAGATACTTCAGGTAAACAATATACCAGCCTCACTGAGTACTCTACATTTATTCACCCGAGAGTATTGAAGAGAGGATACGATGAAACGTTCTCAGATTCCCAACCATTTCACCACAATATGTAAATCTTATCTACAGAAGAAAATCGTAGTCTTGCCCTCCCTCCGCTCTGACCACCCGCCACCCACACAGTGCATGCACACTCTCACCAACTTGGCGATAAAGTAGAATTAGTCACACGCCATGAATAGTTACCAACCGCCCACAACAGCAATGTCAACCTCAACCTCACCTAACATCAGCCTTGACACCCTCAGATACATTATCACCAACCACCATCTCTCACCTTTTCCTCCTTCAATTGAAATTGGAATTGGGTTTGGAAACAAATTTGTAACATGAAAGTAGAATGGTATGAAACCTCTTCATAGAATGGGGTACATTTGGTTATTGGATGGTAAGTAGGTAATAGGTAGGTAAATTAGAAGAAGGAAGTCCGGGTGGATCTTGTTCTATGTATGTCCTTTGGTTGGTTGATTGATTGATCAAGATGGTGGAGATAAGTAGAGGGAGGGATGGGGGTGTTGGTGGTATGCTGTTTGTTGTGTGGTGTATGGGATGGGGTACCGATGGAGGGGATGAGTAGGGGTAGTGAAGAGAAGGTAGAGGAGGGAAGATAGGATGGGATAGAGGTAGGTAGTAGGAAGAAGATTACTTCCATCGGCCGGCCTCGCGCTCCTTCTCGACTCGAGCAGCTCGAGTATCATCGTTCTCTTCATCTTCGTACTTGTAGCTGAAACGGCGGCCACCCGCCAATGCACGGCCGTCGCGTTTGCGGGACGACTTGCCGCCATCGCGGTCTGCGTGCATGGCCTCCCGGCGCTGTTGTTCCTTGAGCATACGCTCGCGGTTGCGCGCTTCCCGCTCCAGAGTGTGAGGGTCCTTTTCAGGGTCTGCTGTTGCTGTTGCTGTTGCTGTTGCTGCTGCTGGTTTCTCCTCGTCGCGGTCCCGCTTGGCGCGGCGGGAATGGCGGGAGGAATATTCGCTATTCACGGGGGACTCGGAGCGGTCTCGGCGGGAGCGTTTCCGGTCTCGCTCCCGGGGGCGATCTCGATCGCGCTCTCTCTCACGGTCCCTGTCTCGGTCTCGCTCACGCTCCCGCTCCCGCTCCCGGTAGCGATCACGATCCCGATCGCGGTCACGACGACGAGAATCTCGATCGCGATCACGGTCATCATCGCGCCGGCTGGAGCGGTCCTTGCCAGCACGGTAACTGTCACTGGGTTTGGGTCGAGAGCTGGGCCCGTTTTCTTCGGGGATCAACGACAGACGATCGGGTTCAGGAGCTTCGCCATTTCGACTCGGGCTGCGACTCCAGCTGCGGTGACGACGCGAACGATGGGATCGGCGACCACCGCGTCTGTCCCGCTCTCGGTCACGACGGTGAGTGGAGCGTCGAGACTCGAGAGACGGAGAGCGCGTACGATGGGTGTCTTCCGCCGCAACGGACGGCTCTTCGTACTTGTCCTCTCGACGAGGCCTCCTCGGCCGGTCTCGCCTACGCTCGGGTTCATCGGCCCCACGGTTGGCACTCATGGAGCGTTGACGGTACTGGCGGCGACTGTCTGAGCGCGATGGAGCCGGAGAGCGGGATCGGGACCTCGATCTTGATGCCGATCCGGCTCTCGATTTGGACCTGGAGGTGGACCGCGGCAGCTGATCCTCCTGTCCTGGAGTTGGAGTCACACTGGAGATAATATGAGTGTGGGTGGAGGTGGATGTTAATGGGAACCTGAGCTTACCTGTGCGAGGCTTCATTGGGTCTCACGGGGGGTGCCGATGATCGTCCTGGACCCTGGAAGTTCCGTTGCCGGAGAACGCTGGTATTGGGAAGTCCCTCTCTCATCGCCCTGGGAGCCGCTGGCGCACCTTCAACGCCCTGTCCCCTGGGCTCGGGATACATGGTGGGACCGCCCATGAATGGTGGACCGTTGAAGCCACCCGGACGTCCACCGGCGAAGGGACCGCGCATGTAGCCACCTCGGCCAAAGCCTGGACCCATGGGACCCGGCATACCCATCGGGCCCATCGGCATACCTTGGACGGCGTGGACTTGGTCTAGACTATCAATGGTCGGGATCCCACGAAGCTGGGATTCGTCCTGATCGGGAAGCTCCTGTGCGTGGTCTCTATGGATGGGGTCAGATTCCCCGGTCTCAGCCAAGTTCTCAGCAGGAGCTTCTGTCGCGGAAGGATCTTGAGCGGACGCCACCTCGCCGCTAGGGGCATTCTCATCGGTGACTTCCTTGTTGGCATCGGTACTGAGCTCTCCCGACATCTCAGCAGATACACCTTCCAGGCCATCACTAGGAGAATTATGGGATGGAAGGTCTGACTCGTTAGCATTAGCAGGATGATTGGCTTGCATCTGCCCCCCAAATCCACCGCGCCCACGACCACCGGGGAAGACACCACCACGCCCCCGGCCCCGGAAAGCGCCTCTGCCATGGCCGGCATAAGAGCCATTCTGATAATCTTGGCTAGGGAACTGCGGCTGCTGCATTTGAGCATGAACTCCGTTGGGTTGAGACATATTATATCCGCCAAATCCAGAGGGGCCCCCATACTGCGAGCCCATACCATTTGCGAAAGCATTTGGATTGAATTTATCTTGGCCTCCATTCCACATATTGTTCTGTGAGTCCCATCCCCCGTACATCCCCTGACCCGCGTCGAAATTCATTCCCATGTTCATGCCATTCATGTTCATCCCGTAGCCTCCAAACATACCCTGATTCGCGGCCATCGGGTCCATCGCCATGCCAGGCATGCCTGAACGGGACGTCAGTAATCCAGTTTGGGGAAGCGACAAGATGGAACTCACCCATAGCATTGGGGAAATTGAACATTCCGTTGTTCATGAACTGGGCCATGGGGTTAAAACCCCCGGTGTTGTTCCAAGCCATGTTGGGAAACATCCCGGTGCCCATGCCGAAGCCCATGCCGTTGGGGAACATCGATCCTGATTCGGAGCCTTGGGGTGCTTCTTCGTCATTGCCTTGATCGGCCTTGGCTTCATCGGCTGGTTCGCCTTCGCCAGTTCCGTCCTGTTGTGCATCCGCCACGGTCCCCTGCGTGTCGGCCGGAACAGTTGCTGACTGATCATCCTGCGCGAAGCCAATGTCAGCCTGAGTCAGCCGATAGTGCATTAGAAGAAGTACCTGAACCTGGCCCTCCGTGGGGGCTTCGTCACTGGCACCCGGTGCGTTCTCCGCATTTTGGTCTCCGACGTCCGCGGCGATAGGGGGTTCCTCCAATGGAGCATCGACAGGATAGTCTGGTGCGGAAACTCCTTCTGCAGCTGGGACTTCGGGGACACTGGACACGGCAGGCGTCTCCTGTTGGATAGGAGTACCATCCGCGGTCGTTGCACCATTGGTAGTGGCGGGAGTCGCGGGAGTCGCCGACTGTCGTTCCTTTTCGCGCTTCTTCTCTTCAGTACGCAGAAATGCCTTCAAGGTCGTCCGGAGGGCCTTGTTCGGCTTGCAGAGATCGGATGAGATAGGGGTGTGCGCGCAAACCGGGCACGTCTCGGGGAGTGCAGCCTGGCCTGTCCAGTCTCGTTAGAATGACAAGGTATAACACCGTGTCGAGGATAAGATGCGTACATGTTTCGCAAATGGCTTGGTCGCAGCAGGGAAGGCGGAAGGCGTTGACGGCAAGCTTATTGCAGATGGCGCATCGCAGCTTGAACGGGATGTCATCTTGGGTAAGAGAGCTTGAGAGTAACAGGCTGGTCAGCTACCGGCCCACCTGGTTGATGGCCATGCGCAAGGCTGGATCTGACGTACCTGGCGATATCCATCAAGCCCGAAGGCTGATCTGCGACAGCCATCGGGGATGACGAGGCTAGTCCGGGGGGAAGATAGGTCCAGAAAAGAGAGGTCAGACTTGAGAAAGGTGAGGCAGCCCAGACGGCAAAAAGAGACAACGCGACCTAATTCGCCATCAATAGAAAGAGGTGGCCATTCCTGCTGGCGTCACGCGTGAATGCAAGGCCGTGAATCAACAATCGTGGTGACTGTCGCGATGGACAATCTGTGCCTGTTTGACCAAATTTGGAGGCCGGAGGCGGGCCGGAGCGGAACAACGCCGACCCGAGCCGGCTGGTGTCTCCCCCCGCCTGTGCAGAACATGATGAAGCTGCCTGCTGCTGGCCGGATCCGTCCTGTGCTGGGTGACTGCTACTTGCCAGGGAGAGGTAGGAAGCTGGAGGGAACGCTACAGATGACTCTCCTCACCGTCCTACACACTACAGAGGGCCAACCGTTTCAGGTCTAATCAACCGTCACAACGTGCCGTTTGAGGTGAACTTAGTCATTTGCAGGCACTCCACTAAAGTTTGGACGGGTCATGGGCGTCTCCAGATGCAGCCGCACACCGCCAACTGCTGCGACTGCTGCGGCTCGACCCCTGGCTAGACATCTATCACAAGGCGCCTCGGCCACATCCCTGCGTGCAGACCAGGCAGATAAGTTGTGATGACTCTTCAGACCCCGGTTTCGTTGGAGTGTCAGCGGCGCCGCGCTAGGCTGACTGCGGTGAAAACTGCATTGTCTAACTCTATCTAGTATCTATGTGACCATGCTTGATTGCGAGATCTACCTCTCAACTCCGACGAGCAAATCAGAAGGATGGAAAGTACCGCCCGACAACCAGCGACGCGCTGTCAGATTAGATCAAGTAATTTACCCCTCAGCGATTGGGATGGCTGTTACAGCCTCGAGAGGTCCACGGCGGCGATACCTTAGTTGGTCTCTGCGCGCAACGTCGTTCCTCTCCCCGGATCTCAGGAGCTCTGTTTATCATCATCACGCGTCGTGGTGGGGATGCCCAACCAACGGATAAGGTGGAAAGCTAAAGCAAGATAAACGAAATGCAAATAAAACGATATGACCAGTCCCAGTCGACGGGCTCCCGCATTAGAGGCACCATATCAAGCTGGGAGGGTCAGGGGACCGACAAGGCTGAAAACGATATCAACCAGCGGTAGACCGTAGTATACGATATGTGGCTTTGCATCATCGACGCCGACTCGACGGAGGGAATCACGCGCGGCAAAAGCCAAAAGCCGAGGGGGACCAATCAGGGCAGGATCCCTCCGAGGTGTGCCTCCGGGCGGGGTGGCGACGACAAGTGGTTCGTAGACGAGTTGACACCCCGAACCCAGAGGTGCGACTCATCACGGCCAGATGCCATCATCGGACGATCGACCAGACGAGGGCGGCTATGTGACTGCGAGGGATGGTTTGAGGAGGTGAAGAATACTCTGTGGTGTGAAGGGATGTAGCAAACCCAATGGAGCAGTGATACTGACTACTATAGGTCATGATCTGGGAAAAAAAGGAGGAATCATGATGAAGGGTGGAATGGTGAGCCTGGCTGCCTGGCGGTACCTGTCGGTGGTGTGAAGAGAAGGAAAGAATGACTGGTCGGAGGAAGGGCCAAACGAAAAGCAAAACGAGCTCCAAACAAGGGACGTACCGGCGGGAGGGTATTTTTAGCGGGTGACGGTAACGGGGCGGCCAGGGTTAAAAGGGCGGCCGCTGCTCCCCGGAAGAAAAGGCGGCCGGACGCTTCTCTCCTTCTGGCTGCTGGGGCCACTGCCGGCAGTCTTGGGCACACGCACTTCCACTTTCCACTACTACTTAGTAACTACTTAGTAGTATCAGGCAAGCTCGGACCACCGCGATCATCCAAACATTCAGAGTCTTTCAGTCTCCCTCCGCAGGGATTGCAGTCCCAACCCGGAGTTTGGAGTGTGAAGGGACCACCTGGTTCGGTGCTTTGCAGCCCTACATTCTATCGGCGCCTGCTGAATTCCTGCTGGCCACAATTTTATCGATCGAGGATGATTTAATCCGCGCATTCTTTCCGAGCAGACAAAATCCAAGGTGAGCGGTTCCCCATATTTATTTTCCCTACTAGGCCGTTTCTGCGGTTAGGCGCGCACGCGCATCCCATCGCTTGGATCCCATCGCTGAGGAAAAAATAAAAATCCCCACAGCTATGACAGACCAAGACCACTCCTATCGCCCCCAATCCCCTGACTTTTCGACCTTCCAATCCCCCATCTCTCCTCCTCCTCCTCCTCCTCCTCCTGTCGCTCCCCTCCACCATCTTCCTCCCCTCTACCAATTCGGCAATCCCCTCGCCCATCGCGCTTCCTACGACGCCTCGCCCTTCTTCTCCCCGCAATACCAGCAACCCCCGGCCCCGCCGACCAGGGTTCCCCAGCACTACCTCCCTCTAGACCCGGACATGGCT